CAAACAGGACGACCCTCCACGTGGGACGGCACGGGCGGCGGTCTGAACCCTGCTTCCCTTCTAATCACAATCTTACACCTCTGCGCGCGTAGACACAGGTATGGGGGGCGGGGGGGAGAGAGAGAGAGAGAGAGAGGAACGCGGATCGGAGTAGGCAGAGACAGCAACAGTCTCTTTGACAACTTTTCTTTTCCTGTTCTCTCTTATTTCACCATATGTGTCGCGAAGTGACCCAAAACATTTTGAGTTCTCGTACGGACTAGATTCTCTATCCCCGGTTGCTGTCCACCACCCTTTCCTACCTCTTCTCTCTTCACACCACAGAGAGAAAGAGCGAGAGCGAGAGAGAGAGACGGAGATGATGATCGGCACCACATGCAGCCTGATAGAACTGTTTTCAGAGGACAACTTTCCAGACCCGATACGTTACGAGTCAGAGATCTCAAGAGCTTGAGCGACCGGCGGTACACCCGACCATACTTCCCACAGAGAACGGCATACATGCATCGCCTTCATCGTCGCTTGGACACAGACGGAGAGAGGTTCCAGATTTCTCATTGCCGCGGTGCTTCTGACATCAATCGTCGCACCATTACCGCCGAAGATGAGAAGACCTTACGTTTGTGGAGGGAGTCCCCGAACCCAACGATTAACAGTAAACTGATCGAGGAAACGCGACGGATGTAAGGCCATGAACAGGCACTGGCGATTCAAACGAGGAGGGTTCCTATATTAATGCCCTCTGACGAGTCACCCCTCACGTCAGTGTCCAAGGACTAGTGTCTCTCTCTCTCTCTCTCTCTCGCTGTGCAAAGCATTCCTGAGAACCATCCACACCTCTTCCGTGTATTGGAACGAAGAAGAATTCCTTACAAAGTCTCTTGGATCTTGACATGACCGGTGATGAATCCCTGTTTGTTTGGCATTCGAAGAATTCTTTCATCCCTGCTGGTCCACCGTCACGGGTTTAACCGGTTTAATCCGCAGTGCGTAAGCAACTCACGTCAAGGAAACCTCTTTTAACATCCCTGAACAGTCCCGGGGTCATCCTCTCTCTCGAGAAAAGGCCTCTATTAGGTCAGTCTCGCGATGTTGGGAAGTAGAGAGTCTCATCTACTAGCTTATACTACTCTATGACGACAGGTTTGAATTCGGAAGGTCTTACAATTTCAGCGAGTATTAAAATTCTAGGGTTCATCCTCAGGCTGCATGAAGACAGCATTCGATCAAGCGAGAATAGAATGAGAATCAATTGGTTCTAAGTAAGAGGGCTAGAATTTTATGCAATACATTCATTCATCAAGCCAAATCTTGCAGTTTCACAATGGAATGCATCACCAGGAAATAGGGAGAAGAAAAAAACAACCGACCCAGATCGCTGCTGTCAGATACAGACCGGCGGAAACAATAACAGTGAAGCAGGGAGAGAGAGAGTTGATAGGCCAAATCTAGAAATTCACTATGGGACGCATCTGGGGGGAGATGGAAATTAGAGAAAAACAACAAACCCAGATTGCTGCTCCAACCGACAGGCTGGCGACAACAACAGTGAAGGGGAGATATGGAGAGAGAGGGACGCGCGGGTTGGGGACGGGGAGAGAAAGAGAGAGAGAGAAAGAGAGGATTACTACAAGTACGCATTTACTCTGCTCATTTCCACTGCACTTGGAACATTTGTAGCCTTGCCTCCTTCCTCCTCGTCACAGAGGCCGGGCGGCGCGTACAAGAGTCTCTCTCTCTCTCTCTCTCTCTCAACTTTCTATAAAGGTTAACACTAAAGTGTACCGCCTTTCCCTTCAGAATCGGTTACGATTCCGTTTAACGGCCTAAAGCATCGTACTACAATCTTGAAGGCTCCCTCCTCCTCCGCTGGGATCACCTATCGGACAAACAACTTATATAAAGGCACAGGAGTAGAAAAGCAACTCATCCGAAGAATTTAACCTATACGTGTCTAAACCACGATCCCTTTCTCCGAACTTAGACTTCATCGATATCAACTACTCGGTCCATTCAGCTCCGCAGACAAGTTGAACTACGGAGGAGAAGCGGAGGTAGAAGAGTTAGAATGGATGGAGCAAACGTCTCTCCGTAACTTTTCTTCATCTTTTTTCCGATGCTCGCGTGAACCCTTCCATGAGCTTCGGCAAAAGTTCATAAGCTCTGCCTTTTCGTCTGCTCTGGGATGGCATTATCAGAGAAGAGCGGTAGTTTCTTCCAAATCTTCTCCGTTATTTGGTGATCAAGATAGCCGGAATGACAATCGGACAGAACGTCATCTGTAGCCCTTTCTTCCCGTCATCTACTACTTAGCTGAAGCTCTGATGATAAAACTACTCCTGGGAGGAATTTATTCAGAAGACGGGATCAGAATCACAGGATCGAGTGTAGTCGTTGATTATCAAGCCATTGGGAAAGGTTTTCCGAGTATTTCATGGAGTGCAGCTTAGGCTTTTTTCTTTCCTTCACGAGCATTTGTCGTTTGCACCAAGATACCTACCGCCAGTCATCATAAACTCGAGATAATTCTCGATACGACAGTGGAAATTCCCTAAAATTACCTCCTAGTATTCGATTGAAATGCCAAATTTCTCCTTCTGTCTTCTCCTCCCTTTCTTTCTCTCCTCGTCCTTTCTTCTCCTTCGTTTCTATGTTGTCGTCGCTCGCTGTAGAAGCCGTGCAAGACCTTTGAATAAGGTTGGCGATCCCCCCTACAAGCCATGAGATATCTACTTTAATGGCGTTGTTTGTTGAAGAAATGCTTCTTTTTTGTTTCTTGCTTGGCTCTGAAAGCATGCTCGAAACCCAATAAACGCAAGCAACACTAACCTCAGTTCTCTACGAAGGACTTGAGGTGGTTGATTAGTACATCTTATTATATTCCTCTATGTTTATTGAGAACGAAACTGTCCTTACGAATCATCGGTTATTGACGGTTTCCCGAGGACATTGAAATGAGTAGTAATGTTCGCACATGAATTGTGAGGGATTTCCAAGGATTAGATCTTCCCTCTGGATAACTTGCGACAGATTGGAATTTTCAAAGAATATGGTGATTTAATCACGAGCTGCCGAAGGGATCCAGAGCCTGCGTATGACAAAGGCAGATGAGAAATACAATAAAAAAGATAGAAAAAAAGACAGGATCACTCAAATTCCCAGCTTCTCCCATAATTATGTAGGATAAAAAATCCATTTTGAAGGAAGAATGATGCGTTATGATGAACATTTGATTGGACTTTCACGGAAGGAGACAGTCTGAGGATGGCTCCCACTGTTACCATTGAAAGCCCCTCGGAATGAAGAGCCATTACTCCTTCCTCGGCCGAAGAGAAAAACAGATCAAAGGGCCATGCTACCTGAGAATACCACTGCTATCATTCAAAGCCCCTTGGAATGACGAGCCATCAACTCCCTCCTCGACCCAAGAGTAGACAGATGGCGTAAAGAAATCTGGTGATCTCAAAGGGGGATCCCAAGCACCTGCCAATCGTGGAAAGGAACAGTTTCAGGGAATGATATGCTTATGCCCCGTGGAATTCTCGAACCTCTTGCACCACTTCTTCTATAAAACTAACGTACACACAATAGATGCCTAAGAATTAATTTCCTCTAAGATAATCCTTTTAAATCCTCGCCTAGTTGTACCCTATTCGTAGATTAATCTAGATAGGAGCCTCGCATCCTTGATTTAAAAACTTCTAATTTTTAATATGGATCAACGAGAATGCAACTCATCAACTTCGAACGGGCTTATCTGTTCTTTAACACGATGTCCGTTATGGTCATCTCAAGAAAAATCTATACGCTGTAGAGGAGCATCATGGGCTTCTCATCTATTGTTGAAGTTCCTAAGTTTGTTTGCATTCATGCGGAGGAATGAGTTATGTAGTGCTTATACATCATCTACCATGAAGACAAAATTTATCGTCAGAAAAATGTAGATCATCCAAATTTATCAGACTCGTCGAAGGGCTAAGTATTCCGTTTTTTTAATCAGCCCAACCTTGCGGAGCTTCAGATTAACTTTCCTCAAGAATAAGTGAGTATGAGCGAGCGAGCGAGCGAGAGAGAGAGAGAGAGAGAGAGAGAGAGAGAGAGATGCATGCGAATGAACAATGTGGCCTTTTCGATCGAAAAGAAGCTAATAAAAATAGTTTTTCATGCTAAGGAAAGTTGTAAACTGGAAGACCAACGAACACAAATACCGTGGAAACAGATGGAATGATCATCACTTTCCATCTCGTGACAGAACAGGAATCACACGCTGGAATCGAGGGTATTCTGAGTCTTTGTTCCTACATTCGACACCACAAAGGGTCAAACCATAAATGAGGAAGAAGCCTTTAAAACATGATTGGCGCATTCAGCACTGGGAATTTATACCTGTGATTCAAGTAGATTTCACCTGATGTATGAACCCCAACAAATTTCCACGACGACCGCACTGTGCCTAGTGATTATACATAAAGGTAGATAGATAGATAATATAGGTATGAATATAGATGTAGTAAGCTACCGTTGCTTCTACAGTGGCCTCCGACATCATCATTATCGTCACCACCACAACCAAGGTACCATTAAGTCTCTTCACAAGAAACAGGATCAGCTACAGCTGCTTCTCTAATCACAGAAAGAGGCCACTGTAGATTCATACTACTGTCGTAGGGGCATCGGTCACGGGAGCCACCGTCACCAACATGAGTTTGACTGCAAGAACATCAGCCGCAGCGGCAAATTCTATGGCAACAGGAGAAAGAAGGCTACGCTTCTCCCGGAAAACAGCAGCAACAGGAAGGAAATATTTCATCATAGATTCAGTCAGCACACGAGGAAGAACAGAAATCGGAAAGAAAAAACATGAGGTGATCAAAACCATCCTTAAACTCGAAACCTAGTGATACGCTCGCTACTGACGGGGAAAGGAGAAAGGAAGCATGCTAGCAGGAGAAAGGAAGCAGCAGCAGAAGTGATAGTAGCTCAGGTGGTCTTCCTGAAGATTATGATAATATGGTGTGGGGATCCGTTGAGGTTACACCAGCCGATGGTGATGCCTGATGAGGCTGGTTTTGCTGCTGAGCGCCAGCCTGGGAGGGCTTCTTCCGCTTCTTCTTCTCGTAGCTGATTCCCCTCGCCTTGGCCTGCATCTCCCGCACCTCCCTCAGGTAGAGTCGGACGGCTCTGGCGCCGAAGGGGTTGGCCTCCGGCTTCCCACCGTTCTCTTCGTAGGCCGCTCGGAGGCGGCCGATGAGTGCGTCAAGGCTGCCCCAGGCCTGCCGGAGTGGGCAAGGGCAAGGTGCAGGAGGGTTGGGGTGGCCGAAGAAGGGGCACATCTGGGTGTGAACCTTCGTCTTGCCGAACTGGTCCAGGTATCGAAGGAATTCCAGCACGTGCGCGCCGCTGCACCGCGAAAGAGACAGCGGCGGCCGGTGATTCCTCAGGTACTGGCCGAAGGTGTTCCAGTCTCGGCGCTTCTGCGACTCGTATCGGCTCAACGATGGCATGGAGGTGGAGGACAAGGAGGAGGAGGAGGATGAAGAAGAGGAGGAGAGCCCTCCCGCGGCACATCCGCTCACCCACACCGGAGCATTGGGGGTTGCATCCGAAGCTGGGCTGTCTGCAGTAGCATCCATTTCCTTTCCACCTTCTGAGACCTTTTGATGTGGTGATGATCAATATAGATAACGACCTCCCGTCCGATGCGGACCTTCCCCCAGAAGACCAAACTTTTGGAAAAGCTTTGATCAGGGAAGAGATTGAGGGAGAGGGCGAATGAGAGAGAACGGATAACAGGAAGAGCAAGAGGGAGATAGATAGATCGGAGGATGAGCAACCTAGTGTTCTAGGTAGATCCCGCTGGATTTCATGGTTTCCTTCTTGTGCATCATTTAGGGTTTGATGTGTCTGGCCGGAAAAGAAGGCGGGCGAGGGGGGGGCTTCTGTGGCGACACTGAGCGTAGAAGGCCGAATTGACGGCTTTTGAGAACGATGGAGAAGGGTGTTGGGTGAGTGTGACAGGTAAAAGCCTTGGAGCCAAGGGAGGAAAAACATTACTGGCGAGAATAACCCTTCCTTGGGCAATGAATGCTGCCACCTTTCCCTCACCAAGTTGCCCTAGCGAACACTCCTTTTCCATTTCCTTGTCCTTTTCCCCTTCAATAGGCATCTCATACTCATCCACATGAACCACGCCATGATCCCCTTAAAACCAAGTTTAGGCGTGCTGCTTCTTCCACCTCTATCGCCAAAGAGCTGCCTCCCCTCCCCTCCCCTCCGTGAGAGATCCTTCTCCCTCTCTACCGTTCCATTCAGGATGACGGAAGGTCATACAGGTCACCGAACACTGTTCTGGCCCGAAGTTTTCCAGATCGGTTGGAGGACAAGGATCTCTCCTTCCATGACCATTAGGTAAATATCTTCGACAGCAAGCTTCGACAGCAAGCGGAGAAGAATAGTAGAACAGGTCTTTCTAACAGTGGAGAATCCAGGTAAAACACAGTCTCCATTGCTGGCATCTTCTCTTCCTCCCTGAGCTCCCATTAATGGCGAAGACGACTACGTAATGTACGAAGAGCAAGAATCAGTCATATGACACATCAACGAATTCTAGCACTGATCGACGAGAGCTCATTGTGGCACATTCCAGCGATAGTGTTCGTAATTCTCAGCAAATATACCCTCTCTTTTAGAAGAACATGAACAGCTAGATGCATGATAATTAGGGGTCCCAAACGGCCCAACCAGTCTAGCTCAGAATCACAAATGGTTTCACCCCGTCATCGTGCACCAACCCACTGTGTATAGTGCTCCTGTGTGCGTATGCTCAATAGTTTTTTGAGTATTACCTAGCTATTCGAGATGTTGCCTTCATCATGTTGATGTACTCACAGCAACATAGGGTGATTATAAGATGAATAATTAGCAAGGAAAATGAACATCAAGATTCTATCTTGCTGTTTATTATTCTTTGGGCTCAGAAGCAACTTGCTGAACCCATTGCTACCGTTGACTAGAATTCCATCAGAGTTCGATCCATCCCATCAATAATGTTATCTTGATACACTTTCTCTTAGTTAACAACTTAATCTCTATATCTCAATCAATTATTAGAAGAACTTCGAGAGATCTCAATTACATCTACTACATTTTAACAAACCAAGGGAAAAACCTGCAGAGCTCGCATCGGAATGACCGTGGGATCTTCTTAATAAAAATTCTCCGCCCCCCCCCCCCAACTTCGTGCCCCCTCCCCTAATCTCCGGCCAAAACTCGGCCCCACGGAGTTTCCATATTTGAGGGGGATTATGATAACATAGATAACGTAGTAGGGGGCATTTGATGCTCTTGCGGCAGTGGGCCCCACGGAAGAACACGTGGACGTTGAAGAATCCGATGCATATCTGGGATAGATTCCGACATACGGGCGGGGCGCGTTAAAGGACAAAGTTGTGTCGGAAGTGGCGGGAGAAAGGAGACGTTTTTATCTAGAAATCCTCAATAATATTTTCATTTGTGAAATATCTTCAGAGAGGATAGTATTGTTTTCCGATATCCTACTGTTTTGACGGTGCGCTGACCTGTCTCCATGCCAACTCACCCGAGAAAGGGTCGATGACGTGTGACTGGACTGGGGAGCATCGGTCTCCGCGGTCCGCTTTCTATTAGCCGGTTCAAAGTTCAAACTCCGGCTCCACGGCTTCAATCCGGAATGGAAGAGAGGAGAGAGAGAGAGAGAAGAATTGCCAGAGGTCACAGCAACGTGCCCGCCATGAGAAAAGAACCAATGAGAGAGAGAGAGAGAGAGAGAAGAGAGAGAGGAGAGTGAGACGGGCGTTGGGGAGATTGGCATGGAGACGAGATGCCGAATCAGCAGATGGAGCTCAGATGGAGTTTCAGGAACGTGACGCCATGAGAAAAGAACAAAAGTGAGAGAGGAGAGAGAGAAGGGGGTTGGGGCGGGGGGCTTGGCACGGAGATGAGGAACTGAATCAGAAGAGACGGAGATGCAGCAACGTGTCCATTTCTCTCTTTTCCTCTGGGATAGCGACCATTCTTTCTCATTCACAGAAGCTGCGTGGGCGAGAGAGGGAGAGAGAGACTGCGGATGGGGAGGCGGTGAGGAGGCCAAGTCACCACCCACGCATCGCAGATGCGGGATTGGAAATCTAAGGTTAGGGTCGATAGGGGACACCCATTAGCTCGGTCCTTGCCGTTCAAGGGTGACGCTTGTATTCATTATCCCTCGCCTCGTGGCGTTAGTCTTCCACTACCAAGAGGCGGCTCCCCTCTTCTTCCTTCCTCCGCCCTTCTCTTTGTCCTTTCCCCGTCCTTCTGCTTGTGAATTCTTGACATTCTCCTCTCCGCTCTCTCTCTCTCTCTCTCTCTCTCTCTCTCTCTCTCTCTCTTGCTGTCTCTTGTGTTATATAGGGAGGAGCCGGTCTGGAGATCGTTGCAGAAGAGAGAGCAGGCGCGGCGAGGAAGACCGCGGGGGAGATCAGAACTTCGAAGGTGAGGCTCCTGTTCCTTCTCTCTTATTTGATAGAGAATAATGGCCTCCATGAAGCCGGATGCCCCCCCTGAGTTGAGATTTTGGATGCTGCATTTGACCAGGAAGGGGAGATCTCGAGCAGCCGATCCGTCGGAGAGTCGGATAATCTTGGAGGGGAGGGGAGGAAAGAGGGGAGGAGGGATGGTGAGGAGGACGGTGGACCTCAGGTCTGACACGGTGACGAAGCCCAGCGAGGCGATGAGGGGGGCCATGGCCGGTGCAGAGGTTGACGACGACGTCCTAGGTTCCGACCCCACAGCGCGGCGGCTAGAGGAGGAGATGGCGAGGATGACGGGAAAGGAGGCCGCTCTCTTCGTCCCCTCCGGCACCATGGGAAACCTCATCTCGGTGCTCGTCCACTGCGAGGTTCGGGGGAGCGAGGCCATCCTCGGGGACAACTCCCACATACACGTCTACGAGAACGGGGGAATCTCCACCATCGGCGGCGTGCATGCGAAGACGGTGAAGAACAACCCCGATGGAACGATGGACCTGGCCCTGATTAGGGCCGCCATTAGGCACCCGGATGAGGAGCTCTACTACCCGACAACCAGGCTCATCTGCTTGGAGAACACGCATGCCAAGTGAGCACCACTTCGTCCCCTCCTGGTTTATTCTCTCCAGGCGCCTTCCGCTCTTCAGTGCTCCTGTTGCAACAGCTGAAGTCGAGCTCATTCGGCCGCTGTTTTCTCCATCTCCTTCGGATTTCGATCCTTTTTCCTGCATCGTTCCCTAGCCTTCCTCCATCGATTTCGTCCTCTTCGGTTTTCCGAGCTCCCCGTGAAGGCTGTCTGGCCGCCGGCTTCTGAGAGACCCAGCTCGGCCGCGGATTTCAACACCCTAGACCTCGCCCATCTCTCTCTCTCTCGCTCTCTATCTCTCTCTTCATATATAATATATATAAGGACAGATATATAAGACAGGAAATATTTCAGCCTTCCCCAGGTTTTTAAATGTCGAATTCCTATCGCAGACTCTTACCCAGATAGTCTTAGATAGATATATATATATATATATATATAATAATATATATATATATATATATATAGAAAGAGAGAGAGAGAGAGCGAGAGCGAGAGAGAGAGAGAGAGATTTACGAGGTGAGCTCCAAGACGTTGTCTGCATCGCATTTTTTATTTTTCTCTGCTTCGATGGGATGAAGAAAATGTCCGCCCGCTTATCGATGAAACAATGCTTGGAGCATTCCACCGAGCGTTTCATTCAACCCAGAGGACATGAATGTGATGTGGCCCTCCCCTGGTTTCGTCTTCTTCTTATCCCCTTGGAATCTGAAATGTAGGGGTTCTTCTTCCTCGTCGTTCTCTCAGAAATCTTCTTACTCGGCTTACCGGCATGTTGCGAACGGTTCCTATATTAAGAAAGTGCTCTGGTGCTCCGCTCTCCTCCTTGTCCTGGTTCTTGACGCCATTGCAGCTCGGGAGGGAGATGTCTCAGCGCAGAGTACACAGACAAGGTGGGGGCAATCGCCAAGGAGCATGGTCTGAAGTTCCATATCGACGGCGCCCGCATCTTCAACGCTTCTGCAGTAAGTCTCCCATTGCCGGCAGTATACTCCACTCTCTCTCTCCCGCTCTCTCTCTCTCATCTAAAGTCATCTGTGGCGGCGAGTGCTTCTTTCCGATTTCAAGCCTTGATCTTATAAAATGGTTGCCGTATCAAACTGCAGGCGCTGGGAGTCCCCGTCCACAGGCTCGTCCAAGCTGCTGATTCTGTCTCTGTATGCTCTCCTGATCACTGTGCTTCGCCCAAAGTCTCTGCCGAGAACCACCGTTGACTTTCGATATCATGTTAAAGTCAATTCATTCTATTTAAAGTGAATGAAAGATTCCTCTTCATGAATCCCGATATATTCTTGATGAATTACCCGATGCCCAGATTTTGACCAAAAGGTGGCTGGTTCTTGCTGTTCGAACCAGGTCTGCTTGTCCAAAGGCCTGGGCGCCCCAGTTGGGTCAGTCATCGCCGGCTCCAAAAGCTTCATCTCCAAGGTAAATCAATAAATAAGTCATGGTATCTTGGAAAGGAAAATTATTTCTATAAGTGGGAATTTATATGCCGCGTTGACCACAGGCCAGAAGGCTCAGGAAGACCCTGGGCGGGGGAATGAGGCAGGTGGGGGTCCTCTGCGCTGCGGCTCTTGTGGGGCTCAGAGACCACGCCGGCAGGCTCGAAGATGACCACAGAAGAGCCAAGCTATTCGCAGGTTTTATCTTGATCACATCCGACGGCTGGCGACTAATCGAGGATTTCTGATCGTTTGCTGTCATCTCCGAATCTCTCTCTCAACAGAGGGCCTGAGTCAGGTCAAAGGGTTGAAGATCGACGTGGCCTCGGTGGAGACGAACATGGTGGGGGAACCTACCACCCATGGCGCCGACGTGTTTCTCAATTACTACGTTTTTTTTAAAATAAAAAAAGAAAAGAGATGAAGAAATCTCATTCCATATATTCTTCTTGCAGATATTTTTCGATATTATGGAGGGCTTGCAAATGTCGCCTGAAAACCTGTGCGAGGTCCTGGAAGAACATGGGGTTCTTGCTATGCCTGCAAGCGCGACCAGGTGCGCTCGCTCTCGGATCTTTCTTTCAGATTTTTCTCTCAAATTCTCTGGGAAAGCGACACTCTTACCGTGGTGTAGATCATCGCCTTAGCAGTATTTCTATAATGATCCATATTAGAGGATCGATTTTCCATGGATAGTCCCGGCGGAGTCAACGGGCCTCGAAACCAGGCTATAAAAGGAAAAAAGAGACGGGCCCGTTGACTCATTTTACTGAAAATAGTAGTTGAACTCTGACAAGTTCTTATCCGTTCAGTGTCCGGCTTGTTCTTCATCACCAAATATCCGAGAGCGATGTGCACTATTCATTGGCGAGCATCAAGGTGACCAGATGACTAAAAGCTTAGCTTTCCTCAAACACAGCCATGGTTGACCTTCCCTCACCCTCTTGTTCTCCCACGTGGGCGCAGAAAGTAATCAACCAGCTGCCCGGGGGCGCCGACGAATGAGAGCTTTCCTGCTGACGGCCGGAGATCCATAGCCAAGGCTTCCCAATCTACCTTTCACTGTGAAATTGTCCATCCGCGTTTACTTTTAGCTAGCAATGCTACGTTTGCGGACTACATCAAGACACTGAATCAAATAATATGGCCTACGAAGCCTTATGAGAAAGAAAGAGTGTGTCTGTGTATGTGTGTGTGTGTGTGTGTGTGTGTGTGTGAGAGAGAGAGAGAGAGAGAGAGAGAGAGAGAGAGAGATTGAGTGAAACTGTGAGGTCAAGGACCAGCAAATTGTGGGCATCTCCCACAGAAAGAGGATTTACTCAGAAAAAAGCTGGGTCTTTGTATCTCTTGAAGATGCCTTCGATGCCCTCACGAACCTCGGGTGGAAGCGGGCGTGGGGACGAGAGAAAGGCATCGATGTCTTCCTTGAGCTGGCCAACAGAGGTGGCGCCGATGATAGAGCTGGCCACGTGCGGGCTGTCTCGGGTAAAGCCGAGGGCTAGCTGGACGAGGGTCAACCCATGCTCCTTGGCCAGCTGAAAGTACAGGCCAGTCGTTTCCTGAAATAGAAGCATCTCGTCATGGATGGCCCCATATCCGCCATTCTTTCTCCCTAAGCTAGAAAGAAGCGTCTTATTCAAGACGGCCCCATCCTTGAGCTGGATGTCCTGACAGCAGGAGTTAGGGGTTCAGGGCTTGGAAATAAGCCCAAGGTTACAGTGTGTTTACTTTATCCTATTTTGACTTGTACCCGCTGGCTTTGACTTTTGATGAGCAGACAATCTACGGCTCATCTATTGAAAACTAGGCAGCTGTCGTCCGAAATATATTTAATAAAAATGCCTGTCAACTAGGGAGGAGGAGCATACCTTGGCCAAGGATTTGTTGTACCTCTCCATATATCCCGGAAAGAGGTTGAGTCGGCACCTCTGTGTGGCCTCATAGTTTATGTCCAGATACTTCCCGCTGAGAGTCCCCCCGGCCAGTGGGGAGTAGGCGAGCAATCCGATGTTGTAGTTCTTTGGATGGCACACTTCGACGAGATCAACTGTTGATGAATAGCAGGTGTGGGGGATTATATCCATGCGAGCAGTGGGAGGGAGGATGGCACGACGTGAACTAAGAGGTAGAGTTGAAGTCGAATCTTATGATGCCGGAGGGTTCCGTGTACCTTCAAATGGGCACCTAGCAAGCAGGTTGTAGTTGTTCTGAATGCTGACGATCTTCGGCAGCCCTTCATTCTTGGCAGCATGGACGAATTCCATCACCCCAAACGAAGTCTCGTTGGAGACACCAATGTAGCGTACCTGGAATCGAAGGCCAAGATGGGTATAGGAAGGTAAGCCATCCGATTACTAGATTTAGAAAGAACAGTTCTTTCGATGGTTCAAGTTCATGAAATCTGACCTTTCCCTCTGCAATAAGCTCCTGAAAGGCCCTGAGTTGCTCATTAAAGGGAATGCTCTCCCTCCACTTCGAAGCATTGTACGAAAATTCACCGAACAATGGCACGTAACGATCTGGCCTGAGGGAAAATTTCAACTCGATCGAGTTTATGCGAGATGAATATTCTTGATCCCGTTTCTTTCCACCGGATAAAGAACAAAAAATAAGATTGGAACAGAAGAGGGGTCACACTGATGATGAGATTGCTTCGCTCAAGGGAAGTATGAAAAAAAGACGAATCTTGCAGAATGGCATTGAAATAGACGAACTCGTGGCTCAAAGATAATGCGAGACGAATCAATCAGAGAGCATGCTTTTACTTCCTAGGCGCATATTTATGAGATCATATAGTCTGAAGGGAAGATATGAAATGGTAAGACTTGATTGAGTCTTGCCAAATAAAATGACCAGGCAAGCATACTGACCAGTGTATTTGCAATAAATCAATGTAATCCGTGTCGAGCCTCTTGAGGCTCTTCTCTACACTCTCTTTAATGTTAACAGCATCGACTCTCAACACTTTGGCATTATCACGACAGTAGGACGCTCGCTCTGAGTATCCGCAGACCTTTGTTGCCAAGATAACCTGTACGCGGCATGAACAGAAAGAAGATGGATAAAATCTAATGTGGTTTTGGAAACCGGAGGGACGATGAAAATAAAATCTAGACAAGCGTGAAATTCGAATTGCTCGTACCTTGTCACGGGGAATGGACTTCATCCACCTACCGATATAGAGATCTGTTCTTCCTTGCGTCTCTTTCTTCATTGGAATTGGGTACTGCAGATATTTGGCATGAATCATTGGCTATAATATCTGGGAGAACTACTCACTGTCGGCATTTTGCTATCTAATGATTATGCTTCAACAGACAAGCTTCCACGAGGCAATGAGACATCAGAATTTCGACCAAAAGATTTGAACTCAAAAGAGATTATGGTCAATGGCCTTCGTGGTTGCAGATATGGTCGACACAGCTACATTTAGCTTGGAATCTCAGGAGTTTGGCACGTTGAAGGTATCATCTTATACAAGCTGAAGGGCCACGGTTGCCCACATCCTTGCCGATAAACGAAGGACAGTTGCAGGAACGAAGGGCAATGAAGCACAATCAACAGAACTTGATGACGGACGTGGAAGAAGCTCAACCCAGAGAAATTGAGCTGAGCTAGAGGTAACAAAGGCCTCGTTTCACACATTATGGGAAATAGTAACGGGGTGAAACTAGAAGCTACGGTGGACGGCTCGAACTTACAGCCTCTGAGGTGTCGATGGAGTTGATTCCATTTTCAAAAGCGTAGCTAAGCATATCGTGGGCCTCCTTCTCCGTGTTCTGCTCTCCAAATGTCATCTGAGGGACACACAAAATCGATCAACTGCAACGCACGAGAGAAAAAAAAAAGAGCGTCGAATAGTGCAGGATATGTCTACCAGAGAGGAAACGGATGGTCGAGGAGATCTTCCATTTCACAATACGGAGATATAAATCCAGAAAATCCGACGAACCAGACTTCGGTCACCGGTATATCAAAAAGAACAAGAAAAAAAAAAAACGGATGCATCACGAAAACCCGAGTTCCTCCAATTCAAGCTGCAAAATCGTACCGTTCCAAGCATGATTTCGCTAATGGTGAGGTCGGAGTCCCCGAGCTTCTTATACTGCAGCGCGCTCCCCCCCTGCTTTGCTCGCACGGTCGACGTGGCGGCGCCCACCTTCCGGCGACCGCTGCCGGCGCCGGAGCCCTTCCATGACAAACGCCGCCTCCCCACGTGGAAACTACAGTGGAGGAGGGCGGCGGAGGAAGGGGCCGCGCAGAACGAAGCCATTCCTGCCTCTCCGACCGTGTCCCGTCGAACGGGGAAGATGATAACGCGAAGCCGTTACCCCCATTACATTCATACCCTCATAATTCATCAACATTACTCAAATATCCTCATCGGCCCCCCCATTTGCTCTCCACCTGATGATACGAACGGTCAACCGTGCGATCTCTGGTGTGGGCCCCACTCTAAGTAAATGGCCCCGCACCAGAAACGCGATTTTCGGACCCGCTCGCGATCCGATATCTTTCCGTCATCTTCTTCCTCTTTCTCCACGTCCATAGAGCGCCATGCAGCAGTGGTCACGCGGCGCCCCAGCGGTGTCGAGTGGTCCTCTACGCGGCGGCACGATGGGGCGTTCGATCGCCATGGAGAACTCCGCCGGCATCTGTCACACAAACTTTCCTTCCCCTCTCTTCCCTATAAATACCTTTCCTCTCCCTCTTCCGGTAGGGGCACATCGGCGGAGCCTGGGTTTGAGTGATGGCCATGGCTGGAGAGAAGGGGAACGTCTCTCTGCTCGGAAGCTTGGTTCTCTGTCTATGGCTTCTGTGCCATGAGTCTCTGGCCCAGACATACTTGGAGCAGGCCCCTTTCCGGGGAGCGCAACGGAGGCTGGGAGACCAGAGCAAGTGCCGACTGGAGAACCTCCGGGCGCAGGATGCCCACCGCCGCGTCGAGTCCGAGGCCGGCGTGAGCGAGTACTGGAACAATGCCGACCAGCAGTTTGATTGCGCCGGCGTCGCCGCCGTCCGCCACACCATCGAGCCACGGGGGCTCCTCCTGCCGGAGTTCTCCAACTCCCCGAGTCTCGTCTACGTCGTCCAAGGCATCCCTTCCAAAACCCTAAGCCCTGAACATTCTTCTTCCTTGCATCTAAGGTAGTAATCTCTCTGCTTCATGCGCAGGCTCTGGTATTAGCGGCGTCGTCATCCCCGGCTGCCCCGAGACGTTCCACTCCTTCGAGCAGAGCCAGCGGCGAGGGAGAAGAGAGGACCCCCACGGCGAGCAGTCGTCCCGGGAACAGCACCAGAAGATCCGGCGCTTCCGACAGGGGGACATCCTCGCCTTGCCCGCAGGGGTCGCCCACTGGTGGTACAACAACGGTGAGACCCCCTTCATCGCCGTCGCCATCTTCGACGCCGCCAACGATGCCAACCAGCTCGACCGCAACCCCAGAGTAAGAATCCGAGTCATCTTCTCTGGATCTTGTTGCCGTTTGATGATCCAAATCATCGTCTCGCTTTCGCATTTGTGTGCTGTGCTATCAGAGATCGTTCCTGGCGGGACGACAGCAGAGAGAAGGGTGGCAGAGGGAACGCGGCGCGGAGGAGGAGAGCTCCGGCGGCGGCAACATCTTCGGTGGCTTCGACGACGAGATCCTGAGCGAGGCCCTCGGCGTGAGCCGCGAAGTGGTGAGGAAGCTCAAGAGCGAAAACGACAAGAGGGGAAGTATCATCCGAGTGGAGAGGGGGCTCCAGTTGGCTGCCCCCCGCTACGAGAGGGAAGCGGAGAGGGAGGAGCAAGAGGACAACGGCCTCGAGGAGACGCTCTGCAACTTGAGGCTGGACGAGAACATCGCCGACCCCGCCAAGTTCGACATCTACTCACGGCAAGGAGGTCACCTCACCACCCTCAACAGCCAGAAGCTCCCAGTCCTCAGGCTCCTCCGCCTGAGCGCCGAGAGGGGCCATCTCCGCCGGGTTAGCTGAAAACGAATCCCTTTCCTTCTCTTAATACGGCCCCCATAAGCTAATTCCTCTCTCGCTTTGCGTCGCAGAACGCCATTATCGCTCCACTGTGGCACATCAACGCCCACAGCGTCATCTACGCGATCCGCGGCACCGCCCGCGTGCAGATCTCCGGCGCCGGGCAGCGGCCCCTCTTCGACGGCAACCTCCGCCGCGGACAGATCCTGGTAGTGCCGCAGGGGCACGCCGTGGTGAAGCAGGCCACTGAGGATGAAGAGTTCGAGTGGGTGGCGTTCAAGACCAATGACAACGCCATGGTCAGCCCGCTCGCCGGCAAGACATCCGTCTTGCGGGGGATCCCCATCGGCGTGCTGTCCAACTCCTATCGCATCTCCGAGCAGGAGGTGAGGCGCATCAAGTTCGACCGAGACGACGAGACCTTACTCCTCCGTGCGAGGAGGGCCTCGCAGTGAGAGAGCTGCTGCCAGATAGAACTCGCCGGCGCCACCAGTGCCGCCGATCTCCGCCCCTTACCCTTGTTTCCTTTCTTCACCTTCCTCCGGGAGAAATAAAGCGCTGCGGCATGCCTGCTGCTCCCTGATCATATCGTCACGCGAAACCCCTCCTCCGCTGCACATGCATCACACTCCCAACACAAGGACTTTGACTTGGACACTAAAACGTCAACGCTCCGCCCTCCGGTCAGGGCGAATCGCGAGTCGAAAAATTATCATTCGACGTGTTATCTAGCAAAACCACACTTAATGAGCTCCACTTCCGTAGAAAAAAATTATATAAAACGATAAATCCAACAACTGATTTAAAATTTAAAAAACGTGTGGTCCGCCTTCCGTTAATCGAATTTCATCGAATTTACTTTTAAAGAATTATTTTTAATTTAGGGTAATATATATATATATAGATATACACACACATAGCGAGCGAGAGAGAGAGAGAGAGAGAGAGAGAGAGAGAGAGAGAGGCCCAGCTGTCTCATTCCTCATAGAACAAATATCCTCCAAAAATGGAATAAAAACCAACCCTTCACACGGCACTTACTTCGGACCTGGTGGTCAGGTTGTCCATGTACACAAATTCATGCTTTATAACCATCTCACTCTATGTCAAACTAGAATCCATCGTTCATCTCATGAACGGGAAGGTCACCGATCACAACACCTGAGCAACCAAAGGCCAGTTCACCCGTTTGATGAACCTTTCCACAGTACTAGATCTTATTCATACCGCGGCACTGGGAGCACATGATGAAGATGAAACCCAGAATGAGAGAGAGAGAGAGAGAGAGAGAGAGAAAAGGGGTGCACACTTGTTCTGATGGCCTCCTAACGTTGCAGGGTTACTATATATACAGGACGGTGCCTCATGGGAAGTCTCATCAAATGAAGCTAGTGGAGGAAGTCTTTCATCGGGTCCTCGTGATGCGACCTCTTCATACGGTACGCCTCCATGTCTTCGGCGGTAACCTGTGAGAAAATGAGGGAGGGAGGAGGGTGAGAGACCAGGCGATGAGAAAAATCCGGCGGTATGCTGCGAGATTTGCGTACCTCGTCGTTCCACTTCACGTTGTATTTCCGCTTCCTTTCGTCCCTTTCCTCCTTCTTTCTCTCGTCCTCCTTCAAGCACACAAAGGAGCACGGGTCAGCAACTACAGTCCACTGAGGAAAGGGAGGAGGAAGAAGAGAGAGTGAGGGCCAACCTTCTTTAGAGCTTCGGCAAGCAACTTCTTATCGAGCACCAAGTCAGCTGGGACATCAGTTCCCCAAGTAGCAAGCTGCTTCTCCTCTCTAGCAACGGGTTCATCTGCATTGAAGTGATGAACGTTGGAATCTCTACGGCGTTGGAAGATGATGGGGGGAGAGAGCAGAAAATCGAAAGCAATGTTGAAGGCTTGCAAGATCAAACGTGCAGAAGCTGATGATCTATGATCTCTCCACTTACCATCAGCTGCCTCTTTCCGTGCCATGTTGGCCCTCATCAGATCCGCAGCAGCTTCAGCAGCCTCAATACCAGCTGAGCCAGTGCAATAGCTATTGCGAATTGTTTGTTTGCAGCACTTGTAACCCCACTGGTGATCCTTCCACCAGGAACCCCAAATGCTAGTGTGATTATTTATGAACACGTCTTCCTCGTATTTGCTCTTGGGAAGTGCCGCCTCCTGAAAAATGTCAAGAATCAGGTGATGTTTTTGTGGAGTTACTAAACTTAAGGGGATATCCAAAATTCGAGGGGCCATGCGTCACCCGTTAAATAATAGAAAAATAAGTAAAGAACACTCTACCTGTCCCTTTATTATTCTACCAGCACGATCGTATTCAACCTCTCTCTCACTTTGGCCAAGGAGAAGCTCCCTGGGAAGTGGCTCTTCAGAGGCAGCATTCCCGTACTTCTCCATGATGCTCTCCTTTGTTTGAGACTTCAACTTCTCCTTTACCACTTTATAATTTTTGAATAGAAGTTCAGCTTGTGAGGGAGCAGCCTGCATGTGAATATCCTGTCCTTTCTCAAAAGCTTCCCAGGCATGTATGTTGAGCTGTTTAAAGTCCAATGCTTGTCCGCTAGTTCTGTGTTGATTATCACCCTAGAGAACATCAAAAGCCTAGATAAGCAACTAAAAGATTATCAAGCATGATGCCACATGAAATAGAGTCATCGCAATATCAGAAAGCCTTCTCATTTTATCTTGTTTAAATTACAGAAGGTCGTGTCAATTGCTTACCACGTAGAATTTCTCATTCGGATCCGTATCTGGGAGAGGATCTTCTCTCATTGAACGAGTTTTAGGGTCATAGTATGCAGAGTTGACGTCCAAATTCAGAAGATACTTCGCTGTGTCTTCTCGAATACGCAAATTCCTGCAAAAAATATCCAGTTAAGAATAAGCACATGAAGGTAAATCAGCCACAATCCCAAGGTACAACATGATTCTAAGTGCACGCAGGTACAGAGTACCAATATCCAAAGACTAGTGAGCCGAAGAACATAAAAAAAACAAAGAATCCAATAGACTACCTGACAGTTCCGGTGCTCCCACCGCCTGTAGTGCGTACACGCTTCTCAACCTTGGCAAAATCCATCTGTTTGCTCTCATCAACCTTCGCTTCGTCCACCCTGAGATCATCGTCGTCCTCGTCTTCGTCTTCATCACCTTCACTACCCTCATTCTTATCATCTTTGTTGATGTTCTTTGACTCTAGTTTTTTCAACTGTTCCTCCTTAAGAAACTTTCTCCTAGCTTCATCTCTTGCTTCATATCTCTCTATTACATGAGCATAACCAGATGGATCATAACCATTCCAACGATCACGCTTCCCATCATAGTCAAGCTCAAAAGTTTCAATCTTTTCGTCAGGAGCAATGTGCTTATTTGTCCATTTAGCTCCTGTCTTTCGTGGCCTCTCCATGCACGATTTTAAGTCATGTGTCATTGCCCCACAACTGTAATAACGTACGAATAAAACTAGTCACAATCAAACATAACTCCCCCAGGAAAGCTTAGCAGAGATAAGTCATCTAACATGCTTTTTTAGCGCAAGTACTGGACGTACTAGAAATACTAGCGTTCAGCACATAAGGGAGAGAAAAAATAAACTGATTACCCTTATTTCAATAAATAAAAAAAATTCAGGTGTACCGCTGTGAAATGAGGGAAGAAAGAGCTGATGATGTTCATTATAGGCCGTCTAGGTTCAAAATGAATTCTTAAGCTAAAATTGGGAAAGTGAGGAAAAAAATATCATCTAAAATACGAGCAGCAACTTACTTTTCGCAAGCACCCTTTCTGTATCGATCAGCCTGAAAAATTTTTGCACCTCTGTCATACCACGATTTCGTGTAATTTGGATCTGATTTCCATTTTCTTTGATGTTTTAAACTCTGGAAACATTAAGAGGAAAATCGATCGTCAGTAAATAAATAATGACGGCACCATGTGAGAAGAAAATCTTCAAACGCTTTAGGTGAAACTCACTGGTCTCTCAGCATTAAGGTACCAAGGGGCCGATGACATATACTGCGGGATATGAGGGTTAATCTCTTTTCCATCTTCATCAACCTCAGCTGGAGCAAGCCCAGCCTTACGAGCCTCCTCAAGTTCCAATTGTTTCCGATGGTCCTCTCGTGATTTAAATGCAACTGAAAGCAAATAAAAACGAAAGTTAGGAGGGACGATCCTGAAAGAAATAGGTGAGAAAACCTAGAGAAAGGGAAACATCACAAAGTCACAAGTTGAAGGCATTCTCTGGCCTATGGAACATATCCTCAACAGAGAGGATTATCAAATCATCACCCCCAGTCGCATTGGAAAAAAATCAGAACCCTTAAGCAGCTGTCGCAGCCGCATGGGGGGTGAAAAGGTGGAACCAGATCGGAAACACGGGGATTCCCCAAGAACCCTGGGCAACCATCCACCGTACGTTTAATCCAAGAGAGATAAATATGAAAATCAGCGACAATTATTGGATAACATTAACGAAGTGGCGATGGCAAAGTTGAGTTTCATTCCGCCAAAAACTGACAGAAACGTCGAAAAAAGAATCTCAAGTTTCGCACCTGAAGCTGTCGCCATCGTGCAGGCCGACGAGGAAGCAGAAGGAGAGGAAAGAAACCCGAGGCCGGAGGGGGAGCAAAGAAACCCTAAGTTGCCGTTGCCGGTGAGGACGAGAGAAGGATCAGGTGACGACCGAACGGAAGACAACGGGGGAAAGGGGGAAATTGGTGGATCGCATATATATACTTCCCACGGTCGCCGCCAGCGGTTTCCCTGGACTAATCGGTAATGGATCCGAACCAATAAACACACTTATCGGATCCATACTCGTAAGGCTCCCACCATTGAAGATCAGCCACGTGTCTGGACTAAAGTTTACAAATACTAAAACAATTAAATCACTAATTTGCATTGGTATCTGATTGTGGACCTGCTGACAGAACTCGGTCAACACTGTGGAGTGGCTGCGAAATATAAAACTTTATACAGATATTTTGAAACTCAAGAAATTACAAGGGCTCATAGTACATATTCCTCTCAAAATATTTCCATAGAAAAATAAACAGCGCCCATCTCGAGGTCTATCCTTTTAACGGAAAATGTTTACGTATCCTTTACCATTAATTATATCCCGTTAAAGAATTGAGTTGGTTGGCATTATCGCAGAGGGGGAGAGAGGGAGATACAGAGAGGCGGATCCTGAGGACACCGGCGGTTTGGAGAGCGAGCTCGAGGGATCAGGAGAGCTGCCGCTGCTGCTGACCAGGTCTGCTCCTTGACTGAATTTTCTTGTGCCTTTTTTCCTCCGTTGGTTTGCTCACCCCCCGATCGATCCGTCTCCGTGACCACGAATTTGCTCGTCTCCGGCCTGCACTCCCTCAGCCTCCAAATCGAGATATTCTGCTCATCTCGTATTAATTTTTTTAATTTTTTAAGATATAATTCCATGTCCCCCTCATTTGGCTTTCTGCGTTGATGCGGATCCTAGAAGCTAGGGTTGCTTGCTTGAGGCATCTGGCTAGGTATCTGACTGTGCATGTAGATAGACACGCCATGTGGCCTCGTGGTTTTTCCGTCTGTTTGGGAAATAATTATCTTTTCCTAGAATTTAGTTCCTTTGAAGGTTCAGTGGGGAGGTCTGTATTGCTCTCATCTGTGAACGCTTCATTCGGTTGGAACAAGTCTGCTGCTCGTTTTATTATTTACAGCCGTTACTTCCTTGGAAATTTGGAATAGTTACGCTTGCTTCAAATGCGTGCTCGTCGTCTTCGAATGTGCAGCTCCCCTTTTGGGTGATCTCTTCTTTCAACAAACTAATTTCAGTATGAGGATAGATCATAAGCTGGTGGCTTTTCATTATGATTTCACGCCGCAATGCGTTATAATCCACTGCAACTGATTCTTTGACAAATGTGAAACCATTCATTCTTTCATTTCTATGTCAGATGTCTCTTGATCTTCCATGATGACACGAAGTCGATTATGCATTCTGAGAAATAAAATGTTTCAGAATGAGTCTGGTACCGTGGCAAACTGGAAAATTGTCGTCGAAATGCTTTTCAGTATTTTCGTGCCGTTTCTTTTATCATTCTTTTTCTTTTTATTGTTGGGAATAATCAAATGGCTGATAATACTGTAGCAGTCAGCACCGAGTAACACCAGCATGAGTTTCTACATTTATCATTGGCATGTTTTCTTGTGCCATTTCAAAATTTGTTGGAGACTGTTGATGCGTTTTCTAATATCTGTATCTAACGTTGCCACGTCCAACGGTAATTTTTTTCTACATATTTCATAGTTTTTTCTTCAATTCAGTTTATTTATGTAGAAAACTAGTGATAGTTCCTAACGAGATATCTGCAGAATTTTAGATGTTGAGCTAATTGAAATTCTGGATAGGAAAATGAATTTTACTTACGGATAATGCATGGCATCAAAAGAGGAAATATACTAAGATAACATTTCAATGTACTAAGATAGGGTATACGATGGAAAAAAGAGGAATATTATCACTGAGTAACATTATGTCAAGAAGCAATAAAGGGATATCAAGAAGCAATAACATTATGTCAAAAAAGAAGCATCGTTTTAAGAGAGAGTTTATGCAGTTGTTTGATGACCGAGGTAATCAGATGGTGAAGAAAGAGAATACTTGCTGTGGCCACATGCCTTGGCAATACTGGTGAGGCAGGTGAAATGAAGATTTAAAATTTAAGTTAAGAAAAAAAATTAAAAGGTACAAGAAGGGAGAAAAATATTTATGTTGTTTGGGTTAATCCAACAGTTTGATGAAAAATCTCCAAGCGTTTCTCAGGAAGTTCATTAGTGTAAGTTCTATTGGTTTCAGTCTTTTCTCTCCGTTTCATGTGATGATGAAGAACCTTGTCACTTGTAAACCCTGCGTATCCCTAATTCCCCCACGTAGGCTCCCATACTAATGAATTCTAGAATTAATTAAGGCAAAGTCTTGGATGAACTAAAATTGCGAGTCATCAACAAGAGTTACAGCAAGTTAATATGAAAGAAGATTAAGAGCATAAAATAACGTGGATATGAACTTCACAAAATAGTTCAAAGTTATTCTTTTCGAAAGGATGCTGAATTTTCTGGAACGATTTGATCCAGGGATAATAAGCTTTCTTCTGGATTTACTCTCTATTTTGGAAACTGGTGGGATATGTTTCTATGGTAATGTTATGATCTGTTTGTATGAAAAGGAATGACGGAATATTTCAATAACCACAAGGTGTCATTAACTGGAACTAATGTGACGACGATTGAAGGTCATGAACAATCTATGATGAATTGGATTAAGAGGAGAACGAATCTTTTATGTTAATGTGTTATTCTTGTATTCTGTTGTCTTCTTGAAGTTTAGAAGAATCTTTATCAGGGGAATTTATTAATTTTCCTGTATTGGTCATGAGTTTTAATCCATCCACTTGGTAAATAACAGTGCTATCCATTTACTTTTGAAAAAGTCTTTAGGGCAATTGACCCACGGGGTCTTGCTATACTTTCTTCTTTTGTTCAACTGTTTTTTCTTTCATTTCTCTTTTTTACAAATTCACTAGTGCTAAGACAGTGACAACTCGCTCTTTTTTGTTTCCCCTATTTCGAACTTTGTATTCGTGTCGCGGTTCACTATTTTGTTAGAGGTTGATTAGCAGGTTATCCGGGAAAACAAGCCCTCTGAATGACCCGAGCCCAATGGATGTAAAAAATATTCCAAATTAGCCTATTAGATCTTATCTCATGGCATATATTCTTCCGAGTCTTACCTCATACATGAAACCCAATGGCCTAGCCATGGATCCTCCTAATGCTGTGTAAGTGTGATCCTTCTTTGTAACTTCATCTCAAAACTAGTTATCATGTGAAGAAGGTCAATGCAATGAGACCCCAAAATTTGTAATTTATCTCTCGATGTAGGATTTTAATTACATCACACCTTATGTGCTAGCCACTTTTGGGTCTCATCACACGGACAAGAAATAATGGAATCAGAAACGAGGTGTGCAGCTTGTGAACAAAAATCAGGTCATCCATTTCTTTACGAATTGGCTGTAAGTGGATTCGATATGATCAGATTCTGAAAAAACTTTTGACCAATACTGTCAATAATAAAACACAATTCAAATATGTATCTAGTGCTAAAATAGCCAGAAACTCAAGGAAAAGTAAAAATTGAGCAAAAAAGCACTTTCTCTGGGCTGTTTCTATGTAGCATGTAGATTTGTAAATTTTCACAATAGTAGCCATAACTGAACTGTATACTATAAGCTCTACTGCTATACAGACACGGTCATTCGCCTCCTTGAATTACTTTTCGAAGATTACTCTGTTCCTTTCCAAATTAATCGGTAAATTGTGGGAAGCAGAACTAACAATTCTTATGCTTCTGATTCGTGATCAGACTTGCGCTTCATCAATCTGTGAACCCCTAAAAGCTCTACCACTTCAGTTTTTACCATCTCCTTAATATCTTCCTGGGAAGTTGTAACAGGAAGATATCAAATCTGTACACTAAAAAGTAGATACCCCTGTTATTTTCTATAGAACACCTGTTGTTCCGTAAGATCCGGACATAGGGCTACTTTATTTGTTTGCCATATCTTCACAAGGTGTTTATTGGATTATGACTGCCAGTTGATCTTGTAACTAGGAAGCAGCACAGGAAGATATTAGCAAGATGCCAACAATTGAAGGGGCACAGCTATCAGGGGTTCACAGATTGATGAAGAGCAAGGCTGAGAACAATTCAGCAGGAGAAGAAGGTGAGCTATCAAATATGTACACTATAAAGTAGAGAACCTCGTTATGACTTCTACACAATACCGATTGTACTTTTGTCTTCTCCTAACCTGACCATGGGAGTAGGGATGATTACCGACACATCTTTCCACTCCGCTAATATTCCTGTTTTGGCGATTCAGTTTGTATCGAATCGCCTTGATTTGCAGTGGAAATATCTTGTTCGATTATTTGATGACACTCCTTGCCTATGATGCTGAATAAATATTTTATTGTCATAAAATCTATGCTCCTCTTTGGCTGTTCTGCTCGTGCTGTGGACCTTTTTTATGCGATGTAATGAAATTTTCGGCAAGATTTCATTACTTTGAGAGCATATATTTGTTATATATTTTTATTTACCGCTCAAAGTCTTCTTTATCTGCCAAGCTTTATCCAGGAATTTACCCTGTCTGTGGTTATCTTCTCACCTAGAGCCCATGGTATTTGAAAAACTTGTCATAGTCCTGAAAATGCTAATTGCTACGTTGGAGAACTGCGTGGGTATTATTTTTTTCTGGCCGATATCTACGAGTTAAAGAATCGTACTCAGAAAGACATGTCTCCCATTACTTGTATTTCTTGTTATCGAGAATGGTCATGAGATTTTACTGTTTCGGTTGATCTTTGTTCAAAAAATTAGAAGACCGCTCATTCTTCATCCATGGAAAAACCATTCTCCTGCCAGTTCCCTGTTTGAATGGCACGGCTCAAAATGATGTTGCACTAAATTTAACTATTTCAGAAGTTTCATTCGTCGTAATCAGAGGATTTACTTATAAACATATTTGTTCTTGTGATTGGTGATTCTTGATTAGCTGCTCCTGGGGTATTCATTTTTGTTTGTTGTATTCCCCAAATTGTCCACAGAAAACTGAGGTTTAAAGCTGGTAGGATCTCAACGGTGACGCTCTTCAAAATCTCCTGGGAAGATGCTGGCACAAAAACCTCATGAGTTTGCCTGCTGACTCAGAAAAACGAAACTCTCTGGTTGCATTCCTGTAAGCAGTTTCTTTTCTCCATTGTTTTTTTCTCAGAAAAATAAATTTAGACAAATATAGCTAATCTGAAAATAAGAAAATAGAAGATAAAAACCAAGCAAGAAAGGCTAATGCTCACAATGATCTGATGCAGGTTTCGATCTCTTTTGATCTAATCCAATTAGAAAAAATGGATTTGAGTGCATTGAATGATGCATTTGACAGAGTTTCCAAGAAGCAAAAGTTGTATTCATCGAAAACCCAAGAAGTAATCGATCGGCTTGGAGCAGAGATTGAGCTGACACTATTGAAACTGCAGACAGCGGAGGACAATTCCACCTCTTGTGTCGATCAAGAGAGTGCTCTCTCGCAGCTGCACAATGGATTAAGTGAGATGGGCCCACTGGCTCAGCTCGAAGGGTCTCAGAAGGAGTTGACTTCTGCTCTGAACAAATATGTCAAGACCATTGACAAGTACTTGAACCCCGAGATATCGAAAGCATACCGAAGCGTGGACTTTGACTACCACACCATCAACGAGATTATATCGTGCCATTTCTACAGACACGGCCTCTTTGAGCTCGGAGACTGTATCACAGCGGAAGCCCAAGAACCCTCCGACTCCGCTGCCCTGAAGGCCCCTTTCCTCGAGATGTACACCATCCTGGAGGCGATGAGATCCAGGAATCTGGAGCCCGCCCTAAGCTGGGTCTCCGCTCAACGGGACCGTCTTCTGCTGCACAACGAATCCAACCTCGAGTTGAAGCTTCACAGCCTTCAGTTCGTGGAGATGCTGAAGAACGGGGACAGAATCGGGGCGCTGAGATATGCCCGGAGCCACCTCTCCCCTTTCGCCTCGCTGCACATGGCGGAGGTCCAGAAGCTGATGGCGTGCCTCCTGTGGGCGGACCGGCTGGACCAGTCCCCCTACGCGGAGTTCCTCTCTCCGACCCTCTGGGATAGCACCGCCGAGGAGCTCACGCGGCAGTTCTGCAGGCTCCTGGGGCAGTCCTGCGAGAGCCCGCTGGCCGTCGCCGTGGCCGCCGGCGTGCAGGCCCTGCCGACACTGCTGAAGCTCGCCGGTGTGATGGCCAGCAAGAAGCAGGAGTGGCAGGCCATGAAGCAGCTGCCAGTGGCCGTCGATCTGGGCAAGGAGTTCCAGTTCCACTCCATCTTCGTGTGCCCCGTCTCAAGAGAGCCGGCCAGCGAGGAGAACCCGCCGATGCTGATGCCGTGTGGGCACGCGCTCTGCAAGCAGTCCGTGGTGAAGTTGTCCAAGGGGAGCTCCCGGGCCTTCAAGTGCCCCTACTGCCCGTCGGAGGCCACGGTGGCGCAGTGCCGGCAGCTGCACCTCTGACGCCGTGGGGGCCGCCGTGGATGGCAGCGCCGCCGGTCGGAGAGACTATCGGTTCCCCGTGTTGTGGTCATACTAGATGTTGGAGGGTGGTGCTTACTGGGTCACTCCGAACAGCTCATGTTTGCGTTAATCTGTGTTTGTGGATCGGTTGCTTGTTGTATATACACATTCTTTCCTCCGAATATATGTCAAATCTAGCATCCACCTGCATCTGCTGCATATGGCATATATCTATAACCATAGTTACGTGAAGTTAATGTATAAATAGTTTGAGTTTATATTTTTTAAATAAATAAAAAATTATGAAGAGCCTAGGAGACCAGTCATCTCGAAGCGACCACCCTCACCTCTTCCTCAACACCACCCTTTCATCTGATCTCTTCATCTCCTTCCTCTGCTATCTTCCAATTATCAAATCACTATGTTGAGCCATTGTGGCGCCTATTTCCCTCACCCTCTTTCTCTCTTCGTTAATCTCCCTCTCACAGGCAAAGCCACAGACGGAGGGGGTCCTATCGTCTTGGTATCAGAGGTAGAATGAGAGAGGATGTGGTTGGCTGCCTTGGTAGAACGAGAAGCGGCAACGACTCAACAACTTGACTATCTTATTCAAGCCTTAGAAGAGCTCCGCAAACATATCATCCCGCCGTCACGAGCTCGTACCGAAAGAGGTCGAGGACCGCTACACGTTGTATCCCACCACCGCAGTAGGTCGTCTCAAGGGCATCAGGACAAACCGACCAAGCGTCAGTGGGCACTTCCTCACAATGAAGAATGCCCTCATAGAGGACTATCCAAGGGCGTAAAAATGTTTGTTGAAACATGGAACAAGCACCGCAAGTTCGAAATGTCCATTTTCACTGAGGAAAACCTAAACGGGTGGATATTCCGCACTGAATTATTCTTTTCTACACACAAGATGAATGATACATAAAAATTGGTGATAGTTGGGGCTAACCTTGAAGGGAAGGCATTATCATGGTTCAAAATGGATGATTGAGCACAAGTTTTCAATGACTAGAAAGGATGTTAGCCATAAAATTGTTTAATGGTTCAGCAATAATCAGTCAGGCTCAATCTACCGACGGTGTTTAGAGATTTAACACAAGGGAACCATGGACGAATACTGAGAAGACAGTTCGAGCTTATGGTCGTCATTCTCGAAGATTTTTCTTGAAGTTATCCTTGAGAACACGCTTCTTAACGGACTAAAGAAGGAAAATAGGGCAGGATTCATGCTTCTTGAGCCTGAGGGGATGAGCGAAATCATGCATATGGCCCACAAAGTTCAGGCAAGAAATATTATCTTCCACCCATCAAACAGCAAGCTCCGAAGTCATAACCCCTGGATCCGTAATCACAAGAATACACTCTCCAGCAGCAACGGAGCTCTATACCACACTCTTAATGTCTCACAACCCCCCGTGGTCCAAGGGACGCAAATGGAACGGCAAATGGAGAAGTACAACCCTCAAATAAATACAAATACATGACACTTACCTCAGAGGAAGTCCAAGCACTTCAATCCCAAGGGCTTTACTTTTCATGTAATGAGAAATACGAGCCGAGGAATCGCTGCCAACGAGAGCTGCATATTTTGATTATGGACGGAGACATAAAGGATACTCTTTAACCCTAGAGACTTTCTCTACCCAATGAAGAACTAGCTAAAGATTTGACTACTATGGAATGATCAGCTTACTCAAGGGTAACGAATACGACCCCAAGCACCATAAAATTATGGGGAAACATCCAAAGCCGAGTACTTACCATGCTGATAAGCACGAAACCAACTCGTAATTTTATTTTGAAACCAACTAATGTAGATTTGGGCCTCTTGATAGCAACAACAATCCCACATTGGCAAACGCTGATGTAGAAAGCAAAAGACTGCATTCTCACTCTAATTCTTCTGAGAGACCCCTAAGGGAACAATTTTCTAGATTATTTAAAGAAATCACGCAACTTCTTTCATGCCACGAGATCAACCACAACATAACATTAGAATCAATGGCCAAATTAGTCAACATATGACCCTTTAGGTACCCCATGCCAAAAAAAAGGAGATTGAAAAACTCATTTGTCAAATGTGCTCCACATAATTCATTCAAGATTCAAATAACCTTTCTACACATTTGACACTAAATAGTGCACATTGAATTGTGTCATGACAGTTCTACATAAAATCGTGCACATTAAATTGAGTCATGATTCTAAATATTATTCTTATCCTTATCGTTGAGGAGCTTATAAATGAGCTACATGGTGCAATTATCTTCTCCAAGGTCAATCTTAAGTATGGATATCGCCATATTAAGATCAAGGAAAACGATATATCAAAGATGACATTTTAAACTCTTGACAAACACCACAATTTTTTGGTGTTGCTCTTTGAGCTCTCTAATGCTCCAGTGATATTTTAGGCTCTAATGACTAAAATTTTCAAAGAATTCCTTCAAAAAATTGTATTAGTCTTCATTGACAACATTATGATATTTAGTAAGACTAAGGAGCTCAACAGCCAACATCTTCATCAAGTTTTCACTCTACTTTAAAGAAATCAATTACATGCTAATGTAAATGTGAGTGGGCCATATGGGTTGTATGGGCTTATTATAGTCTCTCTCTCCCTAGATATACATAGGGTAGAGGACTCTCCCTCCTCATTCTCTCTTTATATTTCATGTTTCACAAGGTACCAGAGGTAGGGCACATCGCCGACCTCCTCTCTCATCCTACGCCCCACCCTCCCCCCCTCTCATCCTAAGGCATGTCATGAGTAGTCAAGATCATTATACATCCCTTGACATTCTCCACCAAACATCTTGTCCTCACACTTCTCAATAGAATGAAATAGTTGAGAGTAAACATCACCTTCTCAATATGACCCGAACATTAGTAGAAACAAGAGTCCTTCACTACCTATGATCTAACACTATTCTCATGATTATTTATATACTCAATCGACTTCCCCCTTAACCTTTGGAGAGAGAAGTTCCACGTCTTCGTCTTTATTCTCATATGGATCACTTTTCTCTCTCACCACAAGTGTTTAGGTGTGTTGTTTTTGTCCAAGATTATTCTCCTAATCTTTCCATATCTCTCATCGAGGTCTTAAGAGGGTCTTTGTTAGTTACTCTTGCACTCTAAAAGTTTATCACATATACTTTCTAGATTGTCGGTGGTACATTCTCTATCGATGACACTTAATTCTTCTCTACTACTTTTATCATTCCTACATCTTCTTTACCTCCACTATTACTTCATTTACCACTACCCTCTTTAGATGAGTTACCAAACTCACCACCTATTGTATCACCAGACTCAAACTCATTATCTTTTCCTACTTCAACCTCAACTTCATCCTCAAGTCAGCCGCCATCACCTAATTCCGACCTTCCTAACAATCGCTCTTTGAAAAGGTTTAAAGAGTTATAACTATCACCTTATTTCTCATTTTATTTTTTATGATTACTTTCACCTTACCTTTTGCACATTCATCCTAATGTTTACCTCTAAGTCAATACTCAAGATGTATTTAAAAGCTTTGCATATACCTGAGTAAAAGGTGGTTATAGACTTAAGAGTACAATACAATGATCACATGTAAAACATGCAAGTTGATTCCTCATATTAAGAATATTACATTGTCACTTATAAATAGATGTTTACATATAAATATTCTCTAGAGGAAAAAATTATTCGGCACAAAGCACGTCTAATGGCTTGAGACATATGGTGTTAATTATTAAGAAAAAAATTCTTCAATTATTCACCTCAAGTTCATTTGTGTATTGTTCTCTTTGGCTCTCAACCAAAGGTGGATGCTCACACAACTTGACATCTTTAATGTCTTCCTCTATTGAGACTTGACTCAACAAGTCTATTCGCTAGTTATATTGGACTCTCGACCCATTAAGGTTCATTATCTATCTCTCTCTCATCTCTCTTCTCTCCTATATAGGAGTCATATATTCTATCTTTTGAGATTGCATAAATTTCAGGGTTTTCTTCTCTCGTGTTAACAAAGTCTTCATAAAGCAACCTCCAAGATATGCTACTCAAGGAGGGTCATCTCACACATGACTTCTCAAACGAGTTATTTATGGACTCAAATAGAATCATCAAGGATGATTCGTCGAGTTTAGTCAGATCTTGATTATTCATGAATTCACAGTATGTATAGTGAATCTTATTTTCTTTTGAAAATAAATCACTACTTAAAGTATCATTCTAGTAGTTTATGTCAATGACATCCTTTTCACATATAGTGACATGATTGACATTACACAAATCAAGGCTCACTTACATGAACACTTTGTCATTAGAGACATGGACAAATCTCACTACTTCCTAGAGATCGAGTTCATTATCAATATGGATGAATGCTTCTATATCAACACAAGTATGTGCTGAATTTATTGAAAGATGTTGATCTCTTGGGATACAAACCTGAGTTATCACCGATTGACATAAGACTTAATTTTTAAGATACCACCTCTCATCTCCTTGAGGATGTCAATCGATATCAATGACTAATTTGTAAGTTAATCTACTTAAAAATCACTCGCCTTGACATTATTTATACTATGGGACTTCTCAGCCAATTTATGTACAAACCACGACAAACACACAAGTTATGAGTATTGAAAGTGTTAGTATATGTCAAACATGCTCCAAGATGAGGCCTGATATATCAACGACATGGACATCTCTAGGTTGAGGTTTACTCACTTGGTGTAGCAAAAAACAAAATGTGCTACCTCACTCTAATGTTAAAGTCGAATATAAGGCTATAATAAATATGACATGTGAAATGATATAAATACATTCACTACTTCAAGAGTTATTCTTTCTAGCACTTACTTCTATACATATATATTACAATAATTAAGCGGCAATTTTCATTATAAGTAAATTAATATTTTATAAGCACACAAAGCACATTAAAGTAGATTGTCACTACATCTACAACAAAGTCCTCAAATGATTCATCACAACACCACATGTTATATCATCAAAGTAACTAACAAATATCTTCACAAAGAGTCTGAGTAGGATATCCTACAATATTCTTTGTAGTAAGTTGAAAATATTGAACATCTACTCTTCAGTTTAAGGGAGAGTGTGAGTTGGCTATGAGTCTAATAGGCCTATTGTATTCTCTCTCTCTCTCTCTCTCTCTCTCTCTCCCCCCCCCCTCCCCCCTTATATATAGATAGGGTAGAGGACTCTCTCTCCTCATTCTCTCTTTACTCTTCACACTTCATAGTAAAAATATATATATTTTTGGGTAAGCTTGAATTGAATACTTAGGGTATTGAATTTCTTTTGGAAGAGTGGCGATAGATTAAGGACAAATTGATATTGTACTTTTTTGGTCATCTCTCACCAATTTAATTAAATTGTGTGGTTTATTAGGTCTTATTGGCTATTACCACTGAATTGTTGATGGTTATGAAATGATTGCCTAGATTTTAACTCAATGATTGAAGAAGGATGCAACAACCATTATGGTGGAGTATCAAACAGAAAGTGAATTTTCAATGCTTTGAGTAGGTGATTACAACAACCCTAATTTTTGGTCTTACCATATTTCTCTAAAACTTTTGAGCTGGATATCAATACTTTAGTGTCAAGAGAAGAGCAATCCTTATATAACGTCAATGATTGATTGCATTATTTAGTTGAGGGTTCTCCACTATTAAGAGGTCAAAGGTAGTCTACAAATAAGAATTTATGACAATTTTTCTGACCATTTTAAAGTGAAAACATTACCTATTGGAGAGGAGATTCATTATGAATGACCAACAAACATAAAGTTTTCATTGGAGCAACATCATGTGATTATTAAGTGTCAACGGTGATTGACCAAGATAGAAAGTTTTGATTTTGAGCTTTGTTGTAATGCAATCTTAAAAAATCAAACATCTAATGTATCATTTCAAAGAGCTAATCAAGCAACTCATGTGTCTATAGAGAAGCACTTAAACTATAATTTACGAAAGTATCTCACCTAGAACTCTTCAATTTGGGTTACATTGTGAGAAAAATTGAGTTGACTTATTCAGTAGATTATGAAGTAATTGTCTAAGAATCTCAAGAAATTCTTTAACTATTGACTTCGACATAGTTTTCTATTCTATTGAGGGTGATTGGTTCTCTCTAGAGATTCGATTGCTATACCCTTAATACTCTATGAATTTCATGATTCGACTATAAGTGAACATCTTAATTTCCTCTAAACCTATAAAAGGAAAAAACAAAATGTCTATTGAGTAAGAATGAAGAAGAGAATTCATGACTACATACAAACATTCTAGGTTTGCTAGATTAACAAAACAAAAACTTTATTGCCAATTAGGCTACTTCAATCAATCACAATTCTAAAAAAATTCTAGAAAGATATATCCGTAGATTTTTTTGTCAAAAGATTAATGTGCTCCAAATGATTCAATGTCATGATTTTAATTATAAATTGATTAAATAAGTATATATACTTCTCTCTACTTGAGCATTTATTTATTGTAGTTGATGTCATAAAAAAAATCATATAAGATGTAGTTTAAACATATTTCTTGCCTCCATTCTTAAAAACAGTGATAAAATATTTATGAGTCTATTTTGGAAGGAACTTTTCAAAATGTAAAGAACCTTCCTTCAATGCAGCAATATATGTCATCTGTAAATAGATGGGCAGATAGAGATAATGAATTGGGGGCTCAAAACCTACCTCTGGTGCTTCGAAGTGATCACCTCCAGTAATAGAGCACGTGGATCACTAGTCTCTCTATTACTGGGAAAGGACTCAAAACCACCCCTTTCCCTACTCTCATTATCTTTTTCCTTTGTTACCCTAGTCTCTCTATTCCCTCTTCGGACTGATATTTTTGTACCCCATTATCTTCCGATTATCGAATCACTATCTCATTGCCTATTTCCCCCACTCTCATTCTCGCCACGGAAGGAGGGGGGTCCTATCATATATACATTCTTTCCTCCGAACATATTGTAAATCTAGCATCCAGCAAATTTAGCAAATTTATAAACAGTTTAAGTCGATATTTTTTACATAAATAAATTATGAAGGGGGGAGAGAGAGAGAGAGATTTCAAACTTCCAGGTGGGAGAACATCTAATTCCAGACTTTGGGCTTACGATGGCTACAGCAAACCCTGAGTAAAAGCCAAAATCTTCTTTTTTTGGCATGAGTGATTCTGATGACCAGGCCTCGAACGGCCGTGGCAGGGGAGATGCGCTGCCGCACCGCCTTCCACGGCGGGCCCGCTGTGGAAGGCAGCCGACATACACTGGCTCCCCCCCAGTCTGTTTCCTGGGCTCTACGTATGCCACGGCACGCCGCAGACGAGGCCGAGAAGGGGTTTTAAAGGATATCTCCCTTTGGGACTGGATCCACCTTTCACCAAGTTATTGGCTGTTAGTGGGCTGGCTGCGCTGGAAGGAAGAACGAAGAGCCGAGGAAGATTCCTGGTGCATGGGCCAATATGCCTGAGTTAGCAAGAGTTGTCGTTATTAAAGTGAGAGCCGGATAGTGGACATGGTAGGGCCTGCGCGAGCCCAACTTGTTTGATACATTGGGTTACCTTGCGGGCGGTACATTAGAGCCACCAGAGTTAAAATTTCGTGAATTTTCTGGTTTTCCGATGTAGAAAAGACGAAACAGTGATTTCCACTAAAAAGCGTCTGTCAGCTGGATTTTGTTCCGAATGAAGTGTACTTTCCTCTGTGATGAACAGATCACACAAGAATGGAGGAAGCCCATGAATAGAAACGGGGTCTGAACTCCTCGTCTTCTCGGGTCTGCAATCTCCACGATTCTTCCTTTCATTTTTTGATTTTCCGAAAGAAAAACTGTCTTTCCCCCTATAATCCACTTGGGAAGAGAAAGAAGAAGCAGAACTTGGTTCCGCAAAAATGATGGCGCCGGTGGCGAAACCGGCCGATCAAGAAGCAAGCATTTCCGACATGTCTCCGGCGTCCCTCAAAACATTGAGCCAGAAATCAACGTCGTCTTCTTCGGGGGAAAAGGAGCTCCCCTGGAACTCCGAGGGGAAATCCATCGAGGTGACGGAGCCGTCCATCGCCAGCGCGTCCTCCCAGAAGCTCTCGTTAATCTCCAGGGGTTTCCCGCACTCCTCCTCGATGGAGACCCCGTTGGTCCCAGCGGACTCGCCAGCGGTGGTCGCCGTCAGCGACGACACCTCGCTGCACGACTGCCGCGGCGACGTGGGAGGATTGCCCGCCCGTCGCTCGGCGCCGGCGGAGGTTCGAAGAAAGAAGGACTCCAAGTCCGCCTCCGTCGACGCCTTCTTCTCCTTGGGCTGCACCCGCTTCTTCAGATGGGTGTGCCACACGTTCTTGATTTCGTTATCTGTTCGGCCTGGGAGTCTCGCTGCAATGGCAGACCATCTGCGGAGAGTGGAGATAAAATAAGCATTTTGGAGATCCACAGCGGGTCGATTGAGGCTCTCGGCTTCTTCTGAGTGGAGTGGTACACACCTGTTGCCGAGTAATTGGTGCAAAGAGATGATGGCCTCTTCTTCTTCCTCGCTGAAGTTGCCCCTCTTAATGTCCGGCCGCAGGTAGTTCATCCACCTCAGCCTGCAGCTCTTCCCGCATCTCATCAGCCCTGGATGAACAGAAAACTTTTAGGCGGCCATACAATTCAGGACTCTCTCTCTCTCTCTCTCTCTCTTTCTCTCTCTCTCTCTCTCTCTCTCTCTCGCACGGGATACGGGGATCGGTGGAGCTTACCAGCTAGCTTAGGGAGAGCGCGCCAATTCTCATGACCGTGAGTCTGAATATAGGAGACCAGTATCTGATCCTCCTCCTCCGTCCAGGGGCCCTTCTTCATGCCCATCTTGTCGCAGCAGGGAGCCCTCACCATCCTCGTCTCCAATCGTCCTCTTCCCCTCCCCCTTCCGCTCTGGCCTTGCCTCTTGTTCTTCCTTTCCTCTTTCACCGCCGGTCCGAAGTGCTGCCACCTCCCCACTATTTATCCCCCCCGCCGGCAGCTCCCAATCCCCACGTGCGAGTTATCCCCCTTTGTCCTCTTCCCCGAACCAGCACCTTCATGGAAACCAGTATATCCTCTCTCTCTCTCTCTTCTCTCTCTCTCTCTCTCTCTCTCTCTCTCTCTCTCTCTCTCTCTCTCTCTCTCTCTCTCTCTCTCTCTCTCTCTCTCTCTCTCTCTCTCTCTCTCTCTCTCCTCTCTCTCTCTCTCTCTCTCTCTCTCTCTCTCTCTCTCTCTCTCTCTCTCTCTCTCTCTCTCTCTCTCTCTCTCTCTCTCTCTCTCTCTCTCTCTCTCTCTCTCTCTCTCTCTCTCTCTCTCTCTCTCTCTCTCTCTCTCTCTCTCTCTCTCTCTCTCTCTCTCTCTCTCTCTCTCTCTCTCTCTCCCTCTCTCTCTCTCTCTCTCCCTCTCTCTCTCTCTCTCTCTCTATCTAGTGAGCGAGCAAATTGTAGGTGTAGGACGCGGTTTGGCTGTCAGATTGCGGGCGTTCCCGTGATCCCTGGTAAGATCTAGTCATCGTAGGGCCCACTCTAATGTCTCCAGGGAAAAATACGGAACGAGAAGAGCAATCAGGATGTCCCTTTCATGTTTCCATTATCATATTAAAAAGGATGGGGTCCATGGCACGTACGGTCAAAGTGTCAACGAAACAGTTTGCGTGGCGATCGAGGGGGGCTATGCGTTCATACTCGCTGACCGTGATGGTCAAGGAGGGCGTACACATCCCGAGCTAGCCTTTGAATTCGACTCTTGGGAAGATCAGCCTGTGGCATCGTGCTGCCGCCATTTATGAACAGATCTGAACTCCAAGGGCGACGCTGGGATGGAGTAAGGAGGCCCGGCGAGTTCCCGAGTTCCCCTGGATTCCCAGTCGACCCGTGAATGGTGTGGCATCCCCTCCCCCTTCTCTCTCTCTCTCTCTCTCTCCCCACAGAATTCCTACACGGGAAGGATCGAACCGCCAGACTCTTCCACGTGGATCCAAGAGTTCGTCCGATCAAAGCACAGTGCGCAGCTTTGACTGGAGTAAGGTCAACCAGTCGGCCTGACAACACGGCACTATCAAAGGAGAGCGATCATATTTTTCGACGCCGTCAATGTATGCACTCAGGAACTCGGTCAGAAGAGACCCCTGTTCTCTCGCGCCCTGTTCTCTCGCGCGGCGACTGGTTCACTGCGGTAAAATAATGAAGAAGGTTTCCTCAAAAGGAAGGGTCGAGACCGGTTCAGACCGTCTCTCCTCCCTTCTCGGCGAATAGGCGCATTCGCCGACTACTCCGCGGCCCTGCATGCGGCAAATTGCCGCCGACGCCGCTCTGTCGTTCGTTCATTCTCATCCACACCTCGCCATCGCCGTCGCCGAAGGCTTCGTACGCGTTTCTACCTCACTAGCATCTCACTGGGGAGAAACAGAGGCTTAAGATCGCACGTAAGCTCTCCCGGCGGAGATCGCACGTTTGCTACGCCCGCTCGTGATCGTCGCCGACGTCGGCGAATCTCCGGGGACCCATTATACGTTTCAACGGCGACAGTCGAGCTGCCCGTGGGAATGCTCCTCGACTTTAATCAAAAAGTCAATTACTCTTGACCGAATTCTGAAGCCACGTTTTCCTCAAGATCAAAACCAAACAGGCAAATGAGAAATGAACAGCGACTATCGGTCGTTTTTCTTGAGCTTGGATCTCAAAATGTGGCCTCTTCTGGACTCCTCTCTCTCTCTCTCTCTCTCTCTCTCTCTCTCTCTCTCTCTCTCTCTCTCTAAATCAGGCTCTCTCGTAGGCCTTGTTTTTAAACCGTAACCCAGGAAGAACGGAGCCGACCCAGGACTGGGGACCTACGACCCCGAGACCTAAGAATACTCTCGAAAATAAACAAATAAATAATCGTCGACAGGTGATAGCAAATGTATTCAATTCATCCATATGAATATGATGATATCTCACCAATTACATGTAATTAGTCAAACCTAGTAATGTTGCACCAACTTCGGCGTCGAAAGTGAGCAAATCTCATTACCTACCATCAGATGAACCGTCAAACTCAGTTCTACTCACGACACGAATACGGACAAACCCCCCGCAGCCAGTCGGAACGGTCAACCCAGAAATTTTCACTAGCCGCCGCTACCCATCCGATCGAACCCAGAGAAAATTGGATCCACGTTTCGATTTGTACTAAAGAACTCGGCGGGGGCAGGCTGTGTGGCCCTCCTCCCCTCGGACAATCCAATGGAGCGATGAGCTGGAGGTTGCTCTTCCCCGAGGTCTTTGGTCAGCACAAGCCATCTGTCGGAGGTCTCAACACCCGATTCAATAATCTTGGTATCCCAGATAATTCGTCAGCAACCCCTTCTCCAAGTTGTTCGTTCAAAGCTCCCAAGATTCGTCAAAGGTTAGGGGCCCAACAAAAAAAATCACTCCTTTATTAAACTAGTGTTAGGAGATCTAAGCAGTATCATGGATGTGATCTCGGTATCTAATGTCGGCGCTCGTTTGTCCAATTTATGACAATTCGTACTCCGATTGTGTCTGCCCTTCTGACTTTCTATGCTTTGCCTGTAATATATTTTATGCTAAAATTTATCAGGGTAGTTCAGCGAATGGGACCTCGGTAATAATATACTAGGTAAATATAGGATTTATTTCTTTATTTATTTGCGTGTTTAGTTGAGATTTGTTTGGTCCAGACCAGAGAATCAAGTGAGCCTGGGACATAGTTTTTTTTTTTTTACGAACTTAATAAAAAAATATAAAATATGTAAAATCTAAGAGAATTTTATATTATTTCAAGAAAAGCGCGTCACTACTGCTGCGGCGGCTGGCCCGCCTAGCTTTCCCTCCGCTGCTGGCGAGAAAGTCCGCGGAGGTCGTCACGTGCATTCTCCATTGGCGGCGACTACGGCGCCGGAATATCTCCTTCTGGGGGGTTGACCCCACAGGCCGACTAGACGGAATGTCTCAGCTCTACTGTTGTGATTAGCATTGGCGGTGGCAAATAAAATAATGATTTATTTCCCTCGTTACTAACTAGTTTGGATCATGGGGATCACGGGGTTATTTTTCAACCCCGTACCATATCCAACAACTTTGGGTCCGACGAAAAATAATTGAAAGATAATTTTAATAAAAACCAGTATTCGGGCCAGAACCTCCGGCCCGAAAGTCCACTGATGAGATGGGTCTGACTTTACTGACACGGGCCCAAAAGCCCAAAACCTGCACATCTCCTCAGCCTCCATTGACTTCGGGCCAGCTAGTTGGGCGGTGCCAGGCCCGGAGAATGTCTAGAGTGTCGGCCCATCACTACCAGTTGGGTCACAACGGCCCAAGTAGTATGGAAGAGAGAGAGAGAGGGAGAGGAAGAGGAAGAGAGAGATGAGATGAGGCCCGAAGAACAGCTGTGGTCAAAAGGAATGTACACGAGAGAGACTGCATCAGTCCCCAGACAGGTCAAACAGCTCCTGGATCAAGCTCATGAGAGAGAAGAGAAAGAATCAAACAATTGGAAGAGATGAAGTCGGGTGGAGGAAAGAAGATGGGCTAGAACGAGAAGCGGCATCCCCTGCCATCCAGGAACCGGTCGGTGTGCCATCCTCTTGCCCTCACCTGCGATATGAACAAAGGGAACAGGGCCTCCATCCGCTGGTGGGCCTTGGCCATGGCCGCCTCCCTCGGCCCGCCACCCGACTTCTCCATGCTGGCGGCGCAGGCAGCCACCAGCCAGCCCCTCAGGGCGTCCTCACCAGAGGCCCCATGCTCGAGGATCATGTCGGTCAACTCCCCTTCGCAGCTGATGAGGAACTTCTCCTTGGGGAACATCTCCCTGGCCTGCTTGAGTTTCGAAGGCCCCTTGAAGATCCTGTGGAGCGGCCTCCCCACCTTCACATTTCCGGCATCCTCGATAATGCGACCCGGGAAGAGGAGATCTTCACGGTATCTCAGGTCAGCGGGGCTCGATACGCTTCCGATCTGGGTTTTAGGATCAAAATGTCAAACATTGGAGGGAATCGGAGAGCACGGAAGTGAGAAGATGTGCTAGGGGTTGAAGTTAGAATTCGGCACCTTGAGGAAGTCAGCCACGATCATGGCGGTTCGCTGCGGGTTCAGCGTGTTCACTGGGGTTGCTCGCATCTCTTGGGTCACGCCGTATAAATGTACAGCAGAGAGCACAGGCCCGACGATCATCTGGAAGAATTCCGACAAAAGTGTCAGCTAGAACCAACAACATATCATGAAGCGTGGGTCAACGGTTCTAAATTGTTGCAATCACTCGGTGAGCTGTCCACTTCTCCAAGTCTGATTCCACTTTCTCTGATGCGCACAAGAGCGTGAATCAAAGGATCATAAGAGCTAAACCTTGATGAATACGTGGGGAAATAAGGTTCTGAAGTCAGCGCAAAGAGTGGGGAAAGGAACAAGGTCAACTCCAACATGATGCTATAGCTCGCGCACCTTCCCTTGAATCGATGAACAAACGGTAGAAGCTAGCTGGATGCCGAGTCCAATTCCAAGAACATTGAAGAGGGTCGATATGGCTTCCCCTTTGGCAAAAAGATCACTGAGATTGCCCTCTTTGGCGAACGAAGAGTATATGGGCAACCTCGTTGCCCTTGCGGCGACGACTGCCATCCCCTGCAGGGAGGAGAAAGAGAGGGTATCCAGAATCAGCGGGCTTTCCCAGGACCAGGCAGAAATATCTCGACATCAAGAGAAATATTGGCACCTTTGCGAAATTGCCCAAGCCAGCCACTTCGAGGAAAAGATGAGGACATAAAGGAGAAAATATTTCCAGCCCGGTGCCAAAATCATATAGTACGTCGGCTGCAAGATGATGAGCAACTTATGATGAGCTAAAAAATGATTTTCCAGGGGAGAGTAGATGATATCTAATTCCAAGGAGAGCAATCGCGGGTAAGCCCACGACAAATCTCACCAAATATCCTCCAACTTTTTGGTTCAGAATCCATTCTCGCGCCCATTTTGCTGCATATTAGCTTTCCCGCATGCTGCATCCCATCCTTCAATACCTGTGGCAGCATGAAGAAAGATTCAGAACAATTCTTGAACAGCGCAGATCATCAACTTCACGAAGGCAAGAACTGTTCTTACCCAGCTTACAGCCGTTGTCTGCGCCGGGGTTGGTCTCAATCCCGCAGCAAACAACAGCGACTGCGGAACTATAAGAATGGTGTCAATGACTCACCCAAAAACGACCCATATCTCCATCTAAACGCGATAGAGAATCGTTGTATATAAAACATAAAATGGAACGACTTCAGGATATATTTCGAAAAAAAAATGAATTTTGATTTAAATAGAGAATTATCCCCGCGCATCAAGGGAGTATCTTCCTCCACAACGCTGGCTGAGATGCAAAAAGGAAAACACCAAGACCTGAGTAGACAGCACGGATAATGTCGCACTGGAAAAATGCTGCAGTGCCCGGAACTGTGTATATGTCAGGTATCCCTCATTAACACTGCAGAATAAATAAAATGTAGATAGCTCAGTGATGTACTCTCAATTCCACCATCTTTTTCCTATTTAGCGATGAAACAGTGAGTAGGATAGGCATGTACCTATAGGGATACCCAGAGGGGAAAAATTTATTGAAGAAAGAATCGACCACTCTACGGTATACAGGCCTGAAATCATGAACCACGTTCACCTGCGTCAAATCCATTGCTTCACATTAGTAAGTATATGCAAAAGTATCAGCTGGGTTCAGCCAAGAAAATCTAGCTCTACAACTCAAAATCCGGCATGACCAATAAAGAAGAATATAATGTCCAGAAATCCTGAGCCAGGCGTTGTTTCAATGGGAATCCTCAAGCTAATGTCTTGAATGTTTCAGATACCAAAGTGCTAAATAAATGGCATAATGCATGAGATGACACTTGATACCAAAGTGTGCTAAGTAGTACATGAGTCCAGTCCAATATTATAATAATAATCGAAGTATCACTTCACAGCCACAAAGAATCCAAAAAACAAATTGTGCAAGAGCGATGAAATTACAATCACAATTGATAGTAGGATAAGCTCTAGGATGCCAAAACATGAAAATTTCAACAACAAAGGGAGATAGAGATAGATAGATAGAGAGAGAGAGAGAGAGAGAGAGAGAGAACCCGGACGATGGGGAGTTCAGATTGGAAGTTACTTCGAAGAAAAAACTCATGAGAAACTAATTCAACGGGATTTTGAACATATCGGGCTCAACTCCACGACTAAAACAAACGCGAACTGGAAAAATCGAGCCATCGGTCTTTAGATTGAAAGATGAAGGTTATACCAGGAAAATTAGAAACACAGAGGAACAAAAAAATTAGGAAACCGAAAATGGAACTGACCCCAACCGCAAACAAGAGAGCCTGTTCTCCGAACTAGAAAATACTTGGATAAGAAGAAACTAAAGACGGAACTTACCGAAAGGCGACCGAGGGCGTCGAACCTGCACTCCTGCTTGACCGAGTCGACGGTCTCAAACCAGAAATCCGGCAGCAGCGGCTCGGCCCCTCCCCTCTCCTTCTTTCTCACTCCTATCTTGCTCTGTGAAACAAAGACGCACAGAAAGCAGAGTAGAAGTCACGAAACGAGACGCGCAAACCGAATTTCGACGCAGTTTGCCCGCTCGCTGCCATTCTCACCAGTATGGTGTCCATTGAGCTGAGACCGACGAGGCGGGGAAGAGGCTGGATGCAGGTCGGACGGTGAGCGCTCGCTTTGTTTAGGTCTTACAGACCGGAACTAAATACTTCACCATTTTCTCCTCCATAAAATATATTTTGTTATTAGCCCTTGTGACTACTTACTCGCGCTTCTGATATCGACTGTTCGCATCAAACCTTCGTTATTTTCGAAGAAGTTTTATTCACTATAGTCAACAGCTTAGTTCTGTGTTAATTATGCCCCTTTATTTTTTAGATATGCCCCTTTATTTTTTAGAAACTCTCTTATGTACCCACAAATCATGCTAGCCATAGTATTCGGTCCCTCACCTCGATTAGTTCTGTGTTAATTATGAGGACCCATTTTCAAATTATTTTCTTTTTTATAAAAAATCGTTTAATATTATTATTTAAAACAAATAAATAGCATCGTTCGATATAATTTAAAATAACATGTTGGACCTTGAGATAATATTTACTTCGATTGTTTCTACATCGTACTAGGTAGAGTACTTTCTAGTTCAAGGTAAATATGTTTTTATTCACGAATTATTCTATATAAATTATATATTATTAATACAGTGGTGAATCTTTGGGCATCATATCAGGTCATTGAAACAAAGTGAAACGAAAAGTATCAAAGAATAATATCACGAGCAAAATACATATCGGATCCTAAATAATTAAGTTTGGAAAATATGATGACGAACAGCTGGCATCTAGAGAGAGATTAGTGTTTTTTGGAGAGAGAGAGAGGGGGGTGAGACGGTCTTTTTATATCCGATCATTTGTCAACCCATCAAGACTAGAGTTGACTTGGTCATATCTAATGGAAATCAATCACGAGGATAAATATTAAATACCAAGAAGCTGCTAGTCTGTACAGACTGAGAACGGGCGAGTGGAAAAAGAAGGGAGTTTGCCCATAATTTAGGAAAAATATTCATCATAAACTAAAGCAAATAGGTAGATATTGATGTTACGTGGACGTCCCCCGGGATGGACGCCAAAGAACGTGGAGTGAGAGAAAGAGAGAGAGAGAGAGAGAGAGGGGGGCGATCAATTGAGAGGAGTGGAAGCTAGAGGGGCCGTAGAGAGAGAGAGAGTGGTGGAGTGGGAGGGAAGCTATGGTGTTCACCTGAGTAAAAACATAAATGTTACAGGAGGAAAAGAGCACGCGAGAGGAGGTCACAGACAGAGGCGGCGGCGTCGAACTCGCCGGGCGGTGACGAGGTGGAGGACGGCGAGGAAGCTGCCTTCGTCGCAGGGTATGCGCAGGCGATGGCCATGGCGGAACTGGTACTCCTCTCCGGCGCGGTCGAGGAGCGGCCGGAACAGTGGGTGGCCGAGGAAGTCGACTCGGACAACGAATCTCTGGCAGCTCTCCCCCACGTACAGCACCGTGTGGCCCCTCGGCACGTCCCTCGGCACGGCCCGTTTCTCCCCTCCTCCTCGGTTCCACCGCAAGTGTTCCCATGGCGACGAGCACAGCTTCCTCCAGCACCTCCTGAGGGGCTCCCGGAGGAACCTTCTCCTGAAGATCGTCTTCATGGCTTCGTTGGAGAGACCCTGGAAGCAGGAGAGAGAGAGAGAGAGAGAGGGTAGGGAGGGAGGGATATTGTGGGCTTATGTGGGAATCATTGGTGGAAATGGACGAGGTGGTAGAGAGAAGGAAGGAAGGAGAGAAACATTCAGACGTGAGCGCCTATCTCGCAGTGGGCTTCTAGAACGGTTACGTAGGGGATTACAACCCCCGAATCTGTGCCGGTTTCGTGAGTGGCTAAGAAACTGGTGCCGAAGAGGGAGAGGGTTGCAGGGCATCCTCTCTCTCTCTCTCTCCGTTTGCGAAGAGATCCAGCACGCCTTGGAAAGCTCAACTTTTGGGTACTCGCGATACCTCCAACTTCTCGACCATGGGCTGGATAAGACGCCAAGTTGGGTTGGGATTCTCCTGTCGCATTCGCGACCCCATTATATACATATCTCTCTCTCTCTCTCTCTCTCCATGTGCCAATCAAGTATTGCCACGAGCTAACCACTGCCGACTAAGTTGACTATCGCATACCTCTGTAGAAAGTCTTCTTTCTTTCAATAATAAGTCAACCCGATTTGGATCTCCCTTTACTAACGAGCACGTTTTATGTAGGAATTAACTCTCGCGAAGAAATTAAAAAAATCCAGGTTTTTTTACTTTAAAGTCATAATAGATCCACACAGACGTTCAACCAGCGCCGTTGACTTCATCCCCCTGTCCTCCCAAATAACGTGCCAAAAATCACACGATTATCCTCGCAAGAAATAAGTAAATACTAAGTGGTAATGGGCCGCATAAATCCGTGGTCCTTGCCCGGCCCAATTCCCCAACTTTGGGCTTCAAAAGTGAAAACCCAGAAAGGAGAACGAGCTCGCCTCACCCACTTCCTGTCGGGCCAATTTTGGGCCCAAATAATTTCCATCCTCGTATCTGGGTTAGGCGGGGCATAGAGCCATCGGCTTCTTTATCGGATTTTCCCTTTTAATTAATTATTTCAAGAGGCCTTTTGGCTAATAAAAATAAGTAATGGGAGCTATCTAAAAAAGACGCAGAGGGTTCCGCTCCTCTCCTCTCCTCTCTCCTCTCCACTGCGTGGGATATGTCCCCACCAGCGCGCGCTCTGCGGAGCCAATCCGCGACGGAGACGACGCGGGGAGGGGAGGCCGGTCCTTCAGAAAAGGTATTGTCCCCCGCTGTGCGTCGGCCGCGATCTCATCCGTCCGTTTAAATTTAAAATAATGTGCTATAAATGTGTTTAATCTGGACGGCGCTGGAAACTGAACCGAGTTCGTGCTGGTTCGATCACGCAGAATCGAGCGAGTCGTCAGGAATTTACCCAGAGTTTGTGGATGCGGGTGGTTTTTTGAATTGATTTGTTCTTTTGTGGACTTTTATGGCGTCCGACCGAACATCATCTCCCCTCTCATCCTCGGAGCCCTAGGGTTTCCGGACTTCTGTCATCGTCAGATGAGATATCGTCTCTCGGCCGGGAGGCGTCGTTGATATTTGGGAGTGACTCATCAAAGTGGTCCGATCTGCGGGGGAGGAACATGGACACGTAACTTTCTCTGCATGTGAATGTGATCGAGTTTGACACCTTTCCATTGCCCCCCCTCTCCTCCAATTAATTTAATATCACTAACAGATGGACGAACATTACGCAGATCTATGACTGCTTCCGCTCAGGATCCTTGAATCTGGTCTTCCAGAGTATTTCCTTCCAGATTTGGGGATCACAAAGATTTTCGTGCTTTACTTTGGTTTTTACAGCAATCAGTCTTCCACCGTCGTTCATGAGATTCCTTTATTTCTTGCTTTTCCACTTGTTTCGTGGCCAAGATCCTACAGAGCCCCTGCGTCCCTCGTGTGACCCATGGTTCTGACCGTCTCCTCCGAGACCACTTATGCTGCTCAGACGGCGATTCCAGCGGGAAGTACCCCATTTTCTTGGATCTGATTGGGGTTAGGGTTTTGGCAAAGGTCTGTTGAATTGGACGATATGTTGTCTCATCAGCTAGGCTATTTCCACCTGTATGGTCCGTATACTATGTGCGGGTTTGTGACTATTTCCACCTGGACGGGTCGTGACATCCGAGTTCTCCTTTACTTTGGCTACGGCATTATTCCATAATTTTACCAATGTCCGAAGGTTTGGGAGTCGAGATACTGTTAATCAATTGTCTGAACATGATATGCATAAATGTTCACCATGCACACCCTCAGGATCAGTAGTCTTTTGGCTCATTATTTGATATTAGTGTCCTGCTGATGAGCATTTTAGGGATCTCAAGTTAAAGACATATAGATGTGACTAGTGGGGGCCTTGTGACATACATAGGGTTGAAGTCGTGAGGAAATTTGAGGTCCCAGCTGAGTTCTCTACTGGCTGCCTGCAAATCTTTAAATGTTGAGGTCCAGAAACTTGCTACTGATCATAGTTGGCATTTCAAGGATCGATTTGTACGATTGATCAAATAACCGTTATATTTATCCCATGTTTTCTATCCAAGACGCTTAAGTTTATATTGTCAATTCTCTCTTTTATTTGATCTATGCATTTTTTTTAATCACCCAGTTTGCATAGGGTGTTTGTTTTTAGGAAGAGTTGCTAAATAGTGGTTCCTTTCTTGATTAGATTTGATAATCAGTAGAGAACTTGGGTTCCGGTTATATGGTAGGATGGATGATTGAAGCTGCAGTTATCCTGTTTGGGCATTTAGGCTTATGGTGAGGTACGAAATTCCTTTTCGTTTGTTCATTAGCTTCTTGTTTGTCGTTAGTATGTGTTTCCACTACTGGTGTTATTAGGCTGTGTGTTTGAATACTTAAGATGTGTCAATTGAGTGTTTCCTTTTCTTGTTTCCCAGTGCTAATGGGGATGGAATACATACAAAATTGCTTCAACGAGGAATCCACCTCCATACCTTCAGTTCCTCCAGGTTTTGCTTCAAGTAAATCTTTTACCTTGGAGAGAATAGATGACGACACTTCTGGAAGTTATGTCGCCCCAGCCTCTGTTACTCTACAAACTAAGATAAACGGCCAGCAGACCAGTGCTGGTGAAGAGAAATTTTCAAAATGCCTTCGACAGAGACCATGTATCAACTACAGTCAATTCGACAATAGTTCGGATGAAGAATCAGACTCTGAGCTTCCTGCGCAGGTTCATCATATTTACAGCATTTCGCCTGTGATCAGATTTTTAGGTCGAGATTATATTATGTATTCTATTTAGCCTTTGTTCGTCTGAAACAGTTAAGAATACTTTTACTTAGCGCTCTTGTTGTATAAGATCAGGATTTGTTTCTATTCATCTGAAGAGGCCTCTGTTTCTTCTTTTTCTGATGATGCAGGGAGCACCTTCTGTATGTTGTTTACCCAAAGGAACTGTTCGTGGTTGCCCAGAATGCAGCAATTGCCAAAAGGTTCAGTTTTTAGATGATTCTCAGAGCTACCCCCCCCCCCCTTCCTTTCGAAATTAAGTTGATTTCGTGTAATGTTATATCTTTTCTGACAGGTGACAGCAAGGTGGCGACCTGAAGAAGCTTGCAGACCTATCATTAATGACGCTCCAATATTCTACCCTACTGAAGAGGTGCTTTTTGCTACCTAAGTTAGATATTGAAATGCCTATCAAATTTTTGCACTGCTCGAAGGCTTTGACTTTCCATTTCTGGCCAACTGCAGGAGTTTGAAGATACTCTCAAGTATATTGCAAGTATACGGCCAAAAGCAGAGTTTTATGGAATTTGCCTCATAGTTCCACCCCCTTCGTGGAATCCTCCCTGCCCTCTGAAGGAAAAGCATGCCTGGGAAAACTGCAAATTTTCTACTCGGGTCCAAAAAATCGACAAGCTGCAGAATCGATATTCTGCAAGAAAATTGACCGTGAACAATTACGCCATGAAGAACAAAAGGAGAAGACTCATGAAAACGGAGTCGGGGTTGGGGAAAGTAGATGCACATTCGATGGAACTTAATGGTCATGTTGAGAGGTTTGGATTTGAACCTGGTCCAGAGTTCACACTGAAATCATTTGAGAGTTATGCAGATGAATTTAAGGAACAGTACTTCCGTATTAAAGAAAGTGACAACTGGAGCGAACGGAAACCCTCAGTTGAAGTCATAGAAGGGGAATATTGGCGGATGGTCGAGAAACCAACTGAAGAGATTGAGGTATTATTTGTGGACCTAGATACCACTCGATTAGTAACTTGTTCACTCCTAACCTATTAATTTGAAGGGGCGCGCTTTTTCAGGTGCTCTATGGTGCTGATATAGAGACTGGAAGCTTTGGCAGTGGATTTCCCAAGATGTCATCAGATTCAACAAACTCTAGTGTAGATGATAAATATGTGAAATCTGGATGGAACTTGAACAACTTTCCTCGCCTGACTGGCTCTGTGCTCGCTTTTGAAGATACTGACATTTCTGGTGTTCTTGTGCCATGGTTATACGTAGGAATGTGCTTTTCATCGTTTTGCTGGGTAAGGTGTCCCATCTATTATGCCATCTTAATATATGGACTCCACTGATTATATCACAAATGCAATTTATATAATGGTTCATATGTCTCTAACTCAGATTTTTTTTTGCGCTAAAATGTTTTTTGAAATCCTGTGGTTTGCATTTTGGCATATACCTACCTTTTCACCTGCAGATTGTTTTACTTATTATTACTTGTTTGATTTTTTATTGCAGCATGTTGAAGATCATCATTTTTATTCCTTGAATTACATGCATTGGGGTGCGCCAAAGGTCTGGTATGGAGTCCCTGGTGGTGATGCCTTGAAGTTGGAGACTGCTATGAAAAAACACCTACCGGACTTATTTGAAGAACAGCCTGATTTGCTTCATAACCTTGTGAGTAATTATTTCTCCAACAACAGTTGACTTTGTAGAAATTATGTTTCAGGTGTTTTCAGATAACATTCCTATAGCTCAGAAGATCTTCTATGTAGAATTTCCTTTTTATGATGTATGTGATATTTAAGTTTCCATTATTCTCAATTTTCGGCAGGTCACACAATTTTCTCCTTCTATATTGAAAGCAGAGGGTGTTCCAGTTTTTAGGTGTGTCCAGAACCGGGGACAGTTTGTTCTTACTTTTCCTCGAGCTTATCATTCAGGATTCAATTGCGGATTTAACTGTGCAGAAGCTGTTAATGTAGCTCCCATCGACTGGTTGCCTCATGGGCAGTTTGCAGTTGAGCTTTACCGTGGACAGAGGCGCAAGATCTCTGTGTCCCATGACAAGCTATTGCTTGGAGCTGCTAGAGAAGCAGTCAGAGCGCAGTGGAACATTCTGTTCCTTGGGAAGAAGTCACCAGATAATTTGCGATGGAAGGATGAATGCGGATCAAGTGGAATTCTGGCCAACGTTCTTAAGGCACGCATTGATACAGAGCACACGAGAAGGGAAAATCTCTGTTCCTCTTCTCAATCAAGAAAAATGGATGCTAACTTTGATGCTGATACTGAAAGGGAATGCAGCATTTGCCACTATGACCTTCACCTTTCTGCTGTAGGGTGCTCTTGCTCTTCAGAGAGATTTGCATGTCTTGAGCACGGAAATGAAATGTGCGCATGCACATGGAATATGAGAATTTTCCTTTTCCGCTATGAGATTAGTGAATTGAATGTCCTATTGGATGCTGTTGGTGGAAAGTTGAGTGCAGTCCATAGATGGGCTCTTTCAGATCTTGGACTGAGCCTTAGTTCTTACATTCAGAAAGACAAAATGCAAGATTCATACTCTAAATCCAAGAAAAAGGAAGGAACAAAACCCATGGAGCAGAGACCACTGAACCGAGAGAGTCTGACCAGTAGTATGAAGGATTCTTGTTCACCTCAAGATACTCAGGTGCCAATGTCGCAAACTACTTATGGAATTTCAATTGTGAAAGATGCGAAAATATCTGATTTGATAACTTCTACTCATACAATGATTGATCAATCTGTTTCAAATTCAACCATACAAGGGTGCAATGAAGGAATTGGAAAAGATGCAGTAGACACATCGGAGAAAAGAGTATGTGCAGCAGATAGTCCTTCACCTGATACAAAGTTACAGGATCAACCATTTCAGGCTACAGGGTGCCACAAAAATTCAGATGGTTTTCTGTCGGGGCAAACAAGTTGTTCACTTCCCCTGACTGATTTGCCATCCAACGAGCTGCAGCAGTACACTAGAGAACGGTACTCGATTCCATCTTCCGCCAGAGTTCATAAAAGTAACCACCTAAGCAACTTGAACAATATGGACAGACCCTCAGTAGCTGGTGATGTTATACAATTGAGTGATGATGAGGATGATGAAGCATATGAGCTCTCGCATAAAACAAAGGCAGAACCAGTAGAAAACTCCCCAGACGTTTTTTACAGACCAATGGATTGTAATAACAAGGTTACCCCCAGCAATTGTGAGAGGGATCAAGTTCTTGAAACACCTGAGACTGATGCATCTGTTATGGATGATACAGATATTAATCTAGTAACCATTGTAAAAAAGGTTGACAATATGTCCAATTCTCATGTACGAGTCAAAGATCAAGGAAAAGATGAGATAACTATGTTACATAGTTCTTTGTTAACAGATCAATCATCAGCTACAGAATTCTCCCAGGGCACTATTAGCACTAAGAACTCTGCAAGCAAAAATGTCGCCAACCAAATTCAGGAATATTTGGCGTCCAAACAGGTTGGTGATAGTGACAACTCAATTGTCGGAACTATGCTTCTACCTTCGCAGTTTCATGTGAGCGTAAATGCAAGCAGTGGAAAAAATAATAGAACTATCGATTCATCCTTCAAAATGGCTGTTAGAGGCCAGTCAGGTACCGTCAGTCAACCTGTACCACAGATTGGTACAGATAGATATAATAGACAGGGTCCTCGTATGGCAAAGGTAGTGAGAAGAATTAACAGCGTTGTTGAGCCTTTGGCATTAGGCGTTGTGCTTTCAGGGCAGTTCTGGTCGTGTGGGCAGGCAATATTTCCAAAAGGTATGCACAAAGAATTTTTCTAGTAGGTCTTTAATTTTTGGAGTCTCCAGTTAAGATACATATCCTGCCAGTTCATTTGTACTACTTCTTACCGATGTTTCATTTCCAGGATACAGAAGTAGAGTTAGGTACTTCAGCGTGCTGGATCCTTCACAGATGTGTTATTATGTCTCTGAAATTCTGGATGCTGGTCTACTCTGTCCATTATTCATGGTGATTATTCTATCTATTCCGTTGTTTAAGAATATATGATGCTTGTCATTTTTAGAATGTTTGAAATCATTTGATCTCCTTTAAAGTTGTGGCTTAGTAGTCTTTATCACAGGTAAATATAAAGCTAAAAGTTGTCTTTAATACGTGTTCACGTTTTTGCCCAACTTTCTCAGAGGATGGAATAAATATCAACATCATTATCACACGGACGCATAAGCTTATTCATCAAAAGCTTGAGGATATATATAATTTTCTTTTTATGAATATGTTTGATTATTTTATGCAATATCTGCGCTTTCTTTTTCATGGTAGAAGATACTTTTCTTGAACTTCGTACAAACCTCTGCCTCTTTTCTTTTGCCAGGTTCAGGTAGAGCACTGTCCAAATGAAGTATTCATTCATCTCTCTGCGACCAGATGCTGGGATATGGTGAGGGACAGGGTAAATCATGAAATAAGAAAACAGCATAGCTTGGGGAGAACAGGAGTTCCTGCTATGCAGCCTCCAGGCTCTCTTGACGGTCTGGAAATGTTTGGGCTAACTTCTCCGGCTATAATTAAGGTACAATGTGATTCGCTGGTTTTGGTTCTGATTGAGCATATATATATTACAACAGTTGCAAAGATTATGTCGATTAGCATCTTCCTCAAGTAATCTTATTATTTCTGTAGGTTTTATTGAATTCAGGTGGCGAATACAGTCGGTAACTAGCTAATGTCTACTTATTTTAAGCGTCTTTTTCCTGAGAGATCTCCGTGGATGTAATTTATGTAGACGTTTGGGTTTTATTTGATCTTTTGCCGCTGCTTGGACTTGGCCAGGTTTGTGAAGGCTTGTCGATTGATGCCATAATCTTTATGATTTTCTTTCTTAGACACTATGTTTGCTTAGAAACTTTGAAAGATCCTAACCTAGTTGAAGGGTTAGGTGACATTTAGCGGAAGTAGATGTCTTGGTGATTGTCCTGGAGCTTGTAAATCCTGTGTGTCCCAACAAGAGGGGAATTCTCTCTGATATGAAGATCACTATGAACGTTTTGAACATGTTGTGAAATTATGCTCCTTTTCTTTAGGTCTCATGTCTTATTGGATGTCCAGACCCCAAGGTTCTTAATGCTTACTTCCCCCATTAAACTTCTCTAAAGATGTCAACTTCTCTGCACCTTGAGATGTGAAATTACTCTCTGATGGACATCATGTGATCTTACTGCTCGTAGAAAACATGGAAGGATCTATATATGATGATACTCGTCAAAATAACGTATCAACGATATTTAGAAATCGGGCAAAGGTTCTCTCTGGTTTCTTATTCATCAGCAAATTCCAACACTGCCGCTCAAGTAATTAAACCAGCTTTACTTGAAACTTGTTTTATACGGTCTGTATAGGACTTCATATACGTTTACTACTTGATGTATGCATTACTGACAGAGTCAATCTAGATATAAAAAGCCTTGTTTTTCTCTTCATATGTTCAACCTTCTCGGAATCTCAAGCCCACATTGTTTTTTTTTTTTTTTCTGCCACGCTCAGTTATATATATATATATATATATGCCGTTTAGTTCTACTAGTGCTTGAACTGGGGCAATCATGATTGAGATTTCAACTGGTACAACTACCCTAGCTGCACCTTGTATAATCATCACGCAATGGCAATCTCCCAGCTAACTCTGCTACTATGACTCTGGTGACGGTGACCCTGCTCTCCTGCGAGGGCAAATTGCTGACTGCGATGCCGAGGCTTCGACATTACAAAGACGACTTTTAATTTTTTCTCTCGTGGGTTATTTCAACAGGCCATCGAAGCGAACGATGTTGATCACGTCTGTTCAGAATACTGGAAATCAAGACCTCGCAGTCTGGATCCGCAGGTACCAGAAGGCCCGGCCGCTGATTGGAGGCCTACTAACATGGAAGCAGGGCAGCGAGCCACCGGCCCGGGGATGCAGCAGCAATTGGTTCCTGGCGCTGATGCGATTTTCCGCAGCCTCCTGAGGAAGTTAAACCCTGAAGAGCTGCAGTGTTTGGGCCATGCCCTGGGCGACGACGGGCAGAGCTCCAAGGAAGAAGCTCTGAAACTTATCAACAACGAGATTGAGGGCCGCCCGAAGCCTTGATTCTTCGGCCCGGTTGGTTTTTTTCTCGGCTTGCTCTCTTGGAGCTGGGGAAGGTGAATTTGGCTGCGCTTGCCTTCTTTGCACATAAATTTGTAAAAAAAAAATATACATCTTACATTTTTTTGTTGCGGGCAGTCCCGATGACAAGAGAGCTCCGATTGTTTGATGGCCTTCGAGTTGCAGGCCGGAGAGCGGCAAACGGTGGTGTACATGTCGATTTTTTATGCGTATTTATTTGATCATAGGCGAGTAACTGTTCCCATTTCATGCCGTCATCTCTCTCTCTCTCTCTCTCTCTCTCTCTCTCTCTCATTTTATCGTTAACCTTTTTGTCGGGAATGAACAATCTATAGCCTCTGCTTTTCGTCGGAAGCGACGATAATCACTTAGTGGCTGTTTGTTGTGGATGATCTGACATGTATCTTACCAATAATCGGCGCAGGAGCAAAACCCATCTCTGAAATGGTGGAATCTGCTTGAGTCCCTCACCGTGATCTCCCTCCCAACAATCAGGGAGATCACCTTGATGGCGGCGTGGCAGTCGGCGCAGGCGCGCAGGTTCTTCATCACCCGGACTGGCGCCCCCTCCGGTGTGCTCATGAGGGCGAAGGCGATGGCCAGCCTCTCGCTGTGGTACCTCAGCGACTCCGCTTTCATCCCCTCCTCCACGTTGTGCAGCGCCCAGCTGGTGTCCGCCCTGTAGCCGCGCCTCTCCATTTCCCCGCTGAGCTCGTCCAGCGCCCTCCTCACCTCCCCAATCTGCGGGTGGGCGTCGTCGTCGGACATGAACCGGTGCACGGCGCGCCCCACCTCGACCCAGCTGAATGCCGGCTCCTTCCTCACCCCCCTCGCCCTCATGAACCTTTTCATCTCCCCCACCTCCTCCCACCGCCCTGCCGCCGCGTAGATGTTCGACATGATGACGTAGGGCGCCGCATCACGCAGCTCCATGCCGAAGAGCCTCTCCGCCGCCCGCCTCGCCAGGTCCTGGTTCCGGTGGATGCGGCAGGAATTCAGGATCGAGGACCAGATTATGGGGTCCGGCTCGTCGAAGGGCGCCTCGGTGGCCAGCTTCTCCGCCTCGTCCAGCCGCCCCACGCGACCGAGGAGGTCGATGACGCAGCAGTAGTGCTCCCTGCGGGGGGAGGGGAGGAAATGAGAGGCCCTCATGGAACGGAAGAGGCGGAGCCCCTCGTCGACGAGCCCGCCGTGGCTGCAGGCGGAGAGGGCGCAGAGGAAGGTGACCGAGTCAGGCTCCACGCCGCAGCGGCGCATGCGGTCGAGCAGGGCGACGGCGTCCCCGCCGCAGCCGCTGTGGGCGTACGCCGACATCATGGCGTTCCATGAAACGATGTTGCGGCTCGGCATTTCGCCGAACGCCTGCTCCGTGTCGCGTAGGCAGCCACACTTGGCGTACATGTCGACCAGCGCGCTCCCGACGTAGACGTTGGAGGTGTAGCCGAACCTCACCAGGTAGGAATGGAGCTGCCTCCCGAGCCCGGCTAGGGCCAAGCTCGCCGCGGCCCTCAGGACGCTGGAGAAGGTGGCCCGGTCGGGGCACTGGCCGCTCCTCCTCATGGCGCTGAACAGCCCCAGAGCCTCCTCGAATAGCCCATTCTCGATGTACCCGGAGATCATCGCCGTCCAGGAGACAGTGTTCCGGTCGGTCCTGCTTTCGAAGATGACGCCGGCCGTGGCCAAATCCCCGCACTTAGCGTACATGTCGACGAGGGAGTTGCCCACGAGGACGTCCGACGCGGCGCCCGCGACGATGGCCTGCGCGTGGAGTTGCCTGCCCATGGAGAGGCTCCGCTCGGCGGTCGCAACGCTCAGAACGGAGGCGAAGGGGAACTGCTTCCTGTCAAAGCCCGTCGACTGCAACTCTCGGAAGAGCTCCAGGGAGTCCTCGTTCCGTCCAGCCGAAGCAAACCCCGATATCAGCACGTTGTAGGAGACGTTGTCCATCTCTGGCATGCCGAGGAACAGTTGCACCATCTCGGCGAAGCAGTCCACCTTGGAGTAGAAATCCAGCAGGGCATTGCCCACGAACACGTTCCAGCAGAAGTTGCTCTTGATTACGGCGCCGTGGATCTGCCTCCCGAGGCCCAGATCCCCCAGTCCGGTGGCCGCCGACAGGGAACCGGAGAAGGTGAACTGGGAGGCCTTCAGGCCCGAGCGGCGCATCTCCAGGAGGAGCTCCAGAGCCCGGGTGTGGCGTCCTTCCCTGGAGTAACCCATCAGCATGGCGTTGAAGGTCACGGAGTCCTTACAGATGACCTCGCCGAAGAGCCGGGAGGCGTCCTCGAGGAGTCCGCACTTGCAGTAGGCGTCCACCAAGGTGTTGCAGACGATGAGCTTCGAGCCGTGGCCGAGTCTGCCCACCTGGGCGTGAACCTGGGCCACCGAGCTCGACGCCCCCGCGCCGTCGCACGCGCTGAGGAGAGTGACGACCGCCACGTGGTCCGGCTTCGTCCCCGATCTCATCATCTCCACGAAGACCACGAAGGCCTCGCCGGCAAGGCCAGACTTGGCGTACGCACCCATCATCACGGTCCAGGTGATCTTGTTCCGCTGGGAGGTCTCCTCGAACAGGCTCCGAGCTTCCCGAAGGCCGCCCGACTTGGCGTACCCAGAGATCATCAAGTTCAGTGTGAAGGTGTTCCTGTGGAGCATTTCGTCGAACAGTCTCCGCGCCCCCGGAAGGTCCCCCGCCCGGAGGAGGCCCTCGAGGGCGTGGTTCGCACTGCACGTCCGGGGGTCGAACCCCGTCTTCACCATCTGCGCGTCGGCGTCTTCGAAGCCCGCGGCCGCGGCAGCGGCGGCGCGGGGGGTGGCGGCGGGGAGTGCTCTCTGGGGAACGACGGGGGGGGCGGTGAGGGTGTGAAGCCATGTGTGCGCTCGGAGGCCGTGTCTCATAGGAGGGCGGGATTTCTCGGCGGCTCTAACGGGGGGACGGAGCCATCCGGAGGGAACGAGCAGGCCGCGAGGAGAAGATGCAGCGGACCTCTGAAGAAGAGGAAGAAGAAGAAGACCCTTTTAAATGCGAGACTCGACAGAACCGATGGAAAGGAAGGAGAGAGAGAGACCAACGGCCCTCCAATGGGCTTGGGCCGACTAAGTCAACCCACGTTCTCCGTTTTCTTCTCACAACACACTTCACGAAGATGAAATCTCCAGAAACCTAAACTGAGGCCCAACGGCCCACTTCTTCCCTGACCTCCACCAGGCCTACGCCTGACGAAAGCTTCTGTCGTTGGGCCATTCCATAACCTGCCCCAACAACGACTTGGGCCAAGGTCAACGACGTCCCTTGACTCCCACTTCCTTCACCACGGGGACGCAGCTTCACCGGAGGTCAGAAACCCCCGTAGACGGACGCGCCGTTGCTGATGTCAGACGGCGGCGGCGGCGGGCCGCGTGCTCGATGACGGGTGCAGCTGCGTAAGCCGCATGCGGAGGTGGGCGACGGACGGCCGCCGCCTCCCCCCGTCGTTCTCCGGCGGCGGCGTCGCTGCGGACAAGATTCCTCCGACGCGGATGACAGCAGCAGAACCACCCCACTCCACACCCCCTCCCCCCCACCCCCCAGCCCGCCGATTATAATTCCCTCCGGATTCTTCGGACCACGTCATTCCCGATTTAGAATCTTCTCCATCGATCACACCGGGATAGCCGGTTGAGCTGACGTCACGGGTGGCGCAGGGAGTGCGCGAGTTGATCACTTCTTGATTCGGTCGCCGTCATTCATGGTCGATATTCCGGGCTTTATCGGCGGCGGTATCGAGCAATAATAATATGCGGCGGCGCGGGGCCTAAGATGGCGACTTGTTCCTTCATGTTCGACTGAGGAAATGGAGTATACACTTCAGTCAGTCAGTCAGTCAGTCAACGGGCCGGCCCAGTCCAGCCCCCCATTAAGGAGCCCAAAATATCTCCTCTACGAGAGCGAGAGCGAGAGAGATGGGCTGCCATGGAGAAGATCTATCGGATCAGGAGGAAATCTCTCTCTCTCTCTCTTTCTCTCTCTCTCTCTCTCTCTCTCTCTCTCTCTCTCTCTCTCTCTCTCTCTCTCTCTCTCTCTCTCTCTCTCCCCCTCTCTCTCTCTCTCTCTCTCTCCCCCTCTCTCTCTCCCTCTCTCCCCCCTTAAAAATGTCTGTGGACAAGCAAGAGCAGTTATTATCATATCCTTTCGATAAAAGGACAGATTCTGCCAGACATAAATACAGATATACTATTTGTGTTTATTCTACAAGGTCAATTTTATTTACTTTTATTTGCATCGTATACCGCCCCAAGTGAGACCTCCACCCCTCGGACGGCTTTTCTTCTTGCCTTCATCGTCATCCGATAATAATAATAATAATAATAATAATAATAATAATGGGTGTTATTATTATAAATGTAGTGCATCTCCGTGTCGTCTTCGAGACCGCTCCGACGGAGATGGCGGCGGGGGATTGCTTCTCCCCACCCCGCGTGGTCGATGCAGATTCTCCTTGGCACGTCGTTCTGGATTAAGAATGAGCGGGACGTTTCCAGATCAACACTCCCATCCGTTGACTTATCTTCTGTCATGGTCAGGTGGGTTCCCCTGGCGGCGCGAGACGGACAGAACCCGATCGTTCAATTGGCCTATTCAGACTCGCGGATGCGCTTGGATCGTCGTGGTGCTGGGACCCCGTCCTCGGGACTCATTGGCGCAGAGACCCAGAGAGATTCAGATACAGAACTTGGACGCCCTCATCCTCCTCCATTGGCGTTGACCACACCAAGTGAAATACTGGCCGCACTCACAGATGTCCCACCTTATCCTCTCCCTCTACGTGCAACGAAGAGAGAGAGAGAGAAGGGGGGGATGGCCCGGGCAACTTTGGAGAGAAAGCACCTTTATCTGTCGGGATGGAGGAGAGAGGAGGCCCAATCTTGGGCGTCACTTGGGATAATTCCGACATGCTAAAACCGCTAATATTGGTAAAATGATTTATTTTCACGTTTAAAATGATTTAACGGTGAAACATCTTGCTATCCATAGATTATCAGGCCCATACGAGGAGGCGTGTTGACTTTTAGTGCCGCCAGAATCATGCCCAGTAATGGCTCGGCGACCAGAAACATGGAGTTCTTTTAAGTGTTATATTAATTGGTTGAACTCGTCGAGAATGCAACATAAAAAAGGAAATTTCAAGGGCAGCTTAGGACGGTATAAAGATGAAGAAATATTCCGGATGTTGGGAGATTCTAAGCATATCGCTAGCGTACATAATAATTATAATAATAGTTTTTTGACTCTGAAGGATCGAGAAAAATAGTTGAATAATTATAATAATTGTAATATACCGACATCAAGCACGCCGCATTCTGCCTCGAATGATGCCTGCACCGCATCTCATGCACTCCGAATTCAATAGTAATAATAATAATAATTATTATTATTATTATTATATGCACAGTTGGGTAATTAAAAAATCGAGAAAATGTTCAGTACGTATGGTAAGAACAAAATGCGATGTCCGGAACTTATTGGAATGGCGGGGACAGGGAAATTATTGATACGGGAATATTATTTATTAGTCAATAAATCCAAGGCATTCAGTTAATAAATCTATACCCGGGTTGACCCACCCGTTTCACCTCCCTTGGGCCTATTTGTTGACCGGGACTAGTCGACGATAAATGATTCACACACGGCTCAATATTTTCTTGTACTATTTGTTGACCCAGGGCGCCATTATAAAAATATACATTCGGTCGCCAATACAAATACGCGACATTCAAGGGACACCTCGTCAGAGTCCGGCACGGCACGTTCCAACCCAACAGTAGTCTCTCTCTCTCTCTCTCTCTCTCTCTAGAGTAATGCTTCTATCTCTGTGTCTCTCGAGAGATGGGTCCTCCTCTATCCGGATGTTTCCTCATACACATGGTGGAGAAGTGTGGAGAAGTATGGAGAAATGGAGAAAAATGGAGGCGGTACAGAGCGGCGTCCTCTCGGCGTACGGCGGGACGCCGGGGACCGTGTGGCCACGGCGAGGCCTCTCGTCCGCGGATGGGCAACGGGCGGCGGCCGTTGTCGCCTCCAGAGAGGGGATCGCCGGATATCCTATCCGGGTCAGCCGGCAAAGGCGGGTCCCATCGTATCGTCGGATTCCACCTCCAAATGGCGGAAGACGACGCCACCCCCCCTCCCGCAAGTTGCCCGGCGGGGGGGCCCGGAATCCCGGCGGCTTATTCTTCTCCTCCTCCTTCTTCCGTCAGAAACTCGGAATCTTTTCTCACCGAAAGGTAAGATGGGGGTTGATTATGCGGATCGTTACCGTGGGGGCTCGGCTCGGAGAGGGTGGGCTCACACTCGACCGGCAGACGGCCATGTGCGCGGGTGGTGTCGTCTTGTTCCCACAGGCGGCGGCGGCGACCGGGCTCCCTCGAGGTGGGAACTCCCCAGCCGGCCCAAATAACCTCGAATTGTTTTTCACCGTCGCAGATCACGAAGAGAGGAGGAAATTCACCGAAACGAATGACCAGTCAATCCCAACGCGGCTACTCGCCGGAGGAGTAGGGAGGGGCGCGATAAGGCGGTTGGCTGATACGCGAGGTCGGCTGGGAAGAAGGGGGGAGGAGGCTACGAAGAGTCGCCATCGCGCGGAAGGGGAGGGCTGGGAGGTTCCCAGGCCTCTCGTCTCTCTGCGGACGAGGGGCGGGTTCGTTGAAGGACCACGTAGAAAAGGTCGAGAGAGAGAGAAAAAGCATCATCCGATGAATATGCTGAGACAGCTGTCTCGCGGCAGATGCCTGAACCACCACCGGCCGCGGATATTCTCGAGAGAGAAAAAGGCGGCTTTCGCGCTTCAGTTGAGGGAGCGGTTCGCCCCAGCAGATCTTTCTTCCTCGAGAGAGAACGGAGGCAACCACCGGGGTGCAGAGCGCGGGGAAATTATTTTTATAAAATATTATCTCTTATATCCAGTCAACGAGCTCTTTTTACATCTCTACTCCCAGGGCCGGAGGTGAAAGGAAGAAGAGGGAGAAGAAAAAGCAAAAAGGGAACAGGGAGAAGTATCCGTCTGCTCAAATCTCCACTGATACTCTCAGCCGCTAAACTCCTCAGATCTCAAGCCGCTGCATCCTTGATACCAGGCAGGAAGGCAAGCAACCAGGGACCGGGGAGGAGAGGGGAGCCTTCCAAGTGCACCAGAACAAAACATAATATTCACATCGCGTGGGAAGCCGCCGACGAGGTTGTGTGCATAATAGACTCCCTCTGTCGCCGCTACTCGCAGGCTGGATTTACAGACTGGATCGCCGGCTATCCCTCAGATGAGCTCGGGTCCACTGGTCATCCACGGGTGCCCTGAATAAGCGATGGAGGATGAAAATGTCAGGACCTCGGAGCGGTATAGAAAGAAGGGAGGGCAAGATGGGTAGAACGAAACGACGTAACAGGAACTGGAACTGAAAACGAAAATAAAATAAATGGAAACCACACCGCAACCCGTGGAAAATAACTCTTGAAACGTAAAACAAGGCTCGGGGGTTAAAGATCGAGAATACATCCGATAATCAGGAATTCCTAGAGGTGGAGATGTTCGAGAAACGGATCGGAGACAGCCAACGCATTCCCTCCGAAAAATCCAGAGAAACAACAAGAAAAGAAGGAAAGAAAGGAAGGAAGAAACCACCAACAGAGAGTCGAAGAAGAAGAAGAGCGACATACTTAGCACTTGCTCCGCGGAAAGCCTCCGAGTGACGTCCTTGCAGAGCATCCTCCGAAGTAGGTCCTTCGCCTCTGCCGACACGCCGAGGAAGATGCGCGTAGGGAATCTCAGATTCGCTCTCATCACCGCCTCAAAGATCTCCACGGCCGAGTCCCCTCGGAAGGGCGGAATCCCTGCGAGAAGTACGTACAAAATCACGCCGGCGCTCCACACGTCCACCTTCTCTCCGTATTCCCTTCCGGAAAGCACCTCAGGCGCAACGTAGTACGGGGTGCCAACCACGCCCCTGAGCGGCCTCCCGTCGCCGAACCAGTCAGCCGACCCGAAGTCGGCGAGCTTCAGCTGCCCCCAGGCATCAAACAGGACGTTGTCCGGTTTAATGTCGCGGTGGGCGACCCCCCGGCGGTGACAGTGCGCGATAGCCTCCATCAGCGGCCGCATCACGGCCTTGGCCTCTGCCTCCAAGAACGGCCCCCCGCGGCCGGCGACCTGGTCGAACAGATCGGGGCCGGCGCAGAGGTCAAGTACAAAGTGCAGCGACTCGTCGTCCTCGTAGACGTCGCGCAGGCCGACGATGTGCGGGTGGCCGGCCACCAGCTGGTGGAGCTTCGCCTCCTTCTCGAGGCACTCCCTCTCGAGGGCGTCCCCTGCGAGGAGTGTCTTCTGGATCGTCTTCACGGCAAACACCTCTCCGGTAGCGCGCGACGAGGAGTGGGAGACGACGCCGTACCTCCCCCGCCCGATCTCCCCGCCGATCTGGTAGTCCCGCTTCAGCCCTTCGCTCATCTCTGTCCTTGCTTCCCGATTCTTCTCTAGGGAAGAAACGGGGAGCTTCTCCAGCGGGGCATTATATAGACGGCGTGGGTGGTTTCCATGAGAATATTCCGTCCAAGACACCCCAACGGCGTCTCGCCACGTATGAGATGCCGTCAGTCCCCAAACGGAAATACCTAAATTCCGTTTCTTGCTTGCGGATGAAGACTCCCCGCCTATCATCGGATCACTCTCCGTCGTCCGATCGATCGAGATCCCGGCCGTCAGATCGAGAGAGAGAGAGAGGGGGAAATAAAGTAGTAACGATACTGCGGGATATTAGGGAGCAGAAGAGCGAGATTCTCGGCGACGTTTCTGATAAGCCATCTCGGTCCGCTCACTTACCGAAAGGCACCTATTCACAAGCACCCTCTTGTTTCGCTGAAATTACAGCATGAGCCCATATCGCGAAGCTTCCAAGGGATCTGGCAAGCGATTGGCCGCGACTCTCATTGGTCCCCACGTGTCCGTCCAGGCCGGCGGTGCCGGCACGTAGGGCGTGTCCGTTGTCGTGCGGGCCCCACCACGAGGAACAGTGTGCGCTGTATCGGGCCCACCTCGGGCCAGCGCATACTAATAGACTCCCCCGCCCGCCTCCCATTTCTTAGTGGGCCCACTACCTTATTAATTATCTATAAACAACTATTCGACTCAGATGCGAGAGAGACGGCGCATCTAACTAAGCAGGTGGTGGGACCGTCACCGAGAGACCGCAAGTGGCCCGACGTCTCTGCAGATTCAGACGTCACGTGCTGCGTTGATGGGCGTTTGGATTTTAGTGGAACGGAGGGGTATGGATCCATGGAATAATTCGGCGGATAACGTTACCGAAAGGCAACCGTACCGCTCAGTTGAAAGGTGAGGCAGAAGGGTGGATACGTGGCCCAATTTGAGAGACCATTGGGGCGATGTTGCAGAGGGGCGGCGTGTGAACTAGCTACGTGGAGATGCGCCGCGTTGGTCGACGTGGGGTACCACGTGTCGCAGCAACATGTGGTGCGATAGCTTTATACGGAACGGCGTACCTGATAAGTTGTTGCGACGCTCCATTGGACCGCTTTCCCTTATACGTTGGTGTTTCGGGCCGGACTCTTAATGCGAGTACCGCATGCAGACCGTTGGATGACTTTCGAACGGCTGACATCACCCTCTCTCTCTCTCTCTCTCTCTCTCTACAAGTCTGATGCCAGGGAGCAGATATTTATCTACTGTGTGGGTGACCGTTGGATGACCTCGTGAAGCGGGTGATCGTCGTGTACAAAGACCGGCGGAGAGTCCGACCCGGCTGCGGGCGCTGACCGGCCCGGGTGATTCCGATAGTCGCTCGGGCTGACATCTTACTCCAGTGGATCGTGGCGTGTTGTGAGTCGCTTTGCGTGCTATTTTATAAAGAAGGAAGTAGCCCAATTGAGGTCATTTTCCAAGTGGGTGGGGAGTGTTATACGAAGAAACTCGCCCTCTATATTTTCTCTCGACTAAAATATGGCCATGATTGGAGGTAGCTTCCAAGGGCTGGCCCCCCTTCTCGGTTCATTGTTCTTCCCCCCATCACCGTCAAACTGATGAATCGTCACCGTTGCTCGACCCATCCGTCAATGTTGCACCCAGATGACGGGAGAGATGAAGAGAGAGAGAGAGAGTCATAAAATAAATACATTAGTTGATTAATGAGATGTCATGAGAAACCCAATCCTCGAGTTCTCCTTACAAGTCAACCCAAGGACGTCAATCTTATCCTAGATCACCTCAGCTGAATCGATAAGGTCAACTACGGGGAGTAGTGATAATCTGGATCTACATAAGGTTACAAATGTCTCCGGTTTTTCCATTCCTATAAAATGCCTCCCTTTTGCATCACCCTCGACGTAATCGTTCATCTACCGCTACTTGGAAGGTCGTGATTGGCCGCCGGAGTGGACCTCAGCGCATCTTCTGGTGGGGGGGAGGGGCGGGGGAGGGGGGGATCAGTCAACGGCAGCTGCAACATACGCCGCCAGACTATGTCGACTCCTGAGATCCACCTTTGGCCGGGCATCGTGATATCGATAAGGTGGAAAAAAGTTACTGACTATCAAATGGCGTGAATATGCCGCGGAGAATCTCACCGCTAATTCTGCGATTCGGGTTTAGCTGTTTGGTGAGTTCCTGTGGCGGCGGCGGCGGCGGCAGTGGGTCCCAACCGAGACAGCCCTCAGTACTGCATTATTACTGACGTGCGTCACACGTTGATGGCAGCGGGCGATAAGAGAGGTGATGTTGATAAGCCGTCTGGCGCCGCCGCGCCGCCTTCGGGCTGTCTCCCCAGAACCGGCCGTCGTGGGCTCCGATTGTAGGCCGTTATTGGGCCAATACTTGAGCCCAATACTTCTTACAGAGACCAGAAGCCTAAAAAGTTGAAGCGAGCGTGGTTGTTGGGTCTTCAGGGCCGGACCACACTAGCGAGATATAGACAGAGACATATAGTGGAAGAGACACAGAGGGGGGAGAGAGAGAGAGAGGGGGGGGGGAGAGAGAGAGAGAGGGAGGGAGAGAGATAGATGGGAGACAGATGGAGAGAGAGAGAGAGAGAGAGAGAGAGAGAGAGAGAGAGGGCGGGGAGGACAGGCACAGGCACATAAGCAGAATATGGGAACGAGGGCAGGAAGGATGGTTACAAGATTCACCTCACTACCATCGTCAAATCGTCATATTCTACAAGAATTATTCAACTAAAATGTACACGGAGGCTAAGCTACAGAGCCACGGTCTAAGAGGGTCCACACACAGACAGACACCACGCGTATCAGGCAGGGAGCCCACCAGCGGCGGCGGCTACTTACAGGCAGATCAGGTTACCTCCGCTTCAGGGTTGCCCTCCCAAGGGGCGGCGCTCCGACCCAGACCCAGACACCCGGAGGCAGGCAGTTACTTCTTTTCTAGAGTTCTCAAGCTGGCCTCTTGCAGGGCCTCAATCCTTCGACGGAGCTCTGGACGTCGTCCTCACCGATCTCCTGCACAGAAGAGCATAGCAGCCCAAAGGTTCAGGCGAAAACTGTTTCTCAGAATGGAAACGAGCTCCTCCGATGAAGAAGAATAATTTCACCACTGGGTCTGGCTCTGATACTGGGGATCGGGAACTTGGGCAAAAAAATATCGTTATCGGAGAAGATCGGAAGAAACCTGAATCAGTACCTTTTCCACCCTGATCCTTCTGTCGTCGCAGACACCCCGCCAGAGTTCAGTCGGGGCAGGCCGGCAGGGGGAGTCGCGCCCGTGGAATTGGACCTCCGAGGAAGAAAAGCAGGAGGTGGGGACGGTGCACAGGCTCCCGCCGGCGCTTCGCTTCCTGGCCGAAGAGGATTCCGCTGTGGAGCGCAGGTCCTCGTCCACCATCGACTTCCCGGACACGGCGGCGCTGCGATCTGCGGTGGCCTCCTTCGGGACGGGCTTGGGGTTGCGGATGGAGGGCACCCTCTGGTCCGCCGACGAGTTGTCGCAGGGCGGCGGCGGGCGCGGCGCTGCCTTCCTCAGGACAACCTTGGGGACGTCGAGGGCCCTCACGGCGGCCATGTTGTCCGCCACCACCTCCTCCGGTTTGTCGCGCTTCGCGGCCTTGGTCGCCCAGTCCAGCTCCCACATCCTGGCCACGGCGGCGGCCAGGCGCTGCTTCGCCACGGAAATGTCCACAATCGGGTTGGGGTAGTTCAGGCCTAGCTCCACGCCGGCGGCGCGGAGGACGGACACCGGAGCGTCCCATGGGTGGTGTATCCATTCAGTGGGGACCCTCGCGAGCTCCGGCAGCCACTGCCTCACGTACTCGCCGTCAGGGTCGAAGTTCCAGCCTTGAACCTGACGGCCAAAAGGATGACGACCGATGAGCTTATACACGCACACAAGTGGAGAGAAGATACACAAGATCAAAGCAGCAACAGAGCAAAACATGTGGATTTTCTATGAGATCTGACTCTAAGAAGTGGGGGATTTTCTCTTTCTGACCCAGATATTTACGATTCATCTTAAATCACGAATGAAGAAAGGATAAGGGACATTTGCATGGAATCAGTACTAATAATATAAAAAAATCGGAAAAAGTGAAAAGTATCTTCATTTATGATCTTCAGCGAGATGGGTCAGTATATTACTGCCATCTTAATCCGCGGGGTGATTCAGATTCAACTAAGAATATCAGATCCCCAGACCATGGAGGTGCTCCGAGACATCTATAAATCCGATCGTTCATGATTTTAACTAGAGACCCACATCAAATCTAGTTGGATTCTCTGCGCCGAGATCAAAGCTCAATCAAATCACGATGTCGAAAAGAGGAGTGTGTGGAAGTAACAGCAAGGGATGACCAGCATGGCTCAGTAAGAGAGGGCTCACCTCAGGACTGTCGAGTCGGTTGAGCTCGTGGCCATCTGGTAAGCTTCCTGAGATGTACTGCCAGCCGAGGATGTCGCTTTCCAAGTCGGCATCAAGAAGGGTATCCCAGAAATACTTCATCCCCCACGTCCATGGCAGCAGCAGGAACTTCACGAAAAAGCTCGAGACAATGACTCTGGTCCTGTTATGTATCCAGCCCGTGGCCCAAAGCTCCCTCATGCCTGCATCCACCAGGGGATACCCCGTCCTTCCCTGTCTCCAGACCTTAAACTGAACCTCGTCATTTCGCCAGGGATAGTGCTTCAGGTTGCCCAGCAATGCTCGCTCATGGGTGAAGGGAAAATTGAAACAGAGATAGCGCGAATATTCTCGAAGGCCGACCGATTTGAGGAAGAAGTTCACACTCTGAGCAGCATCGGAGTTCTCTTCTTTCGACCACTGTATCTGCTTCATGCGCACGGACTGGTAGACTTTTCTTACACTGAGTTCGCCGAAGTGGAGATACGGAGACAGCAACGAGGTCGTGGCTCCATCCAACTTCATCCTATTTTTTGAGTAGTGGATGAGATGGTTCTCGATGAAATCACTCAGCAGCTTGTCCGCATTGCTCCACCCAGGAGACCACCCTCTGCTTAGTAAGGCATTGCTAGATTTCTCTGCGTCGTTCTCCAGACCCAGTTCCTCGATTGAGCAATCCTGAACAGCCTCCAATCCTGTCGACGTTGAGCGTGAGTCTGACTGAAGTGCATAACAAAGGATAAAGCCATTGCCGCCACTAAGCAGCAATTTTGAGCGATACAACAACTAAAAGAAGCTAGAAGAGATTAGAAGAGAATATTAACGCTTGACTAAGTCAAGGATATTTATTATCTGGTACAAAGCCAACATAGAGCATGCCGAGAACAGGCAAAATAAGTGTAAAACTGGCACCTTGCATAGGGCAGAAACCTACCAGCAGATGGCATCAACCTCCAAGGAGGAAGAAGTAGCGTTGGCTCAACTGGAAGGCTCATGCACTTCTCCCAGAACGCACTGAAGTTGGTGAAAGCAAGCCCATTTTCGTCGTAGACTTCCCAAGGTTCATACAAGAGATCAGCATTAAAAGTCCTAACATTGACGCCGCTCTCTGCCAACTGGCTCTTTATTTTATGATCTCGAACGAGTGAAACGGGATCTGCATTTAATAGAGACCTATTTAGCGAAAATAAATTGAATGATGCAAGAACATAAGGGTTTCATTGCGTCACAAAGAGAACATCCCAGAACAATAATCGGACATGAGCTCAAGTTCAAGTCAGCTCCAAACTAAAAAAATATCTTACGTTGGAGGATGGAGACCCCGATAGAGCTATAAATTATTTAACAATACAGATATTTTTAAGGCAAAAGGTAAAAAACGAGCTTACATATAAGCAGTCACGTTGCCTCTACATTTCATAAAATTACGATCATAAATTATTATTTTCTCAATCAACCAGAAGCACAAAGAAATTATGTTTCTCTCTAATATGATATTGTTCTTCAAGTAACCTGGATGTGTGAAATTGCGAGGTCTCAGCAACTAACGGGACGAAAGAAGAGCGCCGACAAGACATAGTCACCACAATAGTAGAACACTTTCTTTGACCTGAATGACACAATGAAACATTTCTATACTCCTACCATATTTTAAATATCGGAATATAATGCTCCATATACAGTGAGAAACACCTCAGCATGTCAAGGTGGGAAAGTCAACGCACTAGGGTAGCGTTCGTGAGGGTTGCTCTTTTGCAATCTCAAATTCATTCAAAAGAGAGCATGCGACACTAGCACCAACAGCTAAAAGTGATGAAAGCAGAAACATTTATATTCTTGTAAATTTAATTTATAGAGTTGACCAGCTTAGGTCTGGTAACAGAAATATAATCATCTTCTGCGCCACAAGAGGACATTTAGCTGGATAGGAATCTGTCCGGAGGACTTTTTCCGGGACCTGAGATGCTTTTCGCGCTCTGCACGCTCTGCACTTGGCTACGATGCCAATGAAAATCTTAATAGGAAATAATATGAGTGTTGAATAGTGACTTAAAGAACATGGTTCGCAGTAATATTGTTTTTAAGGATAAAGCGTAGAAACGAAGCTGACACTGTTTCATGAGGATATTGTTAAAGGAGGGAAAAAAGTCAATTTTTTTAATCTACTATATTTTCCCAATTCTGGAGCAACTACAATCGCGTAAATTGCATCAGAAGATTGCAAAGATGATTATGAAACAAGGAATGTGGCACTTAATCCACAGAAATAATTTTTACCTAAAGAAAAATAGTATCTGCACTGTCTCTAATGCAGAAAAGTTTACCGTTCCATTTTCATGCTCTTCCTTGAGAAGTAGTAACTACATAGATTACTGATGACATGGACCAGAATTTAGAGCACTTTGATGTGAAGAGAAAAGTGATCTTTTAGGTGTGCTTTGTTGTGGGTTATGATATTTCAATTTGACTGGTTTGTGAGTCATCTATTCGACTGCAAGTTGTAAGAAGATTCGTGATATGCTCAGCACTTCCCATATACTACAATGCTAAAGATCGGATGATGAAAAGTTATGAAAGAACAGACTAATGCCAGATAGAATGGATAGTTGGTAAAGTGAAAGGATTATCTGAGAAAACCTCTGATAAATCTTTTTCACAACCTCTCATGCATCTATCGCTCTATACCAAAATTGCAGACTATGTAATGAAAATTTGAGAAATGAAGAATCAAGGGCAAGATGGTAGGTATAATTTCCTGACAAGTAGTAGCTTATCTAGAACAACCCCAAATGGGCGTGAGACCAGTACAACACCCTCAGAGATGGCTTACTTTTATCCTTCTGAACATGGTTTTCGAAATCGGCTAACTAAAATGATAAATCAGGCCCAGACCTACCGTTCTTGGCCAGGAATCACCAAGAACTAGCCAATTTTATGATTCTGGACTGATTTGTGATACTAATGCGTAGAAGGCAGGATAATATTAAAAGTGAATTGGTAAAGGCAGAGGACGAGTCTGAAGTTCTTTGAGCTTCACATGAACTTGAGTCTGAGGTCTAATCATCAATAGTTACTCTGAAAGAATAAAAATAAAAAGCACTGCCTTTGACTAGAGGCTAAGGGGCAAACCCACAATAGAGTTCCATGTAGAAGTCATTTCAGTGACAACCATTATAGAAGAGGCTATTGTGACCATGCATAGTCTATAAATTTCTACATGCATCGGGGTATTGAAAAAGAAATGAAAAGGGTTAAAGAGTAGATACAACAAGTAGATTTGATCATGGATTTTTTTTCTCGATTGATCTCCTTGAGTCAAATGAAAAAATGATCAAAGCGAGACCATTTTTTAAAAAAATGCATCAGGAGAAATAGGCAAGAGCCCGAGTCAAAAATATTCATACGCGGAAAAAAAAAAGGACTATATATTGATAATAGAAAATCAAGCCACCATTAAAGAAACAAACCGTATAGATGGTTGAAAACCACACGCTTGGATCCAGTAGCACTGACACACCGCAAAAGGGCACTGAGAGTGCTTTCTGCTTTGATGAAGACGAGGGGAACACCAAGAGATTTCAAGGATTTGTCCAGGTGAATAAGAGATTGCTTCAGCCACCATCGGGAAACTCGACCAGGATAGAACTGAGCTTCTTCCTCTGGGCACCATATGAAAACGGGAAGGACGCGCCCATCTTTTGCAGCAGCGGTCAACGCAGGATTATCTTCGATCCTAAGATCTCTCCTGAACCAAACAACAGTGGGGGATGCACCATCCATCATCACCGCTTTAGGCGCGCCTTCTGCTAAACATTATACCGCAGCATGAGCCCAGAAAGAAAAGGAACGCATGGAATGAAATAAAAGACCTCGAGAGACGGTTCAATGCTTTGTAACAATAAGACAGAATCAAGGAAACTCACAGACTTAGATGTCCTGTTCGTTGACTCTCAGATCAGATCTTTAATTGACGACAGTAAAACTCAAAGTCGGGGCAAAATCAGTGACGCCGATTACGGAACACCGCTTCCAGAAGGGAGAATTTTCCGATTCAAATGCCGAGAGAAGCCAATCCACCATAAAAATAGCTATAAAGCAAACCAGAACCCTCGGATAATCGCCGAGACAGGGAACTGGGTGATGATCCACTGAAATATCACACTGACTGAAAATTAGAAAACTGATTAAGGAAGGGGCCACTTTCCCACGGAAACCCCCTGACAAACTACTACGATCCGCTCGCAGGAGGAAACCCCGGGCAGGAGATCCCAAATCCGCGTCCAAGCGACCGAGTGGGAGTCACTATCCACCTCCCCCAAAAGTCCGCCCTAGCACTCCGGGAAATACGCCCTCGTCGGGCAAATAAGAGAAGCAAATGGGAGTCCTGAGCCCATAGAACACACGATCTCCTCCGCCCCCGAGCTCAGGCCCCACCATCGCCGTCAGCCGAATCAGAAACTCGATAGAGCCGTCCAGAAACCTGTAAAAGATAGACTTCCCGATCCTGCTGCCACCCCCACCCCCCGTGCCTCCCGAAGCAGTCCAGACAGGGTAAAAACAAAGACGAGCGAGAAGAAAAGAGACACGGGCGTTAAAAATGACGGCGAGCGGATCCGTGCACCTCTGGTCGGGGGGACCCGAACAATCGGACACCCCTAAAACGGAAATTCGGGTCCCTTTGGACCCGTTAACCCGATACCATCCCCCGCCGGGAGCAGCGGCGAGGGGGGAAGTTCTCCCGTGAGACGTCCCTTTCGACCCACGGCGGCGGAGAGGAAAATCTCACCGGCGGCGACTCTTTGCGTGACTTGTACCGATCAACCTTCCACGTCGGCGGGGGGGCTATGGCGGAGGTTGGCCGGATGAGCGTCTCGCCGGCGAGGGTTCGGCCCATCGGGGGACCAGCCGACCGGCGCACGTGGTACGCATGCGATAATCTCGGGGAGAAGGAGAATGAGAAGATTCCTTGTACCCATCCTGCATTAAATTTACGGGTTGGAGTCCTGATATTTGGTTGAATACTGCGCCTTCTCTCAACTGCCGACATTGAACTGTGGGGGAGGGGGGATGGTCACATGTGGTGCCAGCTCAGCCCACCATTCCGCAGAAGCCTCCACGTCATCATGATACCATCACGGAGGGATGGGGTAGAGAACCCATTTGTGTTGACTTATCTGGGTCCGGCCAAACGTTGAGATGGGATCAATGGGGGAGCGATGGGGACGGGGATCCGCAGAATAAATGTGCCGACACGGAGGTCAACGGGTGTACGGGTGGCTTTAGTGGTCAACCTGCAGCGTGAGAGATCGAGCGCCACTATTGGGGAAGGGATCGAAGTAGGCCTTGGGGATTACGGCCCGGGGTAGAAGCCCATGTGCTCAGGAGCTGAAGGCCCAAAGGGAGCAAAGGAAGCGTGCCTTTTCCCTGTAAAGAATGGCCGGTGCTATTGAGTTGAATGACGATTATACCTTTGACCCGAGTTGGTGGGAACTTAGAGAGGGAGGCAGAGATTATTCGTGAAATGTGCCTGTTACTTTGCTTATTCACGGGTTTATAATACACTTCGCATCAGCTCCATAAGACCAGTAGCAGCGACTCCCAGGGGAAAGCAGAGGAGAAATGAAAGAACGAATACAGAGGACGGAGGTCCCTTCAGCGGCCTATCCAGGCCTTCTTCATCACACATGCAAGGCACCTGAGAGCCTCCTCAGGCGGCCGCGCACGGAGACGAAGGAAAGAGGAACAGGAGCAGGAGGGAGAGTAAGAGTAGGTGCCGGTAGGAAAGGATCCCCCCAATCCCGCTAGTGGGAGGGACGAAGGGACGGAGGAAGGGAGGTCTAGCAGATGGGGATGGGGGCGCCGTTCCAATCCCGCAAGCACTCGAAGAGCGGATCGACGACCTTGCCCTGGGAGATGGCGACGTAGACCTTGTCGAACTCCTCCCCCGGCGACCGGACCTTCTCGCCGGTGAGAAGGCTGGTGCCCAACTCCTCTCTCACGAACTTGTAGAGCGGGTAGGACCTGCACTTCTTGATCCGGTTGGGAATCGCCGCTGTCCCGTTATCGAACGCCGCCCGGACGGCCTCCACCTCCTTGGGCAGGGTCATCTTCAGGTCCTCCTCGAAAGCGGCGACCTTCTGGAAGATGGAGGTGTTGGAGTCCTTCTCCTTCTCGCCGTTGCTGAGGGCGTGCTCCACGAGAACCTGCCGGAGCTTCTGCATCAGCGGGTATGTGGCGCTGCATGGGTCGTCGGCGTAGGTGAAGACGTGCTCCCGCTCGACGGCCCTGATGAGGTCCTTCTCGCAGAATCGCGAGGGGTGCAGCTCCCCGTTGACGCCGATCGTGAGGACCCTCTTCGCCACCTGGCTCACCGTGTTCTTGACGGCGTTCTTGAGGTTCTCCTCGAGGTGGCGCAGGTCGACGGCCTGGCAGAGAGCCACCAGGTAGGTGGAGGTCATCAGCTTCAGTATCTCCACCGCCTCGGCCGTCTTCCTCGCCGAGATCAGACCGAGGGAGTTCACGTCCTGGTTATGCTGCTCTGCGCTCTGAACGTGGTTGGTTACCGGGTTGGCCAGGAACTGCAGCTCCGAGCAGTAGGCCGCCATGGCGATCTCAGCGCCCTTGAACCCGTAGTCCAAGCTCGGATTGCGCCCCGCCGTTAGGTTCGACGGCAGGCCGTTGTTGTAGAAGTCGTTGACAAGTTCCGAGATCTGCGCGAACATGAGCTTCCCGATGGCGGCGATGGCGAGGCGGGAGTTGTCCATGGAGACCCCGATGGGCGTGCCCTGGAAGTTTCCCCCGTGGAGGGCCTTGCTGCGGGAGACGTCGATCAGGGGGTTGTCGTTGACCGAGTTGATCTCGCGCTCGATGGACTTGGTCGCCTGTCGGAGCACCTCCACCTGAGGGCCCAGCCACTGTGGGGAAGTCCGCAGGGCGTAGCGGTCTTGCTTGGGCTTCTGGAGCGGGTCGAGCTCGTGCAGCTTCTTGGCCATCTTCATGTAGGAGCTCCCCTCGAGGATATGCTCCATGATGGCGGCGGCCTCGATCTGGCCCGGGTGGTGCTTGAGCTTGTGGGTGAGGTGGTCCGTGAACTCCGGCTTCCCCTGCATGACCTCGCAGAAGACGGCGGAGAGCACCTCCGCCAGCACCGCCAGAATGTTGGCCTCGAAGAGCACCATGGAGGCCAGCCCGGAGCCGACGGCGGTGCCGTTGACCAACGCGAGCCCTTCCTTGGGTTGCAGCTCGAAGAACCCCCCGGCGATGCCGGCCAGCCGGAAGGCCTCCTCAGCCGACACCTGCTTACCCTCCGCCGTGACCGCCTTCGCGTTGGACCGCCCGGTGAGCATGCCGGCGATGTACGACAGCGGCACGAGGTCGCCGGAGGCGGTGATGGTGCCGCGAAGGGGGAGGCAGGGGGTCACGCCGTTGTTCAGCAGCGCCGTGATGGCCTCCAATATCTCGAACCTAATGCCCGAGTAGCCCTGCAGGAGCGTGTTCACGCGGACCAGCATGGCGGCGCGGGTGGCGGCCGGCGGCAGCGTCGTATTGCCGGAGTCCGCCCCGGAGCCGAATATTCCGGCGTTGAGGAATCTGCGAAGAACACAGGCACGCCGTCAGGTCTCCGCGCCGCACCGTCCGCCAAAACATAAGAAATAATTTTAGGTAGATGCTGCTTCGACTGCGGTCGTTAACCAATATGACGTCGGATACATCCTCTCGGTGAACCACTTCAACCTCCCCGGTGAGGCCCCCCCCGTCTTGAGGGGAGCTGGGCCGCTGCACCAATCCGCCTACCCCGGCCCAACGGTGGATGATGACGCGTTGCGCGCTTCACTGATTGATTTATCTGGCATGATCTCTCGTGAAGATGCTTTGCCACGTGTAAGAACAAGGTTTCTTCACGAGTCTCACCAGGGCGGTGGGCCCGGCCCCAGGGCCGACGTGGGTTCATGCCAAGTGGCAAGTCTTAGCCCGAGTCTCCGTGAGGAAACTGGCCAATTACTACTCCTACGTAATAAAAGACGCGTCGCCCCAGGAGGGCGACTCGCGCCCTCCACGGGGGAAAACCATGGTCTTAGTCGGATGATGCTGATGATTACATATCCCGTCAAGCCGAGAAAAAATGCATTAGATGCTGATTAAGCGTTGGTTAAATACGATAATCCCGATAATTTATATGGGATCAGGAGAGCAGCGTGGTTTGTGGTCCGGCCGGTGCTTGCTTACTATATGTTCGTTCGCGTGTTGAGCTAATAAATTGGTGTAAAGAAAGCGAGAGCATGCGGGAGGAGACGGGGTACCTGATGAGCTCCTTCTGGAGGGCACCGCCCTGCTTGGTGCGGCGGTGGGACGTTGCACCGAAGCCCGTGGTGACGCCGTAGCTGTCAGTCCCCCTGTTCATGCTGTCCATGACCCAGTCGCTACTGGCCTTGACGCGAGGACGGGCAGAGTCGGCGAGCTCCACCCGGAGTGAGGCGGCGGCGCCGGCTGCGGCCACCGCGGCCACCTGAGAGATCTTCAGGTCGGCGCCCTCCAGCTGCACGAGGGGATGGCGGAACTCCTCCACCATGCGCTTCACCTCCTCGAGGTGGCTCCCGGAGAGGGACTCGGCGGCGGCACCCCAGTTGAGCGGGTCGCCGGCGGCGATGGTGGGCTTGAGGCAGAAGCCCTCGAGGACCCCGGAGTGGCCGTTGCAGTTGATCTGGCCGGCGGCCTCCATTTTCTCCCCGCTATAGAGGACGACGAGCGAGCAACGACGATGAACAGACGGGGATTGGAGAGGAGAGAGGGAGGAGAAGACAATGCCGGTCCCTGCTCGGAGCGCCTCCTCTTCTTCCTTCCTCTTCCTCTTTCTCTCGCGTGCGCTCTGAGGAAGAAGGAGAGAGAGGCTCTGGAGATAGGCTAATGATCTCCTGAGCTGGGAGAAAAGGAAGACGGGGGGTTAAATAGAGTGGGGAGAGGGAGAGGCCGGGCCACACGCGGCGGCGGCGGTGGACCCGTGGTGACGAAGGGATCGGGGAGTTGGTGCGGAAGAGGGAGGACCAAAGCTTGGGTAGTTGAGGGCCGATCCGGGCCGTCGGTTCCCTTCGGATCCTACGGCTATCTTGACTTTTAAGTGGTTAGATAAGCATGCCATGCGCACCAAACGCAGGTACCCCCACCTCCTCCTCCACTCTACTCGTCAAAGATCAAACTCGTTCGTTCCCCCCCGCCCAGAACAGATGAAAAAGAGGACAGGTGTTTATTTAGAAAGAGAAAGCGGGCTAGAGAGAGAGAGAGAGAGAGAGAGAGAGAATAGAGGGGCGGTGTGGTGGTTGGTGTGGGAGAGACGTAAGCCTGTCGTCACACCTCACTAATGTGTAGCCAAGGATTCCAAGCCTTTCCTTTGCAAGGTAAGGGGGGACGAAGGCGACCGGAAACTGAGTCTCGGCCACTCTTTCTCTCTCTCTTTCTCTGTATCTGTGGGCTAGAGAGATGAGAGCGTCGGGGAGGAATATCATAGCAAATGGAGTCGGGATTTCGGCTGAAATTCTCACCACCTCCTGCTACCCAAAACGGAGACGGTTCTTTATTCCTGAGGAGGCTTCCTGTTAACGACGGCTCGGAAATTCCCACCGTCTCTACGCGCCCGGCGCCCTCAGCGCCTTGTCTTTTCGGTCCCAAAGGATCTTAAAAATAATATTTCTCCGACCATATTCGTCGCCGGAGACCCTCTAACTAGGTTTGATTGATTTCATCAAATCTCCTTCCCACCGCAATTAGCTCGTCGATATTTCTTCCGGGCGAGGCGTGAAGGCCACGGGCAGCCAGCGACGGCTCACGTTGCTCTGCAGAAACAGTGTATACGTTAAAATCTACATTTAAACATGGTTGGATGGGGTGGATGAGGGGGCGGACCCTCGGAAGGGTAGGCGCTCTGTGTAGAAGGAATCAGCTCGCTGATGCGTCTCCGGCGGATCCAGAGTCGTGTGAGAAACAACGAAGGAAACGGGAACACGAGGAGTCTCGTCCGCCTTGATCATTGGTAATTGTTGAAACAGCGTCGCGACTTTGCAGGGGGGGAGCTGATTCACAGTAAGCAATAGTACTGTTGCATTGACCACGATGCTTGTTATGGAAATATTATCAACGAGGATAATTAGGATTTCAACGGGCTTAAGACCTGTGCTTTATCAAGCCCGGGAATCACCCTCTCTCTCTCTCTCTTTCTCTCTTTCTCTCTCTCTCTCTGAGCGCCGCAGAGGCCGAGCCAAACTCAAGACTCACCCACCAACATGGAGATGCTTTTGTTGACTTTCTCCATACCGAGACCAGGTCAAATCTACCGAGTTTGAGTTTGGGCTCGGTGATTCTTGACCCAGCCCGATGACGCCTATAATATTAGCTTCAAAGATGCATTAAATGGCTCGTTCGATCTATTTGCCAGGTTCCCTACGTAGTCCCCGATACTGTGACGACGCGAAGGAAAATGCCTGCGTGTCGCTGAGCTAACGCAGGTGCAGCGACCCAAGTCCCGCGGGGGAAGAGGAGTAGGTGAGGGAGGACTCGATCCACGAAAGGTTGATGACCCGGTTAATTACGTGGAAGGGAGGGTCTCGCTTTCGCGTTCGGGTGGGATGTGACGTGGACGACGTCGAGCGGGGAACCTGCTGACACATCAGTGTATCCACGTCTACGTGTAAAATACACGTAAGCCCGCTCTCATTTTCCTGTATTCCCGTCCCTAGATAGACAGTGGGTGAGGGGGAGATGCTCTCTCATCTTCCAGCTCTCAGCGAGTAGACCGTTCTCTCTCCTTTGACCGTGACGCACCGTGGTGGCAGTCACGGCACCATGAACTTTCCGTCTGCCCGCTCGTTATCCCCTTCTCCCTCTGTCGTTGGGGGGGGGGGGTGTTGGGGCGGAGAGACAGAAGAGGGAGAGAGCGAGAGAGATGATCGGGAGGAACTTGGGAGGCCACTAGCGAGCCACGAGGAAGGATTCTCGTGTTCTCTACTCGTTGTCCTCCAACACCAGGAAGGCGTCAATGTAGTAGGTACGAATAAATAAACAGACATGCGCGTAGAATAAGAGAAAGAATCCGTCCATCTGAGGGCGGGCGAAGGTGAAGAAGGAACGCGCGCAATTAAGGCCGACAGAGTTTCTCCCTCGGCTTCTATGGCCTTGCGGCGAAGGTCGCACAGAACTGACCCGAGATAGTCAACTCAACAGACCCGTCCTTCTCCGGACGGTCCCGAATGCTTGGATCGTCGTTTTTTTATCATTTTTGTTACCGTTTATAATATATTACGTCAAGTACCTGATAAATATCATTTTTCATGGAAACAAATTAATACGCGCCGCTGTGTACGAAATAAAGTTCGTATCCTATTACTCAACCTCCCAGCTGCATACGCGCCATCCTCTCTCTCTCTCTCTCTCTCTCTCTCTCTCTCTCTCTCATTCACTCGCTCTCACTCTCTCTAAATCGATGTGTACAATTGACGTGTGGATGTATGTATGTATGTACGCATATTCCATTTAATATTTAGACTGGCTCATTTAACGTGTTTTACAACTGGCGACTATTGTAACACTTGGCGGAGGGCCATCGGGTTGACATCTACGCGTTTGAAAAGAGTGATTTGAGACACGAATAAGACCGTCGAGAGGAGATGTCTAGGCCCTTTCGAGCTACGCACCGTAGGTCCTCGACGACGATATTCCACCACGAACCAGCGTCACCCCCGGCGGCGCCGGGGGGGAGACCGTTCCGTGACGGCCGTCTCTGTGCGGCTCCAAATAAGGTCGCCCGGAGCCCGGAGCTGAGCAAACGACGGTCGTCTCCCTGCCTGTTTGGTGAGCGGTCAAACATTCCGCAGATAGAGAAACATCGCAGCCGTTGGGGCATGTGAACAACGCCGCTCCGCTCACCAACCTTCGCCGGCCGGCCGGCCGGCCGGCCGCCTCCGGAAAGTCCAATAGGTCCCCGCAGGAACGCATCAAAGATAACCAAATCGATTCGACCCCACTCCAAATTCCAGGACCCAATTTTCCGTTTGGCTTGGCCGGTCAAACGATGACACCGCACCAACGGGATCAGATCTTTTCCGCCGACCACAGCAGCTTCCGCCGTATCTTCTGTCTGGACTTCCCTACGTCGATGTCGAGTGGCCAAGATGACGGCTGTTGCCACTTGGACCCCCCGATATTCGACCAAGTTGACTCTAGAGGAGTCAGGGTCTTACCTACCGAGGACTCTGAGCTTGCGGATCAGTTGGCGGAAGGAGATTTTCCCGTCACTTAAACAAGGTGGGTGACTTGTAACATCTAAATTACGTAAACAAGGTTACAGATAAGCCACCCACATTCGATCTCATCTTCCGCTCTGTCTGTCTGTCTTCCTGTCTCTTTCTATGCGAGCAATGGCCGCAGCTACGAACTCCTTCCCTTGGAAGGGAAGAGATAGATAAGAGTCGATTGGAGGACGTTGAACTTGCCTTTGTCGCACCTTTTACGAGCCGATAGATTCTCCATTCTGGTCGGCCGGGTGGCTGAACCTCAACCTCAACCGATGGTTTACTGTTTTCTCTCTGACCGGAAAGTCAGAAGTTTGGTGAGATTATGAATGAGCTCTGTCTGACCTACCGCAACTCCCTGCAAGCTCGTCCGTCGGACTGGACTCATTCTATCTGCGCACTTTCATCTGTCCCCCCTCCCCCCCCCCCCGCCACTCTCTCTCTCCTTGCCTTTCTCTCGCCTTCTCTCTGTGTATGAATATGTACCTATCTACCTATCTAGGTAAAGTGTAGGGAACCATGTAGGTATCTGTTGATGAGGTTCGCCGTTGACTTTTATCAACCATGGATGATGCTAACTTTTGGTCCCCCATCGGAGGAAGTAACTGCGACCTTTTTCAGCGGGCACGCAGAACTTGAGTGGGTAGACACCGAGGAAGGGCGAACTCCACAGGGTTCACTTTCTCGGACCTTCTCTCGTTCGAGGAGACCGACCACCACTATGGTTCTCAAAGGTAGAGAGAGAGAGAGAGAGAGAGAGAGAGAGACCACTGAAACCACTTAACTTTTATTTAATTGAGACATAAATACGTCACATGGTACCTTGTCGATAATCATGACTGTTTACAGAACTATAGAGGGGCCCAGTAAGAGCCCACTTCATAGCAAACCCCCGTTGACACCGCGGGGTCAGGATTTGGAATGGGCCTGAGCCGGAGGAGCAGGCGGATAGAAGGCCTGGGGTGGAGGCGCCGGGGGCCCATATATCTGAGTGGGCCAGCTCGCCTCGCTCCGTCCACGGGCCCGGCCAAATAGGTAGCAGGCCAAAGCAAGGATGGCCAGGAGGAGGATCACGGGAAGAGAGATTACCAGCACGTAGCCCATCCGCGGGGGCGTCGATTTCCTGCTGAATGGACGGTCGAGGATCAAGAATCAGCACATAGATGATCCAAATCTTTAGATGCTAATCGGATGGCTGAAATCTCCCTCGTGATTGACGGCGGCGGCGGCAGCGGCAGCACCGCCGCCTCGGGTAGCCCCCGCCGCCGGGGCGCTGCCACAGATGCGAATTCCGGCGAAACATCTCTCTGCATACGCCGGCGGCCGCCCCTGCCAGAGCAGATGCGGCGAGGAGGACGACCGCCGACGCGACCCGAAAGTGGGAGAGACGATGACTCCCCAAGATCGCCGCCTAAGGGAGGAGGCTCCCGGTGGGTAAGAAACTCCTCTCCGGCGAGGGCCTCCTTCCTCCCCGGCGATAGGCAAGGAGAGGGGTGGTGCAGAACCTAATATCTATCAAATCCCGCTGAGGGGGAAAGGAGGGGAAGCGCAGTAATAGTGTCGCAGCAAAAGAGACGTACCGATCGCCACCGATCCGCCGGCGAGCCCCCCCGACCGTCCCTCTTAGAGACAGGGAAGTCCCCCCTCCGGCGAGACCCTCACCGCCTCCCCCCGCGTGGCCCCGCCTCTCTGTCTGGTCAAACAGTGGGGAAGATATTCCGATGGGAAGAAATTCTATCTGGGCCAGATATAAAATCGATCTGGGCCACGTGTCTATCGGCAGTCTCGTACTCCATTTTAGTAATTCGAGGGAACCCATCTTCCATGGGTGTCATGCTTCTAAGGTCCGGTGAGCTCGTCGGAGAAGAAAACCCTCGCTGCCGCCTCCCGCATCTCCTCCTCCTTGTTCTCAGCGCTGAGTTTCCTGCAGAGGAGAAGATATATTCGCCGCAGGGTAGAATTCTTCGGGCGAGAATGCTGGTGTGAACGATGTTATGGTCTCTGATGAAGTGGTCCTCTGGAGCGTCCCCTACTTCCGAGCCCTCCTCCGGTCATGCGGCCGCTCCTCAGCCCGAGAAGGCCGGAAGCTCCACGCCGTCCTCCTCAGAAATGGGCTTCTGTCGAATGTCACCGGCTCCTCTTCTTCTTCTTCCTCCTCCTCCATCTGCAGTGCCCTGTTCCACATGTACGCGGCATGCGGGTCACCGACCACGGCGCTTCGGGCCTTCCGGTGTATCCCCGCTCCCCAGAGATCGGCCTCCGACTGGACGGCTCTCCTCTCCTGCAATACTCGCCATGGCCTGCACGCAGAGGCGCTCCGCCTCTTCCGCACCATGGAGATGGAAGACCGCGTTCCCGGGGACGAAGTGACCATAGTTTGCGTCTTGGGGGCCTGCGCCAGGTTGGGCGATCCGGCGGCCGGCTCTGCCGTCCACCTGCGGTTCATCAAGAGGGGGCTGGCCCTTGTCGCCACCGTCTGTAACGCCGCCATGGATATGTACGTGAAGTGCGGCAGGATGGGGGACGCCCGGCAACTCTTCGGAGAAATGGCAGCCCCAACCGTCGTCTCCTGGACGGTGATTCTCTCCGGGGCTCTCCGGTGGGAGGGGCTGGACACGGCGCGCGAAGTGTTCGATCTCATGGAGGAGAAGAATGAGGTCACCTTCACAGTTATGGCTGCGGGGTACGTAGAGGCTGGGCTCCCCAGGGAAGCTCTGGCCGTCGTTGCCCAGATGATCTTCTTCTCCCCCCATGGCTCCGGTCCGGTGAGCTTGAACCACGTCTCCCTGTGTTCCCTTTTCTCTGCGTGCTCCCAGGCCGGTGACCTCGCCGTCGGCCGGTGGCTGCATGCTTACAGCACGAAAACGGCCTTGACGGCAGGTGCGGGTGAAGGCAATCGTCGTCTTCACTCGGTCATGGTGTCCACTGCCCTGGTCGACATGTACGCGAAATGCGGGAGCATCCGCACTGCGCGCCTCCTGTTCGAAAAAATGCCTCAGAGGAATATCGTCGCCTGGAATGCCATGCTGAGCGGGCTCGCGATGCACGGTCTCGCAGAGGATCTGCTCCTCCTGTTCTCGCAGATGGCCGAGGGCGGCGTCCGACCAGACGAGATCACCCTCGTCACCGTCCTCAGCGCCTGCAGCCGCGCAGGTCTCGTAGAGGAAGGGCGGCGATTCTTCCGCACTGCGGCGCCGGCGGCGGCACGCAAGGTGGAGCACTACGCGTGCATGGTGGACCTCCTGGGCCGCGCCGGTCTGCTGGAGGAGGCGGCGGATCTGGTGAGGTCGATGCCCGTCCCCCCCAACGAGGTGGTGCTGGGGTCCCTGCTGGCCTCCTGCGGTCTTCACGGAAGGGCCGACCTGGGCAGGCGCCTGATGGAGCAGCTGGGGGAGATGGATCCTGCCAACACCCAGTACCATGTCTTGCTCTCGAACACGTACGCGTCGTCAGGGAGGCAGGCGGCGGCGGAGGCCCTGCGGGAGGCGCTGCGGCGGCGCGGCGTGAGAAAGGTCCCCGGCATGAGCTTCATCGCCGTGCACGGCGAAGTCCACCGGTTCCGCGCGGGGGACCGCTCCCACCCCCGCACGGCGGAGGTGTACGCTATGGCGGACGAGGTGGTGGTGCGGCTGAGGGCGGCGGGGTACGAGCCGGGTGCGGCGGGGAAGGTGTGGCGCGTCATGGACGGGTACCTGGGGGAGGAGGAGGAGGAGAGGGAGAACGTGCTCTTCTCCCACAGCGAGCGCCTCGCCATCGCCTTCGGGCTGATCAGCACCAGGCCAGGGGCGCCGTTGCTGGTCTTCAAGAACATCCGCATCTGCCGCGACTGCCACTCCGCCGTCAAGCTTGTCTCCCGCATCTACGGACGCGAGATCACCGTTCGAGACCGGAACCGCTTCCACTGCTTCAAACAGGGGGAGTGCTCCTGCTCCGACTACTGGTGAGGTCGTCCCAGGTCAATGGGTCAGCTTCCACTGAACGTTGACTTTCTGACCGAACCCCCCCTGCGCCGCCTCCTCACAGCTTGGAGACTGCGCACTGAGGCCGGCTGGACGAATGGAGAACTTGCGAAACTCATAACACTGAATGACGAAAAAAAAGGGGGTTTCAACCTTTACGAGAGAGAGAGAGAGAGGCAATCTTCTGGGCCACGTTGCGTATGGTGAGTCGTTGATGTATTTCGCGATGCTCTCCATCGGACGGCGGACGTTGCTTCGAGTGAGGAAAAAATATCTAAGAGCATAGTCGTAATTAAGTGTCCGTGTCGAGGATATTTGCCTGATAGCGCCCTATCCTCTCGGCCCTTTAAAATCTTCACCTCCGGAGGCTGATCTTCTTCCTCTACCCTCTGCGAGCCTTCTCGCCCTCTCCCTTGCTCTCCGCTGCTAGCTTATCGACAAACTCCAGTGGGAGCAATGGCCGCCTCCTCCTCCGCATCCTTCCTCCTCCTCCTCCCCTCCTCCTCCTCCACTAGAGTCCTGCTCCCCAACGCCGCGCCCCGTTTCCCAGCGCGGGCCGCCTCCTCCTCCGCGGCGCTTCCGTCGCTGTCTCTTGCCGCCTCCGCCAAGCCGTTGTCCGTCGTCTCCAGCACGAGGAGCCTCGGCCAGGCACTCGTCCCGCACGTATCTGCTTCGCCGAGAGTGGACACCGAGGAGGAGGCGTTCACGGGCCAGAGGGAGGACGACGAGCCGAGGTTCCCGGCCGAGTTGAAGCTCTTCGTCGGGAACCTCCCCTTCAGCGTCGACAGCGCGCAGCTTGCCCAGACCTTCTCTCGTGCTGGAACCGTCGAGATGGTGGAGGTGCGTGCGGCGAAGGGAAAAACCTTTCCGTATCAGTTTGTTCTTCTTTGAACTTTGCTCCTCATCTGCTTACCCCCTCTCTCCTTTGTGGCTCCTCCACCAGGTTATCTACGACAAATTGACGGGGAAGAGCCGGGGTTTTGGGTTCGTGACCATGTCCACCGTCGAGGAGGTTGAAGCTGCCGTTGATTTGTTCAGCGGCTACGTGAGTCTCTCCGCTCTCTCTTCCCTCGCCCCTCCTTACTATGCCAAGCTCTGCCTATTTTCCATTTAATTCGCCATCTTGCTACCATTCCACTTTCACTATGCTGCGTTCACCGACTCGTCTTGATCATGCAGGAGCGAATTAAATTCCCATGGTTTCTATTTCTCATTCCAGTAAAGTTTTTATTTTTTCTCTCAATGATATGCTACCATTTATCATCTTCTCCCTCGTTCATCTACTCGCACTAGAATTCATCTCCCAATGTAATTGCCCATATAAATTTTTCTTGTTCTCATTCAAAGGAGAATTTTTGGTTTTCTGCGCATTCTCTGTCTATTGTTGCCTTGGCCTTCTGCATTTTCTGCTTTCAAGCATTACCCATCAATTGCAGCCCTTCTGCCGCATCATTTGGCTGCGGACGAAGTCTAGATTCCATTGCCCACGCCCGGTTCTTCAACGGGCCGAGGCCGAGGGTTTGATAGGGTCTAGATAAGTCCAAAGGCTATTGTTCTTGCACGGTTTCCGGAGCAGCCAATATTTGGTCATTGATTATCTTCAGCCACTTCCCTCGCCGTCATGATTTCACGATGAATTGAACCCTTCTCACAGGAGATTCAGGGAAGGCCGCTGAGGGTGAACTCCGGGCCGCCTCCGAGCAGAGACGGGCCCCCTCCGAGGAGGTTCAGAAATGGGTCCGAGTCTGACTCGACGAACCGGGTCTACGTGGGCAACCTCTCCTGGAGCGTCGATGACCAAGGCCTCCAGTCCTTCTTCAGCGAGGTAGGGAGCGTCGTGGACGCAAGGGTGGTGATCGACAGGGAGACTGGCCGGTCGAAGGGCTTCGGCTTCGTCACCTTCAGCTCCACCAACGAGGCCGACTCCGCTATTTCTTCATTTAATGGAGCAGTAAGTGGATCGCCTCGCTCTCTCTCTCTCTCTCTCTCTCTCTCTAGCTCTAGGTGTGCACTTATATATATTCATTGTTAAGCTAAAATATAGGTTAATCAGCATGTATTTCTTTGAGGGTTCATCATCGATCCTCGGATTCGCGTTTCTGTCATCTCGTGCAGGAGCTTGACGGCCGGGCGATCCGGGTCACCATTGCGGAAGCGAGGCAAAGGCGCCAGTTTTGATCTCTGGAGTTCTCGCGGAGGGGGTTCCAGGTTAGATGTAGTGAGAGAAAGAGAGGGACGGACAGACAGAGAGTAGCTCGCAGCGCTTGACATGAAGCTCGTGGTTTTTGGGTGGAATATCGTCTGCCGAACCCAATCCCCATCTCCAGCAGAAGAGGATTTAGAAGAACAGGATATCTTGTTTTACCCTATTTTTTCCTTTTTATTTTAAGTTTTTTTCTATTCGTTCAATGTCCCCTGCCCCTGAGACTCTCTCTCTCTCTCTCTCTCTATATATATATATATATATATTTATATGTTTGAGCACTACGAACTATGGTGAATGGAGATGAAGGTTCCGGTTAATGGGTAGACGCAGTTGGGGAGGAATTTCCTTGATTTAGTAGGATCATCGCCGTCGCCATGGTCGTTGACCCACCAACAGGAAGATGGGAGGAGGAAGAAGGGGCTACGCTGAACCAGGAGATAAATCCAACTGGCGACTACAACGACGACTACGCAGAAGAAGAAGATGATAGGATAGCACCGCAGATGCAGTCAGCCGATCGCAGGGAGAACGAAGGGGAGAGATATCCGGTCTCTCATAAGCGGAACAGGGACGACCACCATGAGACGCATCGTACGATCTATCTACACTTGATTGATCAATCCCCCCGCCGGCGCTGCTTCCTCCGCCTCTCCCGCGGCGGCGACGCTACTTCTTATTGCGACTCCCTCGGCGGCGGCGAGCTCGAGTCAGACGTGGGATCCACTCCGGAAGGACCCCAGCGCCTTGACGGCCCCCGCCCGGAGGATGTACTGGTGATAGCCGGCGGCGATGGCGGCGCCTATGAACGGCCCCACCCAAAAGATCCACTGCGTCCAAGGGGAGTGGATATTCAGAAGCAGATATCATAAGAGAACAGAGGACGGCTCCGCCGGAAATCTTCGTGGCTACGCAGTTCTCGAGTAATCTGAATCATCTGCAACGCACCTGATCGTTCCAGATCCTCTCCTGGTTGAAGACGACGGCGGAGCCGAGGCTCCTGGCCGGGTTGATGCCAGTGCCGGTGATGGGGATGGTGGCGAGGTGCACCATGAAGACGGCGAACCCAATGGGCAGGGGGGCCAAAACCTAGACCAAAAGTCACCACCATTATCAACCAACTCCACTCCACAGAAGAAAAGAGGAAGAACCCTGAACCGTCGACGGATCAGTCAGTAGAATATAGCAGAGAAGGGTGGCGAAGATCTTACAGGGACGTGGGAGTCCCGGGCATTGCGCTTGGGGTCTGTCGCGGAGAAGACGGTGTAGACGAGGACGAAGGTGCCGATGATCTCCGCCGCCAGACCCGTCCCCCTGGAGTAGCCCTCGGCGAGCGAGTTCGCACCGCCCCCGTAACGGTTGAAATAGGCCTTCTGGAAGCTCTTGACGAGGGCCACCCCACAGATGGCTCCCAGGCTCTGTGCCCCCATGTAGAGCACCGCCCGCACCAGCGACACCTTCCTCGCGAGGAACAGCCCGAAGGTGACCGCCGGGTTGATGTGCCCGCCTGCGCTCGCCGGAACACACAAGTGAATGAACTCAGCGCCGGTGCCGGGGAGGGAGAGAGTGTTGGAAAGAGAGAGAGGGAGCGGAGAGAATGTCACAGCATGGATCGTAGAGATGATTGGCGGGCTTAATAGTTACCGGAGATGCCGGCGGTGCAGTAGACGAGGATGAAGATCATGCCACCGAAGGCCCAGGCGATGCCGAGGATGCCGACGCCGCCGCAGCTCACCACCTCGGTGGAGACCTTGTTCGGGTCGGTGGACGCCTTGTGGCCGATGACGGTGGCGACGGTGACGTAGAGGAAGAGGAGCGTCGCAATGAACTCGGCGATGAGGGCCCGATAGAAGGACCACTTCCCCAGCTCCTCGACGTCAACGAGGGGCACCGGCGGCGGATCCGTGTAGTCCTTGGCGGTGAACTCGCTCCCGTGGTGCTCCGCCCCTTGCCCGTTCTTCCCCATGCCTGATCCCCGGCCTTCTCAGAGACGAGAGCTGCTGACAACGAAGGAGGGTACGTACGTCGAGGCCGTGACTTTTTCTCTGTGAAGAGTGGTGTAGAGTGTGGGGTTATTTATGGGAAGGAAGAGAGAGAGAGAGAGAGGATGAAAGTGGAGAGAGAAGACTTCTGGGAGGGAGGCCTTTCCTCAGTCTTGTTTAATTTGCCAATCACGGTCTCCGCAGTGTGGGCCCCACCACAGGCCCGGCTCTCTCCCGTAATCCCCCTGAAATCCAATATCCCCTCTCTCTCTAGTCTGCACTCCCTTCCCCGGCACCCACTTTCCTGAAATGCCCCTGGTTTCCTCTCATTTGTGGGCACAGCTCAAAATTTTCTCTCTCTACTGGTGGCTCCCAAAATGCCCTCGCACCCCACCTAACGCATCCCTTGTTCCTCCGCGCGTCGCCTTAGGAGAAAAAACCACTCTACCATCCAAAACGGGCCGCTCTAAACGGGCCTATGGGGTCTAGTCGCCCGACCCGGGTAAACAGATAAAAGGACCCCAATGTCCGTGGGATCGGTCATATCAACGGTCAGAATTAAATACGAGGGGGGACCATCATGGCCATGGGCGAGGGCCGGGGTCTAGTCGGGCAGCTCCGGCCCTCTATTTAAGTGGGACTCTGAGATTCCCCCCGGCGGGGAAAGGACGGGCGCCAAACGACGGATTCAGCACTCTGAGGAGGAATTAGGTGGCGATCATGCGTGGAAGCGGCCAAATTCCGGATTCCGGAGAGCGACGACAACAAGACGAGCTATCCAAACGCCCGATGAACGACCCCGAAATGACCAAAAAGAGGGAATACTTTTCCTCTTCTTTCCGCCCGTTTTCCATGGCGGGTAGCCCCGCCAGCCTGCCCAGCACCACGAGGCCCACTCAGAGAGAGAGAAGAAGCGGTCGAGGAGGAGAAGAATATCCCGGCCACTTTGGCTTTTGTCCGTCTACACCACCTCCTCTGCAACTTGGGGCCTTCACGTCGGCGTGCTCTGCAATCCCTGCCGGCGCGCAGGCTTTCTCGTTGGCCTCCCCCCTTCCCCGCCGCCCAAAGCACCACCATCCCTCCCTAGTCTTTGACGGGACAATGTGAGTTGTAGGCTATCAGCAAAAGGCGGAGCAGAGACCGCCCCCGGCTCCTCCACCACCCCCTTCTCTGCGCAGAAGATCTAAAGAGACCAGCCCTCTGACTCATCATCCACCCGCAGCCGCCGAATTCCGAACCGATCATGGAGGCTGACGATAGAGAGAACCTTTCTGCCCCCTCCCCCCCCTTCTTTCCCACCTGGGATTATCTTCCACTCCGGCCGTGTCTCCCGTTGGCGTGAGGAGGGCAGGCAGGCGGAGCACGCCGCCGACTCCTTTTCCAACGGGCTAATGCGGGTTCTGGTCGCTTTTTTACCGCGGCGCTTGTGTGCGACGAAATTCCCCCAACAATCCCCGCTACCAGGAAGTCAACGTGTCGACTCATCATGAGATCCCGCGCAAAATGATGATGGGTTGACCATCTTGTCATATCATATCAGACCATGCGCCCCCCGCCGATCGACTGCCGGTTCTAACTAAAGAACGGAGGGCACTCTACCCAGCTCGTCAATCCCGTAGATAAGCTTCTTTTATCCATCGGGTGCCCAATGATTCCATACTTTGATTGATAGCCTATTATATATATCTATATCTTGAGCGAGAGAGAGAGAGAGAGAGAGAGGACTAAGTTATTGGGCCTATGATTTTCTCGTTCGAACAACGGGCCGAGTCTCTTCTAGAATATGGAAGCCCACTTCTTCACACTACGAAAAGTCGGTCACTCGGGCGGCGGGGTGCTTGACTGGGCCCGTAGCCCGTCGGTCTCAAATGGGCCAGGCCACTCTGGTTGTTGCTGGGCCAGCCCGTCAAATTTTGCGGCGCGGACTCGAACCGTGGATGGGATGTCGCGGAAATATATGTAACAGGTTTGATATAGATTGTGAACTTTCTTAATAATAAAAATAATTAATATACTTCGGCGTCAAATAATAAATAATAAAATCCCATTTTTAATAATGACGCCGAAGACTTTTAATCGAGTTTATATATATATTTTATTAGGCGTTATTCCACTTTAACCCGTATAATATTTTTTCGTCAAAATTTCGCTCGCCACGTGTCTGGACGCCGCAAAATATCAACAAAAATATTTCATTTTTCCAATTGATATTGCCGACATTAATGAGAAACGGTCGTCTTATGAGATCCACCACGGCCAACGCAGTTTTTGACTTCCGCGGTGCGTCTCTCTCTCTCTCTCTAAATCAGGAGAGGGAAGGTAGAGATTAATATATAAATAAATAAATAATCATATATAATGAGCGTGGAAGAGAGGGGCGACGTGTCAGGTGTTCACATCGGCGAGTAACTTGCTCGCGATGCATACGCTCCGGTGTATAAATGGGGGGAACGATGCCGTGATTTTCAGGCAATATTCAGGGAATTTCTTATCGGAGTGCATCACTGATTCTCGCCGGATCTCTTTCGCCGAGGCATCCGCCGCCGGGAGGAGTCTAAAGGCCTAAAACCCTCTCTCGCCTGGTCTCGTCAGATCCAGCGAGCGCCGCCGTCGGAGCAGGAGTGGCCGTCCGTACAGTCGCCGGTGGCCGCCTCTGATCGGGAGTTTTGGTGGCGCAGAGCTCCGAGCCTGCGGAGGAAACTGGTTATTCCTGGGACGGCATTCGAGGTTCCGTCGCCGGGGGGCTGGATCTGAGGCCACTTCACCACAGGGATGCTGTGACGGTCGAGGCAGATCGGGAGGATGGGCGCTGCACCGTGACTCGGTGCGGTCGGTTGAGGAGATCGATATAGAAATGGTGATCGCTCCTGATTTGTGCTGGGGCTCTGGTTCATCTGATTTTCGGCGTCGGAGGAGCCAATAACTTGGAGGAGGGAGAGAGAGTGAGAGAGAGACACAGGTTAGAGATAGAGTTGCAGGTGAAGAGTTCTCTGCAGTAAATAAAAGTAGAGGAGAGAGAGGGGGAGAGAGAGAAGGTGGTCGGGCGGATCGGGAAAGCTGGAGCAGGCGTGTTGTCTGATCCACCGCAGCGGCGGCGGCGGAGTAGCGGAGTGGAAAAGTTGACGAGTGAAGAAGCAAGTAGTGTGGAAGCAGAGTGACAAGAGAAGGGGATCATGTACAAGAACCAGCTGCAGGAGCTGGCGCAGCGGAGCTGCTTCAATTTGCCGTCGTATTCTTGCATAAGGGAAGGCCCCGACCATGCGCCGCGATTCAAGGCCACCGTTAACTTCAACGGAGAGACATTCGAGAGCCCCGGCTTCTGCACGACGCTGCGGCAGGCGGAACACGCCGCCGCGGAGGTTGCTCTCAATGCTCTCTCCACTCGGGGTCCGTCCAACTCTCTTGCCGCTCGTATTCTGGTAAGTACCCAATCCTACAGCTTGCACATCTGATTCCTGTATGCCGTGGCGGCGGTTTTCTTCGTCTCTCTTCTGTTTCTCTCTCTACTGGTCCCATGAATTTGGGGTAGTCCCAAACTTGGTGGGGAAGTAGAGTCTTAACAGAGTAAAATGCCAAAGACCTCCTACCAACCAGCTAGAGATCCAAGAGCAATGGCATATACACCCGTTTCTCTTTGACATCTGAATAAGTGATATATTTTTTCCCCCGCAATGCCAATCGATGACGAGGGAATGCGAACTCGCTCGACGGTAGAGTGACTACCTTCTTTTACGTACTCTCTCTTACATCTGATTCTCTACTTCCCCACCGGAAAGATGGACGGCCTCATTCCTTACGGTCATTTTGTTCTTCTATCTCGGATTGAATTTGATCATACTGTTCTCTGGCGTCTCTTCGAGGGGGGATCGCCCGGAGTGGGATCCTCCAAGTCCGCCACCTTCTCGGCCGTCTCCTTCACCCACCGGCCTTTGAATTCCGGCCAGAGAAAGGTGTTAAAACAGCCGTCAAATGATCCAAAAACACCGACTTCGTCATCGTCCCTTGCTTCCGACCAATCTCCCTACTTTTCGTCTCGAGTGCGCAGCTTTGAAACTCATTTCCTGTTGTCTGCCGCAGTAATCTATCATTTCTCCCTACCTCGACAGCTTCTCGGCGCTTTCCAGGGAGCAATTTCTATTGCGGGATAACCTGTTCTCATCCGTCTGCCATGTGGTGCTAGTATAATAGATCGTAGGGTTCAGCAGGGGAAACTGTAGGTGTCGCCTCCCCACCACCCTACCCTGTTCGCCCTTTTTTCTCCCAGTTATGACCAATCAATGCTTATAATTGTGATAATAGCGTCGAAGTCGATATCATAAGATAATTGTGATTTCGTTTTCTAATCTGACATCGACACGACAGAAGATTTGACCGCGGGAGAGGGAGGCTGATATGAGGCTCCTCCCCTCTTCGTGTACACATCACTCGCGGAGAGGTGTGCGCAGTCTCCCTCGAAGACGAGGGCGTGGCCGTTTATTTACTCGTTTCTCCCTGATTTCTTTGAGAAATTTATTTTCCTAGTCGGTGAATTTCTGGTTGGAAAATCACGGGCGCCGCTGGTTCCTCTGGGTCGGGCCCCTCGGGGAGGGGGAGACTCTTTAATTTCTCCTGACATCGCAACCAATTATGCAATTAATACCCGCCACTGCTCCCACTGTCTTCTGTCTCCTCCCCTCCCTTGCCTCAGCTCCCATCTCTATCCGTTCCTTCCTCCCCCCCCCCCCCTTCCCGAATTGTTTACCAGAGTGCCAGTGCTTCTTTTGTCTCCTTCGGGGCGACTTGTAAGAGATGCTCAGTAGAAAACTGCCCGTTTTTTTTCGAAACTCGTTCTCCGCCCCCACCCTCCCTCCCGCCGGTCGTTCTCGCCCCTGTTTTTTCTCCTCTGGTGCCCCCCTTCCCACGTCAGTCGTGTTGGCGAGGCGAGGAGGGGGGTGGCTGCCGTCGCCGCCGTGTTCGTCGTCTCCGTCTTCTTTCTTCTCATTTCCGTGTTTTTAATCTCGGCCGTCCATCTTGAGTGAACGCGACGTCGGCCATCTTCTTCCATTAATATACATTTTATAGCCTCTGTGTTTCGGTCGCCCACATGGGGATGGGCGACCAATCCACCGGGGATACGGCGCACTGGGGGGGAGGGGGGGGAGGGGAATTGGGTGTGGCGCTTAAATGCCCATGGGGTTGGTGGGGCCCCATTAATAAAGTTTCATTTATTAATCGACCCCGGGGGTAGTTTGGCTGAAGTAAACTGGTCCACCATGACCGCCGCGGCGGCGGCGGCGGCGGCACCTCCTCCACTGACTGTGGATCAGCCCCGCCCGCTCTTTTGGGCTCTCTCACTGGGCATGGAAAAAGTACTGATTTTGGGCCTTGCAGCCCACAATGATGGGCTGCGTCGATTTTCTTGGATATCACAATATCACCAAAGAAGAGAGAGGTTGGGCTCCTTTTCTCCTGGGATCTCTTCATTTCCATCCGCCAGAGATTCTCACGATCTCTCTTTCGATTCCACTTGCGAGTGGGCGAATGCCTCCCTCCTCTTCATCTGCCAACACGTCTGTTGATTAGTACCTAATATGTAAGCATCGTCATGAGCGGCAGGCTGTCCTTTCCCGAGATCATACGATCAATGGCTTTAGTTGCCAGGAAGCATGCACTCTGAATTGTTCATCATGCCTCAACTGCCGAGGATGATCGTAAGATTTGTTCTTTTTAGGACTTTTTATACGGAATGCGGCACATCTCGAGCTAGATGGTGCTTGGGATTCTTATCTTTTCTCGTTTATATATATATATATATGCTCAGAAAGAAAGTGCATGGCTGCTGCAGGATGAGACCGGGGTCTACAAGAACCTGCTGCAAGAGATTGCCCAGAGGGTTGGAGCGCCGCTGCCGTCGTACACCACCGTCAGGTCCGGACTCGGGCACCTGCCTGTGTTCACCGGCACGGTGGAGCTCGCGGGGATTACTTTTACGGGTGAGCCGGCGAAGAACAAGAAGCAGGCCGAGAAGAACGCCGCCATGGCAGCGTGGTATTCCTTGAAGCAACGTGAGTTCTTCCTGCTCGTATCGATTTTTCTATCTCTCGATTAAATGAGAAAAAAGGAAGCCGAAGCCGAAATGTGTTCGACGAAATTAATCTTCTTCGCAGCTCCTGATTACTCCTGAATCCATTATCTTCATACTTTTCTTTACGGGAAGCCCGCGTACATTCCACCGTCGATCGGTTCAGTCGCCGCTGACTTGCCTCTTCCTTCTCTTGCGCAGTGGTGCAGCAGGTGGGGAGCTCCTCGAGCGACCCAGAGAACAACAACGAAGAGCAGCAGCAGATCACCGCCGCCAGGGCTCTGTTGAACTACCGCCTGAAGGAGAAGATGGCGGCGGCGGGTGACCACCCGAACTCCCTATCTTTCCCCAGGAAGTTCCCCATCCACCCCGAGAAGAGGCCATCCCTGCAACCGGGCCCTTCCACCGGGTCGAAGATCTTGCCATTGATTCGGCCAAAGTCAACCCCAAGGACGAGGCCCCCCTCGCCGTCTCCTAGCCGAGCTCGTTCGCCTTCCCACCTGGCGCTGCCCATGGAGAACTACGGCATCCAGCTCCACAAGTTCCCGGCCGTCGGAGCGGCCCCTTACGTCCCCATCCGCCACTGCAGGCACTTCCACGGCGGAGTTGCGCCGCCCGTCACGATAAGGACGGCGGTGCCGGTCTTCTCCGCTCCGCCCCTGCCGCCGCCAAGCCACCAGCGCCCTCCGCCGGTCATCTGCTCGCCTAGGCATGTGGCCCCTCCCGTTCACATAAGGCGGGTGGTGCCTGTTCTCGCTGCTGCTGCTCCCTCCCCAGCCCCTCCTCCCATGCTGGTCCAGGTGAAGGAACCCCACCATCCGCCGGTTTTCATGGCTGCTCCGCCGCCGCCACCCCCGCCAGCCGCGGCCCCAACCGTGCTGACCCCGCCCAAGCCAGCTTCAGGTGTGGAGGATGTCCGATTCCCATCGAAGCAAATTCTCGAGAAAGAAATGACGCTGGCCTCAGGGAAGAAGCCGCTGACTGCCGCAGAAGAGGAGGCGCCGGCGGGGAACCCTTCACGTCGGAGCTCCTCAACGACGCCGTCTGAGGTTCAAGCGGGGGAGACGACAGCGGAGGATCCGCAAGAACGCTCGGTGATACAGGGCATGAGACAGATCCAGATCTGAGGATTCCTGGAGAGCGGGAGCTGTGCTGGCGGAGGCTGGATGAAAACGGCCCGGAGCTGAGAGAGTCTTGGACAATAAATTCTTCATCTTGAGGTTCGACTCCCCGTCCCACCCCCTCCACCGCCGGTCCTGAGGTTGCCTGTTTTGTTCGGCGGTAGCCCTCGCCGCCCTCCCCCCTACCTTCCCTTCCCTTCCCTTTTCTTCACTTCTCTTTCTTTCTCCTGCTTTATGATCTCAGCTGAGCTCTGGGGAAGCTGAGGTCTGTCGATCATGATGGTGTTTGAGTCTAAACTTGTGTTGCCAATTCTACCCAATCGACCCTCTCCCGCACGCCAAGCGCCTTTGGGTTAACACGCTTGTCGCCCTTCTCCCATGAGCCATTGACCATAAAACTCTGGTGTTCTCAGCGTCGGAGAGAGAGAGAGAGAGAGAGAGAGAGAGAGAGAGAGAGATTGCCTAGCCATCCGTTGATTGATTGATTAATTGGAAGTCTATATAGGCTGGGGTCAAGTAACTGGGAGCGGCAGAGGCCGCGGAAAGGAAGGTCAAGTCCCGAAGCCGGTGTCCAACGCTTGCAGGATGCGCGCCGCGTCGAACCGGAAGTTTCTGAAGCTTCTGCCTGGTCTGGTGTCCACAGGCGCACCCGACCCCGCCCTGGGCAACGCGCTCTCGTTGCTGACGGCGCCGCCGGACGAGCCGCCCTTCGCCTTCCACACGGAGCTCCCTTCAGTTGGAGGAAGGAGGGGAGGGAAGGGAAACTATCAGTCGGCAATCCCACCGAGGTCAACCACTCAACTAGAGAAAATATTAAGTTCTAAAAAAGTCCACATTAGAAATCCTCTAGCCGACGCATTTCATATCTTCTGTGTTTTCAACCTTCAAACTAATCAAGTTTGTTCTTCTGACATCGATCGTGAGGCTTCTTCAGGGGGAGGCGAGTCTGGGTTATTGAGAACGAGCAATTCAGGGGCCAGGAGAGGAGCCGGGGGAGTAGTACCTTTGGCAGGAGTATCTGATCGCTGGGTGGTAGCCGGCGGATGGGCCGATATCCAAGCTTTCAGCGGCCTAAACGAAGAAGCCATTCATTCCCATGCGGGAGATCAGTAGAGTGGGGGGAAGGCCCGGGAGCGCGGTGGAGGAGAGACTCACGCCAAGAAGTGCCCGACCATGTAGAGCTTCAAGCCGTTGGCTCCGCGAGAGGTCATGTCGTCGCCTGCTGGCAGAAGATCGTCAATCCGGAACCAAGAAATTTCCTGCATGGGAAGAACAGAGCAACCGGCGCCCCATTTTTAGAAAGACGGAAATGTTTTAAGAAGTCAATACAAAACGAAGATTAATCGACGAGTGAACGAAAAGTAGGTTCCAGTAGGCAACACATACACTGATCTCCTTCTTGGTCAACGGTGCGAATACCGTGCCCTCTTTTACACCTGCAATTATGTAGAGCCGAACCCTTTGCTGCCCAGCTACGACTTCAACATGATCATCCATCTTCAGGAGCTTGGAAATGTCAAAGCCTGTTTCCTCTAGCACCTATGCGAGGGATCAATGAGAGATATTACATGCCTCCCCCCGCCCCATAATGATCAGAGCAGCATAATCTTCCCATGACAGAGAGATTAAATAGATTCATTCGGGACATTTAAAATACTTCAGGATGTTCACTTTTAGGACAGCAAGTACCAGCAAAAGCGGCACACAGGCGAATATTTCGATGGGAGTTCAAGATCTTCGGGAGGTTCATCTTTACCCTTTATAATAGAATTGCAATATCTTTCTTCTCAAGATAGGTTGCACAACGGGGTTTAGGATCTGTATCGAAGAGGGGATTGAAGAAGGGAGGGCAAAGAAACGCTGGGAGTAGAAACGGTGGAGAGTGATAACTTTCTCACAACTTTCACAATCCCCAAGGGTAATGGTATACGCGATTCCATCACAGTTCATGCCCAATGGGCCAAAAAGCAGGTCCAAAAACGCAAGCCGCCGACCCAAAAAAGAAAAGAGCTACTCCTCCATAAGCTGAATTTTCTCATTGGCATCCTCAAACAAATTTGCTTGCGCAGGACAGAACCGAAGGGATAAAGAGATGGTGAGATCAAAACGTGCTTTTGGCTTCACTTGGTGATTGATCTCTGGTGAGGTCTGATGCAGAAATTGGGTATTGGAAATTGGGAAAAAGAAAATAATGGGATCAGTCAGGTCAGCGAATTGTATAATTGTCAATGGTGCCATTGGTTCCAAGTAGCGCATTGGGTTTTGAAAAATTCCTTCTTCTTTCAGAGTGTGGACTCTGGTAAGGAGGATCTGCCATGATATAAGCTGTAGTAAGGAGGATCTACTTCATGCGATCTTTCGGGTACAACTTTCAGAATATGTATGCAGTCAACGTGGCGAGGAAGAAGAATAATTAACACGCTTGTTTCTTGGTCGTTCTTTCTCTTCCTAGAGCTTCGACACTCGTTATACTTTACCCTAGGTGTACAACGACAACTTGCAAGCCTGATTGATAAGCATTGGCAAAGACGGGATTTGGGACTCTGTTCGCAGGAAGTGGATCGAAATATATGCTGGCTCATTCTTCATGCTGTACTCCTGAGGATTTGGACAGAGGGAAATAGGTATACTGAAATAAAGAATCACGGCTGATAGAGTTTTCACTTGAGTATTTGCCAAGACAAGAGAGCGGGTGAGATTTCTTGGGGGGGGGGGGGGTGCAAAGATGATTCTATTATTTTGGGAAGATTATTAATTTAATCTCGTCTTGGCCCAGACCTGAAAGTTTTTGGGTTTTAGTCTTCACACAGTTGTACTACTAATCTGATGATAATTTTGGGTTTTACCCAAAAAATTTAATTTCCATATTGCAATAAATGGTGTTTGAAGTCATCAGCATCGTGAGTAACACGTTGCTTTTTTTTCCCTCTCTCAGAGAGGTATTGCAAACTAGGAGTTTTTCATTGATTTCTGGAAAAAAGGAACAGATAAATCCAGAGAGTAACGAATTATATGGAATCATGTGTTATGACTCATATTTAGTAAATTCAAAACCAAATATTCCATAGAATATAGGACATCATTATTAACAACTTAAAGATCAATGAGGTAGGCCTAGCATTCATACCATCCTTAAAAAGAAATGCATATAAACGAAAAAGACAAGCGAAATGCAGAAACTTTTATTATGAAAAATTGCAAAAATAAGTTTCAATTTACGAAGCAAGAATATCAAAGATCCATAAAATCAGTACCTCTCGGATGGCACAAGTATGGTCCTCCTCATCTTTGTTCTTTTTTCCACGAGGAAAACTCCAGCTTGAACCAGGTTTCCATCCTTTTACCAGTAGGCACTACAAATATTATAGGCAGCCTTGGTAAGGATGCTATCCATGAATTATTAATCAATACCAAGGTAGCTGCTGCAGGTAGTATATAACAGGGAAATGCTTTTAAAAACTGTTCAACCAATGTATACATCAAAATTGTATGCTGACAACTGCGACTTCTTCTGAAGAAAAAAAGGGCTGAAATAGTTTCGATGGATTAAGGCAGAAATCATGGAAACTTGGTTGCAAGAGTAGATTCGAAACTTCGAACGGGAAAGTAATGATCTAATGGAATTACCTTGTCATAAGATTCGTCCAAAATGATTGCCCCAGTCACAGGCACACGATACTTGTATGAAGTGAAATCTTTGTATATATCATCAATATGTGCAATATAAGGCCTGAGTGCAGCACAGCTATTAAACACTAGATGGATTAAGGAAACGATGAAAAATAAAAATAAGATGTTCGCTTAGAAAAAAAATGTCATTCCAACAATTGGGTAACTGAGCTTATTTCTAGTCTTTATTACTGAGCTTATTCTTTTATGTTTTCGTAAGTAACATTACACACTTTAAAAAACTGAGAAGCAATGAAACGATGATGAAAACAAGTTTCTGCACCAGGATTTAATTTAAAACATAATCCTTTTGCTCTTCTCTAAATAGCTCAGAAGTTGTAAAATTTATCCAAAAATACAAGGACGCTGACAAGAAAAATTTGAATTCTAATATGCCATTTTCACATTAAGTTCCTAACATTCAAAATGGTTTCTATGTTTGTCGTTCTTTTATTTCACAATTCCGTTAGCATTACTCCGTGGATATTCCACTATAGCTTTCTGATAAGATGTCCAGGACCTTTATGTAACCAACTACAAAACATCCAGAGCAAGCCAGCAGCTTTATGGAGCATTTGCTTGGTGTTTTTGGCTTGATCGAGTAAATCATCATTGTAGAAGAGAGAATCGCAACAAAGACAATTCTCACCTCACTACTGATTTCCAATCCCCCAAGAGCTCAAGAAATAAATATCGGAAAAACTAATTATCAGGTATCCAGGATACTCAAACTTGTGAACTCCCTCAGTGATAGTGACTTCAATGATGGATTCTGTTCAACAGAATTGTCCTCATAAAACCAATGCGCTTGTTCCACAAGAAATAAGATCCTCTCAAAAGACTCCAGATCTTCTTTTGGGACGTTCAAAACAAAACGGCTGCAATAGAAGATCGATAATCGCAGTTAGGTTGAAAATAAAATCCAATATCCAAAAAATAAATATATGATCAAATCGCCATGCTATCCGTGAACTAAATAAAGAAAGACTTCCAAAATGTGAGTGGAGGCGCTCAAAAACTATAACAGGATAGAAATATGGGAACAAAAAATTGATCTCTAATTGATCATATTACAAAGCACCGTATCCATTTATCAGATGCACTTTTTTCACCGCCTAATCTTACTTAATAACAGTAGGAAGTGTTTAACGTAAAAGAAAATAGTTCAGATGGCTGAAATCTACATCAGTCTTAGTTTTCCGTGCTTTATGGACAACTGTACGATCAACTACAATTCAAACTAACATTAACATTATGAACCATGTAGGATAGCACAATTGATTTGGATGTCATGTTTATCCTATGGGAGTTAACTCTCAGCTACATGTCCAAGTGGCAACTTTCCATTGGTAATCCAACGAACTGGAAAATGAAATGGGGGTTATATGTAAATCTCCATTTTGTCTCGCTGCTGTTGCCACTAAATCATCCGAATTGATCCCTAGTCTAGTCAGCGGCCACATCGCACAAAGATGTAGTTTTAAAAGAACCAATCAACAGGTGACGTGACAAAAAGTATCATATGTTGAGACAACACATGACCCTAAGAACCCATAACCTAGAACCTATAGACCACATATCTGAACAACCCCTCATCAATGCACCCTGTCCGCAACCAACTCTTCAAAAATGGGTAAAAAAAGAGCTGCTTTCTCTTTAAGATATGCAGGAGTGCCAGATATACCCTTGCAAACGAGTGAAATGTGCATGAAGTCGGACAGTATTTTAATCAATAGCGACATGTATGCATTTCAACAACTCAAAACTATTTTTCAATGCTTGCTTTCTTTGGTGTTTAGTAAAAAGTATATCAGTCATTGGAACTATTTGTAGATTGTCTTGCTTCTCACAAGGCAAGACTTATTATGTACAGATAGTGTTGATTTTCAACTTCCCAAGTACCCTGATTTTCAACTTCCCCGGATGGTCATTCATTCTTTCTTCCTTTCTTTATATCTTTCTTTCCCCCCGTTACGTATCAAGACCAAACTTTCCCGCATCTCACGTAGATATTTTCCTTTTGACCATCATGAAGGCTAGAAACCTATTCCAAGTACTATAATTTCATATTATCTTGTAATAGGCACGTACCCATTAAAGTCAGCGGTAAACATGGCGTCTGAAAATCTTGATTTCACACCCAATAAATAAGTACATTTCGAACTACTCGTATGTCCCCAGAAGGGTGGTCAATTTACTGCAATGAAAGAACGTCTCCAGTTACATAACAAAAGCTTCCTGTTCCAGCTATCTACTATCGCCATTGTTTGAACCAAACCGCCTACGTACACAGCCCACACAGCATAAGTCCAAGCTTTTCAAAATAGACTCAGAATTCGTGACGCTTCAGTGTCCTCCAAGGGTCTGTGGCAAGTGTTAAACTAGAACAACGGCGCGCAAAAACCGTACTCGAATGCTTGTGTGACAAAATCGCGGGTCATACTAATCCTCCGCAGAGCGTGGACCACGTAACGCTCCGTGAGATCGAAATAGCGAATCACGTCGGTCTCCATCGACCTTCCCGGAACTCTAACCTTAACGAGGAGAAATTCATTCGCTAAGAACAAAGCCGAATCGTAGAGAGGTGAGGGCGGAGGAACCTGCAGAGGTCATCGAGGAGCTCCTGCGGCGGGAGCACGTTCCGGCTGGACGAACGGTGGAGGCCCGCCATGGTGGGGGGAAGCCCTCGACCCCGATCCTCCCGGTCGCCACCACTTCGCCTTCCCTGCCGATGCGAGGAAATGGTAGATTCGCAATATTATCTTAGCCCCCCCCCGCCGCCCCAGTAAAACTCGATTTATTTCTATCGATTAATTAAATCAGGATAATTTCGTTAAATTCAACCCGATTCGGGCTCCCGCGGGCCCGATCGGGTCTATCTGTTCGAAAAATCATTTTTTGAGCAGGCGGATCCGATAAAGAAACGGGCCGCGCTGTTGGATCACGTTACCGTTCTGCGCTCGTCGGAGCCCCCGGAGCACGTCTCCTCGCTGCTGGTGCACGTTACTGCCCGCCCGCCCGACGGACAAGTTATTCTACGGTCTACGGTGTAGTGCTACCCGGGGCTACTCCACTGTGCCAGTGAAGCGGCGGGCGGGTAGGTGATAGGGGGAGATCGCGGGGTTTTCTCACCCGCCTTTAATGGCCTTGACCGTGACCGCACAGTGACCAGCCTGGCCGCCCCGTCGGCTTCTGTCACGGATCTGACGCCTGTCCCTCATTTCTCGATCTCGACGGGGCGTTAACGTCACCACCGGTCGTGGCACCACGCTTCAGAACGCGTGGACGAATGCCGTTGGGCGTGAAAAAGTCGCTAAGTAACTAATTTTGTACGTATACCCTTGAGAGTCGGTCATTGTTACGAAACTCCCGAAGAATATTTGTATTGTGGGAAAAAGTCTCGAGATATGATATTTTATGTGCCTGCTTGCTTTGCTTTGCTTTAGGAACTTGGTGAATACGCATCACAACATCACGTCCACTCGGACCGCCGTCGTCGTCGTCGTCGTCCTCTACTTGTTCCTTCTGCTCAGTCAGTCCTCGCTCTCTCTCTCTCTTCCTCCCTCGAAAGGCATCCGTCCACCTACTCGCGATACTGAATCCTACCACTATTGCAGTTCACTGGAGCTGCTGACCGGATGCTGCGCACTGGCCGTACGGATTCGCTCTTCGTTCGCTCCCCCCTCCATTGGCGCGCTCTACGGCTGCGCCTCCTCCGCGGTTCTTTAAAGGTTTGTCAGCAGCAGTAGGAGAGGGACATCCCGACTGGCAGTCGCCGCTCCATAAAAAAGCCTACCTCCCCACCATCTTCGTCGCCACCTCCACCATTTCCGACTCGTACACCGCATGATATCCCGGTGCCTTTTTCTCTCTTCTCCACTGTCGTTTCTGCTCGTGACTCTCCCCCGAATGGAGGGGGCTTCTTCGTCTTTGTCATCATCTGCTGCTTCTGTTGTTGCTTCTTCCCACTGTGTTCCGATCGTTCGACTCCGCCCCATTTTACCGAGGGGATCTGTCTTATGAATCGATGCGGTGGAGGTGCTCTCTTCTTCCCCGTCCGAGAGAAAGGGCGTCGCTGGTCTTCTAACGGCGGAGACGATGAGGGTGGTGTTCATCTGGGTGATCTTATAGGGCATGATCGGCCGAACTCAAACCATAAGGGCTAAGCCACGATTCGTAGGGCGAAGAAGGTGATGGATGCGAGGCGGTAACAACCACGGGAGCCTGGAGTCTGCGCGCATGTCATTCCTGAGCTATTCAGACGACTGAGGAAATTATCCGAAGGGTCTTGTGGTCTGCTGTCAATATCTGCTTCCTATATTGGTGTATTCAGCACATAATCGCTGTCTACTGCTGGTGCTTTTCGGCTTCCTTTGGACTCGCCCGCTAAATATTTCGTCCCCCGGTAATGGAGGCGTCGCAGTAGGGCTTGGCTGCTGCTGCATGCGTGGTTCGATCATCTGCGTCTTCCTGGGGGGGAGATTTGGAATTACCTGGTTTAGAGCGTGGCATTGAAGGGTCTGGGCTGCGGAGGACATTTGTTGGACAGCGCGGGAAGTTGTATTCTAGGAGAGGAGCCTACAATGCCAATCGTTTTCTTCAGATGACTACTCTGAGCATCATGGTCAGCAGTCTACCTCGTGAAGAGAAGATGGTGCCGTCCTTTTCTTTCCGAGGTTGATATTCCCATCCCCATACGGGCTCCCTATCTGAGAATCTCTTCAGTCTTTTCATTCTCATCCATCTCCTCTCCATCGTCCCACACGGAGCTGGAGTGTTTCGGAGAATCTGAAAACCCAGGGTCTCTTGAAGGGAAATCCACGAGAAAGAAGTTGAAGCGGGCAGTAGCCTATCTGGATACGGCTCTTTGATCTTTTCCGCCTTTCGGACACTTTCTGAGGTGAAGAATGGCGGCCACGGTGGCACTCCGGAATGGCGGTGGTGTTGGCTTGGATAAGCAGATGGACAATGGCAAGTACGTGCGATACACGACGGAGCAGGTCGAGGCGCTGGAGCGGGTGTATGCCGAGTGCCCAAAACCCAGCTCGACGCGCCGCCAGCAGCTCATCCGGGAGTGCCCTATACTTTCCAACATCGAGCCTAAGCAGATCAAAGTCTGGTTCCAGAACCGGCGGTGAGAACCTAAGCCGACTTGTTATATAGTCTAGTTTTTGAGGCCGAAACAGAGTTTACGGCTGGGAGTTCTTTGGCTCTAGTAGTTCACATGTTGTTGCTTGGACGAAAACTAGTCTTCATGGATAATTCGTATACTTTTGATTTTCTCTGTTTTATCAGCGAAAATTTCTAATGGTTTTTTGATGTGAGATAATCAGAGTTGGGTCTTGCGCTTATAGTTTCTCCCCAGCCTTCCTTTGGGACGACGTTAGTGAGGATCAAGCTCTAGGTTTTGTTTTGTACTGCAACATATTTTTCTTTCTTACAGTAGGATACTGAAGACGGGTGTGTTATGTTCAGGTGCCGCGAAAAGCAGAGAAAAGAAACTTCTCGGCTTCAGACTGTAAACCGAAAACTGACTGCTATGAACAAGCTTCTGATGGAGGAAAACGACCGGCTTCAAAAACAGGTTTCTCGGCTGGTGCATGAGAATGCTTATATGCGTCAACAGTTGCAGAATGTAGGTCATTATATCTAACCAAACTTACAGAGAATTTGATCTGCTTTGTTCTTCTCTTTTCCATTGACACTGTCTAACTTGGTTGTACATTCAAAAGATCCATATATGATTAAAATCTTGTTCTACGGTGGTCAGAATTGATGATACTAGTTTATGATTGATCTTTTGATCAACGATTGATGATCGTTGTCAATCGATATTTACCCTTCTATGTCATTGCATTATTCTACCATAAAAGTCCACTGTCGGCGGTTGATGTATTCCCTTGAAGGATCCATCCAACCTGAAAATCGTCAACAGTGGGCTTTGAGATGATCGAAAATTAGCCTTCTTTTTATTTGTACAGTTTTTGCTGTCCTCGACAGGCCTCTCTTAATACTGACACCAGCTGTGAATCAGCCATTACCACTCCTCAGCATTCTCTAAAGGACATTAGTGACCCTGCTGGGTAAGGATGATTCACTTATCCTGGGGTACATTCTGTTGCGTTGAAATTAATCCCTTTAGTTTTCGTCATTTTTCCAGACTCCAGTCCATCGCTGAGGAGACCTTGGCAGAGTTCCTCTCAAAGGCTACAGGGACTGCTGTCGATTGGGTCCAGATGCCTGGGATGAAGGTTCTACCTGATTCATTACTTGCTATCTGAAAATTTATTTTGTGTAAATTCCCTATCTCGTTTGTATTCATGATGATCACTACACTCCAATCACAGCCTGGTCCGGATTCGATTGGAATGGTTGCCATTTCTCACAGTAGCAGTGGAGTGGCGGCACGTGCCTGTGGTCTAGTTAATTTAGAACCTACAAAGGTATTGTAGGATCCTACATCTCCAGTCAATTTTCATTAAGAACGTTCGATAACTTGTGAACTTAGGCTTGACCTTATAAATGCAACATTGATAGTTATTATCTCAATTGAATTATTGCAACAGATAGGTGCATATATGGATCTGCTAACTGTTTAATCCATATTTCCACGTTGAACAGATTGCTGAGATTCTCAAAGATCGCCCATCTTGGTTTAAAGACTGTAGAAAACTTGAAGTTTTCACAATGTTCCCTGCTGGCAACGGAGGAACGATCGAATTGGTCTACATGCAGGTCAGGACTCTGAAAGTGCCCTTAATTCTCCAAGTTGAGGTTTTGCTTTTCAAGTGGAAATCTCATACATCTGCTCCCATTCTTATGGTCATCGCTGCTCATGTTCAGATGTATGCTCCAACAACAATAGCACCTGCTCGTGATTTTTGGACGCTGAGGTACACCACAACTTTAGAAGACGGCAGTCTTGTGGTATGCCCTTTCCAAATGATTTAAGAGTTGAAGTTACGCTTTCCTAGTGATTGAAGGGTTGATGACACGTTGTACACATCAGAAATAATGCAAAATGCTTTACCTAAAAAATATGAACGTTTAAGTATCTAAACAGGAGCTTTTTCTTGTCAAGATAGGCGTTATTACACTATGTGAAGTTTCTTGGTAAAGCATTGGAACGCAAATTCGGATTGACACTTTGTAATTTGTTTCGATATTCTCATTCAATGTGTTCTTGAATTCGTTGTCTTAAATTTGGGTGTTTGCTCGTCAGCTCCTGAATCTCATGAAATTTTCCACTTTCTAGTTATAAGATATGTGAGGTTGCCTTATGGAAATATTGGACATTGTCTTGGGATGTGGTTTAGTATTTGAAGAATAACTGCATCTATATCTAATCAAAAGTTTTATAAATTTTATTGTCACTGTCCTCATTTTATTAGAAAAATATCCGAGTTGAATTGATGTGAATGTCGGTTATATCACGTATTGTATGATTTATGTTTCATCCATTTTGCATATCTGACTGCGTCTTTACAAGTTATGTATCACATATTAGATCAGTTTGTGATTTATCTCATTTATCGTACCTAATGCATGAAGTTTTTCCTTTACAAGGTTTGTGAGAGATCATTGAGTGGTTCTGGGGGTGGTCCATGTGCATCCACTGCTCATCAGTTTGTACGAGCTGAGATGCTCCCTAGTGGTTTTCTCATACGCCCGTGTGATGGAGGAAGTTCAATTGTGCATATAGTGGATCATCTAGACCTTGAGGTTTGTATCATTTCGCATCACTTTTGTTTCTTAGTTGTGGATGTCTGGTTGATTTTATTTTTTTTAATAGCCATGGAGTGTGCCTGAGGTTCTGCGGCCTCTTTATGAGTCATCGAAGGTTGTTGCTCAGAAGATGACGACTGCAGTAAGTAACCGAGTTTTTATTGCCTTACTGTGGCCGAAACACTAATTTTTCTCTGTTGCCTATATTTCCTTATGATTGATTTCTATTTTATTTTATTTTTTTTATCTTTTTCATTGCTCTAAGATTTTGTCCCTTTCATTATCCAGTGGAGGCGTATAACCTTTCTATGTAAAGTTAAATGAATGTTTTTTAAAATGTGAAGGCACTGCACCATATCAGACAAATTGCACAGGAGACCAGTGGCGAAGTTGTGTATGCTTTGGGAAGACAACCTGCTGTTTTAAGAACATTTAGTCAAAGATTAGGCAGGTAAAACCCATGAAATTTTGCCTCCCCATGCTAAGAAATATTCATTTTATTACCAGCCACTTGAATACGTATTTTTTTTTTATTAGTAGGGATAGGGAGGTATATCCCCCAACTCCCCTTTTCTTTAGACTCGAGAAAGTTTGACATTCTCTTGGTAATAAACCTGTACTTTTATCATTTAAGACATTGCTCCTTATTTTCCTCCAGAGGTTTCAATGATGCCATAAATGGCTTCGTTGACGACGGGTGGGCGCTGATAGCTTGTGATGGTGTAGAAGACGTTGTTACTGCCACTAAATCAATCAAGAGTGGTAGTGTTTATGTGAATTCTTCTGGTGCCTTTCCAACGTCTGGGGGAATTTTATGTGCAAAAGCATCCATGCTACTTCAAGTAAGTTCCACCTATCTTTGTTTAGAATGTTATGCATCATTGTAATAATCACATGGCGATATGCATAACCTAGCATATTGCAAACCTTGGGATAGTCTGCGCTGGCTATTGTGTGTTTTTCCAAGGCAAGGCGCCTCTTCCGAATTTTCTTTTTAACTGAGTTGATCCTTTGGAATGGATCATTCTCCACCTGAGGATTATCTTGTAGACGTGAATTTTGCCCTTTGGAATGAGCTTGGATGTTTAGCTTTCTGTTGAGAATTATAAAACATCGTTTTATAGTTTTTGGTGTGTAAAACTTTTTTCCCATGTCCGCATTATCTGGCAATGCGTCTAGTTTCCTAGTTATCAGTTTCTTCACGTCGCAAAACCCTCCGAGATAACAGTTCTGGTATCTTTTTTATTGATACTCATAGTTTTCTCTCAACATTCCCTTTTTAAGTGTGACAAAATGCCATCCCTTTTATGTCGGGCTCTTTGCCCAAAATTGTGTTATTTCATCCAAATATTGGTGGAAATATTTTAAACGAACTAACTTCATTTTATTTTTTTACTGAACTTTCTTAAGTTACCCTCGCTTGTGATCCCACACGACGAAGCCTATTATAAAGAAGAAGGTTGGACTACAAATGTTTTTGACTGGAAACCTAATTGGGTGGCTTTGCTAACACAGCTGAAAGAATGTGACGCCTATTGATGTCAAACAAGTTATCCTGTGGTTGGGGAATATGCTCCTATTTTAACCACTGAATATAAAGTTTTCCTTTCCTCTTGCGACTGCCATACTGATGTGCGCTTATGATCTGTACAGAATGTTCCTCCTGGACTGTTGTTTCGTTTCATGAGGGAGCACCGCTCTGAATGGGCAGATTATAATGTGGATGCATTCACTGCTGGATCATTGAAAAATGGATCGTGCTCTTTTCCAGAACTGAGGCCTATAAAGTTCTCAGGAAACCAGGTTATCATGCCGCTTGCGCATACTGTGGAAGATGAAGAGGTCATTTACCCATTTAATTTTACCTTATTTTTAGCATCGATATTGAGAATTGAATTTTTGGGAGAGGAAAGAGGGGGGGGGGTTCTTCTCTATCATGTGAAGAAGCATTCTCACATAGAGGTACGATTTAGAGAACCCTGGAGGTAAAATAATCAAATTCTAGGTCTAGATTGTTTCAATCAATGCATGACTGTAAAGCTCACGGGTGTCTCCATGTCTGGTTTCTTATTTTGGTTATCTCAGTCGTGCAATTTTTTTTCCCTACCTTGCAGTTCCTTGAGGTAATTAAACTCGAAGGCCACGCTCAGGATGACTGTACAGTTTCTCAGGACGTGCACCTGCTACAGGTACGCGCTTACCATAAAGATGGCCACTCAGCTAACGAAAATATTATAATGGTCTCCGTCTCGCAGTTCAGTAGCATTTCTGCTTGCGCTAATATAATTTAGCTGTCGATGAATGCCGAATTATCTTATCACTACTAGTCCTCGTTTCTTCTGGTTTGCGTACGAAAACAGTTTGTCTCACCTGGTGCTTGTTAGGTTTGGATCAAAAATAGCTGCCCCTGCTCCTTTAATACCACTTCTGTTGTAGTTAAATCGAGTTATCAAGGTATATGTCATCACCTTTTTCGATTTTGGTCGTTGTCGCAGGTCTGCAGCGGCATGGATGAGAAGGCCGCTGGAGCGTGTTGTCAGCTCGTTTTTGCCCCCATTGACGAGCTATTCCCAGATGATGCATCCCTCCTGCCTTCTGGTTTTCGAGTTATACCACTAGACGTGAAAAATGTGAGCCCAGATCTTGACCCCTCCGCGCGTGAGATTATCAGATGGTAGCAAACGTGGTCGGTATTCGTTTTGTAGAAAACGCGACGCGAGATACTCTTATTAGCTTTATTCTGTGCCTCGTGATCGGTTTCTTCTGTGCTTAGATTTTGCATCTCTATTTTATGGTATTTTACTTCTCAAGTCGTCGATTTTTATATGATACCAGGACGGTTTGTCTTCCACCCGTACGCTGGATCTGGCTTCTATTCTTGAAGACGGTTCTGCTAGCCGCGCTTCCAGAGATGCCCGCGCTGTGGCCGACAGCGTCCGCTCCATTCTGCTCATTGCTTTTCAATTCCCATACGAAGAGCACCTCCAGGAGAGCGTTGCTGCAATGGCCCGACAGTACATCCGCGGCGTCGTCTCTTCCGTGCAGAGGATCTCCATGGCAATCAGCTCTTCGTGGCTTGGTTCTCACCCCGCCCAGAAGCTCACGCCTGGTTCCCCTGAAGCCTTGACCCTCGCCCACTGGATTTGCCGGAGCTACAGGCAAGTCCTTCTCCCCCTCCCTTTAATTTGATGCCAGGACTGTAGCTAGACAGTGTTCAATCCATAGCTTCTACCGTTAGCGAGCTAGATGTCTATTCGGTGAGGTCATGGTTTCTTTCTCTGCTCGGAAATGATGCTCGTCGGTCGGTCTGTTGCGCAGCTTCCACACGGGGGTGGATCTTCTGGGTTCCGCCGGTGAGATGGGGGAGTCGCTGCTCAAGATGCTATGGCACCATGACGATGCAATCTTGTGCTGCTCTTTGAAGGTACGCTTAAGAACCGACCCCATTCATCTTATTTCTCCGAAACACGCTTTTCTAAGACGATCGGGCCCCGTTCTTCCCAGGCCATGCCGGTCTTCACGTTCGCCAACCAGGCAGGACTGGACATGCTGGAGACAACCCTGGTGGCTCTGCAGGACATCACTCTGGACAAGATCTTTGATGAACCCGGGAGAAGGGCCCTCTGTTCCGAGTTCACGCAGCTAATGCAGCAGGTAGCGTCCGATCTTCTGCTACCATTTATTGAACACTCAATAACAGTATCTCCATTAAACTCACCTTAGAATCTACTTTGTCTGATCTTAAGGGCCCCGGCTGCTGTTGTTGACCCACCCACGTTTCTTTCTTTCGCAGGGCTGCGCGAGGCTACCAGGGGGGGAGTGCATGTCGGGCATGGGCCGCCGAGTCTCCTTCGAGCGGGCCGTCGCCTGGAAGGTTCTCGCCGAAGATGGCACGGAGCACTGCCTTGCCTTCTCCTTCGTCAACTGGTCCTTCCTGTGAGGCCGAAGGCTGGGCCGCTTCCAGATCTCGGGAGGGGCCCCATTTTTGTCGATGGCACATTCTAAGTTCCTGGAAATCGATGTGGGTCTCAACAAATCCCTCGAGATATATGAAGATATCATCAATTGAAACCCCACCCTGAGTTTCATCGAAATTTATATTCGAACAAGCAAGCAAGCAAGGAGCTTGGGAGGCAGATTTCTATCAGGCACTATTTCTGCGACGAATGATCCGCATCTCGGTATCTGCTGCTGCTGCTTCTTCCTTCGAATGCGGAAGAGTTGGTCGGTCGGGGGGTCCATCTCTTCAGCCACGTCTCGACGCCATGGTCCAGAAGTTGAAGAGGAAGGAGGGCGAGACGGCGAACCAGCTCAGGAAGGCCATCGCCGTCGCGGTCTCGAAGCTCGCGCAGTTGTTCTCGGCGCACCGGTTGAGGTCGTTCCCGATGAGGACGGTGATGCCCGCCGACGCGCTGGCGGCGGCGAAAGTGAGGATTGCCGTGATCTGCAACATGCGGGGGGCTCGGCTGCTTTAGTTCTATCTACGTACCTCGGCGGATCATGAAGATCGATCCCGGTGGAACAGAGTAAAAATCATCTCGAGAGTCGTGGACAGTTCCTCACCCCGTCGCCAACGGTGAAGAAGCAGACGACGAAATGGTTCCGCAGGCTTCGTCTCACTAGGATGGCGTAGATGTCCACGCCGGCCAGCAAGAGACTCCATGTGCCCTGCAGAATGGTGGCTGCCACAAGATAGCTGAAAGAGAGAGAGAATATGGATCGCCACCCAGATTAGCTTTGCCGAAGCTCCCTCTGGAGCAGGAAACCCTAGAAAGTACAGTACAGGCCGAAAGAAAACATGGGGGACGATTATTCATAAGAGAGGAGTAGGTAATCGTCACGGAGAAAGACGAGAGCAAACGATCGCTTCGCCTCCAACTTGAAAACCTTCTTAATCTTGCACGGTGTTTTTTCATGCTAACACCCTGAGCCTTGGATTTAAGAACAGTATACTTCTCTCAATCTTCCACATCCAGCCTCCTATATATTTCGATCATAGGAAAATTTGGCGGGCCGTCGGAAGAGGGTTCATCGGGAGCCAATCTAATGGAAATGGTAGGGAGGAAACCTAGAATTTAAGATGCGAGGCGTCTGAATTGAGTCCAGCACCATGAACTGGCGAGGTGGACTAGGGGGATCGATCATCTGATTTTTGTTCATCCGCAAATTCTCAGATTCGCATCCGCTAAGCGTAAAACCTCGGCGTCTCACCAAATCCAGAAGGTCAGGAGACCAAATTACCAGAAAGCTGTGACGGAGGTGAAGTCGCTGGTGGAGATCATGACGACGAGCGCTGCTATCGCGAACGCCAACTGTAGCAGCCGCAGGGCAAGCCCCCCGGGGGTCCCCGGCATGCCCTGGATGTCCTTCATCCTCACCCTCTGCAGAATCTGGGCGTCGCCATCCGTCAGCGGCGGCGCTTCCACCGGGTGCACCGCCGGCCGGCTCACGTTCATCCTCGCTGCCGCGACCCCCGCCACCTGCAAATCATCATCTGGATGCAGCAGCCATCTCGCCGCACACCGCCGAACTATCAGACCCGAACAAAAGAGCTCGAGGGAAGGCGGCGCGTGGGTAGCGTTTCCGAACTCTCGCCGGCGAGGTTGGCCGATCCAAGATGGGAATCAAACAATTTCCGAACGAAAAGGCATCAGCGAAGGGGAAGGGGAAGGGGAAGGGTTTGGCCGGAGAGGCCTGGAAGGTGCAGCAGCTGTAGGCTTGTCGCCGGCGGCGGGCTGTGGAGAAGACGACACTCGGTCTGCGGTCCTCAGATGAGGCGTCGGGTATAGAATAGAATTTTTTTATTGCTAATACCATACGCATTAAGGGTAAATATGTCTTTGTCTCCTCTATATCTTTATAAAAAGTAATTCTTTCCGTCGTGTTTACACTGAAGTCCTTTAACTTCTCGGTTTTCCATTGACATCCCTATAAGTCCGGCACGTTCTTTTTTGTACGGGATGAACACTTCGCGAGGGGGAACTGCGAGCCCCGGCGATCGCTGGCAAGCGGATCGGTTATCGGGAGGTCGCCGAGGAGCGCCGGATCTCTCCGGCGTGTCCGCTGAAGGGGAAAGAGATTAATATTTCTCAACGCCGGCGAATACTGCAGTGGACTTGGGTCACTTTTCTCAGAGGTTTTTCCCGCCGTAACATTGTAGGGTAAAATTTCTTTCTTCGCGACTGTCGCGCCTGAAGTAAGGTCATTACCCCGGAGAAATCTGTCTTTCAAAAGAGAATGCATGGCTATTTTGTTAGGGTGAAATTCTTCGTCCGCATCGGCGGCTAATCGGTTGGCTGGGTGAAACAAGTGAGTGGCACACTTTCACCCCTTTCGACCTCCCCGGAGAATAATTTCGCCTCAGAGCACCCCTTCCACTCCATTCCCTGCTAGAGGAAGTTGTCGTGCGTATGGTCTTGTTATTTAGAGAGAATTGGGGATCGAGGTTGGTGGCAGATGGATAAACAATTTCTGTGCGGCTTTCTTTGTGGTTTTTGGGACGATTCCTGCGATTACTGGAAACAGTTGACATGGGGAGAGAAATTATAATATTTCAATATTACGTCTGAATTATTTTGTGATCATATGGGCATAAATTGCTTTTTATTTACTATAAAAAGTGTGCTCTTTTAAGGGGTGTTGACATTCTATGAAGAACCAAATCTAGGCCATGACTTTTTTTACAATGCCGGCACTGTAGACCTCCTTAAGGGAGAAGGGAAAAACTTAGATGGAGATAGTAAAAATATGTGAGGGCATGCGTTTTGAATCAAAGAATGACACATTGTGGACTGACGGGGTGAGATCTTGATAAGTCCTTGAATAATAACTGCTGGCAATTAATATATTTTCATGATGCTACAGGTTTACATGATTCTATATTTAAGACACTCCTAAGATGAATATTCGTGTATCTGATTTAACAATGTCATCTGATTAATTTTCTAAGATATCTGAATAATGTTTACAAAATCAGACTTGACTGGTACCGTAATTATATAGAAAATCAGAATTGGCATTACTTGTTCATCTTCTAGTCAGGCTCCCTTTGGAAACGAGCAGATTTTGGTCGGATTATCCCTCAAAAATATGGTTTCTGATGTATGACCTACCTTTTTTAAACCTCTGATGCATTTCTATCTGGTGTAGCTATCTGATGAATTATCAACTCTGATTGAAAACTTTTGAAAGTTTTAGCCAGGTGAAAACCAATTAACAATGAGCAGAATAGGCCACCCACCTATATAATATCAGGATTTTATTTAATTATGTCCAATGTGGAATAATTATAATGCCTCCTCACTCGCATCCCATTTTTGTACGTTATGATATTTTTATACTGTATCCCATTTGATTGTTTGAATCAGCTGGCTGATCAACTCCTATCCCCCTCATTTGCATCCTGAATTTTGCGCTTTATCACGTTTTTATACAGTATCCGATTTCGTTGTTTGAATCAACTCCTTGCATAAGACCAAATGTTGCCAATCCCAGTCCAGATCATTGTTCAAATTAGAAACATTAAAAAAAAAAGGATCCTTTTATGGAAAACGTTAAGTGAAATGCATGTGATCTCCTATTAACCCAAACCAGATGGAACAATGAGAAGAAGTGGGATTAATGGATCTATTCTTATCAGGACAACTGCTAATAGGTTGTTTCAGCTTGAAGAGATGGCCATGTCTCTGCTACTTGCATGTTTGAGGCTGCGATCTTATCTAGATGTTTCCACGTAGCATCTTTACTGGCCCTGATATATTTGAAACTTCAGCAATTGCGCCTCAAACATTTTAATATCCTGATCAGAGAAAAGATTGCATGTACTTATTGACAGATTCCACGCTGTCTACCAGAATTAATTGTCCCAAAAGCCTACATATTTTGTTCCCATCCACTTTCAACTGAATAGAAGCCGTAATCTCGAAGTAGAGTATCCTGCGTTGGCCGAGTTTCTTATACTAGTTCTTTCCTGTTGAACGGATCCATCTTTGACGTTCTGTGTTTCTGTTCAAATCTTTGGTCGGTTCTGATTATTCGTCAGCTTAATGTTAACACGTGTCTAAAAGTGAGTACATTTTGCTCAAGAAGGAAGTTTGCAAATTAAGTATCAATGACTGCAATGTGTGTTCGATGTTAAAATTTTAGGCCACTAATTTGTTTACATTTTCCGTGGAAATAAATTTATTAATAAAGAAAGAAAGGAATTACTTTTGTTGCTTTTCACTTTTAGGAACTGATGACGCTCCATAATATCTAAAATTATCTCTCATTCCGGATTTCCTTGTGTATTTTTTATTATTCACAATTAATTGCTTCCTGACCGGTTATTAAGTTCTGAATAAATATTTTTATCTGTGTAGCTGTCATTGCCATCTCCAGGTGCTCAGTTGCACTTTGCCTTTGAAAATGGCTCATCGGACGTGCACAACACCAACAGTTTCTGAATCAGCACCTGTTAGTCAAAACGCATGCATGAGTGAAGATAGTAAACAGAGTGTCCGAAGGCCACCAATTTTGTTTTTGGCTTTGCTTATTCTTTTAATCAATGGCTCTTGGGCTGTTTACCATTTCCAATTTAAGGTGCTGCCAGTGCCACTTTCTGCCAAACAGGCTGGTAAAAGGGGTTTCTCAGAGGAACTAGCCATGCAGCATGTCAAAGCTTTGACAAAGCTAGGTCCTCATCCTGTTGGTTCAGATGCTCTTGACCTCGCATTACAGGTTTGTTTATGCTTATAAGTTTTACTTCCAGTCAAGTCCGTAGGCTCTGTCCAAAAGTTTTGCGTATCTTCTTTGAAGTTATGCATCTGTGGGTTATTTATTTATTTATGTTGTTCCATTCCTGCATTTTGACCTGAACAGAAGTATCATGCTCTTAAGCTAGGTTCGGTGACTCACCTCCGTGGATAAAACACTTGGAACATTTTTTTCTAAAAGAAACCTGAGATTGGAGATATTGTGCCGCCATGATTTTTCCAATGTGCACCTGAGATTGGAAATACTGTGCCGCTATGATTTTTCCAATATGCACCTGAGATTGGAAAGTCACTTTGGTGGACTCTGGTTTCTAAAAATTCCTAGTGATCTCAAGGTTTGATCCTTCTTGATAAGTTACTTTGAGTGGTTAGCTCATTCATATGTGCATCAGATTAACAGGCCAGTGTCAGGTTATTCAATCTTAAGGTTGTCTGTAAGTGTGCTATAAGCTTAGGCAACTTGCACAACTCTTTCTCAGAATTTCTTGATTCATGTGAATAAGAATGAAGTGGCATTGTCATTTGGTGATGGAAAAGTGAAAGAAGAATATTTTGAAAAATAGGCAAGGCTTTTATTCTAGGATTGGAGAGAATAAGTTCCATTGAGTTTCTGTTCTCTTCGCAACTAATTTTGGAAATCCTTACACAATGTGGAAAAAATTTCCATTCATTTTGATAAATAAGCACTTGATTTTTTTGTCATGTTTGCTTCTAAATTTTTCCAACGTCTCGTTTCTGTCGCACGTGAAATGATGCACGATGCATCATTTGGGTATATATGGGCATAACTGATGTACATTTTTAGTTGATCAATACTCAGTAACGTTACTCACTTCTCTTTAACATGTTTTTGGAGCAGTATGTCCTTGCAGCGTCAAACAAAATCAAAGAATCAGCTCATTGGGAAGTTGATGTTGAAGTTGATCTCTTCCATGCAAAAATTGGTGCGAATCGTCTTGTCAAGGGTCTTTTCAAGGGGAAAACACTTGTTTACTCAGATCTGAAGCATGTGGTTCTAAGAATCTCGCCAAAGTATCTCCCTGAAGCAGAAGAAAGTGCAGTTCTGGTATCTTCTCATATTGACACAGTTTTCTCGACGTATGTATCATAAATTTTTCTGGCTAAAGTTATTTTCGCCACAAAATCTTAATTGGCTTGAGTACATATGAATAGCTGAGCTAAATATTGATTAAATATTAGAATGGCGTTAAGATGATATATTCTACGTGGTATTTAGGATACCATTTTTTGCTCCACAGTCCACTATTTCGGACAAAACAAGTGGAACGCACTAGAGAGCTTGTGGCAGAGAGTGATCCAAAACCAGAGACAAGGCTACCCAATATTTATCATTCATCAATGACATTATTTTCCGTAGTAATTGGAAATTGTAGTTTGTCATGTGAGCGTTTTTTTCCCTTGCGACAGATTGATGTATTTTTGTGCCATCTTTCGCCTTCCAAGTCGAATGGCATCTAGTCTCTTTGACGTGTTTGAAGCGCAATTCTCCACCTTAAGAGACATAGTTTAGACAAAAACTGGGTAATGATTAGTTAAAGAGGGATATTCCATTAATTTTATTAAGGAAAAAGTGACATATTTGAGAATTTTGTGCTTTTACTGTTGATTAAAGGGAATTTCGGTTTTGACCGAGTATTAACCTTTAGTTTGGATAAAACTTGTTGTGTACTTATTGTCTAGTTGTGGGCTTAGTTTTGCTTTCACGCCCTTTCTGCATGTTGAGATTTGTCGTGATCTTTGTTTCTTATTTCCTATTATAGATATTTTCTTTTCTATAACTTTTAGTAATTACCTCATGATAGTGGTGACCAACCATCATAACAACATGGTAGACAGATGTGTCCATATTTGTTTTGATGCATGTTGACCAATTTATTTGTTTCATGCAACACCTTGGCATATGCAACGTTCAACTTGCTCATGAAATTCGATCACTCATCAAGTTACGTGAATTCTCATTTTAGATCCATTTATGAAAAGTTAATGTAGATGATTATTCTAATAGAGCATTGATCAAGTTAATGTAGACGTTTCTCGAGCCAGTCTCGTATATTGATCCATCATTTCTATATTCCTCATTCCAGTAGTGATGGTCAGTCTTCTGCTTTTAAATATTCGTCTGGCCCTGTTGTTTTAAAAAACTCCGTGGATTCAGGCAAGGAGCTGGTGATTGTAGTTCATGTATTGCTGTTATGTTGGAGCTTGCACGGGGAATGTCTCAGTGGGCTCATGGATTTAAGAATAGCATTATATTTTTATTCAATACTGGAGAAGAGGAGGGTCTTAATGGTGCACATAGCTTTATAACACAGGTAAAGAGTGTCTAATTCTTGGTTTTCATCTCGTTTCTATCACCATGAGAAGAATGGTGGACTCTACTTGATTATAATCGTTTCAGTAGCCTATCCATCTGGGATTGAATGTTCATGCTGACATGCTGGCTTCATAATTTTCGTAAATGTAAGTAGATGAATAAATGGTTGTTATCACTGAAGCCATTAATTTTTTGCTCTTTCTACTTTTGAGGCCGTCCTAATTTCCAGCTCACAGGTGACCCTATGCAATCAGACAACGAACTGTGATCAAAGTTTGACTTCGTGGTTTTTCTAGTTGAAGGATAGCATGCTGAAACGTCAACTTCAGAATTTTGTAATTCAGTAAATTACGGTTAGAATCAGCAAAATTCTAATCCGGGACACTCTGAAAAGCGGTGTTCAACCTTGGATATTTATTAACAGACCCACTTGGTCTCGCTTTCCTCTCTCCTTTGCCACGTCCAAACACCTTTCTTTGGTCATTTCTGTTCACAACCCTTCTGCAACCATTCCCCAAGTGTAGTTATGATTTTCATACAATATTTAATGCTTCCCATTTCAATGTACCAAAGAAGTATATATATTTATTATTTCAGTTTGGAAAGAGCCGGTCTTTTTTGCATATTCATGAGGCAATGAGGTTGGTGTGAAGAGTCAATGAAAACTTCAGGCGGAGCCATCCCAAGTTGACGATGGTTACATTGAAATGGCTGAGTATTGACAGTGGGAGGTTATATTTGCTATCCACCCGTTTTCAGGATTATAATAACAAATGATTATTTGAACGAAGTTTCTTGACCGTTTTTTGAAACTGAACATCTTAGTTATATATCGATTCTGGTTTTGAGAGCCAAAATTAAAGTCAAAAGGACATAGGTTTTACGGACAAAGAGCAAGTTTTTAATTTAGTGTTGACACTAGTTTGGAAACAGAAGCTGACGGTGTGGAACAAAAAGGGCTCTTTATCATTGTTTTCACATCAACCTAGAATTGATCTGGTGCGCAGGTTTGAAGGGATTGAAGTGGTGGAGCAAACACCTTTCACGTCAGCAATATATGACAAAGAAGAGAGAGCATCGATGTAGATGAAGAGAGAGAAGATAAAAATTGAGGAACAAAATTGAGGAACACAGATTCCGTTATGGTTTTGCTGCTCCGATGTCGATCTCTGCACTGAGTAGACTATATTGAAGGACTTACGAATTATAAGAGCGGAATCGCTCTTTATAATGACTCTAGGGTAAAACGTCTGAACGTAGAAAAAGCCATTAATACTATCAGAAAATGTAAAATTGGGGGGTCAACCACATAAACTCTCACCTTAGGGCCAATCAAACAGCAAGCTTACGGGATGGAAATCAGACTCTGTGTGCAAGGAGGATAGTCTTATTTTTAGGAAATTTGTCCTAGATTCTAATTAACCGTTTGTCATTTCCTTCCAGTGGTCAGTAACCTTCTGGATTTTCAATGGTTTCCGTGAAAGTTGATATTTGGAAGTGAAGCTATGATTTCTGTCAACTCTCTGTTGTGCGTCATTCCTTTTTACATCAAACTTCCTCCACGATCAGTCCTGATCTTGAGCCAATTAACTATGGTTAATTTCCTTGCCAGAAGTTTTTTTTTTCTTTGGGGAGTCAAAATAGAAAATTTGCATTGGAAATAAAGTAGCAAGACACTAAATTAGCTCTTCTGGTGCATCGAAGTAGGTTTGTGGACACTAACTTCACAGCTGCTAAGGCTAATGCCATTTTCATTACTGTACGCGTCCAAATTAAACTTACTTTCTGGTCACATTGTTATTGTTTTCATAAGGTCCCTTCAAAACCGTCTCATTGTGGTGTTATTGGTGTGCTTATTGATCATCAGTAAATGGATTCGAAGTTGCCTGGGATTGGGGACTGATTTCTCAATTATGTCATGCAGCATCCTTGGAGAAACACAATTCGCTTTGTTATTGATTTAGAGGCCATGGGTATTGGAGGGAAGTCTAGCATATTTCAAGTATGTCCTTTCAGAGAACTTTTTATTTGAAAATTCTTTCGTTACTTTTATTTGTAATGTTTTATTTGTCGATTTCTTGTATCTCAATTATGTCTAACAAGTTTGTTTACCTCCAAATTCACGAACACAACAGGGTGGTACACATGCATGGGCTGTTGAAAGTTTCTCCAGGGTAGCAAGATACCCTTCTGGTCACATCATTGCTCAGGTAGTAATTCCATTCAATTTGTATTTCTGTCATTTAATCCATTTTTTTACTTAAAAGAACTATCTTTGGTGACCTTTATTAGGTTTATATTACCCAATGAGGGAAACATGTTCAGAAATTTATTCTTTTTTTCTGAAGCCGTCTCTTTAGGTACTGAGAGGTATCATTACCCCAAGACAAGAACAGGGCATATAAACTATTTTTTTAGGATAACAGATACACATGTTAGTCGTAAAACAGAAAAAAGGTACGATGATTTTTGTGGCAAACAGCTCTATTTATAAATAAAACAAGTTCGAATGAATTAGCGTTTTGAGAATTTACATTTGGCAACTACGCTCTCTTTTTATTATCTAAATATTTCATCCCACCGAAGACTTTAGAAAATAAAAAGAAGACGCTACTGCTTAAAAATAAGCTGAAGATTTTTCTCAAAATGAGCAGCAACAACACATATAGAAACAGAAAGAATAGAACCTTTATCTTCTAGCACAATGCCAATCCACAAGAGAACCATGCCATAAAGTAAAAGTTTTTTTCTGGGATTAACTATATTTGAAAGGGATGAATCCTTGTCCAGAAATTCACAAGTAGACAGATATGTCGACATTCGGTCCAATATTTGATGCAGTGTGACTTTTGATGGACATCAGTTTGTTGTATTCTATCATCTACTTTCCCTTAGATAATTTTTTGCATATGTAACAGTTATATTCAATTGTTCATTGTTCTGCAGGATCTCTTTCTTTCTGGGGTGATAAAATCTGCGACAGATTTTCAAGTTTATGTTGAAGTAGCTGGTCTCTCTGGGCTCGATTTTGCCTATGCAGATAAAAGTGCTGTCTACCACACGAAGGTGCTCTCTATTCTTTGAATTGTAAATACTTCGATCCATTTTTACAGTTCGAAAATAAAGAACTGCTCTATAATATTTCTCGTTTGCAGAATGACAAACTTGAACTTTTAAAGCCCGGCTCGCTTCAGCATCTTGGAGAAAACATGCTTCCATTCCTCCTTGAAGTTGGCAGGTCATCATATCTCTCAAAAGATAATAAACTTGATACGGAAAAAGGGACAGGCCCTGGGCAAACTGTTTTCTTCGATGTTCTGGTATGACGATGATATCCTCCTTGTTCATTTTGGTCTGCTAGTCACAAACTGCTTGCTCAGATGAATTCGCTATGGCCATATTATTTGCTTGTTCGGCTTCTTTGTTCGGCAGTAATGGTTTCAGCTCTCCTACCTATCAACCAATAGGAGAGAAGAACATATAAAGAAAGCTAAGAATTTTTGTCATATTATGAATGAACGTGTGTCTATTTATATGATTGCTGTAATAACCTTTGAGCTGTTTTCTGTCAATGAAGGAACATCCTTTCAAATGCAGTGTAAGGTATCTTTGGTCTCTGAAACAAGAAAGAGGTTTACTGCAGTATGCTGCAGTCATCGATAGCATGCAGGGGCATAGAAAGAAAATAGAAGGCATTATAATAACCACACGTGTATCTTTGTTATTGTGTTCAGATCCTGGTTGCTGCATTCAGATCCCCAACAATCAGGGCCTAATGCTTCACTTTAGTAGAAGTACATAGGAGGCATTCATTTTTATGCTAAATCCAAAGAAACCTTTGATGGAGGAATGAAACTTTTGAAACTTTATTGTCCGAAACATTTGATGAGGAATGAAGAGGAAAGTAAGAGGAAGAGAAAGAGAAGGGAACAATGCACTGGAAACCCAAGGGTTTGCGTGCAACAATAGAAATATAGCTTCCGACACCCCACCAGCCAAGCAGCATCATATGAAGTTGCAAAAGGTCCGATTCAAGAGATTGAATTCTGGTTTGAGTTGTTGGATTCACTGTGCCGAACAAGTCAATCATCGCCCAATAAAAGAGTAACTGAAAATAGGATCCTCAGCATAAACGTAAAGAAGATATCGTCCACATGTGCTCAAAGTCATTGAACGAAGGCCTAAACCAACTTGTGGCTTACTATGTAGTGTTTTTTTGCTTGATGTGAGAAACTTTTGTGGTTTGAGTATGAGTAATGTGAAGACTCGTTTCATGGATGTTATTTTCATTGGATCTTTCACAGACATTTCAAATAGCCTAGTCGCCTAATAGAATATCCCAAGGATAATAGGTGTTATGAACTGGCTGACATTGACGGTGGATAAGTTATTCAACACGAATAAATCATGCAGAAGTATCCACTTTTTATCTTGGCTTGCTCTGAATTCCACTCTTTGGGTCATTTGGTTGAGCGGAATAAGTTGATATTGAAAAAATAACGACCATTTAGTAGAGACAGTTGCCGTCATTAGACGCTGTAAAGTGAGGGAATACCCGTCTAGCTTTTGCACTGAGGAATGAATCTATTCCTCGGGCTTGAGAGGGTTGGAATCCTAAGTCGATATATACCTCCTCGTGATAGATCATGAAAATACTGGATAATCTTTTTGAGCCCTCATTGACTATATACTAGCATATTCCTATCTTTTTATTTATTTAACCCGTATATGGCTCAAAGAAAACATTCGCTCCCTCCCAAAGACATCGGTACGCTGGCCCAGTCCTGTCTAAATGCTAATTTTTTGAAGAGTGCTTACCATCATCTTTACCCATGTCTCACCCTTTTCCAATTTTATGTATTAAATTTCAATAATTTCGTTTCGTCTTTCCCTTTTATGATGTTGTACATCAAATCTTGGCTTTGTAATCCTTCAAGCTAGTCTTGTATTTTTAAGATATCGGAGTTGGAAAGTCCCCATCTCTTTCAGAATTAACCTCAAGATCTCTGGTTTGTTAAATTTGTTTCTTGAACAATTCCAAATTCCAAGCTCTCTTGCATACTCATTGACAAAGAGTAATATTTTATGCATAAGGATGGGAAATCCTTTTTGCGGTATCACAAATTCTGGAAATGAATTAGTATTGTTCCAGGTGTTGGCGTTGGGATGTTCAACCTCAGTAGCTGTCGTTTATTTGCTCAAGTGAAAGCTTTTTACGGAATTGACGCTTAGTGGTGTACTAATATACTTCTGCCTACGGTGAAAAGATTAGCACTTCAGCAAAGATAAGATATCCAACAGAAGAAATTATCCGCAGAAAGAAATAGATATATCACAGGGGTACACTCAACGAGCATTGAAGGAGACACCTTACTGTTGATGGATTCATAGTCTAGTGCTACCATTCAAGGAAAAGAGAAGATTGCATCTATGCTAATAACTTGTGAATCGAGCAGCAGCTACCTGATGATTCTCAATTTTTAATGAATATTTCATCACCTTTTAGCTAAGCTTCATCCTATTTAAGTCGTCGTGTATGTTTGTTTATAAATACTTTGATTGAGATCTGGAAATGTCCATACAAAAGTACAGCAGGTAATTTATGTTTACTACTTATACAGGGTATGTACATGGTTGTGTACAGTCGACGCTTTTCAGACCTACTTCACAATTCAGTGATAGTGCAGTCACTTCTTATCTGGACTGCATCAATCCTGACGGGTGGTTATCCCGCTGTTGGTGCTCTGGGACTATCATTTCTCAGCATCATTCTGATGTGGATTTTCTCCATTACCTTTTCTGTTCTGGTTGCTATTCTCCTCCCAGTCATTTGTTCCTCTCCTGTGCCTTTTATTGCAAACCCCTGGCTAGTTGTGGGTTTATTCGGTGCTCCCGCCGTGCTTGGAGCACTAACTGGTCAGTGGCTAGGTTTTCTCAGCCTTCAGAAATATCTGCAGCATGTTTCGTCGAAAGGGACAAGACCTTCTGATTTGCTAGCCAACTTAGTCAGATGGGAGTCTGAAAGGTGGCTTTTCAAAGCTGGTTTTCTTCAGTGGCTTGTTGTGCTTATTCTAGGAAACATCTTCAAGGCAGGATCATCTTTCTTGGCACTTGTTTGGCTGGTTTCGCCTGCGTTTGCATGTAACTTCTATCCTTCTTCATCTGTTATTGCCCTTGTCGGGCCAAAGTTTAGAACAAATGAGATTATTGACATCTTTCGGTCTTATCTGCTAGATGGCCTGATTGAAGCGACGTTGACTCCAGTGAGATCGCCGAAACAACTAAGAACTGTAACACTGCTTCTGGGCTCAATTGTACCAATGTTACTGACTTCTGGTATGGTTATTCGATTTCTGGGAACGATGAATGGACTTCTGGTCCGACTCGACAGGTGAGTAGCAACTTTAGCTCTTGAGTGAATGGATTCGTGATTAGTTCCGATTCCCTCTCTCTACAGGGCCTCTCGAGGGGTGGAGGAAAGGGTCTATCACTGCAGCTAGGCCTATCACTGGCCTGACATCCTCCATGTTCACCGAGATTTTCTGATACGTGCAGGAACCCTGGTGGCACGCCCGATTGGCTTGGAAGTGTGATCTTCGCAGTACTCATCTCAGCGGTGGTTTGCCTCACGTTTGTCTACTTCCTTTCCTACGTCCATCTTTCGGGTAATCTACTTTTTCTTTCCGTACATTATTCTTGCTCGGCATGCTGCATCTTGGTCGTTGACCTTTTTCGCTTACATGATCTTGCCCAGCATTTTCCCCTTGTCCTTTTTGGTATGGAATGGTCCATTTATTTGTCAAACTATACTCATTTTGCTGGTTTTGGCTCCCACCCTTATTCTGTTCTGCTGCTCCCCTCCTTGGCGTTGTGGGGCAGGCTCTAAGAAGCATATTGTCGTTGCACTCCTGGCTTTGCTCTGCCTAACGTTGACCGCAGTTGCGGCGGGAACCTTCTCTACGTACACGGACGACATTGCCCGGGCGGTCAACGTAAGTTGCTCCTCTCTGTTCGTCTTTCGTTCTCTCTTGCTGTGATGCGAGCATAATAATGCCTCCATGCTATATCCGGTGAAGCAATGAGAGCATGAAGATGGTGCTCCAATGATCCCCGCCCTCATGTCTTTCGCGCACGTCCACCATTCCTTTCACTTCTCAGTACATTTCGGACCGAGTTTAATGGTGTCAAGTCTCCATCTCTGCAAATTCTCTGGCTCCTCAGGTTGTTCACGTCGTGGAATCAAGTGGGGATAACGACGGCGCCGGCGCAAACCCGGCTTCGTATGTTTCCCTGTTCTCCAACACGCCCGGCAAACTGGAGAGGGAAATAGAGGCCATGAAAGGAGAGGAGTTCTCCTGCGGGAGGAGCAGGGTGCTTGATCTCGTCACCTTCGATGTGGAATACGGCTGCTGGAGCTCCAAGGACAGCCGAGAGGGGTGGAGCCGTGGAGACATCCCTCTGCTCCGGGTGGAGAGTGATGCGGTGGCCGATAATGCCCGGGTGACGCGCATCTCCATCGACACCAGGACTTCTACCAGATGGTCGCTTGCGATCAACACCGAAGAGATTGAAGATTTCACATTCGGAGGTGAGTGCCACATTCTTTTTCTTCTTCTTTTTTCTGCCAGAATGAGAGAAAAGAGAATCAATTCCGGACACTTTGATCCAAAATGCCCCGGCAGCCGGGCTAGTCCGAGAGCCCACACCACCGCGTGCGCGTTTGACCGCCGGTCATCGCGCCATGGTGGCTGGCTGCTGGTGGTAGCTGGAGCGCGGCCTGATCTCGTCGGGTCTCTGCGTGCTGCGCTGCAGGAGAATCCGAAGCTCTGGTTCCGCTGGACAAGAAGACCAGTGTGGGAGGTCGGCATATTATACAGTTCTCAGGCGGCAGGGACTCGCCGACCAAGTTCGACCTGAAGCTCTTCTGGTCCAGAAATGCCTCCGCTTCGCCCCGCACGGAGAAGGGAGGCCCTCCCCTGCTGAGACTGAGAACGGACGTCAACAGGGTGACTCCCAAGGTGGCCAGAGTTCTCCAAAAGCTGCCTTCGTGGTGTTCCCTCTTCGGCAAGTCCACTTCCCCGTATACCTTGGCCTTCCTGACCAGCTTGCCCGTTGACTTTCAACGCGTAGGATAATCGTTTGGAGCTTTGGTGTCGGCTTGAGTGTGGAATCATCAAATGTATATCGCGTGAAACCCTGGTTGATGCCGTGGTCGTACTCGGAGTTGACTCACATACAGCTGCTTGTTGCCTAGTCCACTTCCCCTACACATTTCCAGCTGCTTGTTCGTTGACATTTGAAGGTGTACGAGATCACCCGAAAGGCCACCAACCACCACAGCGATGAGTGAGCCGTGGTGGAGTTTTTGATGTCTACTTGAGCTTGATGCGGCCATTGGATTGGCTCGAGAGAAGAAGTGTACTCTGGAACACTGCTCCTGACTGTTCATCTCCGCCGGACGGTAACAAACCCCGCTCTCATTTACAGCTCATCGCCACCGTCGAGGGCGGTAGAGGGAGGGCGGGTAGATGAAGAAGGCGGAGGGGAGAGGCGACAACCGTACGATGGGAGAGGGGCGGCGGCGGCAGCGGCGGAGGCAGCGGCGGCGGCAGCGGCGGCGTCCGCGTCGAATAGAAGGTTGACGCCGTAGGAGCGGAGGGCGTTGACTACGGCCCATACCTTGGTCCGGTTCTTGAAGCCCTTCTTCTCGATCTCCTTGGCTACGTCGGCGTGGATCTCCTCGGCAGCGAGGCCGTCCACCTTGAGGCGCACCGCCAGCACCTCCCCCACCGCCGCCGCTGCCTTGGCGTTGCAGAAGCGGCCGCACTCGAGCCCCGGCTTGAGAGCCTTCTCCACCGACGACGCTGTCGCCACCACGCGGCCGTGCCGCCGGTCGACGACGTTGGCGGTGATGTACTTGAGCGAGATGAACAGCCGCAGCACGTACCTCTTCGCCGTGGGCGGAAGCCGGTTGGGACGGTAGCTCATCCCCCTCGTGCTCTTTCTCCTTCTACTATCCCCCGCGATCAGCCTCTCTGATATGGGAATAAACTCGCGCCGTCGGAAGCACCAAAAACCCTAGGACAGGAATTCCCAACCGAGAGAGAAACGTTGACATTACCGACCTCGAAGCATCCTGCGGAGGGGACGGAGGGAGGGTTCATAATCGATCGAACACACGTCTCTTCATCCGTCGGCGGCGCGGCCCAGTGAGTGAGAGGCTAAATGGGCTGGATTTCATTCTCCACGTATCAATGGCCAGCATGAGTTGGGCTCCTCATACTCATACTGGCCCAAAATGAGGCCCAGAAACGAGCCGAGCTGGCAGAAGAGGTCCTGCTGCTGTTGCTGCTACTGCTGCTACTGCTGCTACTGCTGCTGCTGCTGCTCTCTCTCGCTCTCTGTGCTCGCTGTGCTCGCTGTGCTCGCTGTGCTCTCTCTCTCTCTCTCATACGTTGGGATGGGAACCGGGTGGGGATTAATGAGGGGTCACTGAAAGCAAGGATGCGGAGTAAACAAGGCACGTATGTCTGGACGAGTAATCTATTCCTCCTCGGCCGTTGACGGGAGGGAGAGCGTGGGCTTTGACCGCGGCTCATTAAAGACGACCAACTCCACACGCTTCCCGACTCCGGCGGGGCCGGGCCTTATTTGTGAAGAACATGGGCGGGGCCGTAATTAGAACCTGTGATGGGGGTCGTTCCGGAGAAGGCGAGGGGGGCCCCGCACGTCCCTCGCGAGCGCCGTCGTTCGGACGAGCTCCTCCCTTGCCCACTTGACGGAATTACCCCGCTCGGGAATCAAAAAAGGGGATGAGAGAGAGAGAGACAGACGCGGGCCACGAGACGGCGCAACATTCGGTCAGCGAGGGTGTGAGTTGTCCCGCACGTGAAAAACCCACCCGGCTCATACCGGAGCTGGGCCCTTGAAGTGACACGCCGCGAGACAAGGCGGCTTTCCCTCTCTCTCTCTAACTTCGAGAAAGAGAGAGAGAGAGAGAGGAAGAGCTTAACTATAATGTCGTCTTTCTTAATACTGTCCATCTCTCACTGTGGGTGTGTGTGGGGGGGGGGACGGGGTGGGTTTCGACACCTAACGTGATGATTTATGGCCATAAATACTCGTCGCGAGCCCAAGACGGGTCCGAGCGAGAAAAGACCCATCGGCCACGCTTGTAGACAGGACCCGACCGATCCAAAGCAGGCCCTCCTCGCCGACATGCCCGACCCGAATCCGAGCTGCCTGCGTCCGCGCGTGTCGGCGCGGGCCCAATCACGCGGCCTTGTCTACAAGCGCCGTCCCACCCCGCCTACGTGCCCTTTCTTTGCGGGTCACCTCTCACCGAGAACGAGAGAGAGAGAGAGAGAGAGAGAGAGAGAGAGGGTTGGATGGCACGCCGTTGTGGGGTTGGATGATGGAGGGTGTCAGAGAGGAGGGGGTTGCCGGAAACGACTGCGGCTCTGGGGTTCCGTCCTTCACGCAGCCCTTCTCGCGCCGGCCGAGTCGACCCGGGTCAAGCCGAGAGAGGGCCCGTCGTTTTCTCTCCATGGTGTCAGGAACGAAAAACAGTGTGCGCCCTTCAGAAGTCCCAATCTCCTCCGCGTACAGTGAGTGCCCCCTCTCTCTCTCTAAATCTGTCCCTCTGTAACCTCTCTCTTCTCTGTCTCTGTCTCGCGCGGACATTAAATGTGAGGAAGCCAAAGGCAGAGCACTATGTTGGAATGATTGACTGGCGACGGACTGTGTGTGTGCTGGACGGAGATGACGGTCCTCGTCCGGACAGGCCTTCACCTCTCTCTCTCGGACACCCTCACATGCCCAACGGCCCCCACTGCCCACGTGATCCCCTCCCACGTCGTACACATCCCCCTTCTTAATGCACCACCTCGCTCCTCTCTCTCGGCCTCCCAAGCGAAACCGTACCCTTTTTAGGAAAATTTACTAAGCGGCCACAGTGTTCTGCATAAAAGCCCACATCGGAGGAGACATATTTATGCAATGCATATCCAGATGCATACATCTTTCCAACCTCCCACAGACGGGGGGGAGGCAAGGAACAGCCGGACATTCACCCGCCCGACGGACAACAGAAGAGCCGAGGGGGCCGCACGTGAAACCATGGACCCCACAAACAGCCCTTCCCATGCCTGCGCGGCAGAGAGAGAGAGAGAGAGGGGGGCCACATTTCTTCAACCTCCGGCCTCGTAAACTAATCCTATTATGTTAATCTGCTTGCACCTAAGCAAAAAAGCAAGGGAATTCGCTCCCTAGCTCCGGGTAATATCCGACATTTTTTTAATCTCTCTAAATGACGGATAACGTTTGACTAGACTTGTGGAGGGGCTGTTAAGCCAAGTTCGGGCTTGGGGGGGCTATTAATTGGCGATTAATTTGGTTTTGACATCCGTCTCCCACATGTCCGCCGTCAGCATCCGCAGCGCTGTAGAAGCGTTCTCGTACGACAACCCCACTGCACCGTCCGTCAGCTGCACAGCAGCCTGAACCCCAAAGGAAAAGAGGCTTTTCTTCTCTTTTTTTTTTTTCCTGCGGACCATCCGATCGAGCGACCCATCAATAACCCCCCCCCCCAGCGAAAGCTTCCCGTGAGCCAGCTCACTCTCTCTCTCTCTGGGGAATGACAACGGCGAGGGAGGGAGAACTCCCGAGCAAAACGAATTCGAAAATGGAAAGGAACCAATCAATCCACATCGCGGCCTCTTCGGCAGTTCACGAGGAGGACAATGGCGGGTGGACCAACTACTCTGGAAACGGACAGAGAGGGGGTGGGGGCGGGGTTGCCGCCGCCGCCGGCGTAAACAAGCACTTTTCTGAAAACTCGGAGGTGCCCCAAGCTAGAGGAGCCATCGTCTACCTCCCGACGTTGTCGCTTCCGGCGTCCATCAGGATCTGCAGCCTCCGCGCCGTCTTCATGAAGTCGCTGCACAGTGCGTACAGTAGCAGAAACGACGGTCACGTTAAACGGTGGGCGGCCTGCCGGAAGGGTCTTTCGCAGGGGATGGAGGGGAGACACAGAGAGAAGAGAGAAAATAGAGAGAGAGAGAGGGGACTCACGTGAAGGCCTCATCGCCGGTGTGCTTGACCGCGCCAGTGGCGTCTCGGTAGAGCACGTGGCTCTTCATATCGGATTTCTGAATGCCGAACATGTCGGCCAGCCTCCGATAGAGCTCCTCGTAGGAGCCCAGGACTGAGAGATCGAGGGTCCGACCGACGTTCTCCGACTCCAAGAAGACCTTGCAGTGGCCAGTCTCCGACTCTGTCGCTGACTGGTAATGGTGATGGTGGTGGAGGTGGTCCTTGTACCAGACGAGGCCGCCTCCTCCTTCGGAAGGAGAGTTCTCCGCGAGGCCTCGCAGGTTGATCGCAGAGCCGGACCCGTTCAACAAATCCGAGCTCTTCCTGGTGAACTCCGGCGAGCCGCCGCCCGAGTCCCCGGAGCTCGGCGGGGTCTGCTGCTCCGTCAGTATGGGCTGCCCAAAGAGCAAAAAGTGCGGCGTCTTCGGACTGAACGACTCCCTCGAGCGGGGCGAAGAGGCGTTCCCGATGGTGAGCAGGCAGGAGACGTCCGGTATGGGGCTCCTGGTGGCGGCGCCGCAAGGGGCGGCGGAGACGGCGCCCGGCGGCGGGCGGGGGGGATTCTCCAGCCGGTGAAATCCAGCGTGGAGCAGACCCGTCTGCAGCTTGCTGATGTGGAGATCTGAGATGGATATACCAAATTGAGAATGCCTGGCTCCCTGTATCCCTGCAGGGGCGCTGTCCGGAAGGCAGCACTGGGGGTTGCTGCTGGGTTCGAAGGAGTTGCCGGAAAAAACGTGCGTCAGGAAACGGCCGTCGATGGCGAAGTCCGGCGACGGTGGCAACCGCAGCTTCTTCCTCGACGGCGAGAAGGTTTTCAGGTGGATGGCCGGCATGTTGGTCACGAGCTCCACCAGCCACGGGCTGACCCGTTTCACGTTCTGAAGTAAATCTGGTTCGTCCCATGTTACCTGCATCGACAGCCAATCCAACCTGTTAAACCCCCTCCGATCGCCGAGAGCGTAGATTCGATGAAACACATACGGGAAGAGAGAGAGAGAGAGACCGTCCGACCGACCGACAGAGTAGTATGCAAGGAAAACCAAAAGGCGTTGACAATGTATGAGATAAGAATGGAAAAGCATCAAGGACAAAACAAAACAGAAGTTGCTTTCTCTTCCTCCTCCACACCCGGGGCCATGCAGCCTCCAGGGAAATAAATCCGGGAAGGGTTGGTTCCCGGAAATTCACAGGGACCTCCCAGCCAAGCCACCAGCTGCTTATCACAACTGTCAGTCGTAAAAACTTTCCATTTCCATCCGCGAACAAATTAAACCCGGCATCGATGCCGTTCCACAGTTCAAAGCGCCGCATGATTTCCCAGAGGGGAAGTACGGCTAGAACGGGAGGTCAACCAGTAGGGTTTTAAGAGTGCGGATTACAAGATATACGATTCAAGCGCAAATGCAACACTGAACAAAGAACGAAGAGAACAAGAGATCGTTCTCTTCGATGCGGCAAGACAGGATCTTTCGATTGCCCCGCTGGAGGGAAGCGCCGAGGAGGCCGAATGGGCGAGGGGAGGTTATTCCGTAAAACCGGAGGATCAGTCCGCAGACGAAGATGAAGGAAACATTCCGTTAATCCAGAGAAGAGGAAGAAGAAGAAGAAGAGCACAGAAACGATAGACAATGGAAGGATGGGAGAGGAAGTGACCTGGAGGAGCCTCCACGGAGAATCGGGCCAACGGACGGGGTCCGCGCATTGAACGGAGGAGACGGTGCCCATGAACCAGCTGATACGAGAGGAATCTTCGGTCTCAAAGGCCATCTTGAAGCGCATGCCAGGGCACCAGTCGATCCTCAGCGCAGCCCTCACGGCCGCCGCCTTGACGCAGAACTCCGGCGTGCTCGCCCTAGGGTAGTAGACCACCTCAAAAAGCTGACCATCGGCAGCGAGGTTGGCAGCCTCCACGACGGACTCTGGTCTAACTCTCCCCCTCGCGATCATGCCCCCCACTGAACCAGGGTTCTCGCCATTCCGCCTCATGAGCTTGTTCTCCTGTTCCCTCAAGAACAGGGAGAAACCCGCGTACGGCGGCGGCAAGCAATTTCCACCGGGGATGTTCCATCCCGACGGCAGCTCCAGCCCACCGCCGGGCCCTCTCTTCGCCCGCCGGATCCCAACGCAGAGCTCCCCGTTCTCGGTCCGCAGGAACACAATGGAATCCCCAGCCACGAGCTTCTTCTGATTCACGAAGGTGCTCCAGCCGGTCGTGAGAAGATGGCGGCGCGGTGTCCCCCTGTAGATGTGGCGGAACTTCCAAATTTCGCCATGGACATCCTTGGCGAGGATCGTTTGGACCGGCGGATCGGCCGAGTAGTCCAGACGCGGAAAGATGGTCTCCGCACAGTAGCGCGGAACAGAGAACCCACCGCCATTGTTGGCATCCGACTGGGTCAGGGTCTTGGCGAAGGAGGTGGTCTTCTCAGGGACCCCCGATCCGTTGCTCCCCAGGCCGCCAAAGTCCTCCCCGCCTCCATAGTCCAGCTCCTCGGATCTAACAGGCATCAGTTTCATCTTGGCGTAGACCTCGTCCGTCTCGGGATCGGCCAGATACTTCACACCGGCGACCCGGCAGAGGATGTACGGGGGAATCCGCGGGCAGTTGGGGAAGTCCACGGGGCCCTGTGCGTGCTCAGCCTGCCCCTGGGGGAAGTAACAGACCAAGGAGCTCACCGCCGGCATTTGGACCATGCCACCGGCGCACGCGTGCCAGAGCTGGGGATCCAAGCACCTGTCCGATTCCTTCATCGTGATTTCTCTCGGGCAATCGCTGAATGTGATCATCAACCCGCCACAGCCTTTGAAATGCGTACCGTCTCAAAGAGGCGCCCGCTGCAACGGATAGGAACAGAGATCAAAAGTCGCGTCGGACCCGATAGAAAGACAGAAAGAGAGCGAAATCAAAGAACCACTAGCCAAATCGACGGAAATCCAACTCGAAGAACCCCTCACCTGCTCATGAACTGGCGACCTCTATCCCTTCTTCTTCTGGCTCTCAAGCTAGTCGGCACTCACGAACTGCCAACGAATGGACGATTGAGTCTAACATCTTCGATAAATAACACACAGCGAGAGAGAGAGAGAGAGAGAGAGAGAGAGAGAGAGAGAGAGAGAGAGAGAGAGGAATGTTCCGACAGCCGACCTGCGATTTGAGGAAGAGGGGGAGCTTTCTCTGTGATTTGAGAAGACCCACATTCTCCCGATCTCTCCCGCATACCAAACGTCGAGAGCCGACGACGCAGTCACCACAGAGACTATCCCGGAAGCTTGGCGTGCAAGAGGCTGCCGAGTAGGGGCTCTACCTCTACACAAACCCAGAGGAAATAAATCTACGAGACCTAGAATGGTAGGCTACAGGCAGACGGACGACTAACCAAGATTATGATTAAGAGAGGGGTACTGGTTACTTTCTCACAACATCCCCTCCACTGTTCCACTGGGACTCGGAATCCATCTACAACAATCGATCTGCACAGTACTCAAACAGTGGAAAGCGGATCCTCCGGAAACAAGATCCTCTGGAAACCCATTATTGAAGAGGAACAATAAGATCAAAGGAAGAGAAATGGGTGTGGTTTCACGCTCCCCAATCCTTCCTAGAAACCTTCACTCCCCCACCCCCACCTTCCTCCCTCCTCCAGCAAAATTGGTCCCCCCTCCCCTCTCCCTTCTCTCACGGAAGGAGCTCCTCTTTCGCAGCCCGCTCTGCTTGCATTCCACTCTCACGCAGGATTTAAACGATCCTCCCGGCGACGGCAAGCCCGGCCATCTCCCCGCCCCCTGCAGAGGTTCCCCGGGTTTAACCCACCCTCGATCCTGCACCGACCGACACACAATAAGCTCCACCCACCTCCTCCCCGGCCCCTCCCCTCGCCCCTTCCCGGTGTCGGAGCCCCCCAGCAGTAGCTCCTCTGGGCTGAACGAGATGGTTCGAAGGTCCTCCCAGCCCACCCACTCAGAATCACACTCCCAGGGGAGGAAGAAGGGGAAGAGCCAGGGCTAGATAGAGAGGGAGAGAGAGTTAGAGAGAGAGAGAGACCCTTGCCGCATCCCCACCGCCGCTATTTTCTCCCCCCCCCTTACCAGAAGATATCTTCTGTTTTTTTTTCTCAGAAGGGACGGAGATCGATCCCCACACGGACGGTCCAGATTGCGAGTCGCGACGCTTCCGGACACCGCCCTCCGGTTGCCACTCCTTAGCTCTCTCCGGGAGAAGGGAGAGCGGCGGCTCTTGCCGTCCACTTTGCCACTATGTATTTACGTGCAGTGCCATTCCGTGTACGGGAAGGACATCGCCCTTAATTGTGTGTTCCTGCGGGTATACCATACGCCGACTAGACATCACCTTCCCATCCATGCAGACCCGCCTCTCTCTCTCTCCTCCCTCTCTGGACCCGAGGAGGCGACGGCTACGGCGGAGCGTCGTACCCTTCCGTGTCAGGCCATCCCCTGCTCGTCGTCCTCCGCCGCCTTAAAGAAGCGGCCCCCGGGCTTCTTCTTAGTTACGGTATCAGAGGCAGAGGCAGGCCGAAGACGAAGACGGCGGGGGAGAGAGAGAGGGAGGGAGGAACGGGGAGGGACAGGCAAGCAACAGCGGCAAAGAGGCAATAATACGGCGGAAAGGGACCCATAACTAGAAAGAAAGGGCCGAGAGAGCGGCCGCTTCGAAGCGGAGAACAAAGTACAGAGATCACGACGGAGAACAGCGAGCACCAAGACATCAATGTCGACAACGATAGCGACACTCTCTCTCTCTCCCTCTCTAGAGACGAGGCGGGCATGGTCCCGGGAGTGGGCCTTATCCGGGACGACGACACAGCCACCGATCACATCGGCTGGACCACCTACCTCTTCGAGGGAGGGGTGGCTCGTCCTCCTACCTACTAGGGACGGGGGAGGCCGCCCTCCGACGTCCGGCAGCAATGGCAGCGCCGCCGCAGAGAGAGAAGATTGGAGGAGGGGGGGTGTCGAATTCCCCCGATTCTCTCTGCTGTTGTCCGGGCGCTGTCCGTGCATGATGGATGATGAAGGAGAACCGCTGGATGGATCTTTGTCTGCTCTTCTCCCGCGGCTCACGACGGCCTCCGGACAGGAAACCCGCCGCGGATTATCATCATGATTAGCGAGCGCCGTCGGCTTTACTCCCCATCGTCCAATATTCGGCGATAATTGTCCCAGAACCCACAATTCATCACGCCGTCTTATGGAAGGAGGGGGGGGGGGAGAGTTGCCTTCTTCCCGACAGGAGCTCGAGCCCTCTTAGCTTATGGAAGAGAAAGATGAAGATGAAGATTTTCCCGTAATTCGGCGGGGGGGGGAGGAAGTGGGCCATGGCGCGTCTCCCCGTGTGTCTCCGGCCCATTAGTGGAGGTGCCAGGTCGGACGACACGATGAGTGATGTCCGCCTTTTTATTCCTGTCATGGGTTGCGTCAGCAAGGGGAAGCCCATCCGACGTGGCCCCACCTACCCTCTACCTCAAAAACCGCAGGCCTGTTCCCGGGTCTACGCCCCCTTAATGGACCCAACTGGCCGCAGCAGCCCATTCACAACGACGCGTGCCACCCGAGGGGAGAGCACGCGTGCGGACCTTCTTGCTTCTGTAGTGGTCCCAGACCGAACGAACGGATAGAGATAGAGAGAGAAAGGCAGAGAGAGAGAGAGAGAGGTGGGAGGAGAGCTTACGTAGTGGGCTGTGGCGAGAGGGACGCGCCGGTCTACGGTTTGGGCTCGAGTGCCACGGCGAGCGAACGAGGGGGCGACGGAAAGCGCGGGCTGCAGCTGGCCCACCGGCAGCGGGCGGCGGCGGCGGCGGGGAACTATCGAAGTCGACACGTGGTGGTGGTGGTGGTCGAATATATGCCGGATAAATTTCAGTGAGGCGACCCAACGGGGGACTGAATCGCCGACGTGATCCCGCTGTTTTCTCACTCCATTAATATCAATGCCCGCCGGCTTGTCATCGGATACCGGGTAGGAGCGCCTCCCGCCGGTTGCGACGGTCCCATCGGAGGGAGGACCGTTGCGGCCGAGACGGCGTCGCACGCGGGGGCCGGAAGAAGAGGTCAACGGTTACTGTTCGCCATCTGTTCGCCCATCCTTGGCCCGCTCTGTCCGACTGCTCGGATCCGGGTCGGTTAAAACGAAGCCTCATTTCCCGGTGTTGAAACGATAAACATTAAAGTATTAAATGCAGCAGAGATAAATGAATTTCTTCATGGGCATCTCCGGCTAGTTGCACTTGCGCCCCCCCCCCCCCCCAACCCGCCAACTCTCTCTCTCTCTCGCTGTGAGTCTTCCTCTGGTCTCGCTTCGCAGCAGGCCCGTGAAGTGACAGGGGGCTCCACTCCCGCACTGGGATTCTACAACACCGACATCTGCAGTGTCGGGGCCGCGGTTGGTGGATGCCAGCAATCCAGCCTTCGTCAACACGCCACGCTATCGTCTCGATCTCCGCATCCTCAGTGTCTCAAGCCAACGAGGTGCCATGAGGGATGGTCGCCGGCCCACAAGCCACGAACCCTTCGCAACTGGTAATGGGCCGGCATTTAGCGTCACTCCGGAAGCCCGCGATCGGCGATCCTGAGAAAGGCAGAGGAAAGATTTGGTGAAGGCAAAGATGGTCAGACGCGAATTAGATTAGATGAGAGAAAACCGGGAATCGCTGATCATAACACTTTATACCGAAGGTAAGATAAGATGCACCGCGTACAGAACTGCGACCCGTATTCGGCAGAAAAGAAAGAGCTTTGTCGGACCGCAGTAGAATCCAGAAGAATGAGGTAGACCAAAGAAAACCCAACGAGTCAATGAAGGGCCACAGGACAGAGGGACCTAACTGTGTCGGACCTTGACATAAGTGTGATCCACAACAAGAGGGCGGACACACTCGGTCGTGGATGATAGTCCCTGTCGCTGGTCTCAGGAGGCGCCTTGCCGTCGCAAGACGCTGCTAAACCAGCCCGCCCCCCGTCGAAGCCTCGGCGGGGAGAAAAACAACGAGGAAAACGAGAAGAAGAAAAGGTTTCGAAAGGAGAACCATCGACTCGACTCTCACAAATCCATGGAAGAAGAGGGGCAAACGGGCATTCTCAAGACTGTATCTGATCTTGACAAGGCTGAGACCCACGAGGTCGAGATGGGGTCAGACCGGTCAGAGGATCGACAGTCGTTGTTGCTGGCCAGGCACCTGTTGCAGAAGCACGCAACTTGCAGGCCTAAACCTGCACCAGGGCGAGACCTGGCCAGCATAATTAGCTCAAGGAGAGGAACAGGCTGTGCAATACGGTCCGCGAAAAATGATCTTGATGAGAAACTTTGAGGTGAATACGGGAGGGAGGGAGGGAGGGAGGGAAGAATCCTTGGATGTTGGGCCCAAATGGAGCAAGTCAATGCAGAACGCAAGAGACTTGTAACGAAGGGTCAAAACAGTGATCTTCCAGGCTTGTAACTGCATCAGCGCCACAGGAGTTTCTGGCGGCTACATGACTAAGCCTGGCGGCGGATGCGAGCAGGTCAGTGACAAACCGAGATTCAGTCTAAGAAAAACGAACCAAAAAGGTGTCGGGTAAGATATAAACGAGAGAAATGAGTTGGGCGCGACATAATCGAAGAAAAGTGTGACATACTCTGAAAAAAGTGAACACCAAAGACTTGGGCATGACACAACCGGGACAAGGGTGGATTACCAATGAAACGTTATGGTGACCACCGGGTGGGTTGATTGATTGCGGGAACTAACCAACTCTATGCTTGATCTGGCTGATCTTGGATGGCGTGGATAAGCAGTAGACATAACTCCACTACATCGATCCAAATCTCGCCCTGCATCCATCACCCGAATGAAAAGTATAAGTTCCACAGTGGACGTCAAAGTAAACTAAACTGCATGGTAAGTCCAGTAACAGAAAAGGTGGGTAAACTCAATCTTAGTGATGTCTTGATCGATCGAAATACACACAGCAGTCGGTTTAGCACCCTGTAAACATCCCCGCGTCGGCTGCTGAGCTGGATTTCATCATTATCAATAAACATACCGATGGAAATTGCCGGGGAGGAGAAAGGCAATCGGTTTAAACCTTAACAAAAGTGATTTAAACAAAACCCAATTGATCTTCGCACAGAATGAGTCGAGATCAAAAGCAAATGCCGGTGCAGACACCGTTATGAGTGGTTAAGTGACGTGAGGTTACAGTGACTCCAAAAAGTAATGCAAAACCCACATTCTCAGACGGGTTAAACGTGAGGCAAATAAAGACCGAGGTCAATCGAAGACGGCTTGAATCCGCCGTCAAACATTCTCACACGCGTGTCATTGGCATCGAATGGCTCCGCCAGAAACCATTGAAACGAGAGTGCATGTAGGGCCCAAATGGAGCACGTCAGAACAAATAGCGAAAGACGTGTAACGAAGGACACCAGAAGTGAATTTACCAAGCTTGTAACTGTAACAACCAAATATGTCTAAGGAAGTTACATGACTAAGCCTGGCCAAGATGGGACGGTATGCTCGATCCAGGAATCGTAATTCAACGACAAAGAACGTGCTGGACCCACGACCTGAGTTTCGAACAATGCGGCAAAGGTGGCAGCAATTGGAGGCCTAATAGTTGACCTTAACAAGCAGGGAACAGCATCTTCGGCGATAAAAGCAGTAGCCAAGCGAAGAGTGATCCTAGTCATCGGCATTTGGGAATATTTATCAGGCATCTTTTCGGCATTCCGCGACTGATTGATGTCCACATTTGGAATCTGACCGTATACTTCTTAAATGAAGTGTGGCAATCAGATCGGACGAATACAGTTACCCGATAATCCACAACAGAATAGCGTTTCGAGATAGAAAGAGGATGGAATGAGCTTCTGAGACAGTTCATGTTCGACTGAAAGGTCGTAGCATTTCTGGCCGCGGGTAATGCACAGGGGAAAAGAACATGAGAATCAGGAACAAGAAAAGTGGTCCACCCAAATGAGAGGAAAAGAGCGGACGAGAGAACTTCAGATTGATGATTGTCGCAGTAGAAAGAAACTGTAAATACCGGGTCAGGACTCGTGCCATACCGTATGTCGCAACACACGGGGCCGACGACATTGTTATGACTCATTTTCTGATCCAAGGAGAAAATCTTCCGCCCTCCGTCGCCCCCCAGCCCACTGCCAAAGCCTTCGGCCGTTGCGGAAGCCTGTTCGCAGCCAACGCCCCCCCTCTCCCATGGTTGGGGACGGTCGAGGCTGCCCCCATCGTCTCCCCTCTGCTCGGCCGGGCAGAGAGAGAGAAGATGGGAACAGAGGAACGCGGACCCGCGAAAGAACGAAGCGAAACCAAAATACGTAGAAACCCTAATTTCAGACGACTGTGTATAAATAGCAGAAACGACCCACGATTGGAACTTTCTAGAAACCTCGGTGAGACGGCTCAGCCGAGAAAGTGTTTAAAAAACAGAAATAAGATAATGCACAAATAATCCATAAAAAAAGCATTTCTCAAAAAAAGTTATTTTATCTGTTGTATCCTATTTTTATTGATTTATGTATTTATTCTCCTTTATTTAATTACTTATTTATTTATTAACCTCGAACCCTAACGGTACAATATCGGTACAATATCACAATGAGAAAGAACATGGATTCTGGCAGCCACAAAGAAAGGCTACGGCGCAAGTAAGGTCAACCCCCCGCAGGCGTCCCATGAAGCCGCGCGGTCTCCCTAAAATGATTTTATCTGGATATTATACGTGTTATAATGGATTGATCAATTAATTGGTCAGATAACGTCACAGGGCCCCCATTTCGTCCTCCACGAAGCCCAGTGGTTCACGTGGAAGCGGCCCAATAAGCCCAATTCGAACAAAATCGGACGACCAATAGTCGAACAGAAACTGAAAAAAAGGGTCGCCATATTAATTTAATCTGGTTTTTAAGAAGCGCGCTCAGCCACCGAGGACGCCGCGTCATGTGGTCATAAACCCCATCTTCGTACAGCGACGTTGATCGCCCTCCCGCCGGTGACGTCCGAGCAGAAGGAAGTCTGCGTGGGGCCGGGTCGCTCTCCCAAACGTTTCCGCTGGAACGTCGCGACCTCTGGGGAGTGGGCCACCGTCCGTCGGGTTCCTCTTGGAGAGCGGTGGGGGGGGGGGGGCACAGGTGTGAGGGTTAGAAGGCTCAGAGGGGGTGGGCCCAGCAGGACACACATTAAAGGAACGGCGAGCTTAGAAGGAAAGAATAACAGTGCACACTCGATTTAACGGTAAGATCAAGTAAACCCAACTGCGAAAGAATCCCCATCCCCACATCTCTCTAAACCATCTTCTTCTTCTTCTAGGCTAGTCACTGATGCCCCCCCCTCCTTCCCTCTCTCTCTCCCTCTCTAGCTTACATGCATGGCGACTAATCAATCTCCTACTCGGGCTCTCCCTCCCAACCCCCTCACCTGTACAGGAAAACCACGAATTCTTGGCTACAAAATCAAATAAGAGGACTTTGTAGAGGGAGAAAGGACGAAAGAAGGGCGGCTACTACTCGGAGAGGATGCCGTGTCCCTCGGCGGTACGCCACTCCCTCCGCCGGAGGTACTCGAGGAGCTCGCAGGACTTGGCGGCCACGTCCAGCGGCCGCGGACCCGGCTCCGACACCGGCGGCTCCTGGCCGACCTTGTTCCTCATCTCCACGACCTTCTTATGGGAATTCGAGTGGACGGTCGCCACGAAGGTCGGACTGGCCGCCGGGCGGTACTCGGGGAAGAGGCGGCCGGACTTGTAGCGGACTCCGCAGGCGTTGCAGAGCGTCTTGGGGCCCATGGGACCGGCTCGCCACTGCGGAGTCTTGGTCACCTCGCAGTGCATGCATTTCCTCACACCTCCTCCCGCCGAGAGGGAGGAGGACATCGCCGCCGCCTCCTCCTCTTCCCCCCCGTCGGCGGTCGCCGACGACGGCGCCTTCTTCTTCAGCTTCTTCTTCTTCATCTTCTCCTCGTTGGAGCAGTCCGACTCGGCGTTCTCGGATTCGTTCTCCTGCGACGCGGCCCCCAAGTCCCCGTAATCGTCAGAGGAAAGGGGGGCGGTGCTTGAGCTGAGGGTGGTATTCTCGGAGGAGGGTGGCGGCGGGATGACGATGGGAGGGCGCACAGAGAAGCTCGGGGGGCGGGGGCGCTTGCTGCGGGAGCGGGCGGGAACGATGATCGACTCCGGTGGGCTTCGGGGCGCCGCCGTGGCCATCTTGGTCCCGCAGCCGGTGCCGGAGCTGGAGGAGGAGGTCGGAGAGGACGAGGACGAGGTATAGGAGGAGCCGGTGACGGTGGAGTAGGAGTTGGGCAGGGATATCCCGCGCTCGAGCACGGAGATGGGGCTGGAGCTCCGAAATATGAGCCCCTGGTCGACCATATCAGAGGTCACCGCGGCGTTGACCATCTTCTTGCTCTCGCCGTCGCCGTCACCGGCGACGTGGAATGTGACGGCCGCATTGCAGGGGACGAAGCGGAGGCCATCGGAGGAGTAGGATTCCTCGCAGAAGTTGGAGAGCCACTCCAGCTGCGTCACGTCGATGTCGTCGCACTGAAAATACGCATCGATAGAACCCCCTCAGTCCCCCGACTCAGAAGCAGCAACTAAATTAACAAACTATCGGTGGACTAAATCGGGAATAATAAGATGTGTGAGCATCTTGTATTCTTACCAGTAATCCCTCCGGGAGAACAGCTGAGACGCCGGCGGAGGCATCGGCGGCGACGGTAGCTCCCACGGCAGCGGAACCGTCGAGGTTGCTGGAGGCGACGAGGCCCGCCTGGGGGTTGTCCGCGACGAAGCCGGAGATGTCGGCGTCCTTGATGTCGAGGAAAATGTCGTCGAGGTTGATGTCATCCAGACTGAAAATGGAGCGGTCCGCCACGGCCGCCATCAGGTCTTCGTCTTCGCACAGCTTCTCCACCTCCTCATGCCAGCTCCCTCCCTCCGCGGCCATCTTCTTCGCACAGACGTCCCACCTGCCGTCGTTATTCCACACCCTCTGACAGAGAAAACACAGGCCACGGTAAGCCGCTACGCTTCATCGGCGAAATTCTCTCTCTCTTCTCTATACGCTTTTCCCAAAGGGTCACAGAAGATACGGACGGAGGCGCCATATATAGCAAGTACGGCTCCCGAGTTCCCTCACATTTTCCCTCTCCGGAGGGGATTACCAGACACTTTGACATCGTAACAGAGACGAGAAGGCTTCACCCCGATTGGTGAGAACAGCTACGCGCCCTCTCTCTTTCTCTCTCTAGGTGGAGGGTGGGTGGGTTAATAACGGCGGTGATGGGGAACAGCTCAGCTAAACGCGTCAACGCCCGCCTACAACTGATGTGGGTCCCGGTCGGTGTACTTACCTTGCCCACGAAGCAGAAGCAGAAGCAGAAGCAGAGGCAGAGTAGACGCGGTCCCTAACGAGGGGTGGGAAGGACTTTAACGTCACTGGTGGGGGATTTTGACACGGGATTTAACTGTCGAGTTGGACCTCTCTTTTAATAATAACGGGACACGTAAGTTCCCGGCTCCACAGCCGTTGGATGGAGATCCAACGGCTTTCGGGGTGTCCGCCACTGTACGTTTCGAATCCACGCGGTTGTCCTGCTCTGGAATCGATAAATTCCCTGGGCGGTAAATTCTGACCGAAGGAGAAGCCAGGGAAGAGGATTGATTCCCCGTGCGACGATGCCAAACGCGGGGATTTTAGAAGCGTTGACGGTGGGATCGCCGAACCGAATCGGGAAACTCGGGAGGACCTACGACCGGAGAGGAATTCCCCCGGCAAAAACCGCGATGAGACGAAACCAGCGCCGCCAGGGGAGTCGGAGGTGAACGTTGCGGCGGCGAATTGCCCCCGAGCAAAGGAATATGGGGAGGAAAGACGAGGGGGATCGAGGTCGGAGACGATACCTGCGTTGATAATTATGGGGCGGAGCCCGGTCCGAGCTTCTTCTCCCCGAGAGGAGGAGCAATTCTTCTTCTACTGCTGCTGCTGCTGCTGCTGCTACCGCCGCCGGTGGCCGGCCTTGTAACTCCTGGCGGAGACAGAGGACCGAAAATGGTGGCTTTCTAGCGCGCTCCCGCGTGCCGACACCAGTTCAGAATGACGGAGAGGCTGCAGTATAGGGGAGGAGGAGGAGGAGGAGGGAGGAGCTCGACTCCGACGTCGATGGCATTCACCGACACGATTGAATCTGCGAAAGGATAAGCCGCCACTGCCGCCGCAGCGAGAGCGAGAGCAAGAGCGAGACAGAGAGAGAGAGAGAGAGAGAAAAGGGGAGGGAAGAGGGGGTTCCGGAAGATAAGGAAGGAGAAGCCTGTAATGGGGAAAGGCCTCTACAATGCGAACTCCACTGGCGACACTGGGCGCGCTCTCTGAGGTTCTGAGCACCACGGGAGGTGGTGGAGGAGGAGGATAGATGGAGTAGCGGGGAATGTGAAAGGGGCAGGGGGGCTGTAGTGGGGGGGTTTTAGGGCATTTAGAGAGAGAAAGAGAGTGAGAGAGACGTGGGGGGGTGAACACCAGGGTGGGTCTGTCACCACCACGGCTCTACTTCTAGTAGCGGCGGCTTGTGCTGTGACACTGCTCGCTACCCTCCCTTCTAACTGCACCACGGACTTCCTCCCTTGGCCTGATTCCTATATGAAACGCCCGTATCTTTCTCTCTCTCTCTCTCCCCTTCCCTCCTTCCCTCCCTCAGGGGTTTGTATTATTTCCCGTTCGACGTTCGATGGCTACCGTTTCTCCTGGTAGGTGAGACTTACTCTCTCACTGCTAGCTGGCCTGTCGGTGACTTCTCCCTGCCCTCAACCCACCCCCTTCTCACCACCACTCTTAGAGAGAGAGAGAGAGAGAGAGAGAGCCCTTTTCTTACCACCACCACACTGTCGTGACGTTGAAGTCTCCCCCCTCTCTCTCTCTCTACTGTGTCTCATCTCTCTGTACTACGTTCCAACGGATGCCGCGGCGGGGCCCCGCCTACAAGTAAGCCACCGCTCTCACCCCGACCCCCTCCCCCAAAATCACTCTCTAACCTGCAGAATATTTTAGTGGTGGATCCATGATTTCGGCCCCCCCTAGAAGGGAAGGGAAGGGAGGGGGGGGTCGAATTTTACTTAATTTAATTATCACCGATGCACCTCCCTTCTATTCTAATTGCAGTCGATTTCGTTCCAGCTTCCTCCACATGCTTCGTCAGGCGGAGAGAGAGGAGAACGTGCCAGGCCGTAAAAGAAAGCGAACACACAGAGTGGTAGAGAGAGAAAGACAACGCCGTCCATCGAGTCCGTTGCCCGACCCCCAACCAAGAAGCGTTACGTCTCTCTCTCTCTGTATTCTCTCTCTGTCGGTCTGGCCCCCGGCTCTGGGCGCCCGCCGGAAGAGATGACCGTGGGGGGAGGGGCGCGGGCGGTGCGGCGGAGCACATGGACGCACCGAAGACCGGCCGCCCCACCGCCCTGCGCGCGTGGTCCGCCTTTTCAAACCCTGCGGGGTTTAATGACTCGCCACCGAACCCTGGAATTCGAGCCTTCTCGCCCCGGTGGTTGCTCATCTCGTCGCGGTGACCGGATCCTCGCGGAGTAAAGGCGAGGGAGAAAGGACCCGTCAAAATAAAACAATAATTGAAAAGAGGCTCCGGGAAAATTATGATCTTAAAGTGACCGCACAACCGACGCTCCCTTCCTTCGATCGGCCCCCCGTATCATCAGTCCCCGGCACTCCCCAGACTTCAGTTGCACTCCTCCGATCGATCCCTTGCATCCTACTCTCTCCCAATATATAATCTTATATTTATATTATTTATGTTTTATAGATAATATCTGCCGCGAAAATCGCATTGAGTCCACACGCTCGTGCATTTCGCCGCCGGTTTAGTCATAATCCTGCACGTGTTTTACTCCCCGATTGTCAAATAGATCCGTAATTTAATTTATTGCCTGGTATTAATGTATATAAAAAAACCTACGAGGGCAGTGGGCGCGCGTGCAGGGGTATCTGGAACACGTGCCGAGGGTCCTGTTAGTCCTCACTCCCGTGGCGGATGACGACAGCGTGTTTAAGAAGCAGGACTTGTTGTCCCCATGGGGCCGTCACGTGGAGTTCTGGGCACCGACACCCCACCACACCCACAGCCCGCCGGATGCCACGAGGAGGGGTCTCGCGGCCCGTCGGTGGCTCGGCCCAGGAACACCGACACTGTCAACTAGTGGTCCGGAGGAGCCCCCTCCGTCACCCACCGCACGCTTTTTCTCCCCGCTGGCACGTGGGAGGGGGACCGCCCTGAACATAGGAGACCCGTGTATGTATAACCCGAGTGTGGCGGCTCGGGCACATGCAGATCGGAATCGGCGGGGCAAGCGGCGCAAAGCGCTGCGACTCGGTGCGTTGACCAGCCGGGGGGGTGGGGAGATTTTCGCCACTGGTCGTCATGTTGCCGACAGCTTGCTCCTACGGGCTCCAGCACGTGCCGTTGATGCTCCGAAAGCAATGTAGCAACACTAATTTTGATTCCGATCCCGACCCAGGGCCTCCCCGGCGAGTCCGACCCATCCTCGAGTTTGAACTCACGTGTTCGTGCAAACCAGTCGACACCAGGGTGGCAGCTCATCTCTCTCTCTCTCTCTACCACGAGGGAGCACGGAGATGAGTCGTCGTAGATCCTGCATACAAGGCGGCGGACGAGGAAAGAAACCAGTTCTCCCAGGCACGTAGGGATGGGCATTTAAACAGAGGCATCGGTGTGCGTACGAACACCAGATGCGGTCCAGGCGGAGAAGAATACTATCGCACACCCTCTCTCTCTCTCTCCCTCTCTCTCACCAGATGCGGTCCAAGCGGAGAAGAATACTATCGCACACCCTCTCTCTCTCTACGTCGCTCTCTTCTATCGTAAAATCTCTAGTCCCCCTCCTGTCTCTCGAGCACAGTCTCATGTGGGTGCAATATCGCCCAGGCTGTCGCCCACGTGTTTCTCCCCCGCGGTCCGACGCCCCGGTAGATTCGTGACTGAGATCCCTCCACCGCCTCTCACAATTTTCTTATGCCATAGGCACTAAGAATATTAATAACAATAACATCACGTCGTTATATTATTACTACTATTATTAATGAGCGACGTCGACTATATATCATCCTAACGCCATATGAAAGGTATTTTTTAACCCGAGCTAAAAGCTCGCACGTAGACACGAAATGCCCGCCGTCTGAAGACTCTTGGGATGTAGATGAACGTACGAGCATACCCAATTATCGCGGACACTTCAGTGCAACATTCGCATATCGTCCGCCAGCTGGACACCTTGTCAACATCTTTGACCTCCGTCTGTCCCGTCATGCGAGCACCCAATTATCGTGGACACTCCAGGGCAACATTGGCATATCGACGCCCAGCTGGATGCCCTGTAAGCATCCTTTAACCTCAGGCCTTTCGCGTGGGACCCATCCCTACTCCTCTCCCCGCCCCAAGCCCCCCACACCCACCGACATAGACAGTGCCCGAGTCTCCTACGCGCGAGTCGTAAGAGAGACAGACCATTGGAGCGTTACGTCGAATATCCGGTTCATGCGGTGGTTGCAGCCAGTGGAACGCACGCATCACTGAATTAATTAAAGATGCGCGCGGTGCGATTTTTGGTACCTAGAACATGATTTTGGCCACTAGATGTGACCATCAAGGTCTGGCGGTCCACGCGATAGACGGAACAGTTTACGTGCATCGGAATCGGTCAAGGTTCGGTCTTCTTGAAGGGTTCCAGGGGGTCGCAAGTGGCCCGATGAGCACGGCGAAGTTACTGCTTGAATTCGCAAAAAAATGATTTTTTAACGGGAACCACGCTCAAAGTTACGCGTTGGATGCCTGTTATTCGGTGGAGTTCGTCTTCTTTAATGGCGCCATAAAACAAGGCGAAGGATTTGGGGGGGCATAGAGGAATACATCCGACCCATTAAAACGCCTGTATTAATCCAGTGCCACCCCAATGTCAATATGCGGGACAATTTATCTGGGTCGGTGCCCTCCCCCCACCTCCCCGAGGACAACCGTGACAACTACCCCCCGCCTCTCTATCTTTCTCTCTCTGCCGTCTCCCCGCCACCTCCCCCCCGATTTGTGGAACTAGACTGTCGGCGATGGTCCCCTGTCGCTAGGCCGCGGTCGCGTACACGTTAAACGACGGTTGAGATCTCGTCCAACCCGAGTAATGTCACCGGTGGGTGGGTTAGATACTTCGCCACTCCGTCGGGGAGTGGGAGCCCTCCACTGATGCATCAGTATCAGCGCCCCTCCGCCGTTCCCCGGCGATGAGGGCGAGGCTATTGACGGACCTACGACAGATATAGACGGCCCTCGCCGTCGTCGTTTCGGACCGGCTTCCACCGGCTGGGGGCGAAAGCTGGTCGCCGCCGGAAATTAGGCACCGCCACCGCCCGCCCAACCCCTCGCACATTCCACCGTTCGGACCCTGACCGGGGCCTCCGCCGGCTGCGGCGGGATCGCCGCCGCTGAGGAAAACAACGTGGCGTCAGGGGGGAAGGACTGCGTCCAAATTGCTGAGACTGTTCGTCAGATTCCGGAGGGCGTGGTTCCCTTTCGACGGCGCCGCCAATTTCTTAAAAATCGCTTCTTGAAATCTCGGTTGCGCATCCAGGGGGGCGCCGGGGGCGGCGTCGGCTGCCGACGAGAACGTGGGGACGCCGCCGACAGGTAGGCGGTGGCAGTGGTTGGCGGCGCGGGCCCCACTATCACCCTCCTTCCTGGTCCTCCACTTCCCGGTTTGTCCGACCCGATTTTCGACGACCTTTTTATTCTGATGGAGATCATGTCCAGGACTCGTTACTCATCACGTGCGTGCATCCCAACCCACGTGAGGTGCCAGCCGTAGTGGTTGCAGCCTCCTCTTAAAGGAGGAGCCGAAGAAAACAATGCCATCCCTCCCCCCCCCCCGCGGCCGACGACTTCTGTGATCCGCCGACGCTGGTCTGAGCCGTTCGATGATATTCTCGAGATTCGATCTCCACCGTCGGAATGATCTGGCCGCCGAGTCGGCTGCTCATTCAATGCGCCTCCTCAGATCACGTGGCAGAGGTGTACGCAAACAATGGCCGATTGTTCCCTCGCTGGAAGCTAGGCGTCGTCCACGTGTGCGATCGCCGCCCGAGCGAGCCTGCGGGAGCCACGCGAGCCTGGACGTCCTCCGGGAGCAATCGTCGGTGAGGCTGCTGCTCCTCGTCCGTTTGAATTCCTGGGCCTAGATTCTAAGGTGCTCGGTGGCCTGATAACATTCTAAGGTTGCCGTGCTTTCAATTCTAGACCGCCCCAATGGTCGATAAACTTGGCCCATTATCCCCGAATTGGGACTCGATTTATTTTATTGTCCTGGGCCCTCTCGAGTTAGCCCACTGAAAGCATCGGCCCAGACAACGGGGTCCAATAAAAGAGGTTTGACTTGAGTATCGCAGTCAAACTGCCCTTACCCCCGTTGACATCGATCGAATGTTTATGAGACCGGGCGAAATTATTATTATTGCTATTATCATATTATTTACTGGATTTCCCGCGTCTCCATGAAAATGCGCAATAAAATGCACGATATTCACAGTAATGGGTTTGATTTTTGATTAACAAATATCAAACATTTCTAACGTTAAATGATATCGGCAGGAATGGGGTTCTCTTTCAACGTTAAAATTCAGGCTTCGTCGCCACGTGGACCGCAAAAACCCCTCCGCCCTCTCTCTCTCTCTCTCCCCCTCTCTTTCCGCACATCGATCACCACGCTGCGCGGCAACAGGGCTAGGGACGGAGAGCGTGCGAAGCTCGCTGCTCTCTCTCTCTCTCCCCCCACTGGTTCGGTCTTCTCCCCGTCCCGATTCCTGGGAATTCTCGTAGAAATGGATCAACGGGGAAGGAAATTAGTATAAAAACGAGCCCGTGAGATCCCCGACCAGCCCTGAGCACGGGGTCACCGCCGGAGGTCGTTGGTGCCCGGGCCTTCTTGGCTAGGCGGGCTAGCTGTCCACGGGAATCCGAACATCTCTCGGGGTTTCTCGAGGAGTGTTGGTCGGCGTATTCTCACGCGACCCTACTCTTCGTCCTTCAGCACCACATCGGGCGGCGGGTCTTCTGGGAGACAAATCACTTCTCTGCGCAGCGGCAACGGCTGCTGGTTTGCTTGCAGTTCCCTCGCGTATATCGCTCTAACCCTTACCTTTCCTGCTGTCTCGAAATTTCGCTGATCAGGGAGACGGCCGTTCGAGTCTGCTGGTGAGGTACTGGAAATCAGAGTACAGGTCTTCTTCTTTTCATAGGGCTGTTTCAACGTATTTTATCACTGGAGATTCTTTCTCCTTCGATCTTATGTCAGGGATTTTCCTGCTCCCACCTGAGATTGTTTTACGAAACTGTCCCTTTTTCCCCATGATCGAAAATCACGAATTGAATTTCATTGATTCCTTGATTTTCTCATTATGATGCTCCCCCCTCCCACGTTTCATTCGTTTTTTGTTTTTTTTTTTTGGGTCAGTATTTGCGTGTGGAATGGATCAGGGGCTCATGGATTTTTCACCCGCATTTCTTTTTCTCTCTTTGACGTTGGATCCCCTGGTGCAGGTTGGAGTGAAGTTTTTCGAATGACACCCATTTTTCTCTCGGAATGTCCTGGATAACGTGATATTTACTCCATTCCCTTCTTCTTGTAGATTAGTCGCATGTGGAGGCAGGCAAATGTCAATGCCGCGCGTGATTGGTCCTCTGTTGATGCTTCTATCAATGAGTATGTCTCCATGCGTCTCTTTTGGCATCCTTTTCTTTAGTTCTTGGACTTCACGTACTCATTGTGGGCATAAGCTTGATATGGATATTTCCCCCCTTTCCCTTTCGGATTTTATCACATTTGGAACCTTTGTTCTCTTACGACGTGATAACCTTGAATCCAATCCCTTTTTTCCCCTCGCCGGTTTCGATTCCTTTTCTTTTGGAGTGGCACTTGGGGTATATTTTCTTAGTTTTATCAATTTCATGCAGGAATTCATGACGAAATTTTGTTGGCAGTATGCCCTCACATTTTCTGCTGTATTTATTTCGTCTTACCGACTGTCTTTCTTTGCAGTCATGGGACCTGGACCTTTCATGGATGTAGTTTTTTCTAACTCAGATTATAGAAGTGTTTAACTATTTTCAGTGTAAGAGAAATTAAAGGAGACATAATATTCCCCTTGAATAATGGAAATTAGACAAACAATTTCCTAATTAAAGAAAGTTGGCTCCCCCTGATATGACCCTGTTGCTGGTGGAAATAACAAAAGAAGAGATCATCATTACCATCTTGGCACATAATTCCTGTACGAGTTTCCCACTTTGCAAGTACTTACACACCCTCTCCTTGATGCCCTTCCACTGATTCGTGTATCCAGTAGGAAAGGAGTAGATCGGTTGGATCTACTTTCATATTTAAATTTACCGTTTTTGTCTTGAGATTGTGCTTTCTGCAAAAGAAGCACTTTACTTCTCATCCGTTTTTTTATTAACTCGGTGAGGCTGCCTACGCGGCAATAATCGCATTAATTCCCCAAAATAATCCGTAATATTGTGGGTGTCTTTTTCATGGCCATCCGGAAGCAAACTAATGGATGTCAGAGCTGAAAATTTCTGATACTATAATCCTGCAATGTTTCAACTCTTCCAAAATAAAAAATAAAATAAAAAAACAAAGAAAAAGAAAAAGAAAAGAAAAGCACGTGCCAATCATCTTGCTTAGTGCATGCCATTTTTGAATGTCGGAAAATGTTCAGTTACCATTTTACCTCTTTTTCTTTTTTTTTAGGTAAGATTTGATGCCGACAAGGGCTAGGGCATGCGTTTAAGCCTATCGGTATAAATGTACAAATGATGTGAGAAAGATCAACATTTTTTTCTTTTGCTTTGTTTGCAGTAACGCCTATATCTTCATTCCATGGCGAGCTCTTTCACTGTGAAAGCTTGGTAAAAAATTGGGCTACTTCGTCCAACATGAATACCATTAAAGAGAGCAAATCATCTCTGAAGGATTTATTATTCTTTTTGCATGTTCCGAGAACTGGGGGAAGGACATATTTTCAATGGTAATTTCCTAATGCACTTTTCTTCAATGCATAGTTTCCTTTTCTCAAATGATTAAGATTCTCTTTCATCACAGCTTTTTGCGAAAGCTTTATACCGGCGATCAGGAATGTCCTCGCTCCTATGATAAGCTACGCTTTGATCCAAGGTAGAACATTATTATTCCTTTGTTTATTCTCATGATTAAATCATTTGGACCCCCCCTCCCCCCCCTCTCATGATGTAAAATTTTATCTGATCCGACCAGTGAATTACTTTGATATGTCGATATTTGAACATTACAAACTTAAGAATATTATTGTGTGCAGCAAATCAGACTGCAGGTTAATGGCCACCCATGATGACTATAGTTTAATGTCCAAGCTGCCCGTGCAAAGAACTTCAGTGGTAACAATTCTAAGAAATCCAATTGATCGTGTCTTCAGCACTTATGAATTTGCTGTGGAAGTCGCAGCTAGATTTCTTGTCCATCCTAACTTAACATCTGCAATACAAATGTCTATGCGAATTCGTCCGAAAACTCGATCAGTGAGTACCCTGGACATTTGGCCTTGGAAGTATTTGGTCCCCTGGATGCGAGAAGACCTATTTGATCGGGTATTTCCTTTGTCTATTAAAGATTTTATCTGGGCATAATATGAACGAATCGTTAAACATTTGTTGTTTTTTCTCTTGATTTTCTCTGGGTATGCAGTGATATGTTGCTGATTGTTTTCAAAGAACAAGTAGACATCTGTTTCACCTCTTGTAGGAATGAATTAGCCGCTCTAATTTCGTATGGTTCATTTTTGTTTGACAGAGGGTTGCCAGGAGAACAGGGAAACTTCAGAGGGTTCAAGAGAGTGATCCATACAACACGGAAGAAATGGTCATGCCTTTACACATGTTTATTGATGATCCTATTTCACATGATATCATTCACAATGGTGCCACTTTTCAGGTTTGATAGCTGGTTGATTCTTCTTCTAGGTCGACTTAGTGAGAGTCTTATTGTCATGCTTTCATGTTATATAGCGTATGTAGATGAATTTATGTTGTGGAGCATTACATTAGCGTTTCCCTGAACAGAGGCTCAGTGCTATTGTATACGTGACTTTATTTTCTCTCTTTTTTTTAGAGAGAAGTCTCTCTAGTTTTCTTTGTTTAAGAATGAGTGAATGACGAGATAGTTGCTTAGGCTTGTGTGCATTGCTTTATGATTAAGTTCGTTTTCCTTGAAGGAATTCGTGATGTGTTTTTATGATTTTATATCGAAGACCTTGTCTTTTTCAACGACATTTATATTTCGTCATTGTTCCTCGTCTTTTTTTAAATTTCTCTTTGTTTCTGAAATATGATGATACTAACATGTTTTTTGTGAGCTGCTTTGGGTAGAAGAAATGAAACTATTTTTCTCCCTTGAGTAACTAGATTTTAAAAACTGGACATAGAAATTGGACAAGGGTTGGAATGTTCCATTTGTTAAAAACTAGTTGGTTAATCACTATGCTAGTTTTGGCCATCCCTGGAAGAAAAATAATGGTTGGCCGTGTGAGGAAATGGAGGTAGAAGCTCAGCATGGTGGAGGTTGAGGTTATTTTTCCAAGAAGAGTCGGATCCAATCCTTTTTTGCTGGTCTTGGTGATATTGTAGTGATCGAATGATTCACAACAATTAGGCTCTCCATGGCATTTGAGTCATTTGTACTCTGAAGCCACACTCTTTCTTGCATTCTTCAAATGTATCCCCAAATGATAAAAACTCCATGCATTTCTCCTCGGGATTTGTCATCTTTAATCACTGTCCGGAAATCTTAGGTTTTTCGAGTGCCTACTTTTCCTAGCTTAGATTTTGTTATATGATTGTTTCTTGAGGCTCAAAAACTGTCTTCTTTATTCTTCTTCTTCTTCTTCTTCTTCTTCTCCTCAGTGTAACAGTTTGTATGGTTCTCCTGTAACAGCTCTTGTTAGTCATTGCGTTTATTCGTTGGGTGATGGTGCGACCAATCCTCTTGTTAGAATCTTTAGGCCATTTTGTTCTCAGTAATTTAGTTTGTCCATTTCGCTGCTGGTAGATTTCAGAAAGTAATGGATTATTCTGTCAGTTGTTTTCTGTCCTCTATTGATTTACTGGAAAATAAGGGCTCTGCTCTTGAAGGTGGTAGATTATTGTTTTCCTGCTAACTGTGTTCTTGTTCTTTGATAGTTGTTTGTACTACTGTAATTTTCTTGTTTGGAATCATCATATTTCTAGGTGCTGAACTGTTCCTTCCTCTCTAGGTGGCCGGACTAACAAACAACTCTTGGTCTGATGAAGCCCACGAAGTGCGCCATTGTGTGAGGAATCATCCCGTACTGGGTCGTTATGTTCTTGAAGTGGCCAAGGTACCCTATCCTTGAATCGATGTGATTTATGCGGATTCGTTTGTTATGCAGTCTTACTTGTGTAATAAATAACTCAGTCCATTAAGTTGCCTGTTGATTTAAAATATTCCAGAAGAGATTGGACCACATGCTGTATGTGGGGCTTACAGAGGAGCATAAAAAATCTGCGACAATGTTTGCCAATATGGTTGGGGCTCAGGTTATTTCCCAATCGGAATCCTCCAGTTCTCATTTTGAAAAAGCTGTGCCGCACAATAAAACTGGTAAGTGGAAATTATCTTCTTTTCAAGCCTGTGGGATATTACCTGGATTCTTCCCTTTGTAGTAACTATAAAGATCTTTCATAATCTGCTTATTCTATGTGTATCCGGAGAATTTAGCTCAAGGATCTTTGCTGCTGCAAATCACGTGACCAAGATGCGCATTCAGATAGTAAATTTTGATATCTTGGATGTACCTACCTTGATGTAGCACACCTGAAAGTTCTCTTTATAATTCCATCTTGACGCGTATTGCACGTATCCTTTTACCATGTGCCCGCAGGAAATGTTTTAGCGCAAAAACTTCCATGTCTGACACTGTTTTTCTCTGCAGAAATGTGTTCCTCACTTCCATATTCATATGGTGGTGGTTCAAATTCTCTTAACGTAAGTTGAGAGTAACTCTTCTCAATGTCCAACGTATTCTAGTTCTTTAGAGCTAGATTGAGAATATGTGGGCCTTCGATTTTTGTACGACAGAGTAGCACTGGAATGCAAAAAGGAGTCGAAGTTTCTTCCCCAAGCGATCTTGAATCAGCGGACGGAAATGTACTAGTCCTTGATTTCTTGATGCTACTTCTCTAGCTAAATTATTCTTAAAATTGAGTTGGGGGATCAGTTAAACCGCATTATATTTGCCTTGGCAGATGACTGTTGGGAAGCTCATGGAAGCATATGAAGAGTGCATTTCTATTTTGCGAAAGTCGCAGTCTACTCGACGAACCGCGTCTCTGAAGAGAATTTCTCCTGTAAACTTTTCGAAGAAGGTGAGCGCCTGAAGTGTCCTTGCAGAAAGAATTATCTCTCCAGATTTAATCCGCTCATATTTTGTCAAGTTTATTATCTCTCTACGAACGTTCGTTTTCTATAGCACCGATGTTTAAAGATCGTTCCTTTTACTATTTTGAGAATGCTGCGTGACTTTTAAAATGTTACTTGAATATCATTGAACGGGGGGGGCCTTGGTTAGAATGAGGGAGTTTTTAAAAATAATCTCCTATGATTTGATTCCGATGGAAGAATTGTGGAGAGCGGCTTCCGCTAGAAAAAAGCACTTTAGTGACCGTATGCTTTCAGATCATATATTCACACTCCGTTGGCAATTGAAAACAACGCGAAGTCAGTCGGTTGATATGCCTTACTTTATAATAATGATCACAATAATCTACTGTTCCTGGTCTGTGGCATGTTGGAGCTCAGGCTCGCCTTCTTGTCCCCGAAGAAGTACTAGAGCGGATAAGATCTTTAAACAACCTCGACCTGCAACTTTATGAGCACGCTCAAGGCATATTCGCACATCAGCGGAGACATCTCACTGTGCAGAACGAGGAGCAGTCGTCTCAAGAGCTGGTGAGTCCCTCCCTGTTCACTGACCGGTCCTGGCCCCCCACTCTCTGGTTCCCGGATAGTGCTTTTGTGTTGATTCTTCGAGTGGCAGAATGGGACTGGTGGCTTCAAGTTCTTTATTATGAATGAAGGCCAGCGTGCTCAGTGATTGCCCCCCCTCTTTATGTACTTTATAGGCAGCGAAGAAGGTTGGCGTGCTCAGTGCTCTGTACAGCTATCTCCCATGGAAGGTGCTTCTGATTTCTATCACGGCTCTGATTCTGGCTGCTCCAATCTACATGTTGGTGACTGCGAGGAGGTCGCTCAAGCTTAAAGTGTGAAGATTTTTCTTGGTGGTGGATCATGGCTTCGGCCAGAGGTGGGTCAACACCTTTTTTTTTTCTCTATCTTTCTTTTCTCTGTACAGAGAAATGGCCTGGCCTGAAAACAGCCAGCCGGAGGTCTCAGGGCTTAGAGATGGCTTAGAGTCATATTTTTTCTTGGTCAAATCCACGCGTTGGACGCCGCCGACCGCTCTCCGTCCCTGGTCCTCCAATTCCGGATTGTCCTAACCCGATTTCGACGACCGTCCTTTTTATTCTGATCTGGGTTAATGTTACGGGACCCGTTACTCATCACGTGCGTGCATGCCAATGCCATGTGACGAGCCATCTGGAGTTGTATCTCATCTCTCTCTCTCTCTCTCTCTCTCTCTCTCTCTCCGCACATCGATCACCACGTTAAGCGGCAACAGGGCCTAGCGAGCGACGGAGAGCGTGCGAAGCTCGCTGCTTTCCCAGTGGTTCCGTCTTCCCTGTGTTCCGATTCCTGGGAACTCTCGTAGAAATCGATCAACGGGAAGCCGTCGGAGTCCGGACCTTCTTGGCTAGGCTAGGTGTCCACCGCCGGCATCCGAACATCTCTCTGGGTTTCTCGAGGAGTGTTGGTCGGCGTATTCTCACGCGACCCTACTCTTCGTCCTTCAGCACCACATAGGGCGGCGTGTCTTCTGGGAGATAAATCACTTCTCTGCGCAGCGGCACCGGCCGCTGGTTTGCCTGCAGTTCGCCCGCGTATATCGCGGTATGACACGAACGACAGGAGAGCGGAGCGGAGAAAAAGGAGAATCTGAAATATAACAACCAGAGTTCAGGAGATACAAATCGAGAGAAGTCAGACCGCAGCCGCAGCCGCTCCGCTCCTCAGTCTATTCCCGATATTTAACCTTAACCACATTCTGAGTGTCTGGACTGGGCCTGCACTCGCCTTCTGCACCTGTTGGGCCGGCTTCGCTTTCTGGGCTGTCGATCGATCTAAGCCCTAGTTGCGGTTTGATCACCTCTTTCAGGGAATCTGGATGAGTGAGGCTGGTTCCCAGGAGGCTTCAGTGAGTTCCATTGGATGATTTCCGGCCATGCGGTTGAGTGGCATGTGACTAATATTTTCTAGTGTCGGACCACTAATTGACCAGTTTCGTCTAAGCCTTCCGAAAGAGGTCAATTTTGAGCAGATACCTTGACTGTCCTACATAGGAGTGAAATACGAAAACCATGGTGAAATAACGATGAGTGAGGGAGGTCTAATTTGTAAGCGACTGATCCAATCTTTTATAGGATTTTAAAGGGTCCATAGTAGTGGGGTGATAACTTTTCGTTAGCTTTCTTCACTAGTGACTTCACCTTGTAGCATCTTAATATGAGAAAAACTACATCTCCGACCGAAAATTTCATATCACTGCGATGTTTATGTGTCTTGGCCTTCGTTTGAGACTGAGCTTAGTGAAGATGATACTTGAGCTGTTCTAGAACATGCCCTCTAAACATCAATAGTTGGTCCATTGTTGTAATTGGAGTTGTGGGGAGATTCATAATACAATCAATGGGACATATCTCTACCATAGAGGGCCTTGAATGGAGGGAGTGATATTGATTGAATTGTGGAATGAAGAATTGTAATTGATTCGGTCCACTAAAGCCAGGAACTCCATGTCTTTGGGTTGTAGGATGAACAACATCCAAGATAATTTTTCATACATTTATTCACCACTTTGATTTGACCATTAGTCTGAGGATGATGAATCATACTTCGTTTTAAGATATTTACTTGGAGCTTAAATAGTTCATACCAAAATGACTCACAAAGATAGTATATCGATAAAAAATGATGAAATTAGGAGTGTAATATGGAGGCAAATAATATCTTTAATGAATTTTTTTGTGATGGAATTCACTGAAAATGAATGCTTTAGTGGGATAAAATGTACATACTTAGACAATCTATTAACCTGATCAATATGGAATTGAATCTTATAGAAGATGATAACCCTTTAATAAAATTCATGATGATATCATCTCATACTTGGTTAGAGACATGGTGAGGTTGTAAGAGCCTCATCAAGGCAAGAGATGATGATTTTCTGTACGAGTGAACTTCGAAGGCATCAACATATTCTTTAATCTTTGATTCATCACTGCCTAATAAAATTGTTATGATATCATTTTGTAAGTCTTTAGGAACCTAAAATGATCGTCGATTGAACTATCATGGTTTTCTCAAAATATATCTCTAACCACTTGAGACTTTGAGGGAAGCGTTAACTGTCCTTTATAATGGAGAAGTTCTTAATTGAAGGTAAAATATGGTAGGAAATCCTTCCCATTGAGGAGAGCTTTATCGATGGGACCCAAATAAGGGTACGTTTGTTTTTTAGCCCTTAGTGAGCGCATTTCTGCACCCACAAACTAAACCATGCCAACCTCTTGTAGTTGAATGGGATATGGGCAATGAGAGATCACATCCGTCACCTTGTTACTTACTCATTTGTAATGAATAACAAAGTCATTACCCATTAACTTAAAAAGCCATTTTTAGAATTCAGAAGGTACATGTTGTTGATTAATGAGTAGTTTTAAGCTTTGTTGATTAGTGTCAGTAAAACATCTATGATCTATGAGGTAATGTCTTCATTTGAGCACTACATGTAATATGATCGGAAGTTTGTGATCATATGCTGATTTGGCTTAATTTCTTAGGGAAAGGGTTTGACTAAAATATGCTAACGGATGTTCATGTTGTATTAACATAACTCCAAGTCCTTAACTTGATATGTCAATCATTAAGATGAATTTCAAAGAAAAATCAAGAAGAGTAATTATTGATGTGGAGGTCTTCTTTTTAAGTTGTTGGAAAACATCTTCTATTACTTCTTACCAATCAAAAATGTATTTCTTAAATTATTACATCAATAATTATGCCAAAATAGCATAACCTACCACAACCCTAAGATAGTATCAAATTAGGGCTAAAAATCCTCTTAATTTCATTAGGTTGGTAGGGATCGGCCACTTGAATATAATATGGCTGAGGTACTCCAACACGGATTGCATAATCAAGTACTACTTTTTACTTACATATAGTTACTGTTGCTGCAACACGTTTTTAGATGTTAGAGATGTAATTTTTCATCCTTATTATCAATGAAGATAACAGAAAAAAAAGCCAAGATAAATCTGTGGAGGTAAGGCTTGAAGATATTATTTATTAGTGATTGTAAGGTGGCTGGTGCATTTATGGGTCCAAATGATATCACCATGAACTCGTAGTGGCCTTCATGAATCTTGAAAGTAATTTTGTGAACATCTATTGCCTTCATCCTAATTTGATGAAAACATGATTTCTGATCTAATTTGGAGGAATCATGGGTCAAAGAGCTCCTCTACCACATGTAAAAGGAATCTATTGGGGATAGTAAGGTTGATTAAGGTTCACTAGTCCACGCAGAATCATCATCCCCCGTTTTTATTCTTTAGTAATATTATTGGACTTAAAAATGGGTTTTGAGAGGGAAGAATAATTTTGATCCATGCACATTTCTTGAACCAGCCGCTTTAGTTCATCTTTATGAGTATGAAGTATTTAAAGTGACGGAAGTTTACTGGATTGGAGCCTTCTATGATGTAGATAGAGTGATGATCCACGGTTTGAATCGGAAGAATCGTGTGGGTGAGGTTGAAAACCTCCGAGAAGTTCACTCCTAGGCTTCTCTCGCGCTCACAAGGAAGTTATGATGCAATATTATCTGAGCTCATAATATTGCTCCAACTTCAGTGGTAACAGTTCTAAGAAATCCAATTGATCGTGTCTTCAGCAGTTAGGAATTTCTTGTCCATCCTAACTTAACATCTGCAATGCAAATGTCTATGCGAATTCGTCCGAAAACTCGATCAGTGAGCACCCTGGACATTTGGCCCCCTGGATGCGAGAAGACCCATTTGATCGGGTATTTATTTCCTTTGTCTATTAAAGATTCTATCTGTCTGGGCATAATATGAACGAATCGTTGAACATTTGCTGTTTTCTCTCTCTTGGTTTTCGCTGGGTATGCAGTGATATGTTGCTGAATGTTTTCAAAGAAAAAGTAGACATCCGTATCAACATTTTTGACGCAACCCAGTTCGGACCATCGTATTAGCTCGTCTCGTGAGAAAACATTAAAAGGAAAAACTTTGTATTAGGTAAGGGAAATCTCGGTTATTCGATTCCACGCGTCTGTACAAGCGATGATTACACCGTTTATCGAAAGAATCGAGCAGAAAGGAATAACTTTCCCTAAAATTGCGGGCCTCCTCGGCCGGAGCTCGGCAGCGGCAGAGTATCCTGCCAGGGCTTTGAAACCGTTCGGTGGAATGAAACGAGTAGACGTGTGTTCCAACCGAGGGGGCGCGGGCGCCTTGAATGAGTAGTCTACGTCGCGGGTCGTACTCGGGAAGATCTCACCATGTTTTCACTGGAACTGATTTGGATGCGTCGAGATGATTCAGGCGACAGGTTCCGAGAAGGAACTCCGGGAGCTCCTCTTGGTTATTGGCCTGCATCAACAACCGAGAAGATTACGTATAATTTGTGGGGGGGAAATCGACGGCTTAGTGGTTTTACCTGCACTAGAAATGCCATTTCTATCACCAGGTTGTTCAGATAACCAAGAACAAGGCTCACAACACCCCTGGCAACGGTAGACGAACCAATGTCGATTCCGAGCTGAAAACAAGGAAATTTGAGGTCAGATTGAGGTCCACGGTAGCAGAGGTGGAAAGAGCATATTTGTCCTAAGATGTGTTCAAATAGAATCTCCTCGTCTTCTAGAAATGGGGAAGGAAGACCGCAGGAACCGGCAGCGTCTTACCCATGAATCATGAGTAGATATCCCAACGAAGAAAGAAACTATCAGTGTTTTTGGTGAATAACAAACATGGGATTTTACCTCCAGGTAGTTGGTGCCCCGAAAATAGTTTATCTCAAGAGCTTGTCCCACTAAGCATGCCTTTTTGCCTACACTCTGCTTGACTATCCACGAGCCCTGTCGCAAGGGGGAGCAAAAATGAAGTCTGTTTAGCATATACATGCACCTCAGAGAAGCATGAACGGCGAGGCGAGGTGAGGTATATAACCTTAGATATGTATGGTATCAACTTAAATCTTGAATTTCTATATGCGTCATCGCCCTTGACAAAACTTTCAAGTAATGGGACATTCTCCAATGGGATGTCCATCATGTAGTATAATGCAAGATTGTACGTGGTTGAACCTGGAACCTGAATATGATCGACCCATTAGAGAGAAGCTCCAGAATTTGACAACTCTCAGATAAACCTTACACATGAGGGGCACTATTTCCACCTGTATGTTCACAATAAAGAAAAACTCCCTCCCTCCTTGTGCAGCATATTTCTGCAAGACGATTCAGAAATTCAGACATCATGAGATCAAGAGTAAAATTAACTCTTCCAATGGTCAGATACTATTCATTTTAAATGAAATGGTCGAACTCTTCGAATGTACCTGAACAATGCCGCCAGGGCGGCCTCCAAGATCATCCTCTCGTTTATCTGATTTCAACCAGTCGGCAGCGACCATTTGCATCAGCGTATCGTTAGCCTTGATCTGTTGTTCATGACAGGGAAATAACTTAAGTGAAACCACATTCTTCAAGAATTCTTGACCATAATTCTGCTGGAATGAAATGTCTGAAAAACTAGTCAGCCTGCAGCACAGAATATACTCTATGATGATTAAATCCCAAGCATTTGGCGTGAGAACAGAAGTTACCCTTAAGGTGTAGAGTAGAACTGCATACATAACCTAGGAACGTAATTCTGGCGCACATAGCATATCGGGCATTAACATTACCGGTGATCACCTCTAAATGTAAAATAAAGCAAACCCTCAGACCAGAGTTATCCACACACACAACCCAAAAAAGGAGAAACATCCCACAGGAATTCATGGTACTTCGAATCTAAGACTGGCCGATGCAATTTCTGGGTTAGCTGCATAAGACGATTTTCTGACGGTCATTTTTAAAGCTCCATTACCTATTATAAAAATACTACTTAGACGCACCATTTCCCTTTTTCGTACTCAAATGATGCTCTTCCCGCAATCAGGTCCAGAATAACTACTGAACGCCTGTTTACACACATCACACAAGCCATCATTCTGTACAAGGCAATGTGTCTTTCAATCTCATGGAGAAGCACTAAAGGTCATAAGAAAATTTAGTTTCAAAACCAAATCATGCACCAGATTCGTTGCAAAAGCTTCTGTGAACAACATTCATGCCAAAAGTTCATAGATTCTTCTGAACTTTTATCTGTGCATGGATTATGGCGTACAGCAAAGAGTGGTGGCAAATAGCAAGTGTTCCAACTAATTTCAACATGATTTTACTATTTTTTGACTGAGTCCTGGAGTGAAAGTCTTCATAATATTAATAAAATCAGGGGTAATAATGCAAAAGGAACATTCACGTTCAGCTAGAGTGAAACGGATACCTTTATCCGATCCTGTAAATATGTCTCCCCTCGAATCAAAAATGTGGTGGGATCAGCACTTGTCCAACTACAGGATAAATTACAACTCGGATCTTTGGGAAGAGTTGCTCCATAGTTGTATGACACACTATCCCCAGGTGTCGCTTCTTGTAAATCAACATAGCCTCTTTTTTGAGCTGCAACACTAAACTACATGAGTGAATGATAACCGATATTACCTTCCAGGATGAAAATAGCCTGACATGGCCTACTTGCAAGGTCGTGCAACTTCTTCACAAAAACTGCGGCAGTGGATAGCTTGTTTTGGCGTTGATCCTGTAGTTCATAGGACGTATGTTAATTAGTTGGTTCGCGCTGGCTAGGTAAATATTTTGAATGAAGCACAGGTTTTAGATGCCTGATACTGAAACCTAATTGTCCCTCAAGCTCTGTCCTTGTTTATCATGTGCAATTTTGGAACTCATACCACCAGATGGATATAAGTACAAAATAATCACCTGGAAGTGCAATGCTCCATTGTCAGGCCACATAATTTCTGAGTTTTCATAATCTGATGGTTCTGCATCGAAGAACTCATCAGCTGCATCACTCAGCTGAAGAAAAGACCCGCACACATTTCCAGATTTGACGGGTGACTTTTCTGATACTTCAATGGAGTCTTTACTGTTACCATTCTCGCAGGGCAATTGAACCTCTTCCTTGATATCATCCTCTTCACCTTGGGTAATCTCCCTAGTCAATTCTCCAGATGAGGAATCAAAGGGAGGGAAGTGCCCAACTTTTGCTCGGAACAGTTCTCTCAGTGCTGCAAGCCGGGATCATTAAGAATGTCTATCTGATGCTTCATAGGTTTTCCCAGTTATCAAACATGAAAGAGATGAGCAATAAAAAATGCACGAAATGAATCTACCTGCTATTCTCTCTAGCATCCGAATCGTAACCTTTTTTGCAGAGGAGGAGAATAAATAGGCCTTCCAAAACTTCCAATCAATGGCAAGCATGTGCTTAAGAACGGATTGCTTTCCTTGGTTCACAGGGGAGATAACATATCCTCCGCCTACAAAAGACGTTCAAGGGGTGAAATTTTAATGTGAATTTTTAGCCCATTAATTTAATTTAGTATGTAAGAAAAATAGACGATAATTTCCCAAGCTTAGATTTCAAATCAAAGCATACATTACTTTTAAGGCAGGCTCTAATATAGCCTCTCTGAGATCGACACCTTTCGTGAAAGACAGAGTGGTAGAGAATCACTGTGATAAAACAAGAACATAGTTATACGTAGAAAGGTATTTAAAAGTTGATGCCTACTACGATTAATTTCAATATGCTACCATATGTTCCGTCATCCTCCCTTCTCCAGTAACGCTGTAACAATAAATCTCTTCTTTTCATTCCCCTGAAAAATTTCCGTGCTATTAATACACTGCAAATGGGACCCCACTCATACAGATTCTAAAAATTTAGTGACGAATTCCAAATGAATTATTCATCTGACCAAGGCATCCAGTCATGCTTCAATTTCTTATGAATGATATCAGTATGCCCGTCCAGGTGTTCCACAACCCTACCCTCGGAGAAACAAAAGTCCCACCTGCATGAGATTGGTCAACATTAAGATACGCCAAATAGCGTTGTAAAACGCAGGTCATATGTCGAAGCTCGGCATCTTTCTGTGGGGCAGCCGCTGCAGAGTTGTCACGAATACTCGTAGCAGTGTATGTATGATGGTAAAACACATGGAACCGTCGCATCTTGATAATTGAGGACTCAAAATTCTTTGATGCTATCGCCATTTTAGAGACTGTATAAATATTAGTTGACCTACTGAAGAAATGTGTATCACAAGAAATCTAGCAATATCATTAATAAACACACACACACACACACCCGATATAACAGAACTACAAGAGGAGAGCCATACTCTGATCTTGACGAACCAAAAGACATGACTGTCCTGAAAATCGCCTCTGATGTTGCATCAACAACTCCTACTGCCATTATAGCAGGGTGATCATCCCAATCCTGGGCCAAGACATAACTTAGAGCAATGACATACACTCATATTTTATGGCAAGACAAACCAAATGTATACCTTCCCAGGAAAGTTTCTGTCTTTTGCTTCTTTAAATAGACGTAGACCTGCACGAATGTTCAGAAGATTAGCATGCCCGTGAAGTGTACATTTAAGGGAAGGGGCTGGTTGAAAATGCATTACCATTTTTGCAGTCAAATATTGTCCATGGAGAAGGAGCAACAACATCTGACGTCATTGGATCGTTGGTTAACGATGAAAAGACGGTCCAATCTATTGAAATTTAATGAAAAGACTTCAGTTTCCATTACTCGTAAAGAAAAAAAGTTACTGACAATCAAGCTGTTACAAAACGGTGCCTGCATACTGAAACACTCGTGTATCAATAAGCAGGATTCTCTGACAGGAATAAATAACGTAACTAAATTTAGGGGATAAAAACAGAGATGAAAATTCTGATACATTATAATTTGATAAAAAAATAAAAAATATAAAGCGCAATCACCTATTGAGAGCATGAGGTTTCTTCCCTTAGTGCGTCTCAACCTGGAATCCAAAAATTCTATCAATAAAAAACATCGGACCTTTCTAGCTCTGCTTAATAATTGCAAAGAGCTGATGATATTATTAAAACAAATCTGGAAAAGACATGCAATGCAATGAACCTGAAAGACTCCCATCTCTTTTTGGAGCAGGCTACGATGTTCCCTTCACCGTGGGGACATTCCTGAAATGCAAAAAACACTTGACACTTCAAAAACTGAGAAAAATATCTGCCTGGACGTATGAATTTCTTCAAAACTTTTCTGATTCAAAACCATAAGTGCAGTCTCCATTAAAGACCGTGTCCATCTAGCAGCTTCTTCAGAGCTCCTTGCACCCAACTACCGAATTAAAACTCCCTCATCAGAATCAAAAGTGAATTGCAATGGAAGCGATTGTCAAAGAGTATACAGGTTGATTAGGAAAATTTTGACTATACCTTAAGTTGGTCATTATGATTCAGTGTGTTGTACAGTGTAAAAATGAAGAAAACCTGAAAATTTCCAAAAAAAATGTTTGATAAAGTAGCTTTGATGCGCGACTAAAGAGAGTGGTAGGTATGTGATGATTCTCACATTTCTGTGTATGCTTTCTCTTCCATTGTCAGTGACACGAATACAGGAATCAACAACTGCACTTTTTATAGGATCCTGAAAAAAAAAGACCGTCACTTTGTTTTTCAGAAAAGTTATCACTTAATTTATGCAGATAAACCTATTGAAATTTTGTATATCCATAGGCCAATATAAAGCATGTAGAAATCGAACTGGCAATATACAACCATATTGATCAGGTCATCCTACTCAAAATATTGAAAAAGCTAGAAGGAATGAAAGGGAAAGCGTAGGGGGAAGTGAGAAATTCTCAATAGCTTATGATTTATTAATCTTTAAACGCTTGTCAATTAATTCCATGCAATTCGAATCATCTTTTACAAGCGCGCATGAAAAATGAGAAAATTTATTTTGCAAAGTGAAGGGATATACAGTATTTCCTCGCAAAAAAAGTGTCAAAAAAAATCAACATGGTAAAATAAAAAATAGTATATGAGCTCCCTTAAAAAAAGGATAAAATACAAAGACAGGAGGGAGAAGGTATAATATTAAGTGAGAACGCATTAAATAGCCTAAAACGCACATGATGAAATTCCTTCACGAGGAAATCTAAGCGACTGACTGAGCAGCCGTCCTAGACTGATCTGCATAGCATTCTTGTATGAAGCTGATGAGAGGCAGGCCAAGGAGGGACGGCCATAGAGCAGCCATACAGGATCAAAATATCGCCCAGCAAAATCCAGCATTACCTGTCGGAAACCAGAAAGAGGAAAATCCACTCTCTGAAAGAAAACATGAAGCTAAGAACTCCCCATACTCCAACTATGCAGGAGCCTGACGCAGAACATTACAGGCTATATAATAAACCAATTTTAAAGACCTTTAATGATTGTAAGCATCAACTGGGTTACAAGCAATTTAGTCGCTGAGAAGCATCAACTGTTCTCTTTCATTATGGACAGACAGCTTTTGAATCCAAAATAACCAAAAAGAAGTCGGGGGGGGGTGGGTGGGGGGGGTCAACGAAGGCCTCCATCCTCCAAACATCTGACTGTGGATCAGAATGTGGAATATAGAATTTATTTTCTTCCATTGATCAGCCTTCTCCCCCAAAAAGGCAAACTACGTACGCCTCCTTGAAAAACGGAAGCAGAAACGCAGGAAAAATTTCTCCTTGCCCACTCGGTTTGAGGTTCAAAGGAATCGATGATATGTCCAGATGCAGTCTGGTTATGTTTTTGTCACCCGAATTCAATTTCCATGTACATCGTTAACCTGGAGGATAAAATTCATCATGGATTTTTTTTTTCTGCTCCCCTCCCCCCTTCAATCTCTTCCACCGTTGAAATTGCATCGAATATTCCGCAAAGAGAAATACATGCATGTCGAATTCACCCATTAGACGCATTTTATTCATCATGCACAGAAATGACCGAGGAAAAGGAGGACACGAGACAAGAGAAGGGGAGCCACACCTCCGTGCTGGACGAAGGAACGGATTTAAAGCATTTGAGGGAATTGCCCTCGAGGATGAAGTAGCGCTTGCGGGAGAACTGGAGCCCCAGCCGGTTAGATCGGATGAGGTAAAGCCACCCCTGCATTTCCCCGTTCTCCGCCGACATCTATGCCGCCTTCCCACCCACTACCGGTTATCTACACGCTACCACCTTGCTTCACGCCGCAGGCCTACGTTATCCGCAATGATGTACAGAGGTCTCCAATCTTCAGTGCCTCTCCCCCACCGTCATCCCCTGTCTGAACAGCGAGAGGAAACGGAGAGGAAGATGAATGTAGCAGAGAGAAGAGACGTCTGCTAACGCGAGCAACCACAGAAGACCACTGCCGGATTGTTCGCTGGGGGAGGGAGGGAGGGAGGGAGGCAGGCAGTCGGAGGTGATGTGAGGATGACGACGACAACGACGTCTAGCTCCGGACTTTCTACCGCGTCGGAGTCAGAGGAACAAGGAAGGCAGCGCAGGGACGGGATAAACTCCCCCCTCCCACCACCTGCCCACCCTCTTCTCCCCCCTCCTCCTCCACCCCGATCCCTTCACTGTCAAATTACCGTCCCAGGAAAGGAATGAAATCCACCCGCCCCACGCCGATCGCTGTCTCTATATCCCTCCGGTTTCTATTTTCGCCGGTTTCTTTCGTTTCGTTTCTTGCTATTTCTCGCTCAACTGACTCTTGACAATCGTCGACGGGGGGTGGGGCCACGTCCTTAGCCCGCCAGGTAATTCATTCGTGCGCCGCGCTTCGCCCTGAACGACGGTGGGTGGTGACGGCCTCGTGTTTAACGGTTGGCCGCCGCAAAGATGTACACACTTGCCGCGAACACATCGGAGCATTTGACGTCATAACTATCTCCCACCCGGAGGACCCAATATTTAAATAAGTAAACAAGTACAATAAATGGACTAATTATTTAATTGCAGAAGAGTAGGGACGGCGCCGCGTCGGGTTCGGTTGTCTCGAGGGCGGCGGACGGCTGCCGGTGCGTCCCGTCCAAAGAATCCGGGGGAGGCCGTGAACGGGAGCCGCTGGCAGGACTGAGTCTCGAGTCCTCCACGCACGCGGTTGTTTTTTCTCTGCGAGGACCAGGCTCATCTCTGTCTCTCGCTTGCTGAACAGGCGGGGGATCGGTGCTGCCGTGACGCCTGGCAGGACTCCGGGCTTCCGTGACGCCATACCGCTAGGAAAGATGAGATTTTGGTTGCAACTGGGTTGGTGGGCCGCCCCCCTTCCATGCGCCGAGCAGGAATCTGTACTCGTCCTCTTATTTTAATCGACCTCCCTCTCTCTAAATACAGCCGTATCTTTTCCGAGGGAGGGAGAGAGAGAGAGAGAGTTTGGATGCCACAGCTGCTCTGCTCTGCCTCGTTTTCAGCGGTCCCAGTAAGAACCGACGCGCTTATGCATCGTATTCGTCTCGTCACCCATGGAATTAATCATACCTCCCCCCTCTCTCTCGGCGACCTCGCCGGAGTAGAACCTCCGCGGCGCGGTATTACGTGGGGATTGATGGCGCGCCAGGGGCTAGCAACTTCAGCGGAGCCACGTCCTTTTCAGAGTAGACGAGAACGCATGGGGGGTCATTCATACTGACTGGTGGAGGGGGAAGCAGGGATGGGAACCGACGGAATGGTCAAGGCTGTCTTTTTCGTTCCACAAGCGCTCTCCAGCTCCGTCCAAGAACAAGAGGACTCTCCTTCTGCGTGGGGTCAACAGAACCTTAGCGTAGGGGGCGAGCCATTCTGGCGGCGCTCGAATAAGGCAAAAATTCGTCCACAGTGGCCTACTCCGCCGCTCAAGGGGCATGCGGTCTACAGCGTTTCTATAACGAACACGGAATGGGGGGAGGGGAAGGTCAGGACTTGCGGATGGAGAGGTCGGTGTGCAGGTAGGCGACGCAGGAGAAGAAGAGGAGGAAGAACGCCCCCACTAACATGAGCGGCTCCGCGAGCATCGACAGAGGGTTGAAGCCGTAGGATACCTGCGGCACAGGGGCGGGAACAACGGATCAACGACGACGACGACGACGACGACTCCAAGAGTCAAGATGGAACTTACCTGGAAGAAGATATTGTGCTCCGGCACCGCGTTTTCCTTCTCCAAGACCACCGTCGGCCTCCCGACAACATCCAGATACGAGAAGCTAGTCTGGAACATTAAACAACCACAAGATGCTGATGAGCGTGAACGAGAGATGGCGGGGCCGATAGGTGGGCCGGGCACTGCTTACGACAAGACACCGCAAGCTCACCGACGGGCTGGAGTCCCAGACGCACACAAAGATCGTCGTCCCAATGGAATTCAACCACCCGCGAGAATGAAATGAAAAATCACGTTAGAAGCACGAGAGGGCGGGGCGGGCGTGAAGATACCTCGAGTTTTTGCTTCACAGGAAAAGGGACGGACGCTGATGGATTCTTGGATCCCTCCGGAAGCACTACCTGCGAATAAACGAAGCATCAGTCCATTGCCAATGGTCTCTGAATACATATCAAACATCTCCGCTACGAATATTCACCGAGCAGAAAGAAAGCTACAACCCCAGTTGACGCAATCAGATGATGGGCCAAAGCAGAACTGGAGACGTCAGGGGAGTGAAAACGAAGAGAAAATGACTGGGCAATCAGAGCACGAACCATTCCCGCCGACTGCTGATCGCGTATGGTCACCGCGTTCTTGTTTTATTTTACCCACCTACTCATCGATGCCTCGGATGTGGCTTCACCACGGTAAAGACCATTCAGACTGGGATTTCTATGGATCGCACTTGCCCTTGATCAGGTGGGGACGATTCAGTAGTCTTCGATGCCATTAAACGGCTTCAAGGAAAACAAAAAACAGAGGAAAAAATTGGCATCCTGTTCATCTGCTGTGGGAAGTTTCCAGGTGAGTTCCACGGACAGCTCGCCTCAAGGTGGCATTCATGGACACTTGGAGCTATTTTTACTACTTCGTGGAGTCTAGTTGGGGGCTTCGGCTTTGAGCAACAATCAATTGAATTTATGGCTGGGATGGCTGCACATACCAACCACCAGGAATGCGCTCGTTTTTAAGGAATGGCATCAGCAAGTCTGTTGACTGGCCCATCTATATCGTACACAAGCAAAGAGAATAAATGTGCTCCCATTGACACACCATTGGAGTCGGTTTCCTATACCTTGCCGGACAAAGGCGCACAGTTTTTCATCTTGTTCTCGTTTTATCATGTTAAGAGCCCGTGTCAGGCCTTCAGATCACAATAATTTACCCAAGCCAACATATACATCCATAACATGAAGATGGTAATTACTGATTTAATCTGTCTTCCATGGATTCTCTGAAGCATATTGTCTAATCGACATCAGAACCTTGGTTGAAAACGAAAAAGAAAAAACTAGTATACCCTGTTAGAACGTTTAGGTTTTTGGATTTTCACTGCGGTAGCTAAATGAGACAATGTTCTAACTTTACTCCCAGACGAGAAGAACATAAGAAGGTAAAAAAAAAAATGGAGCTAACAGCAGAAAATGGAAAGAAAAATACTAGATTTTTTTTTTAAAGACGGATAAAGAAAACTTACTTTAACAGTCAAGTGGTCGACCACTGTTTCCATTAAAGGGCATCCGAAACTGAAGTTCAAATATCGCCTGCCATCTGGTGACTCAAAGAGGAAATCATGCAATGGCAGTCCATAGCCGATGACAAAGGATGCTTTCCACCCTCCGAATAATGGATAGCGTGGTTCTATTTCAAGTTCTGACTGCAGAAATGAATGACATGCAATATAAAAATAGAAATATTGAGGACTAAAAGTAGTACATTCATCGCAGATTAAAGGATTCTGATCCCTGAGAAACAGAAAACTTTCAATTTAGTTTTCCATTCTATTTCATGAAAGCTCTAGAGAAAACTGATACCATGCTACTTCGATATAAAAATTAACAAGAGAAAAAGCTCCCGAAACTCAAGTTCATCTCTTTTAAAATTCTTCACACACAGAAAATCAGAGCATACTTTACTCACCACAGTAACCACAAGTTTGTCACTTTCCAGATTTTACAGAAGAACGACTTCAACGTAACAGAGTTATGCCCTTTATTCACTCAATAATCTCTCTCTCTCTCTCTCTCTCTCTCTCTCTCTCTCAGTGTGCGTCGCTGTTTTTCAGTCTCTCTATTGGGGAACGTGATATCCTATACACTGAAGATGAGTCAAAATCTAGATCTTGACAGGATGCGAGAAGTAGCATAACAATGCAGAGAAAAACCAAAGAATATAGCTTTCCAAGTAGAAAATGCAGGAACGCACGATTTCAGAGTAAGGAGGCGAATCAAAGAGATCCTCCAAGCAGGAGTCCCACACACAACCAGTCATTTATTTAGAAAGGTTCCAATAGGGAATGGCCTTTTGGCTTTTACAATCGAAAGGTGGAGGCTTGATTCTGCGCAGAGAGCAGATCCGTACAATTTTCAGACTCCAGTTATGAGCTGGCGTCAACCCACATAACCTCACTTCTGTAAACAAATGCATCTCTAAAACTATTCCAACACTCTCACAGTGTAATCGAAAAATTTGAAGGCGAAGGAAGAAATTGTGGATCACATCTTCCCCAGATTATGACTGTGATATTAAGAAAACTAGATATCACAAGGGAAAAACAATCTCTTTGACAGGGGCTCTTTGAGCAACTAAGTTATTATTGGCCTTCCCATAGACGAGAAACATGAAGTTTCAACCCTTAATGCATTTAATAGATCGGATCCACCTAGCTGTGAGGCCTGATGGACTTCCACCATAAGCCAACATACCACAGCTTCTGGAAGTCAAAGGGGGATTAACACGCTTCCCACTTTATGATATAATCAGAGGAACCTTGCATGGGTGAGATACTTCTCCATCATCCACACATAATTGTGTTACATGCCATCCTAAATTTATCTACTTTATTACTGCAAGGTTATATTTTTATAAAAAATATGATACCCAAACCAATAACATTCGGACAGACACATGAACATAATCGATTAGGGTCTTCAAGCTATGGAGCTGCACTTACGTCCCTGCACTTAGGCTTTCACCCATTAAAGCAAGGTTTTTTCTTTTCTTTCCTTCTTTAAGACCATCAGATGATAGAGCTCTCAAATTTTAATGATCTAACCCTAGTACTTCTACTTGGTATTTATACGAAAATGAGTGACCACAGACGAAAACATAGCATATGCTCCTGCCAGACGATGTATAATAGACTGCGAATCAAGAAAAAGTCCATTTACATTGAGAATAATGCCCTTTAAAACGACAACATAATCCATTTACAGAAGGTACAAGAGCTACAAAAGTGGAGATGAGAAATGCCATTGAAAGGACAAAATACAGATAACAAATGTGGCAATGTATCATGATGGACTAGAATGTTACACAGAAATCCCACGGAAAATCCATATTTACTTGCATAGACGGATGAAAGATTGTTTGTTTTATTCCGTACAAGATTCAGGGTGGTGTTTTCGAATAGCAGATCAACATCAATTTATTACAAAGCATTCTTATAAAGTTAACTGAAGCAATGTCATGGAAAATATTCTTAAAAAGAAGGCATTATCCGCACCTTATGCTGATCGCTGCGCAAATGTGATGTGGAGACATTTCCAATTTCATCTCGATAATATACAGAATGAACCCGAGGAGGCAGTGTGGCTAGGAGATGCCTGAATGAAGAGGCCCCACTAACTGCTGCTCTAGATTGATATTCTAGCCTGAAAAAAACGAATGCAATATTAAAATAATATACTATGAACAAATTATAGGTGGTACCCATCCAATCATCACAACGGAGGTGGATTGGATAACTAACCTGGAAAAGACTCCTTTGTGTCGAGCACCAGCGTGAGCCAACTTGTAATGTTCTGTAACTTGAAGACTGCCCCAGTGGGAAACTTCAATTACCCGAGTAAGTTCCTCTACTACTGCGAATGGATTATTATTCTCGAAATGGACAATTATAGGAGAAAATGAATAGGGCGGACGGTCATCATAAGGTCCATATCTCAGTTCTGTACCCACACGATTAGTAGGATCTTCACGTGAATAGGATTCTATCTTCTTGCTAGGCGTTTTGATGTGGGTAGTTTGTTCTTTGATGTGATATGGTGACAACATAAATGCAGTATCACGGTAATAGACAAGTTGTGACTCTGATTGGCTGATCTCTGCTGGGAATGGCTCCAAAAAGTGCGTTTGGATTAAAAGCACTTCCAGCACTGTTGTCTCTCCTGTCTTTAAAGGATTAAGCAGAGAAATAGAGAACAGCTGTGCATCAGCTGGTGTATCAGGCAAAGTAGTGGGATTTACTGCAAGGGGGGTGTAGGTCTTCTTTTTGCGTTTCCCTTCGGGTGTAGATGCTCGAATTAGAGCTATACTTTTAGCTTGAGTCGGGGAAAATGCCAGAACAACTTCCAAAGCATCAGATGATCCAATATTTTCTACCTGAAACGAATAACGTGCAAAAGGATAAAAATTCAAAACAGCAGGTAATATATGTATCTCTATGCTTGCAGTCTTTTAGTATAAGGGGGTATGGGGGGTAGGAGGCAGCATTTCATCATTTATGTTCATGCAATATGACGCATGCAGGCATTTGAGAGAGAGTATACCTTTAAAGTCACATAGGCTCTGACAATAGAAGATGCCAAGTCAATCTGCATTTAGAAAAAGAGCGCGGATATGTTAGATGAGCTGTTTTGTAAATATGTCATGGCCTCAAGAATCATTGTTCACAAGCCCCGATATGACATGCTTCATTCAAAAATCTCAAAATTATTGTGCTTGGACATTTGTCTACTTTATTTTTTGTATTACAAATGTAGCCATAAGACAGGGAGCACAGTCCTAGAGGAGAAAGGAGAGCTATTGACTAAGGTGGATTACGCCAGCGTTTGAGTTTTGGAATTTCTATACGTCGTTAAAAAACCACACGAACAAATGATGCCATTTAAAATCAGTTTAGAATACAGGTTTACACCTTAATTTCGCTATTAACGACTGTCACCGCAGGTAATGGGCACATTCCCTGATTGATTAGGAGTCGAGGCAGCTGCTGGGTAATGATCACATCCCCCATGACGCAAACTGCTAACACAGAGGATTGAAGTCCATTTAACCGAAGTAGACCAATAGGATCACATGGACGTATGGCCAATCACTTACGGTTCCGTCAATGTCAAAATCCCACCTTACTCCACGTCTCTGAAGGCCAGAAGAGACCGACCCAGATTTAAACACTGCCCCTCACCATTTTCCCCAGAGAAAACAAAAAATTAGAACGACACACTCGCCGAGGAAGCGAGAGATCATACAGACCGACACGAGAAACGGGATCGCATAAATTACATACTCGAGTCGGTCAGAATCAAAAGTGGCAGGACGGATCGAGAAGAAAATGGAACGGATCGGAAGGCAGAAGGCGGTGCACATTACCCTTCGTTCGGCACTGACGATTCGAATCTCAGGAGCAGAAGCGGACGACTCGAACAGGGAGAGAAGGAGGGAGAGGAGAAGAAGGGTCAGGAGGGTCAGGCGGGGAACTCGCGGGGCCTCTCCCCGTGCACCTCTGCCGCCGCATGCTCCTTCCATCGTTGCTGGGCTGGGCTCTCTGGTGCTGCAGGTCCTCCCTTCTCTCCTTCCGGGAAGACGAGGGGAATGAGATGGAACTCCGTCAGAGCGCTTCCAGCTACCCGCGGAGCACAGGTACCCTAGCGAGGGTTGCCCGGCCACGAGGGGCACTGTCGAACACGTGCAGTTCACACGTGCGACTAATAGGATCCGGAGGATATTTTTAATGGGCCATCTCAATCGTCATCAGCCCAGTGGTCGGCCAGTCATCGGGCTGGTGGGCCTGGGCTGTCATCTCAACACCGCTTCTAGCCCACCTACGCTGCACTGAAGGGGGCGGAATGGGATATTTACAAAAATACCCCTCTCTCTCTCTCTCTATCTCTCGCTATCTCTCTATGTAGTGCCACCCGCCGGTGGGATGGGGGCGACGGAGTTGGGGAGAGCTAGGAAGAATTATTACGGGGAAAAGAAGAAGACGGGCTCCCAAGAATGCCGGGACTGAAAAACCCTCTCCGAGTCCTTCATGTTCGGAGATTTCTGCAGCCGATCGTCGATTTCTTCGCGTCGGAGTGATCGTCGTCTCGAAGACGATCCACTGCTTCCACGCCCAGAAGAGGCTTGCTCTCCTGTGGGTGGCATCCCTGAGGGCAGGGGAGGAGCGAATCACCCGCGCAGAGAAGAGATCGTCGACATTTTATGCAGAGACGACCGGAAGGCGGTCCTCCGCCGCCTTCTTCTCGCTCTCTTGAACTCGGACAAAGGAGTGGACGACGGTCCCCATCACTGGAGGTGACAAGGCCGACGACATTCCTCAGTGTGAAGGGGTAGCCGAGGGTTAGGATGAGACAGGCCTTGAGGTGCCTGCGATAGCAGCTGGTGGTTCCGATGGGTGAGGAACTGGTCCACGAACGGGCAGAAGACGAGCAAGACGGCAGCCTGGAAGGGGCAGGACTGGCATAGGAGCTGCGCGGAGGTGATCTTGAGAGAAGTAATGTCATGTACGTATGGTGTTCGTTATCTGATTACACAGCCGGGTCAGGGTCTCGCCCGAACAGGAGAGCAGCTGGTGGAGAAATGAGGAAACTGAAATCTGTTCCTTTTTAATTTATGATAAAATTTGGCCAACGCACGTTGTTCCGAACGCCAGAAGCGAGGGAACGAACCCGACGAGATTGAGCTGGAGATCGTAGACGGATGCAATGCCGACGCCAAGGAGCAAGACCAGGAGACAGATTGATCCGTGACAATAATGGGAAACGAAGAACATGCCAACAGAGTCCAGTGATGCTGCCGGCCCTGCGTCCGCCGGAAAATCCCACGTCGATCGCCTTCGGCGCATCTGGCAAATAAATTATTCCAACAGCATGAGAATCTAAAAGGAGGAAAAAAATCGTGCCAGTTGAGCTCCGCTTATGAAGAGAAGAAATGGATTCATCCCCCTCATTCACCATCAGCAGGCCGCCGCGCCAAGGAAGAAGCAATCCACTCAAAGAATCAGGGGAGAGGGCACAGGATTAATGACATATCGTCGGAAAGGTCGCATATTATGTCCTCTTCCCTGCGGAATAGGCGCTATCCGCCGCCCTCAGCCGAGCTCGGAACTGCGCCTACTCGTACTTGCACCTCTCTTTCACCTACCGGGTGGAGGGAGAGCCAAGTGGGTTCATCGAAGCAAAACCTTACACAAATGGAGACACCGATATCACATATGTTACAAAAGCTAAACACGATCTTATGATAGTATAGGTCACGCCTTTATGAACAAGAGACGGGAAACGATTCCCCTTCCCACGGAGCTCTCCCATTCTCGGGTCGTCCCCGAGAAATCCAACGGAGGTAACCGTCGTCAAGAAAATCTCATCCGCCGCCTGAAGGAATCTAAGCCATGAACAGTGAAATCGACTCACTTGGCTTCAGAGAGGGGACCAGTTGATGAACAATCCACTGTGAGTCGACGACGCCAATCCTTTCGTGAGGAGGCTGCAGCATAACGAATGAATCAGCCGATGGCCGCAGAAAGAAGGCCCTATGCACTTCTATTTTTAAGAATCGACGAGCATCGTGTCAGAAACTTGCCGGAGAGACGACGGCAGTTAAGACGTCGCCGGCGAGATCACCTCACGAGTCACAGGAAAAACAGCAGGAGGAACAAGGAAAACTTTCTCGCTATTGAAAAACTCTTACAGTCCTCTTTAAATAAGAAAACAAAGAGGGGGAAAGGAATAACCGTAAGAAATAACTAGCTGGCCAAAACTGGCCAGTAACGTGCGTTATGCAGGAAATTCCACATTACCAAATTCCGCATTACCTCACAATGTGCTCTGACGTGTATACGTTAGAGCAATTCTCGCATAACCGCACTCTGCCGTTATGCGAACAGGGTGAGGGGGGCCACGTGCAAGGCTCCCGTTCACAACATATCACAATGCTACCCCATTGCCATATCCCTCTGAAGAGCTTACAATGGCATCCGAGCCTACAAGTCCAGGTCTCCAATGGTCGTCAGAAATTTGAAAGAATATTCTGTGGTCATTCGATAAGAACCAAGGGGAGCTAAAGCAAGAAAAAGGACCTGACCTCTACGCCTCTCCTCAACACAAAGTCCAAGCCCCATCCATGAACCAGATCATTCCGCAGACACAGATGCAGATTTATCGGCACAATCTAGGAGCAGAGTGGTGAGATCAAAGAGACGAGCTGATGGAGAGATGGAGGACGACCTGAATCATGTGCCACATGCAACGCGACGCGTTCCTAGATGACACCGGGGCTCAATCTCCACAAACCTGGATCAATAATAGTCGAAAAAGAAGTCGGGGAAGCACCATTCATTAGGGTTTTGTATAACAGTTTGATGGGTGTTTTAATGCTCATAGCTCATCCAACATCGATCAGCTGCCCATTTCCTCGCTTCCACTAGTGCAACTAGGTCTCCCATGCTACGTATTCTGGATTTAGCATGACTGCATTTATAATAAGTTATATATTAGGCCCTATGTCTTGAACTCAAAGAAAATGCCATTCCGAATGATTTTTGCCCATATAAGATAAATAAATAATTATGCATCAAGAATGTTGACGATTCATGGATCTCCGCAAGCAGAGAGACGCCTACTTGCGCAACTAGGTCTCCCATGCTATGTAATCCGGATTTAGCATGATTTCGTTTATAATAATTATGCCCTATGTCTTGCAACTAGGTATGAAATCAGCAGGAGGGTGGGTGTTCAAGACATAATCGATTAGGGTCTTCAAGCTATGGAGCTGCAAGGTCCACTATTGCAACTAGGTCTCCCATGGCCGGTGATCGCGAACAAGGAGATGGCCAAGGAGGCCTGGGAGGCTATCGCCACCATGCGGATCGGCGATGACCGCGTAAAGAAGACGTCGGCTCAGAACTTGCGGCGGCAGTTCGACTCGGCGACGTTCAAGGCGGGAGAGTCTGTTGAGGACTACGCGCTGGGTCTCAACAGCATGGCGTCGACTCTCAACACCCTCGGCGACAAGGTCGAAGAGATGCAGGTAGTGGAGAAAATCCGCAGTGTTCCCCAGCGTTTCAGGCAGATCGTGGTCGCGATCACGATGCTGCTTGACGTGTCGACGCTCACCGTCGCGGATTTGACGGGTCGGCACAAGGCGGCGGAGGATGCCTTCGAGGAACCACCGTCGGCTATGCACCACGACGGCAAGCTGTACCTGACCGAGGAAGAGTGGGACGCACGGCGGAGGAAGCGTGATGATGAGAAAACTGGTGGTGGAGGTAGCAGCAGCGTGACGCACCGTGGCAGACATGGGCGCGGGCGCGGGCGCGGCCGTGGCAGCGACAAGGGCTCGTCATCAGGCGGCCTGACGGGCAACTCAGGCCGGCCCAGAGGTGATGAGTGCAGGAGATGCGGGAAGCTGGGCCACTGGGCCCGCGAGTGCCGCTCCAAGCCCAAGAAAGAGCAGGCCCACGTCGTCCAAAATGAGGAGGAGGCCTCGCTCCTTCTCGTGAAGTCAACGACGGCCATATCGACGGCGCCGCCACCAACCTCCACTCCACCACGTTTTGCTAAGACTCCGCAGGCAGAGGATCGGCTCCGGCGTGCAAGCCCACCGCCGCCGGGAGCAAAAGGGGTCCCCGTCAATGGAGGGACCGCCAAAGAAGAGAAGAAGCCAGGCGCCCAGACCCAGATCCATCTGCGGGAAGAGAAGGTGTTCGCCCACCTTGAAGAGGAGGAGCTGCGTGATGAGGAGGCGTGGGTCGTGGACGCGGGCGCCACGAACCACATGTCGGGTTCCCGTACGGTTTTCACCGAGCTGGACACGAAGGTACTTGGGACGGTGCGGTTCGACGACGACTTGGTGGCGCGGATTGAAGGCCGGGGGGCAATCGCGTTCCTGTGCAAGAACGGCGAGCACCGGTCCTTCGCGGGGGTGTATTACATTCCCCGACTGACGACGAACATCGTCAGCGTCGGCCAACTCGATGAGGCCGGGTACCATATCGACATCGAGAAGGGGGCGATGAAGATCCATGAGCCAGGCGGACGGCTCCTGACAAAGGTCATGCGCGGAGAGAACCGGCTGTACATTCTCCACGCCAAGCTGGTTCGGCAGGTGTGCCTGGAGGCGCGGGCAGTTGAAGAAGCTTGGAAATGGCACGCGCACCTCGGCCATGTCAACATGACCGCGCTGCGGAAGATGGCTCGGGAGGAGCTGGTGCGCGGGTTGCCGGCAGTTGGTCAGGTGGACCAGCTGTGTGAGGCGTGTCTCGCTGGCAAGCAGAAGCGGTCACCGTTCCCCCAACAGGGAGAGTACCGGGCGCGGCGTGTTCTGGAGCTGGTGCACAGTGACCTCTGTGGTCCGATTGCGCCGGAAACGCCAAACGGCAGCAAGTATTTCCTGCTGCTCGTGGATGATCGAAGCCGGTACATGTGGGTGGCCATGCTGCCTTCAAAGGACCGTGCTGCGGTGGCCATCAAGGAGATCAAGGCTCGGGCAGAAGGCGAGTCAAGACTGAAGCTGGGAGCGCTTCGTACTGATCGGGGTGGCGAATTCACCTCACATGAGTTCGCAGAGTATTGCGCGGGAGAAGGTATTCATCGTCAACACACGGCGCCATACAGCCCGTAGCAGAATGGCATCGTCGAGTGCAGGAACGGCACGGTGGTAGCAACCGCAAGGAGCATGCTCAAGGCAAAGGGGCTGCCGGGCTGGTTTTGGGGTGAGGCAGTGGCAACTGCTGTATACATCCTGAACCGGTGTCCGACAAAGAGCGTGGACGGCATGACGTCTTTCGAGGTATGGCACGGGAAGAAGCCGGCGGTGCACCATCTGAAGGTGTTCGGATGCATCGCCTACGTCTTGAACACGACACCGCATCTCAAGAAGCTGGAGGACCACGGCCGCAAGATGATCTTCATCGGCTATGAGTACGGATCAAAGGCCTACCGAGCCTACGATCCCACCATGAGGCGTGTCCATCTGACACGGGATGTGGTGTTCGACGAGAATACCCAGTGGGACTGGGGCAGCGGCACGGAGCAAGGGGATGCGGGCAGCCACGACGATATGTTCACATTGGAGTATGCCGTCGGGAACCAGGTACCTCCGGAGCTCGATGGCGCCATCGAGGTACTTGATGATGATGCGCTGGGACTGGAGCTGATGTCGCCACCGTTCGTACACTACAGTGGGGGAGCAGCGCTGATCGAAGATGGAGGAGAGGAGGTGGAGTTCGCCTCTCCACCGAGTGTCCACATCGACCACCTAGATGCTAATCACGATGATGCACCACTCCGGTTCCGCAAGATCGACAACATCGTTGGGCTGGCCTCGCCACGTGGTCTCGCGTCGCGGGCGTTAATTGCAGAGGAGCTGCACGCTGTAAGTTCTGATGAGCCGGTCTCTTTTGCTGAAGTAGAGAGCCACCTGAGCTGGAGGAAGGCTATGGAGGAGGAGATGGCGTTGATCGAGGAGAACCGCACCTGGACCCTGGTAGACCTCCCACATGGTCGCCGGGCGATCGGGTTGAAGTGGGTGTACAAGGTGAAGCGGGATGAAAACAGAGCCGTGGCGAAGTACAAGGTGCGCCTGGTGGTGAAGGGCTATGCGCAATGCCAGAGGATCGACTACGACGAGGTGTTCGCACCTGTGGCGTGGCTGAACACGGTGCGCCTTTTCATTGCTCTCGCGGCGCACGAGGGGTGGGAGGTGCACCACATGGATGTCAAGTCGGCGTTCTTGAATGGCGATCTCAAGGAAGAGGTGTACGTGGAGCAGCCGGCCGGTTTCATCAGCACGGGCAACGAGCACAAGGTGTTCAAGTTGAAGAAGGCACTCTACGACTTACATCAGGCGCCTAGGGCCTGGAACGCAAAGTTGGACGAAACGCTGCTGTCGTTCAGATTCAGGAGGAGTCCCTCGGAACATGCCATCTACACCAGGCGGAACGGGGAGGCACAGCTAGTGGTCGGGGTGTACGTCGATGACCTGGTGATCATCGGCGCCAGCTACGACGACATCAAGCAGTTCAAAAAAGAGATGGCTGACGCATTCAAGATGAGCGACCTCGGCCTGCTTCACTACTATCTCGGTATTGAAGTCAGGCAGAGCGCGAGGGGCACCTCGATCAGCCAAGGAGCCTATGCTGCCAAGATTCTGGAAAGGAGTGGGATGGCAGGGTGCAATCCCTGTCAAGTACCAATGGCAACACGTCTGAAACTGAGCAAGAGGAGCACGGAGCCGCTGGTGGATGCGACAGCATACAGAAGCATCGTGGGGAATCTCAGGTACCTGGTCAATACTCGTCCAGATTTAGCATTTGTTGTTGGCTATGTGAGTCGTTTTCTAGAGGAGCCACGAAAGGATCACTTGACTGCTGTGAAGCAAATTCTCCGCTATGTGGCGGGAACCAAGAGCTGGGGTCTCAAGTATGAAAGAAAGAAGGAGGAGCAAGTCCAACTGACAGGGTTCAGTGATAGTGACTTTGTTGGTGATGTTGATGCTCGGAAGAGCACGACTGGAGTTATTTTCTTCTTGGCCAACAGCCCAATTACTTGGCAGTTGATGAAACAGAAGGTGGTGGCTCAGTCTAATTGCAAGGCAGAGTACATTGCGGCCGCCAATGCTACCTGCCAAGGTGTGTGGCTCGCTCGGGTGTTAGCAGAGGTGCATGGCTCAGCACCAAGCGTGCCGATGCTGAAGGTGGACTACAAGTCTGCCATAGCGTTGATCAAGAACCCAGTTCTCCATGGACACAGCAAACACATTGAAGTGAAGTATCATCTTGTCCGAGAATCTGCAGAAAAGGGTCAGATCAACGTGGAGTTCATCAAGAGTGAAGAACAGTTAGGAGACGTTCTGACGAAGCCACTCGGAAAAGTCAAGTTCCATGAGTTTCGCGCTAAGATTGGCCTCGTTGATGTTCGTGGAAAGTACAGCAAGGCTTAGGAGGAGATTGTTGTGAACGGGAGCCTTGCACGTGGCCCCTCGCATAACGGCATAGTGCGGTTATGTGAGAAGTGCGTTGACGTGAACACGTCAACGCACAAAGCGGTAATGCAGAATTTTCTGCATGATGCGCGTTATTAGCAAATTAGTTATTTCTTACGGTTATTTCTTTCTCCTTTGTTTTCTTATTTAAAGAGGGCTGTAAGAGTTTTTCATAGTAGTGAGATAGTCTTCCTTGTTCCTCCTGCTGGGTTTTTCTTGTAACTCGTGAGGTGATCTCGCCGGCGACGTCTTAACTGCCGTCGTCTCTCTGACGAGTTTCTAACAGCGACAACATCTGGGTGCAAGAATCGCTTCGCGTACCACCTGACAATCGATGAGGATGACGATGATGCCGGGCATCGCAACGACGGCCGGTGGAGTATTTCAAGGCCAGAAAATGGCGTCTGAAGTGGTCGGGAGTAAAATAGATACCGACCATTTTGTTTGTCTACTCACGCTGACATGAACTCCGTGCTTTGACCACTCGAATTGGTCCCACTTTCTCGCCCGTCCATCGTAATGGAAGAGCATGATCGTGAAACTCTTCCAAAACTGGAGAGAAACCAATTCAAATGAAGCATTTTTTTTCAGGATAGTCAAGACTTGTTTGAGGAGCTCCAAAGTCACCTTCTTTACCGCCATGTTGATATTCTCCCTCTGCGCGTACCCAACTGTGAATGCGACTAGTTACTTTGGTCGGAGAGTGATGCCCTGTAGGGGGAAAGAAAAATTGGAAGGATGGAATTGATTATCCAACAGAATAACGGTTCTCGACAAGAACTCAGAAAACTTTTTTCTTGGCCAAAATAAATACCAGAACAAGATTTATCCGTGGTGCCTCCGACGTACCATATCTGTAGTGAATACCCACCCCTCGTCTAACTTAGAGATATCGGTTATAATTCCACCCACAGATGGGAGGGAAGGGTGGCGAACAGACGGCTCCACGGATAAAAATGCGGGGGTTTTATTTCACTGTTTGAATCAAGGTTAGGCGTGATCAATACAGTACCTCATCAGTCTCACCCCATAATCTTCGCAATAAGAGATAAGACTAAGACACACCAATCCACAGCGGTAGTAACTCAACACCACGAGGATTTTGTGCCGCAGAGGCCTGGAAGCATGAAGCCGCGAGGGAACTTCAAAAATCACAAGCTAAAATGTGTGCCTTATTTAGGGTATAAATGGTACATTTGAGGTGCATGTGAACCAATGAAGAGCAGATGGGAATTAAAAGTCAAAAGCTTGAATGAATCACCATCCCGGGCCAATATGCATGGAAGCTCATGGGCAAGCCAGAATAAAGTATATGTAATCCTTTTGTTTCCATAAGAACCCCACCAGCTAGAAGAGAAGCATGAGACGGGACGTGCCGAGGGGTGGTCAAACACAGAGGATCTTATGCCGTCAATAATCTCCATGTTGATATTGGACAGAAAATGGGCGGGACAAGTTGAACTGCAAATTTAAGCTTTGGTCAAGGATTAAGGAGAGCACGAGAATTTAAAGACTGTGGATCCATCCAAGAGCATGCAATCACATGTCCTGGAGATAGAAGCTCTTACAAAAAATACAAAGAAAAAGCTCCCACGATAATAGTTAAGATAGGCCTGGTGCTTTCGCTAGACTTCTTTAGGAGTGCACTGTAAATTGATGGGAAAAAAGCTTAGAAATTTGTGGGATTGAAGCTTGACGGGGAGATTGACTGGTAAAGAAAAAGATAATGATAGACCTGCGAGATATCATCCCCATCGTGCCGTAGTTTTCCCAGTCAAAACATGAAGCCAGCTTCAATTACCCAGAAAGCAGATCAAGCCCAACTTTTTGGAAAACTCTAGGCCATATGAACTTCTTAGTTACAGCTTATCGTTGATCTTGGCGGCCACAATACCAGTTTCTAGAGATTCACATAAACAGATGATATGCCTTTAGCTCTGCTTAAACCATCCCATAGAGCACAGTAGAATATCTTTTTCAGAATTTTTTTTTATATACATCCTCCATATCAGAAATGCCCAATACATTAGAAATGTAATGTGAATAAATGATGAATGGATTAATGAAAAAAACGAATCCTATTTCGGGGAAACCAAACAAGCCCCAAATTGGATTCTCACATCCCAACCAGAAGAAAATAAAAATTCAATCCATGAGAATGATCTTAACCTAAATATGGATGAGAGAGGTTTTATGGTAAAATATATTGTTGGAGTCAACTCTATTGAATGACTTTGACCAACTTATTAGATATAAATATAATATAGAATATTAAGTGGTATTTAAGGAATGAATAGCACAAGTATGGAGTGTGCTATATAAAGGTTATTCCGGCAAGTGTTTTTAAGACGACAACATATAATTCTTCCAGCTCCCTGTAGGAACTCCATCCATAAGAGTAAAGCTCTAATCATGAGGAAATATCCAAGGTTATTTGTCATCGTTCAACATTAATGAAGATCTCAGGTATGCCCATTGAGGTTCATCAACTGGTATAAGAACGGGTTTTTTTACGTCTTTTTTTTTCTGTCGCTGGCTTATGGGCACACTCCATGGCACCCTCCATGTGTAGGCATTGACACCTCCCGGACAGGCCGGGCATAGCTTGGGAAGGAGACACCGCATTAGCTGTGCCTCCAAGATGTCGCGTTAGTGGCATCTCCCGGAGGCTGCACCGGGAGTGGGTGTCGCATGGGCACATTTCCGGACCCCCCTGAGCGACGAAGGTCAGGGAGGCTGACGCCACGGTTGCAGCGCCTCTCGGGCACCACGTTGGCGGCGGCTCCTGACGCCCCGCGGTGGCGTACGTTTAGGAGACTGGACGCCGCGGTCGTGGTGCCTCCTGGGCGCCGCACTGGCGGTAGTTTCTAGACGCCGCGTCAACGATATCCCTGCACTTCCCGTGTGACCGAAATTAAAAACAATTATATAGCAATATGAAATATAGAGTTTGAACTTTTATACTAAAATTTTATCTCTTTTTTACGAGTTTACATGAATTTTTTTATTTTCTATATTTCATTATAATAGCTGCATGCTTTAATTGTAGAAATTTGAAAATTGTTTAAAATGATTACTATTTAGCACTTATCTTATGCTTTATTTTGCTAAAGTATGTTAAAAGATAATGTGGATTATGCAGTTATCATTCAATAATATGCATTTTTGTTGTCTCATCCATGTGATTAGTAACTTTATGCTAGTTAGATAACTGAAATGATTTAGGACCGCATGTTATATATTGGACTACAAAGATAAACATTGATCAATTCAGTCCAATTTTAGTATATTGAATGCCATGTAATTTGACATTTAACCTGGGCAACTTGGATTCCCACCTCCGTGACACCAAGGAAGAATGGTTATTTATTTTAATTATATAAAGTAGATTTATATATAATCAAGGATGGCATTCGACTTTACATTTGAATGAATGTGATTAACATTACTCACCCATGTGGGATTGTTATGCTTGTATCTAAATGGGTGAAATAGTTGTATTTTTACATATGAAATATAGAGTATTCAAGTACCCAATGGTACAATATTTCATAGACTTTTATGTAAACATTATTAGTTTTATGTTCATTCAAAAATGTTATATTGTTTCATCTACTTACATAGAGATATAATGATCTTTTTGTTAAATATAAAGGTTGCTATAAGTGTGGTATACTTTCTTTCATGTAAAAGAAATGTTATTAGAGTGTCAATGTTAAATGCTGTAAATTTCTTAGAATGTAAAGAATCACTATTATTTCATTTGCGTATAATGGAATTTGATCTATACTTTCAAGTGCTTACTCCTGCACTCACTCAATAAGGTAATGTAGATGTAAAAATCTTTTATGAAAAATGAGGCCAAGCAAGTTGTCTCTAGTATTCATGTTGCAACATGTACTTGGAGCCATTAGAGGTCATGTCTTCTAGTAAAGCTGAAGTAAATGTCTTCATACAAAGGTTTGCCTCTATGCACTAAATAGGAAAGAGAAAGATACATGAGTATATAATGGGCATGCATGACATTATTGAAAAAATGAATGACTTGAAGATCACTATTTCAGAAATATTTTTGGTTAATTTCATCTTCTAGACACTACTCATTAAATTTGACTTCTTTAAGGTCTCCTACAACACACAATGATGAATAGTCAATCAATGAACTCATGATCAAGTGTATTCAGGAGGAAGAGTGACAAGTTGCTAGTTTTATGGACAAGATGAATTATGTGAATCTAGCAACTAATAGAGTAAGGAATTAGAGATCCAAATGACAAAAGGCTAAGGAATCTATAAAATAAAAAAAACAAATTAGATGTGGCCCGAAAACTCAGCTCTAAGGTCAAGTGTTTCTTCTACAAGAAACTTGATCATTTGAAGAAGCATTACATAGAGCATAAGGAATGATTGATCAAGCATAATCAGGTAGTTTTGTTTTCATGACAAATCATCAATCAAATTTAACTTATGTTCCTCGCATGACTTGATGGATTGATTCATGTGCCATTGTATATACCTCAATCATTTTGAAGGGGTTTTTGATAATACAACCTCCAATTGAGTGTGAATAATTTGTTGTTTCAGGTAATTAGTTGCGTTCACATGTAAAGTTGATGGAAGACTGTATAATCACTTTGGACTCAAAGGAGATATTGATTTTGAAGGATGAATTTTATATTCAATCATTCTAGAGGAGCTCAATATTTGTTACTAAGTTAGTTAAAGATAATTATAAGCATTTTTATTGACACATCTTAAATGTCTTGAATGAAAGAGAATATTTTCGTTGGAACAATTATTATCAATGGTTTATTTAAGCTTAGTGTTTCTTCTTTAGAATCTATTATTTTTATTATTTATTCTAACAAAAGAAACATAGTTAAAGATTTAGAAGTAACTTTTGAAATTTTATGACATAAAAGATTGTGACACATATCTCAAAAGAGGGTGGAGAATTTAGTGAAGAATGTTTTTCAAGATCCTTAGATTTCACTGATCTTTAAATGTGTGTTGATTCTATAAAAGTCAAAACAACTGACACATATAAGAAAATATCACAAAATACGAAAATACATTACATTTGATTCATTATGATGTATGTGGACTTTTTGAACTATATTTTACAGACTAAAAGTATTTTGTTACCTTTATTGATGACTACTCTAAGTATATGTATCTTTACCTCATTCATAACAAATTTAAAGTCCTTAATATGTTTAAGGATTTTAAATTAGAGGAAGATAAATAATTAAGAAAACTTATTTAGTTATATTTGATAGAGGTGATAGATACTATGATAGGTGCATTAAGAATAGACAAATATAGAGATAATTTATGCTATTTTTAAAGAAAAATGAAATAATACTTTAATTCAAAATGTCAAGCAAATCCAACAAGGGTGAGGTTGTTGAAAGATGAAATATGATGCTTAAAAAAATTATTAGGGTCACGATGAGCCACTCGATATAACCAACCTCAATGTGGGAAGAAGCTTTAAAGACAATTGTGAATAATCTAAATAGGGTTCAAACTAAGTTTATAAGGAGAACTCCTAATGAGTGTTATCGACTAAGAAAAAAACCATTTTTAGGCTACATACACATTTGAGGATGTCCAACTGAAGTTAAACTTTATAACTCATGTGAGAAATTTCTAGATTTAGAGATAGTTAGTGGTTAATTCATGGGCTATTTAAAGTGGCCAAGATATTGTAAATCTTATTATTTTACACAAACTACAAGGATAGTTAAAATTGATTGAATTGTCTTCTTAGAAGATGATTGTATTAGTGAGAGTATTCTTTATGATTTTATTTTTGAAGAGTTTGAGAAAGACTCCATTATAGTTCATTAGGTTCTCATTGAGGTTAGTGATGCTCTTTCCACTTAAGAGACAAAGGTATACTTACTATATGTTATCCCAATAAGGGACAACATTTAAGAAGTATACCAACTCAGGAACAATCACATGAACAATCAGATCATGAGTATTTAATTGCTTAAGATCTACATAAAGGACAAGAAGTTAACCTAAGAAGATCAAGATGACAAAGGAGAAGTTATTTCATCTATCTGGTGAAAATATGGGTCAAGTGACAAATGACTCCATTACAATCTCTCAAGGTATCATTGATTACAAGCTATGAAGGATAGGCTTATCTTGATATATCACAACCAGCTATAAGAAATCATTAACTTAGCTTCTAGAAAGAAATCAGTTTGTTATAAATGGGTCTATAAGACCAAATTAAATCCCGATGGTTCAATTGAATGATATAAAACCATAATTATGACAAAGGATTTCACACAAATAGAGGGCATTAATTATTAAGAGATTTTTTTTCTTGTTTCATCCAATGACTCATTAAGGATAGTCATGGCCCTAGTTACTCATATTTAGAGTTAAAGTAGTAAGTGTACATACAACTTCTTCAAAGATTTGAGGTTAAATGTAAATAACACACACACACATATATATATATATATATATATATATGACTAAAGTAGACTTCCATATAAGGATATTTCAAATTTAGTGATATTATGAACTTTGGCTTAAAGAAAAATATTGATCAATATATATAACTAAAGGAAATCGAGAGTGAATGAATACTATTTATAGATGATATTTTACTTGCTAATTCAAATTTTAATTGTGAAAAGAAAATAAGGATTTCATATCTGAAAAATTTAATATGAAAGACATTAGTGGGGCTCATTATGTAATTAGGATAGAGAATCATTGTGATAGGTTTGTGGACATACTTAAGCCATCTCAAAAGTCTTACATATCAAATATGATGAAAAGGTTCTCAATGAAAAATTATTCTCCTAGTAAAACCCATATTGTCAAGGGTAATAAACTAATGAAGTTGTAAGGTCCTCATTCGGATGTAGAGAGACTTGCAATGAAGAAAAACTTTATGTTGTGGTAGTTGGTTATCTCAATTATGCACAAATATGTACATGACCTAATTTAATATTTATAATTAGATATTTGAGAAGTTATTAAAGTGATCAAAGTATCATGTCATGATAAGTTGCAAATAAGGTTATGTAGTATTTGCAAAGAACTAAGGATTTAATGCTCACATATAGATGAATAAATTAATTGGAGGTCATTGGATTCTCTAACTTAGATTTTGGTAAATGTTTAGATATTATAAAGTCTACATTTGACCAAATATTTTGTTGGTGGCGCTATTTCATGGTCTAGTACCAGATAAAAGATAGTTACAATATTTATGATGGAAGCTAAGTATATAACTTATTTCCACACATCTATAGAATTATATGGATAATTAACTTCATTACACATTTGAGAGTTGCAGACTTCATACTAAAACCTAATATAGTTGTGTTGTGATAATAAAGTTACGATTAAATTCTCCAACAACAACAAGATCTCGAGTGAATGCAAACACATGAAGGTCAAGTCTTGATTGTGAAAGAAAGAATCAAAGATCAACGGTGTCTCTTAAACATATGAGAACTGATTTTATGTTAGTTGACCCTTTTGGGAAGTCACTTTCACCTGGTACCTATAGTGGACATGTCTATAATATGAGTTTAATCAATTACTTTCAGCACGTGCCTTGGGTTTTATTCAGACATTGATGCATTATGTGGTATCACTTTTAGTTTGATCTTTATGTGCTAGTTCATTATGAACTATTGTTTATCATTCGATAAAATAAAGGGAATGAGACTTAAGGTTCTTTTGTCATGACATTATAAGGTCATTCATACAATTTTATATCAAATTAGGTGTTTGGTTTTAACATTAATTATGAGTATCCTAATGCACAGAAGGGACACGTCTTTAATGGCGTATCACTGTCATGAGTAATGTTTATCATCAAATATAAGTTATTATTCTTGAGAGTTTGAAATTGTGGTCACTCCACATGACTATCTAATATCAAAGAAGTTAGATAAAGTCAAGTGAGAGATTGTTGAACACAAAATCTATTGAGTGACTTTAACCCGCATATTAAATATAAATATAATATAGAATATTAAGTGATATTTAAAAAATAAATATCATAATTATGAAGTGCGTTATATAAATGTTATTTTGGCTAGGGTTTTCAACATGACATAGCATATAATTCTTCCAGCCTCATGTGGAAACTCCATCAATATGATCCGAAGCTTTGATTGTGGGGAAATATCCAAGGTTATTTGTCATTGTTCCCCATTAATGGCGATCTTAGGTATACCCATTGAGGTTCATCACATATATCTCCAATCAGTCAAGCACCGAGTCCTCGTGTACGTCAAAGATGGATCTTGTCAGTGCACGAGAAAGAAGAGGAAGCCAAGCCTTAGTCGGCCCACCTCACCCTTTCGGCGTGGGGATGAAATGAACATCTTCGTCGAAATGCATATAGAGGAAGATGAGAGACAAAGCAGGAGATCGACAATCAAACTTGGAAATATCCGCAACGTTAGTGGAAAAGCCTTGTGATTCGTTTTGCATGCTGGGGCCCATTGGTGCCCTCGTTTATGGGGTAAGCATCAAGACTAGCGACGACGGCACACCTTGTGCGAAGAGCGTACAGGAAGCAGGAGCCTAGTCGCCGGAGGAGCTCGCCGGACCGTGGATCGAACTCGAGAATGAGAGGGAATGAGGCATCGCAGCGACCGGAAACGAGGCGGGAGAAAGCCAGCAAACGAAGGAAAACGAAGAGTGTTTGGCGACTCGTCTTCTGAGATGGAAGATACCGGTCCTCCGAGAAAGCTGACGACGTTGACGGAAAAAGTCAAGTGCGCCAGAAGATTTTGCCAGACGTGACGAAGGCATGGGGCTAGGAATTTTTTCCAATTCTCTCGGTTTCCTTTCTCGGAACGTTCCGCTCTCCCATCGGTTTTCTGCTGTCTTCTCAGAAAAATGGAAAGAAATTAGGAAGAATTTCTACTTTGTCTGGTCTTCGGTAGGCCCCCGGTGACAGACCGACTCCTTTCACTACGACAGACCCGGGGATTCCCCTATCTGATTCTCTCTCACTCTCGCTCGCTCTCAAGATTGGCCTGTTATTGTTCGCGCTCCCGATTGTAAGGATAGAGCCGGCGGTCGCCGCCCACCCGTCCACTCGACGACCAGTCAAGGAGTCAGCATGCCTAGCTGCCAGCCACAGCCCATGCAGATATTCATGACATGGGCATCGATGCCACCAAACACTCCAGAACCTTTTAGAAGAACTAATATTATGCAAATATATCGTCAGATAGTGGTGACGTATTTGTTCGCGTGGTTTTAGTCAAGAGGTCCAAGTTTCCAAAGTCCTGGCCGACGTTGGTCCCGCGCCGCCTTCATGCGGTCATGCCATTTTTCGGCGCCACATTTGGTCCCGGCCCCTATCTACTTCTAAGGAATGAATGAACAGATTAACAACCAGTTCAAGATTGTAATGCGCTGAAATTGACGTGGGCTGTCCTGGAGACGGCGGCTGGGGAGCGTGATTATCACGGCTCCCACCGCAAAGAGAGAAGAAGGAAGAGAAGCGCACTCGGCGATCTGGCCGGGAAATCAATACACGTAAGAAAAAGCCGTATGGGAACAAATCATCGCGGTTGGAGGAAGGAGGCCTAGACTAGAAGGCGGAGCAGTTCTTGGGCAAGCCGGTCGAGCCGTCTGCTTGGACGATCTCGGCGGCGCTGCAGGTGATGACGTCCTGGCCGAGTTTGGCGCCCGCGGACTTGAGCGCCTTGAGGGACATGGGCTGGTTGAACAGGTTGAGCACGGGGAGCTTGGCGGCCGGCGGCAGCTTCCCCCCCGGGAGGAGCCTGGTGAAGTCGTCCCCCAGCAGCGGCACCTCGAAGTCGTCCTTGTTGTGCTTGACGACGTTGTCCTTGGCGCTGATGTGGGCCCCGGGCTCCATGTGGTTGGTCGAGAAGCTCGCCTGGTTGGGGAAGTTGGGGAAGAGGCTCACGTAGCCCCTGAGGTACATCATGTCGATGAGGAACTTCTTCCAGGAGGCCTGCCACCCGTTGGTCCGGGACTTGGGTATCTGGACGGGGTTCTCCTTGGCGTCGTCCGTGAACCGGGAGTTCATGTAGGCGTAGAACTCTCGCCACTGCTTGGGGAAGAAGACGGCACCCCAGCTGCAGGGGAGTTGGTGCAGGTACGGCATGTTGGGGTGGATGTTCCGGAAGAACTCGGTGGGGTTCCACTTGGGCCGCTCCTTCACCACCTCGACGAGCCGCGGCGTGTAGAGGGAGATGGAGGCGAGCTCCGGGAGGGACACCTGGGGGTCGTAGTGGTAGGCCAGGAGGGCGTACTTGATCCACATATAGTAGTAGGGCGAGACCTCGATGTCGTCCTCCAGAAGGACCCCGAAGTCGTCGTCGGAAGACGGGTACCAGCTCTCGCTCACCGCGCGGATGAGCCCGCCCTGAATCACGCGCCGCCGGATGAGCTTGGGCCCCCGCGTCCAGTTGAAGGAGCCCACCAAGTTGAGGGTCGCCTCGTCTACCATGCTGTCCATGTTGAAGCTTACGGGGATCTCGTCTCCGAGGTAGAAGGCGCCGTCGAGGGACCGGAGGAGCCTCTGAAGGGAGTTCACCCGGTTCTGCGTGATTATGTTCACCGAGATCCTCATCTTGTTCCAGTCTGCAGCAATGAATCGAGATCAGGCCGTCAGCTTCGAACAACGAGTCGTGGGATGGGATGGGAGGAACCGGGGTGGGGGGAGGGGGGGCGTTCATTTCTTACTCGCCAGTGCGGTCGACCTCAGGTCCGCCATCCAGAGGGCCTTGGGCACAGCGGTCCTGGGCAGAGCGACAAAGATTGTGCCGTTCTCGCTGCCCTCTGCGGCCGTCTTCAGAGCGCTTCTCACGCTGGGATCGAGGTCGTCGACGGTGATCAGCAGGCTGGGGTTGTGGATCTTCAGCAGCCCCTTGACGCTGGAGTATACGGTCTGAAGCAGGGGCACCTCTGAGTTGGAAATCCCCGAGATGGCTCCAGCGCCCAGGTCGAAGATCTTGAACCTCCTCTCCTTGCACACCCCTCTAGGCCACTTAAGCACCACGGCGGCGTCCTCGCAGGGGCAGTACCCGCCACCGGAGACGGCGATGTAGGCCTTCTTCCCCACGGTGGTGCGGAACTTCTCCAGGAGGGGGGCGAGGGCCCTGACCTCGTCGATGGAGTGGGCGTAGAAGAGGGCGTCGATCTTCTGGGGGTTCATCGCGGCCCACTGAGTGATGTAGCCAGTGGAGAGAGCGCGCCACCACTGGTCGTCCCTAACCTGGACAATATCCTTGAAGATGACGGTCGTTTCCGACACGTAGGCGAGACGGTGCTCACTGTCCCCCCACGTCTCTTTGTCGCTCGGGTCCACGGGCAACACGAAGGACCCCGCGCCCCTGTACTTCTGAAGCTGGTAGCTGTGCCACAACGAAGAAGAGCCACCCCCGTCTCCAGTCAGAGCAGAGCGCAGGGCCTCGGGGACGAGGTTTAACAACAGGGAGAAGAAAAAGGGTACGGCGAGCTCACCTCAGGTGGAGGTCTTCTCCGGTCATCCACGTGAAGGGCGTCTCCACGAACAAGGTCTTCACGAGATCGGCGGAGAGGAACCACGAGCTGGAGAGGAAGTCCACCTGCACCACCCTGTCGACGGTGATGTCGTAGGCGGGGTCGGGAAGGTAAAGACCGGCCTCCTTGGATCGGAACTTCCTGTAGCTGGGGAAGGAGAAATCCTTCTGCCTGAACGGCAGGATCCTCCCGATGCTTCCCAGAACGGAGTTCCTGTACTTGTCGGTGCCGCCCGCATGGGACAGGATCTCCAGCATCCTCCTGCCGGGGATCATGTCGTCGTCGAGGATGTAGATGAAGTCCGCCTCCGACTGCAATGCCATCTGGAATCTGCCGTAATACTTGAAGTCGTAGCTCGAGCTGACGAAGCTGATCTTCGAGTTGTTGTAGCTCTCGACGATCTTCCTGAGGGAGAGCTCGTTGGGGCTCCCGAAGGAGAGCACCCACACGTTGTGGAAGGGAACCGTCTGGTGAAGCAGAGAGTCGAGCTGAGAGCAGAGGGTCTTCCTCTTGAAATGGTTCAAGATGACGGTGATCTTGGGGACGTCGGGCCCGCCTCTCTTCCACTTGGACTTCATGGCCATGAGCTCCGCCAGAGTCTCGGAGCCCAAAGTCCTCCTCTGGAAATCCAGCACCTCGTCGTAGAGATACCTCTTGAACCCGATCATCACCGCGTCGTCGGATTTCTTCTGCACGAAGTCAATCTGCTCGTGCTCGCAGGCCTCCTCGGGGGTCAGTACCGCGGCGGTCCCCTGGAAGCCCGGCAGGACCATCTGCTTCCAGTGCTGGACGATGTTGGTCGCCCAGGAGAACTCGGGCTTCGGCCGCAGGTCCACCGAGGGGCTCATGTAGTAGAGGAGGAAGGTGGCGTACATCGCGAAGGCGAACTGGAGACAAGTGAGAGCGGCGACGATGCGGGACGGCGTTCCCTTGGAGAGCCTCATCTTGCTTCCCTTTCCGACGACGTACTCGTTGATCATGCCTTCCAGGAGGTCTCCGCTTCTCATGCTCGGAGTCCGGACTAGACCCATCGGTCGCGGCGTGGGAACACTGCACCAGACGAAGAGCACACCGACATCGTCAAGAACATAGATTCTTAGACTGATGAAGGATCACATTAAAAAGATATCTATCTTCATTAATCAAGGGGCTCCATTCCCTTCTTCGATCGGTCTAATCCTCTCATATGTATCAGATTAGTTCGCTTTACCCGTTCTAAAATCCCTAATCAGAAACGGAATTAGCAAGAGGAGTTCAGGTCGAGAGAACCAAGAAGACGAGTCCAAAAGCCAGGGTAATCGAGAAACGGAGGCTGGAGTCGGAGCCTGAGCTTGGAAAGGTAGGAAAGTGGCAGCGGAAGAGGGCGGCCGGATATCTCGAACGAGCAAGGAGCAAGCATATAAGAGACCATCCCGTGCCGAGAGACCTTGGAAGAAGGAAGAGAACGGAATACCTGGTCCCGAAGAGAGAACCAGTGAAAGCGAGAGCGGGGGGTCTCAGGGGCCAGGAGACCATCTGGAGGGCGATGAATCCTCCGCCGGAGGCTTATATACACGTGGAAACCCTCGGGGTTTTTCAAGACGGCTGAATATAGAGGACATGCTTTGGACTAGAGAAATCCATGAGACCTGCGATGGCGTCACATGGGCTGAGCCTTTAGCCCGGGGACCTGTGAGGAGGGAGTGAGACAGAGAGAGTCGCAAAGACGCCACCAGGGCGTTACCGCTATTCACACGTCCTCTGATAAGCTTTCCCGGGCTTCTGCGCCAACAAAATCCGGCTTTGAAGGCGCTGAATTGGGCGGCGGCGGCACATAAAGCCCTACCCCTACCCTCCCTCCTTCCTCTCCGGCACCTCGAGATCACATCTTTCACGTACCCACTGGGGCCTTCATCCGATGAGCAGATCGAGGCACGCAGCAGAAATCCATAGAGAGGCCAGACGAACTGGTCCCGAAGGGAAATTCAGTAGAAGGAAACAATTAACCGGACTCCGGCATGTAATGCAGAACACAGGCGGCTCAAAAAAAGTCAAAAGACAGGAGAGAGTATATATGAGGAGAGAGGAAGGAAAAGAAACTCGATGGAGCACCTAGACGACGAGAATTCCTGTAGCCCAGAGGAGATTTATTTTTTTTTGTTACACCCAGGACCCGAGGAGCTGCTGGAGACTAACTCACTGCCTCCTCCTCCCCCCCGGAGTTTCTTCTCCAGAGCCGGAGCACCGCTCCTCGTTATTTTAATCATCGGAAGAACAATAAAGAAGAAGAGGGACCAACCGAGGCGCAGAACAGCAGAGCTGAAATCAAGAAGCTTCATCATGCCGCCGCCATTGATGGATCTGGAGGACCTCTGCCCGGCTTTGCGGAGCATCGCCGAGTGGAGATGGTATCGCCGCCAATTTAAATAGGAAACGCGAGGAACCCGGCATGTTTGACTTGCAGCCTATGGGAACGCCGCTACGAAATCGCTCCCATTCCACCCCCCCTTGTCTGTTGCTATCTGCTATGGCTTCCTGCCAAACTTTGGCCGCTGGCAACCGGGTGATGGGACTCCTTGAACCTGGTGGGTTTTATTCCCTTGCAGCGGAAAAAATAGAGCGCGAGGAGCCGAATCCCACCCCTCCTCCTTCATCCTTATCTCGGTCAAACAGTTTTTTATAGGATTTTCTATACTATAACGCAGTCAAACCAAGAAGACGATGGACAATGCAAACCTCCAACCTCCCCTCACCGCCACCACACAGACAGTCTTAGCGGCCTCTGTAATCACGTTTATAAAGTTAACCACGAGGTTAAACGAAGGCCAAGGGGGTTCAGCACCAAATCCACTCGGTATTGGAAGGAATCATGGATGAGGATCTTAAATCTTGATGTGCCACCGTGAGTAAGAAATTTTCCTCTGGAGTAAGAAATCACAAGCCTATAAAATATGCCCCCTAAGCCAGATAATTTGCCACTCGGGGGTATCTTTCGTTTGCTGTTGGACCTTCAATCCGAGGCTCTCTTTGTCTGGGCTCGGGCGGAGTCCTTGGCGCGCACGAGGAAGTGGACGGCCTCCCCGGCCGAATTTTGGTTTGTTCCCACGGCGCCGATCTCTCAGTGGTTAGGCAGGTTGGACGGCCAGTCAACCTTCAACTGTTCACCCCCTCTGCCGCCGGGGGCGAGGAATACACAGACAGAAAGGTTGGGCAGCTGCCGCTGCCGCCGCCGGCGGCGGTGGGTTGGCCATGAAATCACATTCGATAGGTTCATACGGTCCTCAGGACCCAGCTGGGAGCATGTACGTGTTCGCGTCTCTTTAGCCTGATTAATAGGGTGGAGACCCGCTCAGATACGACCTCGACCCCGTGTAGTATTTTTCTTCAAAGCTCAGATCATAACAGTGTCGAAGGTTTGGCCTTGACATAGAAAATACCAATCGCTAGAAAGTGAATGCCACGGGGGACGTCACCTCTCCTCGGATAAAATGTGAAGGGGGAGACGCGTTAGTTATTCGGCCACTGGGGAACTCGCTGTCTTCGATCTTTGGCGCCGTAGACTTGCTTTTTCTCCGTCACGGACCGACCCGCCGGCCACTTCCAAGCCATCGTCAACGAGTCGGATCCTCCATTTTTACGGTCGCGAGAGCCTGTTCTGAGTGGCTCCCGTGTCGCATTGCACTGGTGCGGTTTGACTCATCTCCACTCCCAGTCCTCTCCCGGCGTCCACGTCGGGCGAGGTTGGCCGGCGGGGTGGCCTCCTATTCCTCCTGCTCCTGACAGGCCCACAGAAAAGGTAGCTCATTGATGGGTGGTGCTCCTTCCACTGAAACGGAAGGATGGAGACTCGGATCTCGCGGTAATCCAGATCTGGCCTGTCCACTGGGCGGAAGGGTTTCTTATTTCCTACGTTTAATGGCATCTTCTTCTTCCCGAGCTGCAGCCTCTGGAGGCGTTGACTCTTTTTCTCACCATTCCCAAGGCGAGTGATTCTGGCTGGAGCTCGGCCGCCGCAAAACGGGCACGTCACGTGCAAGAAAGTCCACGACACCTGATTAATGCTCCCACATGGCCTCATAATCCTTTGCCATGAGACACTCGTACGCATAGACGCAACCCCCCGTCATTAAGTGGGGCGTTTATTTAACTAGTTTCGGCGTGGTCGTTTTAACCAGACTGCGACACGACCTTCGAGGTCGCCAATTGCACTTGCCAGATGGGTGGTTCCCATTCGGTCCGAATCGTCGCAGTCAGGGGGACCTCCAATGGCTGTGCGTGGAATCCGGCCCTGAGGGAGGGGGTCTCCTCGTTCTATTGACGGCGGAGGGGATCGCCGGAGAGGTCGTAGCAGGGATTTCCGACAGAGGGAACGGTGTTTTTTTCCGTCAATTCTCTCGCTCGCACAGGTGCGCACAAAGTAGGGACCTTTAACGGAGAGCACGAGCCGCTTCTCGACGGCACCTGTGGATGACAGCACGAGCCGCATCTCTCTCTCTCAACCTGGCCGGTGGCTCCGAGGCTTGATGGATGTCGCCGACGATGCATAGACGAGTAATGGATAATCTAGAAGAGACATTGGGATACATTGAGGCGCTCGAAAGACGCGAGTTAATCTCAGAGGCAGATGCGTTGACATTGGGTTTGATGATCGGGGGGCGCCGGTTGACCGGTGTTTACTTTACCTCTGTCCGAACGATAGACCTCAAAGGAAGCCCCTTGAGATGGTCGCCGCCATGTGGCAACAGCATCATGTTGTATCCATGGCTTTTCAAGCGATGCAGCTGTTCCTCACAAGCAGCAACGAAGGCACGCGGAAGATGGGTTCAGAGCACGAGCTCGATATGCTCGATCTCTCTTGCCCAAGGAATTGGGGGCCACATTCGGCATAGTTTCGGCTCTAACAATTCTATGTCACGTGATTAATAGTGATTGCTACTAATACTTGTAGCAACCAAACACGGGACCATTTCCACTCAATCGTCCAGATCAGGGTCAGGTGCCCCACCCACGTCAGATCGCACAGTTTGTTTGTCCGTCGCAGTAATATTGCATGTTTCTTCGTATTGTTTATGTCGAAATATCAAATATCACAAGTGGACTCGGACTACATATTTTATCACCTTCTTATTTTATCGCGAAAAATCTGTCATTAGTTTAGCATGCCCACCGCAAGCCAGAGGTTCTAGATTCTCTCGATAGAAATGGTAGCGTGTGGTCATCTAAGTCAGAAACCATTATCAACAAGTGACCTACACATTTGTTCAAGGACAGTATTACTTTCTCGCAGATCGTCAAAAATCATCCCTTTCCTTCAAGAGTTGGTTCACCCTTCATTTAAGTGACGGGGATATCACATGAAAAATAGTGTCTATCGAAATAAAGAAGACTTTAAGGTCCACCCATAACGTTTTGCCCTTATTTTCTATGCGTTTGTCTACTCATCTTCACTCCGTGCTATTAAAATATGAATTACGTGAAAAAGCTGATCTGAGATCATCATGCTCGGGGTTTCCTCTCCACCCAATGATCAGATTTTTTTTGAGTTAACGAAGTGGTTAATTGGTGGAGTTGTGAGATACATTGAAAGCATGTGAAATGGTTAATTAATTCTTCTGTAATAAAGCATTCGGTTGAACACTTATGAGATATAAAAAACCACCTTGGGAGCCATGCGGCAAATTTAAATTACTCTTACCTTAAGAAATTCATCCACAATTACAACTCACAGAAAATGAACTGATGATACTTGCGGAATGAGTGGCATCGATTCTGCTACTCTATCGTCCCATGCGCGGTGAGATATGGCAGCTGTTATGGAAGCTACCTCAAATAAAAAAGCGTCTACGTTGCTCTTGGTAAAGTAAGTAAATAAATAAATAAATAAATCTATGAGTGCGTCGGGATAGCTCACTTTGCAAAATATTGCTCGTCAAAGAAAAAGCCTGAACAAGCTAAAATATAGGAATAAAAAAGAAACTCACGGAGCAAGAGTGACAGGATTTTCCCAAGCTTTCTGACCTTGAGTAAGATGGAGGCCAGCTATCTAATGACACAAATGGATACTTTAAAGTAACCGACAATGATGACAACCAGATTGTGATCCTTCAAATAGCTAATGTTGTACATCAAGAAATGACATATTCAACGAAGGCTCATATATTCTGGTCAACATGTAGCGTCAATTTATTCTAAAATAAATAAAGCAACATATAAGAGAAGTTTTGGGAGTAACAATAATAATATCTAGGAATGATATTTTACCGAACACGTTACGGCTATCATTAAATCACAAGAGATGTTGTGAATTAATGTTTTCAATAATCCAATATTAATTTAGAAAGCGTAGAACCAAAAAAAAAAAAGTTCAATAAAGATGAAAAAAGAATCTAATTAATAATTTTGAAGATTCGAGAGACTTAACAGAAAAAAATTCTTCCTCTCATTGAAGATAATGATAACAAGGAGCCATGTTGGGGTCTTTGAAGAAGATACATAGTAGCATTTAAAAGAAAAGGTCAACAAATGAAGAGATTTGGCCTTCTAAGAAAATAAAAAATGAGATATAACATGAAAACTCAAGGATAAAAGTTCATCTCAATTAAATGAGTTTTGTCGAGCTCAAGTTGGATATAAATAACCATGGCATGTTTCTCTACTAATAGAACCCTACCAATGAAGTATCATTGAAACATGCTATGTCGGATTGCAAGTCAATATCTTCACCCAATATTAGCAAATGGGATGCCTTGGTTAAAGGAGTAGACGGAATTCATGAAAGCCAAGATGCATTGGCAATAATGATTTTTAGCTACAGAAACATAAGGGAAAATATAAAAATACTTTACTATTATAAGACTTTTGGACAAGAAACCATGGCACAGCAAGGTTACATGTTTAGCCTTGGTAATTGGGAAATCTCAATGTGCATTAGAAAGAAATGCCAAAACCAACTTCAAAGGTTGAACATGTAGGAGGGATATGACAGCCTAAGAGAATAATGGCTGAGATAATTATTTGAGTGTCTGTGCCAACTGGTAATTAGAGACTTTTGTGATAAGGAGTCAGTTAGCTGTATACTTACGTCAGAGTTCATCATCGCAGCTTTAGAAAGATGAGTCCGTAGACAAGCAAACATAACAATTTAAGCATTAAAGTGGAAGCGTAAGTGGTAGACACTTGTTAAATACTAATCTTCGTAAAGCTTGAGAATTTAGATCACAAAACAACAGACATAGTAATTGTTCACAAAAGCTAGTGTTGAGGGACAATATCGAATGTAAGCACTGGCTTTCCTCTTTACTTTTTTCTCTCGAAAGCCTTCACCACCCATTTTTACGTATACCTCAGACCTTATTATCCCATCTTATAACTCCCATCTTGTATTCACCAATATAAATAGACAGATAATACTTACATTTGTCGCATCAAATTTGCGAGTTCTGGTGTACGATGAAAGTGAGAATAGTGTTTGACTAGTGACAGTTGAAATGTTGGTAGGGTGTGAAAGCATCACAGTACATACATGGGACAGTTGACTAAGTCTCCATCTGATGCAGTTGCCATGGTTTCTTACACTGACCCATTCAAACATTTCTAGGACTAACGTTGACGCCTGTAATTTTATTTTTTTAAAAAGCATGTATTCCGATGATTAAGAGTCAGTGGATCAAAGAGCTTAAAACCTTATGACGGTATACACAAAATAGCGTAGTGCATCATATTATTCAGGTCAATTTTCAATATTCCTTCAAGGCACATCACTGTCAAACAACTAGAAAGCCCCAATAGAGGAGAGAAGAAAAAAAGAGGAAAGCCAAGAGAGACCGGGAATTGGGGAGGGGATGATGGGGGAGGAAGACTGATAGCATGTTCTTGAAGAACATGAAAGAATAACAAATTTTCAATCATTTCCTTTCTCATCAGCAATGGCGATAATAGCTTGCGAGTGCATGCAAACAGAACTAGCAACCCAATCTAAGAAGAAGAGGAAGAAGCAGCCCTCATCAGGCTACGAAAGATCACTCTGGTACATCCGGGGAGCAGCCAGAAAGCTCCCATATTTGATACAACAAAGGCAGTTGTACTCGTGAAGGAATCTACACAAATCAACGTACATGATCGGTATGCCACAATAGCTCAGCCGAAGGGAAAGCAGAATAAGATGGGAAGCATACAAGGCTCCGGCAGTGCCTCAGCAGATTTTCCTTGTTGTCTTCTTCCTCTCTTGACTCCGTGTCCTGTTTCTATGGGCGAGAGCTTCCTCACCGATATCCACCATATTGTTGAGAGCCGTACCCACCCATACCTGCCATTGGGTTGTATCCCATACCTCGCATGGCCTGACCTGACGGCATCCCACCCGGGGGCTGCGCACCCGCTCCGACGCCCATGTTCATCCCCATCCCCATACCGATGGGTTGATTGATACCTCCCCCATAGCCACCCATACCCATGCCAAGATTTCCCATGGCCATCCCCATCCCCATGCCAGAACCAATAATGGGGTTTGGAGGGGGAGCAAGGCCAACAACACCAGCACGCCCAATGCCCGAACCTGATCCCATTGCTTTGCCCATGGTAGTTGTGGACACAGGAGCTACAGTGGCTTTCTCCCTTCTCTTTTCCTTCCGATTAATAGACTCGAAGTCAACCCCTATGTCAGCCAGTGGGTTGGTCTTCGCTGAAAAAAAAAAAAATTGTATTTTTTTAGAACCTTGTGGAGATATAAATTAAAATAAATTTACAACATTTAAATTTAGGAGGGAGAAGACTGCAGAAGAAATAGAAGTTGAAAAATTGCAGTACTTACGTCCGGAAATATTGAGATCCACCAAACCTCGATTCAATGTGTCTGCCCAAACTGTAGACTTCGTCTCAAACTTGTCCTTCGATTGCACAGACTTTGCTGGCGGGACGGTTTGAACCAAAGCATCTGGTTGTGAGGCCCCAACGCTTGACAACGCTCCTCCATGAAAATATGTGGCAGTTGGGGCGGGGGTGGCCTGTGTTGCTACTGGAACTGACTGTCCTTGTTGAGAAAAGTGACTCTGAGGGAAGGGCTGTGGAACTGGAGCAGCAGCCGTGAAGCCTTGGGGAGAAAATGCGTATGGAGATTGCAGTGAGTTTATTCCAGAGGGAAGTCCTGTCTGAGGAAGGAAGCCTGAAGGATATGCCTGTGGAGCAGCCAGACCAAATGGGACAGGGTGGGAGAGGATGTTTGCAGGGATTGGCTGTGCACCTCCAGAAGGAGCAGGGGGGAAAACCTGAGAAGGGGTCGCATATGTGCTACCAGAGTAGGGGTTGAGATTCTCCACGGTAACAGCATTTGGCTGCAGGGATGCCAACCCAGAAGGCAAAATCTCAGATGCAGTGGAGGGAACATGACCGTTGACATGATTAGATAGAGGAGTACTGAGAGAATCCCCGACTGCCAAACTTGGCTGCAATGACGGGGACTCAGAGGGGAATGGGAAGGGAGTGGCAGATAAATTGTTTTGTTGCTGAACCGGAGCATTGCCATCCTGTGGAATAGCTTTGAAGGGAGGTTCTCCAAATGGATTTTCACCAGGCTGTATCGACAATCAAGGTACACCTCAGTACCGCAACAAACAAACAAATGACACTCAAAATTCCATTATTTTTTTTTTTCTTTTATCACGTGGAATCAAAGAAATTGAATCAGCTGTTGCTAAGAGAAAAATAAAATTTAAAATTTAAAAGAAGAATCATGAGTCATATGCAATAGCTAAATGTATGCTGCACGAACCAGAGGGTTCCATGGTTTTTGAAGAAGTCCCACCATATTAAAACGACCTACATGGCTCTAAAATGTCTAGATGTATATTAAGGCAAAAAGAGAGTGAGTCAGCACAGGAGGTCAAACCGTACCTGACTAAAACCATTAAATGGTAGTGGTAAGTTCTGGCCAGAATCAGAGCTGTTGGGCAAATGCACTTCAGACGTTGTTGGAGCAGTAACTGGGACCAGAGCCAATGAACTTATGGATTCAACTCCTGACAGGCCAAAAAAGTCCGTTCCAAAACCAGCTTCGGCGGGCACGGCAGCTAACCATTAAAAAATCAGATGTCATGTTGCAGACAAGTGTAAAGACGTGAATAAATATATCTATCTATATATATACACAAACATCACCAAGCGAAAAGAAAAACTTATGCATGTCTTCTTATACCCTAATCAGAGAAATGATAACATTTTTTCAGCTAATAGGTCAACCGAGCGTCAACATTTTCCCAAACCTACTATTCCTGTAAATCATAAGTTAAAATCGCCTTCACAAGTGTCTTCATCTTTTTTCACTATTTCGTATACATAAATATTAGAAACCACTTACAATTTGCAGATAGCCAATCAAACAATTGAACACCATCCAACACATAAGTGACATCAAAGAACATATGCGTATTTATCGAAACAGGTTAATTATACCTACAATGTTCAGGGGCCCATTGTTCTAAGGTGAAACGAGTTCACTGAACCACACTTGCTGAGGGGGGGGAGAAGGGGGAAGGTAGCAACATTTTAACGAAGCGAGACAAGCAGTAAAGCTAGAAACCTCTGTTCTGAGTGCGAAAAAGAGAGTAAACAAAATGTTCCCAATGACAACTGCAGTTCAATAATATCAATAAAATACTGAATAGCAGTATTATCAAAAAAAGCATTCCAACAATATTCGGCTCAAAGACCAGTAGACAACCTGACAAATAACCAAAAAAAGATTACAGTTAAGATTTGGGCAACAATTCAATCATCGAAGACACTGCTCACGAGGCCCAGCCGCCCATGTCATAAACACCCAGCAAGGAACCACCAAGGTTCCAGATCACTAGCAAAGATAATATAAATAAAAACTGTAAACATCGTTCTTGAGTAAGGTCCAGTAAAGATGATCTTCTAACAAACAGCATGCAACAAATATTTATATGCATTGAAATAAAACCCCAGGTGATTATTTTGCCTGATCCAAACGCATCAGAAGTGAAAAAGGCAAGGAAATATCCAATATCCGGTCTCTGACAAGTTGGACTATCACTTACGAATTACGGGAATGCATTTAAAATTCCATACGCAAAAACTAGAAAATTAAAAAGGGCAGCTCAAGCCTCATTCTGAGCAACAAAAAAAAAATCGACTCATTAATGGAAGAGAGCCTGTTCAATGAAAAACGGTACATATTGCAGAAAGAATATCAACTGATAATACTCTAGAAACTCATAAGGAGGCCGATATAGGTTAAAGGAAGAAATTGAAAAATAATAAGTTGGACAAAATTCACATTCTCCTATACCTATCATTGAACGTAGGTACCAATGAACAGAATTATGAATCAATAACATGTTATAAATACATAACAAGGACAAACTATTATCGAAGCACAAAATCAATAAAGAATAAGCCTGAAATAATTTGCATTTTCCTCTACCTGTGGTAGAACCTCGTGGATCAAACTCATCGAAAGCATCTTCTTTTTGAGTGTGTGACTCAGTACTGACTACAGGAGCCTGAGAAAGATTTATATTTTCAGCAGGGGAAGCCTTGGGTGCAGCAGGAGGTATTTTTGCAATAGGTGCCTGGCCAGCTCCTCCATCCCTGAAGAGTTCATTTAAAAGATGTCGGGAACCAGCTATATCAAATTAACAAATAAATGATGTCCGCATATAAAAATGCATACCTTTCATTCTGAACATGACTATGGGGCTCTCCTACAGCTTCTTCATAGGTAGGGGGTGCACCAAGGTTTTGCTCCGAAAATTTATGTTCAAGTTGCCTGTCAAAACAAGCTTGGAAAGCTAGAAGACAAGTACGATTTCCCAAAGTGTCATCTATCTTACAGTAAAAAAGTCATGCTTACCTATCTTCATGGGAAGGGCCATCCATCTTGCCGCCTCCACTTCTACATAAAGAATGAGTACACAAAATAAATATGAATAATCCTGAGTACCCACACCAAGTGTAACTATAGATGTCTGCCAATGAGTAAGGAAAAAAAAAAACAAATACATGACAGCTAAAGAATGAGGGCATCAAATTGCCTATCTGCTCAGTCTGCTTAAAGGGAAAACTAGACAATTACCTATGCACAACAGTAAGAAAAAAAACTGGCAAAAGAAAACAGCTGGCCCCAAACAAATAAAATTTCGCAATACTGAAGAAGAGTTTAAACATTTCCAATATGCTGGAGACATGCAGGTAAACTGATACGAATGGTGTTGAAGGATATTTTCCCGGGTAAAAAAGGAGGCAGAAGAAGGCGTATCACGCCAGCATATACAACAAAATGCATACAACACATAGGGCGTAGTTCCTGTACTAGGAAACTCTTATTTGTTGACAAAGAACTAGGCCTGTTAGGAAATAGATATATTCTTATGCGGCATGCTGAACGTGGAATTAATCGTAGTTTGTTCCATGAGAGTAGCTAACAGCTAAAACAGAAAATACCTAGGTGAATATCGGTCATCATCATCAAAGGATCGGCCTTTGTCTCTGTCGACGTTTCTGTTCCTAGAACCAAACTGATAATCATCGTTCCCTCTGTTTCCCCGGTAATCATCAGCATCCCGACCATACCTATCACCATCTCTACCATACCGATCACCATCTCGACCGTATGAGTCCCTCCTGCCATATCTGTCATCATCTCTGTAACCTGAGTCCTTATCTTTTCCATAACCATTTCGGTGATCTTCCCTATTTCCATACGAACCATGATACTGATCATCGTCATACTGATCACCATAGCTTCCACTGCCCGAATATGAACCAGAGTGGTGCATCCCACCCGTTGAAATTGTACCACGATACCTGAAAAATATGAAAAATATGAAAAATTGAATAAATGAGAGGAAGTTACATTTTACGAACCTAAAAAATACACTCACTTATCCCTATTTGCATGGGCTTTCTGTCTAACTTCTTGTATTCTCTCCTTGTCATTTACAAGTGCAACTAGATTTTGGGACTTCTTCCTGACATTGCTTCCTTCATCCCTCCCACTTGAGCTGATGTACTGAAAATCAGATAACGTCTGGAAAAGAAGATGTAATTGGAGTCACACATTTGAGACATAAGTCCAACTATCATAATGAAAATATAGTGAACAACTGGTGTGTACTGCAATCTGGTAAGAATGTTCTCTTATTTCATCAATGACTCGTTCAGATCCATGCGCCACAAGATAATCCAGAACTATCAACCCCTGCACATCAATAGTAAAAACAGCACATTGATTCAGAAGATATGATATGCAGATAGGTCCTTCTAGTTTGTATTACGAGTTTGTGTGCAGAGGATATGAATGTGTATGCAGCAGATATGTATATGCAAGAGGAAAGAACAAAACCACCAATGAAACACAGGCACCAGCAATTGGCTATGATAGATGCATCACAACAAGGAGAAAAAATACCTTATAAACGTGCCGCCAATTTTTTCCAGTGTCATTGATTCTCTTCCAAATTACTGACATGATGATCTGAAACTCAGCACTGCACAACAGTTTAAGCCATAAGTATCCTCATTGGAAGAATTAATTGTGCTAGGAGAAAGAATAATGTACTGACTGGTTTCGTGTTGCCTGAGCAATGTCTGCCAAAAGTGATCCATGAGGACCCCAAGGTTCATTGCTAGTAGCATCGAGAATCTGTGAATGAGGCCCAAGCACATCGTTTTAGACTTATCAATAAAAGAAGATAAAATAAACTGCTGTGAAGAAATAAATGATTTGGATGACAAGAATATGATAGAGATCGACAATCACCTTTTGTTCAATAGCCGGAACCTTAAGGACCACCTTGTTTACTTCTCTCTTCCTGAAATTGTCAAAGTCACTTGTTTCAATCACATCATGCAGACCACATTGGTGCATAAAGCCATACTAGTCAACGAGATATTTCCACCCCAAGGAAAATCAGAGAAAAACATTAAGTGCTTGAAATAGAGATACTCACAGATCCCTGACAGTTTGATCAAAAGCTTTCTTCATTGCGCACGTCGATCAGATGCAGTGGCCTCTAATATGTCAATGAGAACCTCACCAAACAGTCTACAGATATTTTAGGGAATACCCTGTACAATCACAGACATTAACCAAATATGAACCGTTCTGTAAGCAGTTCATCAACTTCTCAAGTTTTTTCCAAACACAAATATGAACCGTTTATTCATCAATCACAATTATGAGAGAGTAAACGAAATATGCACTTTTCTTCTTAGCGAATGATCCTTTAAAACGGTCATAGGCGAATATCTGTTCTTTTTTCTCCATGCCATTTGAACACTTCTGCTTTTTTTGTTTTCATTTTATCTTTCCATCACGAATACTCTTAACCATCATCTCAGAAACAAAAAACATCCTTAAGAGAAATTGCAACCGTTAGTTTTCTTCCAGCATGTAGATTCTTTTTGGTTCCGCCTTTCATATGGACGGGCATGCGTTGTTCTCCCGCTTCTTTCTGGTTCTACCTTCATCAGGCTCTCTCACTATAATAATTTATATATTATTACCGATGAAGTTAATGATTCTCTTCTAATAACAATCGTTTTTTCTTTTTCATACAATTCTGGAGTCCTAGACTAGACAATTGTGAGAGCATCTCTAAGACCACAAAAATGCAGGCATTCCTATCTGAAGCGCCAGAGGATATACATCAGATGTGAGATTCATCCCATTTTAAGAATAATGGAGATTACGACAGCAGAACTATAGAAAGAGAGGGGCAGTGTACATTTCCCCTAAGGTAAAAAGAGCCATATTTAATGCTTGCCCGATGCCAACCACATCTCACATCTAAAAGTGTACAGCCATTTTTTTCCCGTCAATTAGAACACTAAATTCATCCATCTGTTGCAGGCCTGACTCGGAACAGAAACAACTTAAAATGACAACGGGATGCTACTTGTCACTGGGCCAAATAAGAAGAAAAGGAAAACCATCGTTATAAAGCATAACCTCCTCAAAACATACATTAAAACAAATGGAACGGCCTTCCAAAAAGAACGAAAGGAAATCCGCGATGAAGTTTAAGCTGCCAGAAGCAAGAAAATGCGATCCTTTCCGAGACTGTGACAACCATATTTATCAAAAGATCATAGAAAAACATGATCTTAAGCAGAAACTTTTGAAGGAAGCTCGCTCATAGATTTCAAAAGGAGCAGACGATGAAACTTCCGGCGAATAGATTAACCAGAAACGACATCATTCGTTACCAGAACCCCCACCCCCACCCCCAGATGGGTCACTGAAGCCGCGGTTTGACTAGCTGCTCCGCACTTTGCGGCCCAGAAAGGCATTCAATTCGGTATCGGAGTTAGAATTAGCCTTTGAGACCTAAATTCCGTCGAACTAGATCAAGAAAAACAAGAACAGGATGGTCTCGAGGTAATTCTGATACGAAGAAAGCACCACCGATCGACAGGAATGACAAAAGGAAGACCCAGCTTGACAACAAGATCTCTTCATACACGGGTGCCCAGAAGGCCAGACTCAGGGCAGAGATCCTTAGATGAGCGGACCAGCTACGAGCTGGATCCGCCACCGACAGTACTCCCCGGCGGAAGAGGAACCAATAACAAACAGGACACGGCATCCTCGGAGGAACAGAGAGATGCTGGATCGAGGCGATACCTGTGGAGCACGGAGAAGCGGGTTGCACAGATTTCCCCTCCACCGCAACCCGCGGAGCGAGAAGGGATTGGACGCGGGGGGGTAGAGAGAGAGAGAGAAGGGGGGTGAAGGAGAGGAAGGGAGAGGAGGAGATCTCGCGGGTACGTGTAGTTCCTGCAGAGGATGCCCGGGTGGAGGGAAGAGAGAGAAGGAGAAGAAAATAGAACGGGTAGACGGTCGTCTTCCTTTCCTTGCAGCCAGGCCTCTCTCCTCCCCCTTCTCCTTCCCCGTCAAGTTTTTTCGCAGATTTATTTTCTAGAGATACCGTGAGAGAGAAAAATGACCGGACGTCGCCAACGGAGAGACAGAGACGGTGAGAAAATTTAGAGAGCATGGTTTATTTTTAGATTTTCATGTCCGGAGGAGGACAACTAGCGGCACAGAGTGGCATTTCTCGTAAATACGGAATCCCCGACCTCCTCCCGTCGTCGTCGCTCGTCAACGCAGCGATTGACGGCGATCCGCCTTCGAATCCCGGAGAAAGACGGCGCCTTGCAATGGTCTGAGAACCGCTCCCTCCGTCCTACTGTTCCGTCGGAGAAGGGGAAGAAACAAGGCGAGGGAGGACAGACTGTGAAGCGCCACCGTACCTCACCGTGGCGGGCTCCCGGGCCACGGGCTTCTCCCGCACGCCAGGTTGGACCCAAGAGTCCACCGTTCCCCCCGCCCCCCATGAGAGAGAGAGAGAGAGAGGAATAAATCAACAGGAAAATGGACCCACCAACCGTTCGACGTAATGCTTACGCTGGTGCGGACGCTCGTCCGGGGCCGGAACCATCCGACGTGGAAACCCATGCTTTCGGTGCCTCGCCACCACCCATCTCCGCGCTTTGACCGACGACGTCAAAAGCGGGCTATTCTCGAGTGTATTTTTGTTATATGGGTGGGTCGTTGATTTAGGGATCCAAATAAATGGGCTGACTTTTGACTTCTCCATTCGCCCCCTGGCGATCCCCCCCACCCACTTGTGCCGATGGGCCGACCCGCTCCGAGACAGACAGCGCGCCTCGGAAGCTCTCCCTCTTCTAGAGTTTTACATCTGGCGGCCGCTGGACCAGGCTGGCGTTCCGAGCGGAGTCTCGTCGGTGACCCGAATGCCAGAAGTCAACCCATTTCTTTGAATTTCGATCTCGAATCAGACAGACCCACGAGACGGATTCCAACGCTGACAAAAACTATGCTTTTGCTGTGGAAGGCGGACCGTGAGAACCGCGGCCTCGTCATCACCACCACTTTCTGGTGTCGAGCTGCCCACGAAACCCGTTGACCTCGGCATCTCCTGGGAGAAAACTACTCCAAGGAGTCGAATAGGCGGAAACATTCTCGTGGACTCGGCCCACCGCCGCCCGAGGTTTCTTACCGGATATGACCTGGCTGGTCCCACCGAGTCCCAAACGGCGGAGGTAATTCTCTTTAGGTCAGTGCCGGGCGGGTCAACAGGCCTGGCGCTCGAAGACCCAACCTCGGTCATACTGGACCTGCCTGCTAAGAGCGACCATTAACTCAACCTGAGGAGCTCCAAAGGTTGTCTTACCCGTTGAAAGGATAGAGAGAAGCGGAGGTCGTCACACGGGCCGCTGCTCTTCAGCGCACGCCGTGATAGACGCGCCCTACGCGGCTCGTTCAAGCAAAACCTTTAGGATCAATCGGAAGACACGCCTTCTGGTTCTGCACCAGAAACATAGGTTTTATGCATTAACTCACTGCTTCAAGGATGAGGATGAATGAACCCACTGGGCAGGAGCTACAGTGTAGGATTTACAGCGGCAGATAGTCCGGAGATGGCCCCTGGTTGGCTGCTTCAACTCTGTGGACTCTCGTCTTGGGGGAGCTGGTACACGGCCTCCAGGCACTCCTTGGCCCTGTGGACCTTCGACTGTAGGTAGAAACTCCCATTCTTCGCGTTCCTCTCGAACAAGTTATCGTACCTCTGCAAAGACCGGAAGTCAGAGCCATGCATGCCGCCGCCCACGAACTTCCTCAGAGAACCTCACCGATTATCAGGGTATGGAAGCGCAGGAACATAGAGGAGGGTCAGCGAGCCGGACCTTGAGAACGTCTTCCCAGGGAGTCTGCTCGGTGATGCCCAAGATCTGCCTGGCTTCTGCCTCCGTCATAGCTTTGCTGGCTCTGCGGATGTTCTGCACCGCCTCTTGGGCAACGCCACTTTTATTCGCATCTGCAGGAACAATAGGTTAGGGAGCCCCGGTGAGCCTCCGCATGCAAAAGCCACGAACAGACTTTACAGCAAGAAGGGACGCGAAGTCCTCGCCATGCCCAAAGAATCAAAAACATCGCAGGTGTGTGCTGGTTCTCATGTTACCCAGTATAACATGACAAAAAATGCTCCCGGAATGACTGAGGTGTTGCTGGAACATGACAGGACGATCCGGGGAGAAAAAAATATCAACCCACCGCAGCCATCAACAAGTTTACACCGTCAGGGGCTATGGATATCTGGAAAGGGCACTTTTACGCTATGTACGACAGACGGCCAACAGACCAAGCTCCAAGCCTTGGCGCTGCATCTAAAAGTTGAAAGCTGATCGTCACACAATGAAGCTAAGACGGCATGTCCAAAGACCCCCGAAGGTTTGAGTTCTGAGGAGGATTTGTAGATGACACGAACGCAAAATGACAACCTTCCCTGAAAATAACGGGTGGCTGAGCCTTTTTTTTTTCGTTTTCTTTTCAGAAAATCATTCAGTGCGGGATAAACACAGGCGAATCTGGAAGCAGACTCCAAGGGTCACGATTCTTAACCAGTACCTAAAATTCTCATGAAGATTCCCATCACGCTGGCTAGGCAAATTATGAGGATTAGCCCAAGAATCAGACTCCGACCATCGAAAATTTCAAGCTGAAATGACCGTAACCTTGCCAATAGGAAACATGGAATTGCCATCAGACTCAGCAAAAGCACATTCCCCTTATTATCAAACCTAAAACTCAAGTAAATTATTAAAGCACTAAAATAAGCTCCTCGTGGATTAAAAGAAGAATCTTCTAGCCGTACATTCTTCTCCCAGAACTAATAAAATTTTCAGTCTTCCAGCAAAGAAGAAGCTAAAGAACCAGCAATGTCATATTTCTTTCACTAAAAAAACATAGTTTCCTCCATAATCTTCCCACGAACAGATGATGGCCAAAACGCCTATAAACTGCAGAAACGCTAATCCATCCCCTCCTGTTTATGTCTCAGTCTGACACCTTATGCTACAATCCAGATTATCACTTACTTTGGAAGGTATCAGAAGAAACTTCTACACGGTCAAAATGCTCAACTACAGAACAAACCAGATCTCCCCTAACAAGGGACTTTGATGTAACTAATGCAACTTGATAGCTTATACCACAATTCATTAGAGTAGCATTCTAGCTATCACATTAAAACTTAAATGGCCGTGTTTCTCCTCATTCTCCTTCGAAAATCGTCAGCCTGGAATCCCTATTAGTTTTCACCTTCCTAATGCTCACAGGTGTTGCTTGTTCTCTGCAACAATCCAATTACATTACCAATGATTTAGTGACTAGTCTAATTCTACAGGTTTTAGTACAACCTTATTCCAACCTGTCTTGAACCAAATGTAGGTTGATTCCAGTGGAGCAAATTCTCATAGGAGTCGATCTGTAAATTCCAGTCAAATCTTTCGTATTTTTTAGTAGGCCTGAACTGGTTTCAGGCTTTCTTTCCTTGAAGTCAATAATATGGAAACGGCTGGCAAAGGGCATCATCATTCCATCTAACAATGGACTACAATTGACTACAAGGATGGTGCCAATGCATCATGCAGGCACAGTTTATGGAGAGAAGTCCACCGGATCTTCAGCCATAAATTTACGTTCTCTTTTCCAAGAAAGTTATTGTTATTGCTATCCACCTTACAAAAATCAATCCCTTATTTTAACTTGTAATGCACGGTTATATCCAACTGATCTGTTTCCAGACAAATCCCTAAACAGATAATTTCTGAGTTTTGCCAAAAAAAAATTTGATCTCCATGATACAACTTTTTTTCACAAACCCCAATCCAAAGCATGACAATGTATTGACTACTTTTTCTAGCCTCAGTACATGAAGACACATAATGAACTCACATAAGAATGTTAATACCAAGAAAGGCTTCAAAGAAATAATATGTTGAGAAATGAAGAAACTTTTTAGCAATCGTTCAATACATGATCATCATCATCATGTCGACATCTTCTTGCCCGTGAAGGCCACGTGTCGCCCACCCGTGGAAAATTAGCGAGGTAACTCACCACTGGGTCAGGTACATCCGTTTGCTTACACATGACCCATGGGACCCCGGTCTCAAGCCCCACGGCCAAAGGTGCTCTGACCTAAATGGACCAACTAAAGAATTAATAGTGCTTCAAACAACAATTCGAAGGAAGGGTAATGGCAACTTCCCCCTCAAGGCTTGTTCCGGGGGAACTCCACAGAATGCAGCACCATCAATGGAACCTAAACTGATCTTAAATTATCAAGTTTGCACCTAAATGAATTGTAAAAGAGAACTGGATAAGATGGGTGTACAGATAGATGGGGCATTTCTCAGTTGTTTAGGTTACATGTAATTTTCTTTCTGCAAACACCAACTGGTGCTTTCTGCATGTCCTCTCCTTTTTTTAATTTATTTATTTTCTTAGGAATGTCGTCTCCTTGTGAATATCTCCATGGATGATTTTTGGGATATACACAAATCGATTTAATGGTTGCATATGACTATTTCTCCTGTTCATCACACAGAAGTTTTGCTTTTCTTTCTGCTGGGATGATCATCATATCACCTGTTTTCTCCCCGAGATTGATCATTATATCAGTTGCTGAAGGAAAAGAGAGTGAAAAAGACAGAGAATTACTGTCGAGTGCTTTTTTGTAAGCTTGAATAACAGCTCTTCCCAGGATTGAGGAGCCCATTACAATCAAATTCGCAAGTATCTTTGCTGCCTGCACAAAACAGAGGGTGTGACAAAAACACGGTTAAGAGGGGCATGGAATTCCCTTAACGTGAAAGAAGAAAAATAACCAAGTAGCAGATATGAATGTAGAAAATATATGGCAGTCAATATATAAAACAAGCACACCAATTTGGCTCCATGTTGGTCGTTCTCTGACGACGAAGCACCATAAGGAAAATTACCGTCAGGCCATAAAGCTCAATCGAAGAAAAGCAATTACTCATTACCTTCAGACCAATTTCTCTCTGTTTTTGAAATGACAGGGGATATGATCAAGAGAATCAAATTAACGGAGCATACAAAGCAAACCCCATGTGAAGGTAACGTCAGATCATACTCCTAACTAGAGGTGTTCAAATCAGAACATGAAGGGCTGGCCTCTCTTGATACTGAAAATTACTAGAGCATAATATGAGCCCTTAACCTAGTGATCAATGGATGTTCTAACTTTTGCCAATTTGAACACAAAAATCTTGCTACTCTAAGAAGAAACATTCAAATTTTAATCAAAAAAAGTCCTTGTGACATAATTCTGACGCCGGAAAAACCAACTAAAATTGGTCGCGCTGAGCAATCAATTTGGTGGCACCAGAGTCTCATGTAACTACTAAGAGTTAAAATAATATCAAGAACGGAACCATGTTATTTTATCATCCTAATGATTTTGTTTTTTTTTACACTTCTACATCAGTGAATACAACTTTCTTCTCTCATGTAGGATAAGAAAAAAATCATGCAAAGTTACATCTAATTACATTTTTTCCCACCCTCCCCCTCCCCCCCCCCGGGAAACCCTTTGGCAATGAAAATCCGAATCTCTTACCCTGAATACCCCACTAAACCTTCCGAGCTGCCGATAAAACACTGCAACAAGAGAAAACACATCTGGGCTTTTTTGAAAAATGATCCCGCCAAAACATATCCTGAGAGTGTAAACACGACATAGGTTTGAGTCCGATCCAAGGAAAGATTGCCGGTAGGGATTGGGCACAATAGTCAGCCAATCGGAAATCCCATCACCTCTTTTCAACGATCCTCGTCCTAACGATTCACAATGAATCGGAAGAAACAACGGAACTCGATCGACGCAATTCAATAGTGGCACCATCTAAACACTGCATTCCCGAAATTGACAGCCAACCCAGAAGAACAATACGACGCGCATGCCGCCTAGGCGTAGGCGTGCACACGGGGGAGGGAGCAAAGAAGAAACGTACCATGGTTCCTTTTCAGGCGCACAGAACGCAGTGAGGCCTACGAGAGAGAGAGAGAGAGAGAAACGGGTTCTGCTGGGGATCAATCAATCTTCTCAGAAAGCGAGACTCTCTTAGAGGAGGGATTCTGCCACGGGAAGAGAAGGACGCGTGGAAGATTCGAGAGAGGATACGCCGACGAATAAACAGCCCGAGATGGTTCTAGGGGCACCGGGGAAAACCTACTTTCTCTATGTCTTTCTGGATTGAGCAGAACATAAATAATTGGCAAGGGGGGAAGCCCACAATATCAAACATGCGAAGGATCTTTACGTGATTTTCACCGTACAGAACAAGCAATCTGTATGCCCAGGTTTGAAGGTCAAATATAACACTGCGGTCTCCTATGGAAAGTTCGTACTAATCGTTTTAAATAATTATTCATTACATGAAATTTATCGACTATGGTGGAGCCAGATCAGATCGTTCAACTCCCCCGGTAGAGTGGCGTCTCTGAATGAAGGGTGATAGATAACTCGTGTGCAATCCGAAATGCAGGTCAACGCGAGGACTTGCTAACAAGCGCCGTAAAGATTGCCCCGAACAGCTGCCCAACACGATGGACTATCGACGACTTAACGCGTTCTTTCCCCACAAGTATTTTGTTTGCGGATCACTCCACGACCCACCCACCCTCCCCTCGCTGATGCAATTTCTTAGGATATCTGCTACGTCCATCTTTCTAATCACCCGCGAAGAAGCAGAGGGATTCATCATACACAATAAGTACGAGCTACGCAGCTTAACTATGCACCGCGGGGTCAGCGCCCGCAAGACCCGTTGGTCTTCCAAAAGTTTGGCCCCGCGATATAATCGTGGCTGAGAGAGGGGAGGGGAGGAGTGATGTACAGCGGAGGTTTTCTGTGGTCGTTTTCTATACAGAGGAAGAGAACCTTGAACTGTGGGTCGCTTCTTATTTTACTAATGGCGTGTCCCTCGCGACCTCGGAAAATGGCGCTGCTGCTGCTGCCGCCGCCGTCGCTCTGCGCCCATTTCGCCGGCACTTTCTTCGCCCGGGTAGACGAGAGGGGGCTCCTCCGGCCAGCAGACAGCTCCCTTCACCTGGAGATCTCTAGTTTGGAAGCGGGATAGCCAAGCTGCTCCATCTCCCAGTTGAGCTTCGGCGCGACTCTCTCATGGCGAGGGAAGTACTCCTGCGGACGGCAAGACAGCGTCATTCATTCCCCCGCCAGATAAGGCTCCGACGAGCGGGGGTAAGCAATCGCGTACCTCGAGTTTCTTGACCAGCTCCTTGGCCGTCGGGGCCGACACGATGATGTGGCGGGCGCTCGGGCTGATGAAACCCTCCTCCACGGCCTGGTCGATGAAGGTCAGCAGGGAGTTGTAGTAGCCGTCCACGTTCAGCAGCCCCACCTGGAGGCCTCGGTGAAGACAACCCCGGTAAGACCACAGATACAAATGCCAACAACAGCGTCTGCGCAAAGGGCTTCTGGCTTCCGACACGCCGGAAGAGAAGGGGCTGCTTGCGTACCGGCTTGTCGTGAATGCCGAGCTGAGCCCAGGTGATCACCTCCAGCAGCTCTTCAAGCGTCCCGTAGCCTCCTGAAACGAGGTGGTATCGCAGCTCGTGAGTGACAACGGAACCACACCCGCGGACGCCATCCGCGTCGGTTGATTCCGCCCCACTGTTCGTCGGGAGGAGTTCGGGTTTGCAGCAGAGTAAACGTTCTCGGACGGGAAGAGCAGTCGTCTTTTGCGCTTTAAAGGGTAAGTAGGGCGCGGCGGACTATCAGAAAAGAGGAGCAGAGGAGGGGCTGCTGCCCGGTCGTCCTCCACGTTCAGACGAGGAGGGGGTGGAGGACGAATCTCGGAGAATCTTCTACTTTTCCGGACTGGGTCTGTCCGGACGAGGGGGCAGAGTCGTCGGGTCGACGTCCGTGAATCCCTTTCGGTTTCGCCCTCTCCTTTCCTACCGGCTAAATTTGTCGTGCAGCATGACCACCGCAGACGTGCCGTAGACCGCGGCCTTGTATTCCACGAAATACGGGAAAAGCCTCCGAAGCCAAGTCGACCCGCCCTCTTTACCTCCAGGGACTGTTGCTACCGGCGGACGAGGCCCTCCATTGGGACTAACGAGATGACTGCCGGCTCAGTCTGTGTAGATGTTGAGAGGTGCAGATGTTGGAGGAACTCACCGGGCAGTGCAATGAAGGCGTCGGACTGCCGGGCCATCTCTGCCTTCCTCTGGTGCATATCAGCGACCGCCTTCACCTCTCCGACAGTTTCCCCAGTAATCTGCATTTGAAAAACCCACCAGTTCACACAGCAACAACACCAGCCGCTTATCAGTGCACCTTCAAGTCACCACTTTCTGGCCGCCGAGGACCGAGGGGTGGCGTACGAGATAGAGAAAGAGAGAGAGAGAGAGAGAGAACAGGGAGTCTACGAGGTGCTCTTCCATAAGGGGGCTAACGAACAGCACAGGGCAATAAAGGAAGATAGAGAGGAAGGGCTGCTCCGGGAAGTAAATCCCTCCTCCCTTCCGACAAGCAGCCATTTGTACCCCTCTCCGGGATTTCTGGTAGGAGTAGGCGAAGGAGAAATAACGAAGAACGCGCCAGCGGGAAGTACTTCGATTGTCATTCTCGAAAGAATATTTTAAGAGCTATGTTTTTTCAAGGAGAAGAACAGCAGGTGTGGTTCGTACCTCTCGAGGCATGAGCGTCTTAGGAATAACCCTGAGAATCAGACATAGACATGCAAGGAGTGAGCAGGTAGACGAAGAGGAAGGAAGGAGACGACGACATGCTATGAAATTGGAGGCTTACCCGATGACATGCCTTCCACCGTCGTAGACTGCCTGGGAGACCAGCCCCATCAGGCCCACGCTCCCCCCACCATAGACCAAATCAATGTTCCTCGCCACCTGCGATCCACATCGAAGGCACCCGTTTTAAGGTCAGCTACGATGTAGAAAGGACCAAGAACATGTCACCCTCTCCCGAGGACGAATTACGCATCCAACTCTGCGTTTTCGGGATCAAGCAATCGCAGTTAAAAAAAAAAAGAGGGGGGTTGGCGATCGGATGAACAGTCGATTTAGACGCCCCACAGTTGGAAGAGACGGGGTGCATTCCTACAGAAAACTCACTCCGCACGCGCACACTAGAAGGGACAGAGCGGCAGAGTTGGCGGCAGGAACGGGGAGAACGCTTTACTTGGTGGCTCCCTCTTCTGGGGACACTGAGCGCGCAAGGGAAGGCGATGGGGCCGCCGGTTGTTCAGGGCACTAAAAGCACAAGTGAAGGAAGAGGAGCGGGGTTGGGAGAGGATAGGGGAGATGGTAAAATGGATAGGTTCCAACGGCAGCCGCCGGCTCGGGCACCCTCTGCTACGTCCGAGATGAGTGGGCTTGTACAAAGAATCTTGCTACAAGTTCATGGGCACATTTGCTCGGGCCGGCGCAGGCGGCCATCCGGCCATCCGCAAGCGAAAATGTAGGGGGGAAACAGAGATGGCCACGCGGGGGAAGGGGGGAGAGAGAGAGAGAGAGATGCGGAGAAAGTGGAGACGATACCGGAACAGTTGAATGCACGGGAATCCGAGGAGAAGAATTTAGGTGGGGCAGAGAAGGGAAACAAGCAGGGCCGGCCATGGAACCAGCGAGTCCAACAGGAACTCGGAATCCCGAACAGAAGAGGGCAGGAACAAGAACCAGATCAGTAAGCAAGGTGTGAAAAGCTAGAGCCGGAATCTTTCCCGATCGAGACTGATGAACAGTCTTCTCTTCGTGTTGCAACGCATCACAAGAACCGAGCAACATCGCGGTGCAGGCGCCAACGATAGAACAACCACTCGCGCGCGCGACAGAGAGAGAGAGAGAGGGAGAGAAAGAGAGAGAGAACAGGAGGGAAACGCAGAAAGAGACGGAGGAGCAGAGGGCCCCATCCGGCATTCTCACCAGCTCCTTCCCGAGCTCCACCGCGGCATCCTGGTAGCTCCTCTTCTTGCCCTGGCTGCTCCCGCAGAAGACGCAGATCCTCTTGAATTTGGAGAGGCTCATCTCCCCCTCGCTCCCCATCGCCCCTCCCAGCTTCCCTTAAGACGACGGACGGCGGCGAGGACGTCAGAAGAAGCCAGAGATATCAACCCCGACGACCACCTTTGCTCCCACAGCGGAGTATATAAAATGGCCGGGCATTCGAGGCGTCCCCGGCTCGCACACGCGCAGAGGGCGCGCACTCGTGTAGGCACACACAGACCGCACCCACCAATGCCCCCCCCCCCCCCCCCCCCCCCCCCCCCCCCCCCCCCCCCCCCCCAAACACACACACACACACATGGGGTACAATCTGCAACTCCGAAATAAATGCCCATCATGGCATCTCAGTTCCCCCCCGACTGTCGACCAGAGCCCCCCCCTTTCCTCTTCCGGGCCGGCCTCCGCCCCTCCGGGGAGGTTGGCCGCCACTGTTTCCCGTTAAGTGCTTGCTCTTCGCGGAACCATCCCTCCCCCCTCCGCCGCAGACTTAATGCCACGAGGCAGCGCACAGCTCACGCAAGGAGCGTCTCCGCGAGACGAGAAACGGAGCCCCGCCGCCGGCTGATCTCCGACGAAGGAGGCCACCCTTGCTCGCTGATTAGTCCCATTAGCAGCCGCAATGTAACTCGTGAGAGGAAGAGGAAGAGGAGTGGTGGGTTAGGGGTCCTCTCTCAAGGAGAAGGAACCGTCCAAAGATGAAGGTCGTAACATCTCCAGCTTGCATTCATCCAGGAATCCCCCGTGGTCCCTCGACTTACGTTCGATGCCAGCAAGTTTCAGCCGCGTGTTTCTCTTCGGCGTGGCCAAGATCGAGCACGCCGGGACACCATGCACAGCGGCCTAACGCAATAAACAAAAATAATCATTGGCATAGATTAATCACACGCACCCAGGTAATCAACCACGGGCTTTCCACGATAAGAGGGGGAGAGAGAGAGAGAGAGAGACGGCGGCGTGGCAGTCGTTCCCGCTCTGCTTTCTCTCGCTGGGTATGATGGTAGTAGCCTCTTAATGGTGGGGATCAGAAGTGAGCGCATTTATTTATTTATGTATTTGTTTATTTTTCCTCTGAATGGGGAGGAGCCCCTGCGGCTCATAGCACGCATCTGGGGAGATCCCCCCCCCCGAGAAACATAAGTGGTTAAAAACTCCATTTTAACGCTTCCCCAAATACCTACTCCCCGCCGTCCCACCCTGACCATGCAGGCGCCTGGACGGGCAGAGCTCTCTCTCTCGCCTCTCTCTCTCTCTCTCGATACATATATATCTCTATATATATTCCATACACAGAAGATAGGGGAATGGTGCTCGGCTCCAGAGAGAAGCACAAGAGGAGAGAGAGAAAGATAAACGTAAGAGAGGGGGATGGGGGGCAAGCCAGGGGTGTGTGTGTGCTGTAAAACCTTTCTACCGCTCCTCCGACGTAGAGTGCCCGGCCAGGAGGACGGGCTTGGCACAGAGTAAGAGAAGAGTGACCCCGACAACCCTGCCGGTTAGAGTATCCCTCCCTTCAGTGAACAGTAGCACATTCAGCAACAGCGCCCATCCATGCACCACCCAGCACCGCTCGCCATTAAGCATTCTCTCCCTCCGCTCCATCCATTCCTGTGCGTGCGACGTTACCACCTCTTGCCGACCTTGACGCAGGCCGGCCTTTTTTCTAAAATGTTCGGCGAGCTCCTGAACGTCCTCCGTCGTTGAGAATAATATACAGGCCAGTGCATGCAGGGGCACAAGTGTCCTTTCGAGAGGAGGGGAGAACCGAGTCACGCGCCTTTTTCATGTGAGAGAATGAATCTACGAACAAGCAGATGATGTAGGGGCCCGAACACCTATTGTCGAAGGGGAGAAGGAGAGAGGAACTGAACTGGCTTCACCTTGTCCGAAAGAGAGAGGTCGCAACTCCCCACATGGGCACCTGGCCAGCTCCTCCCTTGATGTTCCGTCTGCGTCAAACACAGTTCTCAAGCGAGTACACCGGTAGAGAGGAACGACCTCCTCAATGCCCCCCACCCTCCCCCCTTCTCTATATATCTACGCAGCGTCACCGGCCTAGAAGTTGGCAGCGTTTCTTCTTCGCAGCCTCGCATGATGAGATCCCATTCAATGTTCTTCGGGTGTTACATTAAACGCTCACGAGAAGAATAGGCGACCCTAGCCCCCGTCCGCCTCCTGACGACACCCCCTGCCGCACTCCCTCTGGGAAGAGCTGTTCCTGGCTCCTCCATTCCTGTGATCTGTAGTTTCACCAAGAAACAGCAGGGGTGGGTCTAAGAGAGAGAGAGGGAGAGAGAAAGAGGTGGTCCCGGAGTTTCGTCGGAGGCCATTACTCTTAGGTTCTTCGCTCACTGTCTAGGCCTCGGCACGCACAGTAAGTAGTCCGGTCTGATGCAGCGGCCGCCCTGATTAGTACTACTACTGGTACTACTGATCGGCGGCGGCGCTCCAAAATAAATGAAGAGGAAACATGTGCGCGCGTCATTCTCTGCCGCAAAACATGCGGCCTCGATGACCGCGGATGACGGGCGTAGCCCACGCCAATACGTCACCCTCCCGACATCACACGCGACATACCTTCGTGCGCCCCTCGACTTCCCCGCCCCCCCGATCTCTCTCTCTTAGTGCGGTCCACTCGTCGCGCCTCCGAGACCCAGGGGAGAGGAGAAGGGGTTAGGGGTTGACGCGCCGCCCTCGTGCACCAGAAGGTACGCTCCGTCCCGCACTCTCGCAAATCTCCAACGGGGCCTGTGAATCAGACAAAAGCCACGATCTTCCTCTGACTTGGGTCGGAAGGTAGGCTCCGCCTCCGGCCGCCGGCGCCGGCGCGCAGAGAGGCGGAAAATTCCGAGCGGAAAGCACCGGAGTAGCGGGGAGTGGGAGCTCTCCGAACTTGAATGCTTCTGCAAAAAGACGCATTCAAGTCGATCTATTACGACCAGCGCGGTTGTTCGTATTTCATCTTTTTCTTCCAAGCGAAACCCTTCTTAGAAAAGAAAGCACTCACTGAATGACTTACGGAGTCTCAAATCTCTGTTGACGCCGAGAATTATTTATGTGTCCGGGTATCCGGAGGAGCCGGTAAATGGGCAGGCGATGAAGGTGCTTGCATGCGCCCGACAAACTCATGAGAGCGAGCTTCGGTGCCCCATCGCCGTCGTGCCCCCTCCCCCTCCCTCTCGACGTCCTCACCGCTGTTGGAAGTGCGACCACCCCCCCTCCTCTCCCACTTCTCTCATCTTTTGATTCGTAGGTAGCTTCTTAGGCTGCCATCATGCTCGATCCCGGTCGCCCCCTACTCCTGCGGTGGCGTGTGGGAGCGGCCATGGTTGACGATCGTTCCGAGACAGTTCCGATGGACTCCCTCCTCGGCCGCGTAATTTCATCTGCCGTTGACGTGTGTCCGACGTTGCTTTGCTCGCCCGATATTGACTAAGCCTGCCTGATTAACTCGTCCAGCTAGTTGCCTGCCATGTCTAGATGACTAACGCCCGGTGGGCCGCACGTGCACAGCAGGCAGCGTCCTCCTCTTCCGGGCGAGGGTCGGGGGAACGGGTGGCCCTCCCAAGTGCTCGTTGACTCCCCCCCGTTGGGTTTACGTGGGCTCTCTTGTCGACGCCGACCCGTCTCTGGCCCTGCCGGCCACTCCCGGCCCTCTCGATCCTCTCGATCCTCCCGATTCTCCCCCACCCCGCGGGGCGACGTGACCTGCCTGCGGCTTGGCCTCTCTCTCTCTCTCTCTCTCTCATTCTCTCTGCAGCGTAGTTGGACGTGAGTCGGACTGGTGATCGGTCCTCGTGCGCTTTCGAACTCGTCGGAAGAAGGCGAGGACTGCGGAGCGCCGGTAGTGGGGTCTACGTGTGTTAGTTGCACTATTCGGGCCCATAAAGAGAGTCCTCCATTAGCCGACTCTTTGCCAGAGCTGTCCTCAATGGGCCGCAGAGTAGCCGACGAGTTTCCGCCTTCCGGCTAAGGCATCCGCGGGCCTGATTTGGGTACCGAGTGGCCCATCTCAGCCCAACCCAGTCCGGCCCGTCGGCGCCTCTCCCTTTTGCAGACAACGCCCCGGAAATACCCCACATATATACCTAGTACCGAAGGTCTCTCTAAATCTGTGCAAACGCTCCGTTGCATACCTCAATTTAATAATCAGTAAACTTTCGACGGTGATGTTGATCGAGCAAACGAGCGAAGAAGACGGAGATCTGCCGACGCCGCAGCAGCAGCCGCCATCGGATTAGGGTGGCCAGCGCCGTTCATTCCGTATCCTGGACGATCCGGGTGTTCAGTGGTCAACGGGAGAGATCGGCGTCGCTGTCGCCGTTCGTGGCAGCGTTCGAAATTCTGACTATTCTTCGGGCGCCTTCAGCCATTTGCTTTGGTTCTTGTTTCTTGCCCACGCGAAGGGCCCCTTCTCCAGCCGTCGCCGTCTCCGCCTCGCCGCGTGCAGCCATCTCCGGGCGTCGAGGTCTGCACATCTGTTTAATCTTTATGCTAATCAGAGCCTTCGTACGCCATCGGGCTCCGTCCGTCCTGAGGGAGGAAGACCTTCCGGAGAAGATCGGCATCCGGACAGCGTGAGGGGAGAGAGCGAGGATGCACTTGTGGCCGTCGACGGTACTCCGAGACTCTTTCAAATTGGCCCACCTGCGCCAACTCGATTGGAACCTCCGCCGCATGAGTTTCGAAGAAAGCCGGGGAACAGCGGCCCACGGCGCCGACGAGGGCGGCGTTCCTCTCCTATCCAAAGAGGACTCCGATCGCCAGCCTTCCCAGCTCGTGGGGCTATGCCGGGGAATCCTCTTTCTCTTCGTCTACTGCTGCAGCTGCAGCTGCAGCTGCTGCGGAGGTCAGCTGCTCTTCCAAGTTCTTTTCTCCGCAATATTTCTCCCTCCAGCACCATCCGTGATCACAAGAAGAAAAATAGAACCATTCCCCTTAACCATAATAGTTGATGCTTTCCGATTGGTTATTTCCGCGCATCTCGAGAGGGGAAGGCTCTCTTCTCTGAGTTATTTCCGCGCATCTCTGCCTTGTTTTGGTCTCCCCCCTAAGCCAACACCCGGCCGCATAAAAAGGCAGCAAAACCTCCGATTTCGAGGGATCATATTTATATTTTTTAAAAAATAATATTTTCAGCCCGTAAATCACTTCCGCACCCAGCCTCTCTGAGAAGGTATAGCATCACCGGGCGAGATCCCGGTCGTCAGTCCTTGGACGCTGCTCTGCGTGGCCAATCCTCCGATTTCGAGGATCAGTTCTCGAGCATTCGAGGATCGCTTCAGTTTGAGCCTTGATCCGTTCTCCCCTCGTTTGTTTGGTCCTGAAACTGCTGACTTCTTCCCGCAATAATCTCCGTGTAGTGGGTCATACGTATGGCATTCAATCTCTCGGTCCATTGATTTCAGCATGTGCCGACGACGACGATAGGTGAAAAGCCCGCGCCGGTCCTTGGAGTACGGGTCAATCCTGCTGCCGCTGACCAGATTCAAAGAGGAAGAGGCTCCGGCCCGATTTTGATCCCCGGGTAGATTATCCACTGTGTAACCTTTTCTGGCTTCAAGTAGATTTCCATGGGGTCAACTTTAGAGGGCAGTCCCACAAATTTCACGTGTTTTCAAACCCACTAATTTTCATGCAGGACGCAAGCTTCTGAGATGTTTTGGTAGTTTTCTCCGAGCTAGGAGATGAGCAGCATCCCTGTCGGCGCTCGTGTCTCAACACTTCCACTCACAGAGTCAGTGTCTTCTTCCGGGGAACTCATAAATCTGGTGCAAGTCCGCGATGACATCAGTGAATTACAGAGAGTGCCGGCACTGTTTACGCAGAGCCTGTGAATTATCGAGGTAGATGACTCACAAGGTCTACGATTTGGGGCTTGAGACTGGATGAAATCAACGGATGGGCTGAGCTATGTATGTGGCAGAATTGATGCTCGGAAGGGGGGGGGGTGTCGGTTTTGTAGATGGGGGAGAAAAGGAATGGGACGGGGGACTACCTGTTTAGAAAATTACCTTCAACTGCTCAATGCCGCGAGAAGAAAAATATCCTCTCTTTTGCTGATCTTGCCCTGGCCAAGAACGCAAAGCATTTTCTTTCCGTACTTCTGGGGGGTGGGGCGGGAGGCTACGGGTCTGCTGTCCTCTAAGCTAGATGGCCACCCCAGCGCCGAGACGAGTGAATAGGAGGGCAAGAACGTAAGCGAGCCAGGCTGTCCGCGTCGTTGTATTATGCGGGACCCTAATCAGTCAGTCCCTTGTCCGAAGGTCAGATGAGAGCTGTGTTTTGCTGCGGATAAAGGATTCCTGTGTCTGCGGAGAACTGGGGGTAGGCAGGAGAGACAGGCGGTGGGCGAGCTTGTCGTCATAGGAAAGAGGAAGGGTGATCAGTGTGATGGGAGAGGGGGGGGGTTGTGAGGCCTACAGGAGAAACATGGTTCCATCCTGCGATTACCGCTCTGATCTGATTCTGATTCATAGCCGTCTGCACGGCACACAGCTTCGATGCAGCTCCTGTCCGAGCATGATCTGCCTGCCCTTCTTCCTGCCTGACAATCCAGAGGTTCCACGGTGAATACTGCACTGTGGGGATGCTGTTGGCCTTGTCCGCGTGGAGAGGGAGGGGACCGCCGGTGTTGGAACTGGAGCCAAGTTGGGCGGGAGGAGCTGAGGACAGGAGGAAAGAGGTAAGATCTTGTCTGCCTTGTCAACTAGCCAGTGAAAGTTAGCCGACCTACCCCTCCGCGATGTGATCTGACGGTGAGTCAGATGACAGCTGAGAACCAGGTGTACAAGTGTGGTAGTCGGCCTTCTCCCATGGTTGCCAATTTGAGCGGAGGTAGGTTGATGGTCGCTGAACCGTCGGATGGACCAGTTGAATATTGAGGATATTAATGAACCTGGATAAAAAAACTGGTGGAGGGCGAGTTAATGCCTCTCCGTCCCCATGGAAGGCGACACTGGCGTCCTCGGAGTAACCTGTCTGCTGCTACAGTAGTTGCTAGCTGGCCTTAATTGTGGTACCACCCCTAACGTCCCTTAGTCCTCCTGCGTCGGGTCTCCCACTTGGTGGGCGTCAACGGAAGGTGAGGAGGAAGAGAGATGGAGCCGGCCGCCTCCCCTTCCTCCATTCCAGCGACGTGAGGGTCTTCACGGGCCCCCTCTCGCGCATCATAATTGGAGGGGAGAGAGAGAGAGGAGGGAGGAGGTCATACGATAGGTGCCGTTTTAACTTCCTTGCCCCCCCCTCCCTCTCTCTCTCTCTCTCTCGCATATGTCAGAAGAGTGACGACTCATGTTGATCACCTTCCCCGAACGGGAGAAAGAGAGTTATAAAGGTTGTCAAGCACCCACCCACCCTCTCCGGAAAGAAGAAACCCAGAGAGAGAAAAGGAATGGCGCGCCACCCGGTAGCAGAGGCCGACGAGAAGAGTCCCTTCGGCGCGCTGACGCCGGAGGAGTTCTACGCGAGGCATGGGGTTACCCACTCGAGCTCCATGTACCAGAATCCCCGCGGCCTGAACATTTTCAACCAGTCCTGGACCCCCGTCGGCCGCGATCCCGTCGGCATCCTCTGCGTCATCCATGGGTTCACCGGAGAATCCAACTGGCTCATCCTGCTCACCTCCGTCTTCTTCGCCGAACACGGCGGCTTCGCCGTCTGCGCCCTCGACCACCAGGGCCACGGCTTCTCCGATGGTCTCCCAGCCCACGTTCCGGACATAAATCCTGTCGTCGACGACTGTCTGGCGGTTTTCGACGCCTTCCGCGCGCGTTTCCCCGCGTCCCTTCCCTGTTTCCTCTACGCCGAGTCCCTCGGCGGGGCCATCGCCATCCTCATCCACCTCCGCAGCAAATTGGGAGGCGAGGGACCGGCCAGGCGCTGGGACGGAGCTATCCTCAACGGCGCCATGTGCGCCGTCAGCGACAAGTTCAAGCCGCCGTGGCCGCTGGAGAACCTGCTCTGGCTCGCCGCTAGGCTGTTGCCGACATGGCAGGTTGTTCCCACGCGGGGCACCATCCCGGGGGTCTCGTTCAAGGTCGAGTGGAAGCGGAAGCTAGCGATCGCCAGCCCGCGGCGCCCGATGGGCCGGCCGAGGGCCGCGACGGCGCTGGAGCTGCTTCGCGTGTGCCGGGAGCTCCAGAGGCGTTTCGAGGAGGTAACCCTGCCGCTGCTTATTTCGCACGGCTCCGAGGACAGGGTCTGCGATCCCGCCGGCGTCGAGGAGCTGTACCGCCGCGCGAGCAGTCAGGACAAGACTCTCCGCATGCACAGCGGCATGTGGCACCAGCTTATCGGCGAGCCGGAGGAGAACGTTGAGCTAGTGTTCGGAGAAATGCTGGACTGGCTGCGAACCCGTGTGGAGGGGGCGAGTTCGGTCGAAGCCAGCGCCAACCATTGACGGATGCGCGCGCTGGAACTTCCAGGGTTTCCACCTCACCAATCTCTCTCACCCGCGTTGACGCCCATCCGGCATGCCGGCCATCGTTCTCACCCTTGTCCTCTGTTGTTCATCATCTCTGTGTCCTCGGGGAAACCCTGCTGCATCTTTGTTCAAAAAGTTTCCTTTCTTCTTCTCTTTTGGCGGCCGTGTGTTCGCGGGTCCATCAGAATGAACTCGTTTTTTCTTGGCCCTCCCTGTCTGGAGAGGACGATGGTCGTGCTGGTGATGTTCTTCACAATTCGATGATCCCGGAAGGCTGGCGTCCGGGATTTAGGTTCGAAAGGATGTCGCCGTCGAATTACCCGACGTGGTCGTTGATGTCCATCTAAAAGACAACAAACGAAAACGAAGTTTCTGGTATTCCCAGGACACCTTCAGAAGCAGTGGCCAATCAGACCCTACGACGACGACGACCAATCCTCGAAGGAGCGGGCCATCGGCAGTAATGGGAACAGCAATGAAGATAGAGAGAGAGAGAGAGCTGACGAGCCCTCGCACTATGAATGAAGTGACAAGTCGTGTATAAGATTGGCGCACGTTTCAAATTTCCTCAGGAAGCAACCACATGGGGGACCATTCTGTCTAAGAACGCGAGAAGCACTAAAAACGGGATCATCCAGTCTGGTGCCCGGCCACACTTAAAAGTTTTATCGCACATCTCGCTCGCAGTAACAACGAAAAAAAGTAAAAAATTGCATTCATTCGTGAAGATCAGCAACCAGGCACCCGGGGCTGCGCCGCGGTGCCCTCACCACCCGCGGGAGCTGAGGGCTGCAATTAATGGAGCCAACGACCTATCGACTGCCTTGTTCCACAGATTCACCATGTCAACGTCGAGTTTTTTCCTGCTCAGAAGCGGGTTCGGCTGCAAGACAGACGGTCAATTTGCAAGGAGTCAGGGTCCCGCGTCAAAGACCGATAACGGAATTGGCAATTTTATAGATGCAGAAGGGAATAAAATACCGGAAGAAAGCCTCGCTAAGCCATTTGGGCTACCGATAAACAATCTGACGAAATCCAGACAACGGCAACGAGGAAGCGGGAGAAGTTCTAAGCATATTTTCTGCAAGCCACAGAATGTAGCCTTCCGAGAGAACTGGTTTCATCAGTTCATCAGCCAGTCTCCCCACCCCCCCTCCCCCCCCCCTCATTTTCTCAACTGTACTGTACAATAAGACTGGAGATCAGCCTTTCCTGAAAAACCCATAACCAAATCCATTGTGACTGAAGAAAATAAGCACCATGATGTGCTTTGAGAAAGAAACAGAGACCACAGATAAGCCCTTCGACAAAACTATAACGGCCAATGTCTATGGGCACAAGTTCGCCACTTCGTGCCTCTCCAGATTTTTTGTCACTCTGACTCCCAAAGTTTCCTTTCACGAGTATTCGCCTTATATTTCTGGGAACTGTCCTCTTGGGAGATCACCCTAGGAAATATGTACATCAATGCTGACTGCGCCACTGGGGAAGAATGCCTATGCAGCTCGACCACTAGGACCTCTCTTTCACTTCTTCACCAAAGAGTAGTCCCACAGAAAGTGTCCCTGCACTGACCTGCACAAGACCCGGGACAGGTGCCGAGAAAGAAGGCCTGAAATTGACCATCCCATATATTATTAACGAAATTTCACGTTAATAATATGCATATATGCATATCCAGGGTTACAATTCCTACACTGTAATCTGGGGTGCGCCAGATTAGACAAAAGATCCCGCCTGGGTCAACCCCCAAGGTAATGCAAAATGGCAGGCCAACATAAAATTTCCAACAGCTGACTGCCCAAGAGAGCCTTTTAAAGCCAGCTTTCATCCGGACAACTACCATCTTGGGCACATAAATTTCACCTCGAACGATTATTGGAGTGACTTCAAATATTTTTCAGGAATTCCCAAAGAATGAGGGTGAAGAGGCAAGAAGTCTGATATAGTTGGGTGCATATCATGAATCAGGTCAGCTGACCAAAAACAAAAAAACTGTATCATCCATCAATTCTCACGACAAATTCCGGAAATATACCAGTACTAGTCGATTAACTTGCAAATTCGTCACCTCAAGAAACACATTTATATGCATAGAAATATTGAAAGGCTGCATGACAAACAACTAGACCCTTTGAAATAGAAAAATAACATGTTCCAGCAGATATTCAGACTGCCGATCATCTGAAATATTCCATCTCGCGACAGTGGAACGAGTTTTCCACGCTTTAGTTCCTAGAAAAAATGTATAGAGAATGGCAGAGAATCTACCATAAAATGATTCACAACATCAGATAAGGTCGGTCAGGAGGAAGTCTGACAAAAGCATCAATACTGATCCATACATAAAACGTGCCTCTGAACTAAACGAAGACGAGTGCACTCAAGAGTCCCAGTTGAGGAATCTGCTATCATCCCACATTGGTCTTGTTGTGGATTTCACATGTAAGTTTAATTTCATTAGATATTTTCCATAGCGAAATTTGTTAAGTGGTGAATAGCTATAAAATGTTCTACGATAGAAAAAGATGTGACACAAGGTTGGTGCTGGTGCCAAAACTAATCAATTCATTGTCCTAGCCAAGAACAAAGTATTGGGGAGAGATGAACAAAACGTGGCAGCAGTTCCGACAGCTTAAGATGTGGACAATGAAAGTCTTAAGTAAGAGAGGGCCACAGTACTGGGGGAAGAGAAGATACAGGCCACTGAAAAAAAATTGGTTGTCCGTGTAATGTTTGCTCATTTTTCTGAGAAATAAAAACATTTTTTAGGCCACATGGAACATCCCACAGTTTGATTTTAAGACAATAGACATATGGACATAAAACGTTCACAAATGCAAGACATAATCATGATTGATACAAGAATACAATGACATGTTGTCTTGTCGATCCTTCCTAAGAATCTCAGAACTAATCGTATTGGATCTGAACCTTCGATATTAAGATAATGAAGGCAGGAAGCACAAGATAGTTCGTAAACTACACAAGTTTTTGGACCTAGGTTACTAGATTCAGACTTCTTCGTCTTCATTGCTTAGGTGTCATAAATATGTTCCTAATGATTCAAACTTAAACCTGAAAGTCATTCGATTTCTCGACACAATGGTTTCCCTGCATAAGTTCAACTTGTTCCAAACTGTGCAGAACTTGGAGCAATTGAATTGAACCCGTCAAAGATGTTTAAGTTGTCATTCAACCAAAACTGCATGGAACAGCACCTGAGCCCTCATTCCTGTGCCATGCTCTTTGACATTTTAGGAAAATAATTTATAAAGCACTAATAACTTAGATAAAAAATTCATGGATTGAAGTATGATCAAAGAAGAAGGTTGCTCTATAGATAGCTAGGACCGCCAAGGTTTTTACGTTATAATTTTTTGGAGTAAAAAAAAAAAAAAACAAGGAAAATAATTTACAGCAATGATTTATTGCCGTAGTGTTCGTAATAAGAAAACCGACTATCCTTTGACGTATACTCGATGAAGACTCATTTTAGTAAGCACAAAGACAGCATTGCTTTAGATAGGGTAGGAGAGGGAGAGGGAGAGAGAGAGAGAGAGAGAGTCCCTACTTCTGACACATGGATCAATGATTTTAATTACCTTCTCAATGCTAAAACATGCATAACGAAATATAGCTTTCAGTACAAGGGTTAACCTATTTCAAAATGCAACTAGGTTGCTCTCAGGATAGTGATGGGGACAACCTAAGATACGCCCATCAAAGGCACTTTATCTTACCAGTGCCAACCTAGAGCCCCTGAAACTGCTCCCTCTAAGAAATCAATTTGGGCCTGTTTCGCATATAACGGAAGCATTCAAATTGACAAGGGGCGTTAGGACGAAATCAATAGACGCGAGGATGCCCTTCGAGCTAACAAGTATGCTGAAAGCAGAAGAGAGCTCACTTTTGCAGAAATTTAGGTCTTCACAAGCTCTCCTATAAAGAAGAGGCCAAACCCGGATGGGATTCGAGCCAAGCAAGGCACGAGCAACATCAGAAGGACCGGTCGAATGAGATTCGATGGGTCAGGCCACATTTCTTCAGTGAGGGAGAGGAGGGTTAGTGGAGCAGAAAATAATCGAGTATATGATTGGGAACAGGAATTTTTCCCAAATACCGGGGAGGCATTCTATTAGAGTTTACCTCGGGGCTGGCTGGGGCAAGGTTTTGGGCTGGTATGGACCTGCGGATGGCCCGCCTCTGCTCCAGGACGGTGACGCCCACGAAAGCACCCCCCAAGGCGAAGCCGAGAAGACGCTCCTGCGGATAGAAAATAAAGGAAATAAACCAGAAGAGTCCGGCTGTTAATGCGATTCTGGGAAAAACAAAACGAAAGAGCGAAAGGAAGAGACCAGAAGTCCGATCACATCGGAGGGAGGGTTCTATCGCTCCAGGCATTCCAACGGAAGAAAATTCGCAGACAAACGGAGAGGAAAGAAGAAGAGGGGGCGGCTCCGACGGCGTCGTTGCGTAGAAACCAAAGATATAAAAACGCAAGGGAGGAATCTCTCCGAGACCGTACCTGCGCGATCAAGCTTATCATCGTTACCCACCGCCTTCCAAACTGCCGGAGGACAAGAAAGGGGAAAGACTCGATGGGCCGGAGCAAGCTCGAGTCGCCGATTCACCCCACGGCGAAGCCCCAGAGCCAGTACCGCTCTCCCGACGGAAGCACCTGATGGGTAAGATTGCACTCGAAGCTCTTCTCCGGTCGAAGCAGAAGCAGAAGCAGAAGCGATGGGAACGGGCTGGGCCTTATTGGGCTTTCCAGTGGCCCATTTCAGTCCCCGGTCAACGGATTAATAGGTGAAGAGCAGATGGAGATCGAGAGAGAGAGAGAGAGAGAGAGAGGGGAAGACCGGAGGCGCGTTGACTAGGTTGTCGAAAGAGATGTTGGGGGGGGGGGGGTCTTCCCTGATGTTCACTCTTTTTAATTCCTTCATTAATGAACGGAAGAAAATTAATCGCTGCACTGAACCAGTCACCATTAGAAAACACAGCGAGATCTGTTCCACTGCGCTCACTTCTTCGTGTTCCCAGTCGCCCCGAGCAAGAGGCACCTCATTCTGCGCGGTATGGCGATCCGCCGGCGGTTCCTCCTGTTACTCCTCCTCCTCGCCACATCGGCCATCCTCCTCTCCTGCGCCTCTGCCGCCGCCGCCCCCCCGGATCCGAAGAAATCAGACGATCTCGATGACGACGAGGACCTCAGCTTCCTCGAGGAAGGTGACGAGCCCTCGGGCGACCACCTTCACGCTTCCGACCACGGGGGCGACGAGGACGAGGCAGACGACGTGACCAAGGACTTCGATCCGTCCGCTTTCGATGGCCACGATGAATCCCCTCCGCCGGCTGTTGACGAGAAGGACGTCGTCGTTCTGACGGACGGCAATTTCAGCAAATTCCTCGAGGAGCATCGCCACGTGCTGGTTGAATTCTACGCCCCTTGGTGCGGCCACTGCCAGGCGCTGGCTCCCGAGTTCGCGGCGGCGGCGACGGAGCTGAAAGCGGCCGGGGAGGACGCGGTGCTTGCCAAGGTGGACGCTACGGAGGAGAACGAGCTGGCGCAGAAGTATGAGATCCAGGGGTACCCCACGGTTCTTTTCTTCGTGGACGGGCATGACAACCGCAAAACCTACACAGGCCAGAGAACCAAGTAAGTGATTGAGCACTGGGGGCTTTGGCGAGGTTTGCGCACCTTATCCCACTTACTCTCGTTGGCCCTTCTACATGACTCAATCGACTGGTCTTCCGTTTCTCCGTTCGGATCTGGGTTTCGTTTGATTTATTGGTCCGAAATCTTGAAATCTTCCTAGTTTTTTTATCTGTCTGTGATCTGCGCTAATGTTCGGAAGAGGGTAGAGGAGAGTCTCCTGGTATCACAAACCGCGATCCGTTGTTATTCCTAGAGTTTTGGCCAGAAAGTAAATCGTCTATTCCTGTCATCTGACTGGGAGGTTGATGATTTCACGGTTGGAGGAATACTTTTTAAGGCTGCGACCTCGTTTTACTTGGAAAAGGAGACTAAAAGGGTTCGCTATCATCGCTTTCTGGATTTCGTTTCGTTAACTGCTTGATTTACTGATCATCTATTAGACTGGCCGAAGGAATTTTCATCTATCACCACTGTTATGAATCTGCTGTGATGTTTTATTTGCAGGGAAGGAATCGTGACATGGATTAAAAAAATGACGGGCCCTGGAGTTCAAAATATAACAACGGTGGAGGAAGCAGAGACGGTTCTGACCGCTGAGGATAAGCTGGTCGTGGGCTACTTCGACTCCTTGTTGGTAATTTCTTTGTCCTACTAATTTTCTCCCCCTGCTCGGTGAATTGCCTTGATCTCCATCTGGATCACCGGATTCTGGTGATGTTGGATCCATTTTGAGTAGAAAGCCAGCCATCAGGAACATCTTTCTCTGAATCAGATTTATCAGCCGCTTTTGTATGCAGTTTTTGGTTCCAAAGCTTAGTTTCCGTTTGGATTCCTTTCTTGAATCTGTCGCGTCCATAAGGTTATGGTTACGCTGATTGATTGTATTCCCTGCGAACTTGTATCCTCTGTTTCCTCTGGAAGGTCAATAATTGTTGTGGGGCCATTTGATTCGATGGTGGTACCCGTTGCATAAATCTGTGTCACCCTACTTCAGGATACATTGAGCGAGGAGCTTGCTTCTGCTTCAAAATTGGAAGACGATGTCAACTTCTACCAAACTGCGAGCGCCGATGTGGCTAAGCTTTTCCACATTGACCCTAAGGCGAAACGTCCTGCTTTGGTGATGCTCAAGAAAGAGGCTGAGAAGATTACACACTTCGGTGAGCCAAGCTTCCTATATGTTGAGAATTCTTGATGAGGACTGAGAGACAGCTGGTCTGACCCGGGACTCTTCTTTCATGCAGATGGGGATTTCGAAAAGTCAGCAATTGCTGATTTCGTGTTCGCCAACAAGCTTCCCTTGGTGACTAAATTTTCAAGGGAGAATGCGCCACTCATTTTTGAGAATCCAATTAAGACACAGGTTACCTCATTGACACTTCTTGCGGAGAATTTCTTGATCTTGTTACATAAAAATCTCTGGGAGGAATAATAACTTGCTCTCGTTTCTAACAGCTTTTGCTCTTTGCTACATCAAACGATTCCGAGAAGGTTATCCCAGTTTTCCAGGAAGCGGCTAAATTATTTAAAGGAAAGGTAATATGGGGACCAGTCATATGTGATAGCTCATACCCGGCGGTCCTGATGGCGCAGTGGACTCTTGATTGCTGATGGTTTTGAGTAATTGCATCCGAGTGGATCTAGTAGTAGATATGATTGTCGCAGAAGGAGCTTGATGCTCTGTCTGTGGAGGAAGCGGAAATCTCTGGTTGGCATCCTCGAAGGAAGAAAATGTGTCCCTTTAGATGGCATCAAAAAAATAAAAGGCAGCTTTGCAAGCTTAGGACCCCTGCATGTTATCGGTGCCGAGGAAGTCGCTCTCTATGATTAGAGGATGCTACCCATTATCATACCTTTACCCGAACTACCGGTGTTGTAGAAAGCACGGTCTCTTCTCTAGCATTGGGGCGGTTTCAGGCTGTCTAGACATGATTCACTATGTTTTAGGGTCGACTCGACCGAAATTCCTGAGGGCTTGCGAGTTCTTGGTGCCTTTAGGAGTAAACGTTTCTGTTTCTACCTCTCGGCAAGAGTTCGTTTTCTTTTTTCGGTGCTAGCTTCGTCCGAACTCACGCGTCGTACTTCTCGCAGATCATTTTTGTTCATGTGGAAATGGACGATGAGGAAACCGGTAAGCCTGTCTCCGAGTACTTTGGCGTCGCAGAAGGTCCCAAGGTGCCAAGTCTGAACTCCCCCCTCCCCCCCCCTCCCCCACCCAAGCATTCCGTTTTTGATTACCAAAGGAAATATCTAGTCTGTGAACCAATAATAATAATAAAAAGGAGCTTCTGACTAAGAAATGCGCGGCAGGTCTTGGCATACACAGGGAATGAGGACACCAGAAAATTCTTTCTAGACGGCGACGTGACGGTGGACAGCATTCAGGTCGGTTACGCTCGGAGTTTACCCCTTCACTTCATACATGCTTCGTTGAAAGTTTTGGCTGGTGCCCCACCCTGTGCTCGGGCGCCAACATTGTTGGTCCTTGATGACCATCCTACACCGAGCCTGAATAATTGTCTCCAGCTTGCGGAATAATTGAATTCGCTTTCTTTTCGGAGCTGTGTTTCGAATTGTGCGTCTTTATTCTTTGTTCCAGTGCCCTCTGGTGGCAAAAATCCTCTTGATTTCATCGATTTGGCTGACAAGGTGGCAGACGTATGACAGTCCGTCCGTTCTTGTATCAGAAATTCGGCCAGGACTTCCTCGAAGACAAGCTCAAGCCTTTCTACAAGTCGGAACCCATCCCCGAGAAGGTAAAACTTTCTCTCTCTCTCTCTCTCTCTCTCTCTCTCTCTCTCTCGCTCGGTCTGGTCTTCTCCATTCGCGGGTTTTGCGTTTCTAACGGAAACTGTTCGGTGGGTTCTCAGAATGACGGCGACGTGAAGATCGTTGTGGGAGACAACTTCGACGAGATCGTCCTGGACGAGTCCAAGGACGTCCTCCTTGAGGTGACGACACCCTCCCTCTTTCTCTCCTGCTCTGCAGCGTTGACCTCCCCCGAGCTGATTTTTTCAATCCGGTTCCCTACGACAGATCTATGCGCCCTGGTGTGGGCATTGCCAATCCCTCGAGCCCACTTACAACAGGCTCGCGAAGCACCTACGTGGAATTGGTTCCATCGTCATAGCCAAGATGGACGGGACGACCAATGAGCACCCCCGGGCGAAGGTACCACCTTCGTTTGTGCTCCTCTGGCGTCCTATGCTCGACTGGCATTAACATTCCGTAGAAAGTTTCCTTCTTGGAGCTTCAGGATCTGCTCCTGGCGAGGCGGCGATTTAGATTTATTTTGTTTCATCGGAACCTGCCCGTCGCTGATGCCTCTGGTTTTTCTGGTCTGACGGTGCAGGCCGATGGATACCCGACGCTTCTGTTCTTCCCGGCGGGGAACAAGAGCTTCGATCCGGTAAGGAGTTTGATCTCAGTGGCGCTGTTCTCTCTCTCTTTCTACCAGCTGCCCATCCATCCATCCACCCCGTTGGAGAAACCGGGATCGCGTTCTTGCTGGCCCGAGTCGTCCTGCTCATCACTCCCTCCCCTCCCTCCGGCAGGTGTCGGTGGAGACGGACCGGACGGTGGTAGCGTTCTACAAGTTCCTCAAGAAGCACGCGGCCATACCTTTCAAGCTTCAGAAGCCGGCTCCAGCGCCTAAACCGGAGAGCGCGCCCGCTCCCGAGCTCGAAACGAGCGCGCCCAAGCCGGCCGCCGACGCTAAGGATGAGTTGTGAGACCCTAGTATCGTCGTCCTCTTCTTGCCTGCCTGCCTCTCTTAGCCCCCTCCCCACACTAACCGGACACCCCCCGCCCCCTCCACACGCGTCTTCTGAGACTCTTATCGTCGTGTTTCTTTCTTTTGAGAATAACATGAGGCGCCTAGGGCACGAATATCCTCAACTCTCTCTCTCGCTAGTTCTCTCTTTTGGAACGATTTACTCAGCCTATTCAGAGGGTGGGCCTTGTTCTTGCTCCGGGAAGAAGAGGTCTGAACGAAGAGGAGGGTCGCCGGAAGATGAGGGATCCCAAAGTCATCGCTCGCGGCATTCGGCCCGACTTGGTGGGCCTCCCTGTCCTCCTCGTCGGAGAGAGAGAGAGAGGGTAGCGACTCGGCCCGGTCGAGTTGCAAGGTCGGTGGGATCTCACTCAGTCGGACAGAGACTATATGACCTTCCACGAGGATACGACGACCTTCGGTAAAGGGGCATCAACCTTGCCTAACTCGGCCGACCCGTTTGACTAGAACCGATCCATGAGACGGGCTCACTTTCTCTCTCCGCGTCGGTCACGTGCCTCCACCCCGACCGCCCCCAGCGCTACAATAAATTCGACTCAAACAGCGAGAAGATCCTACTCTCTCTCCTCTCCACTCGACGAACCCGCCCAGATCTGGATCGCCTCCGCTCCCTGACCGGGTGAGGCGGCGGAGGTTGCGAGATTTCTTTCCACGGAGGGGAGGCAGGGAGAGATCTCAAGTTCTGCTTCTTTCTCTTCGCCGAGGATGGCGCCACCGCTACCGCTTGTGGTGCTGGCGCTTGTTCTCTCCCACGCAGCGCACGCCGCGATAGAAGACTCGTCTCCCCCTTCGCCGCTGCCCTCCGGCCCAGTCCCCGCCCCGTCAGCGTTCTCGCCAACCCCCTCTGCGCCCGAAGCGCCGGGGCTGCAGTCGCCATTTCACTCTCCTCCGGCGCCACCGTCCGATGACAACCTGTCGCCCGATGAAGCCCCGTCCCCATCTCCTTACTCGTCTTCACCGTCAGACGCCTCGCCGTCGTCGGAGTCGCCATTGCCGTCTGATTCTCCTGCTCCGGCGCCCTCGGGAGAGCCGACGCAAAAGCTCGACAAGGCCGGCAATCTTTCGGCCGAGGCGCAGCCTTCCGGAGGCGGCGGCGGGGGGATGAGCGGGGGACAGAAGGCGGGGCTCGTTGTCGGAGTGATGATGGCAGCGACGCTGGTGGGGCTAGGGGCATTTGTCTACAAGAAGCGCCAGGACAACGTTCGACGGTCCCAGTACGGCCACGACGTCCGCCGCGAGATGCTATGACCTCATCGCCTCGTCGGTCGTCCTGTTCGGTGATGTTCTTCTTGTTTCGCTCTCTCCCATTCTCACAGCAAAACCAGGTCAGGCCAGGCCTGGGATCTTCGTGTCGAGCCGCCAGCAACGCTCATCATTTCTTCTCGTGCAACCCGCGCATTTGCAGGCTGGGGGAGGGGCTTTAGGTTCGATTGTTTTGCCCGGCCGTCGGTTGAATCCTCGGCACAGATCGATGACACACCACGAAATTTGGTTACCGCCGCTTGATCCATGAACCTCTACTCCACTTCCTCTCCTCTCCATTCCGTGGGCGTCCTTATCTTTTCTCTCACTCACTCTTGTTCGCGGGACGGCCCCTCGCTCTCGGAAGCAGCTGACAGGGGCCCACAGCGCAGACCTGCCAGGCTGGCTGTTTCCATCTCTTGTCCTCTTCCGCGGTAGAAACGGGGCCCGGCTCGTCAGAGGCTGCTCTCCGGTGCCACCCGGTAACGACCTCCCCCGGCCGTTGTGCGCCGCCTCCAATTGGTTAGGACGGACACCTCGCGCGGGCAAATCTCGTTTCCTCCAGCGCTGTTCGTCCTTTCAAATCTCGGCACCCCGCTTTCAAAAGAAACCTCTCTCCGGGGAGATTCTGATGGTTAGCCTTCGGGTGGCGTCGCTTCTATCCGCGTGACAGACGTCAATCCTCTTCCGTTGTAATTCGCCCCATTCGTTCGTGGCGGCGTTGACGACCTCCGCGGCCCAGCCAATCACCGGGGACACCGGAACTCCCCCCCCATCGCAGGCGGTCCCGGGGGAGTGTGCGTTGACACTTCGGAGGTGGCGCTCTCCAACGGTCGACAACTCCCGTCTCTTTCGATGCCACCTCAAACTCTCTCCTTCGAGGCCGTCCCATGGTGCCCTCCGTCTTAAGGAACCCCACGGCAGGCAGTAGTCGTAAAGTATGGTCCCGCTGGTCCAAGCAGACGGACGGGGGGAGACGGCGGCTGCTGAGCGAATGCGGAGAGGCAGAGAGCGATCGGTTTGCAAAAGACGCGGTTCCTTGAATGCCGAGGAACTAGCCGCGGACGGACGTTGGGCAGCTAGGTCACACGCGGCGGCTTCTCCCGTGAATCCTCGCTTCTGCTTCTGTCACAGTCCCTCTCGTTGAAGCAGAATCTGCCGCACCATCCCTCTTCCCCTTCGGAACGGCCGCAATCGACGGCGCTCCGCCTTCCATTGAGCGGCCGGCGAGCGGCTTGAAATCTCAGGCTGCTCTACCCCCACCGATCCAATGTCCCCAGACATTTAACATTTCTTTTACACAGAATACACACACGGCTAGCGATCGATGGTCGCAGGATACAGAGAATAAAACAGCCGATCCTCACGATTACCAACTTAGTCTATTTATTATCATGAATTGGGGAAACGGGAAGAGCGCGCGGAGGCTCCGTCATTCTTCTTCCTTTGGCGGATCGACCCAGCGGTCATGTTCCTTGATCAGCTGGATTAAGGCATCCGTCGCCTGATCCATGGCGATCCCCCTCTGCACCACGGTCTGGAAGAGCCACGAAAAATCGGCGCCTCAGTTCTTCTTCCGTCTTAGAAGACGCCCACCGGAGCAGGGCCGGGAGCCCATCGCGACCCTTGATCGGCCTTCCTGTGCTCCTTTCTTGTACGGTGCGATGAATGAAAAATGAACGAAGGCAAGACGGAGAGGAGCTTGTTTACCTTGCCGACGTAGAGGTCGATCTTTCCCGGGGCGCCCCCCACGTAGCCAAAATCTGCATCAGCCATCTCCCCAGGGCCATTGACTATGCAACCCATGATAGCGATCTGGCACAAGGTCGCACAAAAAATTGTCACCTCGGTAGAAGATTTCGACTCTCAAAGGGCAAGTGCGTGTCCAGAGAACCGAGAAATTTTACCGAGACACCGGGCAAATGGGATGTTCTTTCTCTGATTTGAGCGCTTATCTCCTGAAGGTCAAAGAGCGTTCGGCCACACGATGGGCACGAGACGTACTCCTACATTAACAAGTGAAAGAGATGTTCTTTACCCAAGTTACTCCTCAAATACTTGGACGTCATCTGACAGGCAAGGAACTATTCTATCCCTCGGGGAAAAACAACGAAGCGCTTACTGTTTTCGTGTTTCGCATTCGGCAGCCTTGGAGCAGGTTGAAGGACGTGTTCCTCAAAAAGTCGAAATCCTGTCCAGGGGACTCCAATAATAAGCCGTCTCCAAGGCCATCCACAAGAAGAGCGCCGGCATTACTTCCAGCTCCGATAACCAGATCGTCTCTGCAAATTGAAGTGGAGCGAGCATTCATTAACAAGGAGAAAGTGTGTCCGACAAGCACCCGGAGCCAGAGATTCGTGCCTTTGGATCCCCTCCGGAAACTGAATGTGGTGAATTACAGGGAAATCAAGTTGTGCATCAGCCAAATACTCGAACAACCTGCAAAAAAAATGGTTAAAAAAGCAGAAAAACTGAACAGAATGGACGGGGGTATTGCTGATACCCTTCTTAAAAACTGAAGACGAGGATTGATTTTTGAGGATCCATAAATCAAAAATGATCCGAACACGCCCTTGAATCCACAACACAGAAATCTCACAAAGAGGAATAAATTCGTATTATTCATGATCTCCTAGAGTAACAGCATGCTAACCTTTAAATGGGCCAGAAATTATTTGTGACGCTCCTAAAAATTTGGATCAGTTATGAGAAGAAATTAAAAAATAATTAACAATGAAATAGTTAATAAGCCTGAGAATCTGAGGAATTATTAACTCGATTTATTTTGGCTTCATCTCGTTTTGGGTTCCCTTCCATCTTCGTAGCCCACATTTTATGTTTTCTGCCGTCTAGGTCACCAATTTTGGGTTTTTCTCATTTCTTTTGAATGGTGTTTGACATCAAGAACAGACCTCCATCTAGTCAGATTCACGTGGATAACATGAACCGCTTGGGTTCAAACAACCGCGAGCATTTTATGGTCGTCTTTGTCTGACAAACTCAATCGGGATATCATATCCCAGTTATCTTCACATAACGCGATTTCACAGAATCTTGGTGACATATATGGCAGGCTTCCCGACAAAGACAAGAGGGGTGAGAACAAGAGAAGGGGAAACCAAAAGAAGGTGCAATCTGCATGATTTTCATATTACCCGGTTGTATGTGGGTCATTTCACCCCCTCATGGCATAAATTTATCTGCTGTTTAGATCGCTAATTTGATGACCAGTACTTGCGCCCAGTATCATACTCAAGAGTTAGAAAATTTAGTAATAAAAAAATAAGGGTTTGTGGCAGGATCAACGGTTGAAACAGAAACCAGTGCAAAATTGATACGATGACTACCTCCTTGCCGCATGAACTCGGCCAATCTTTTCCTCGGTGTATGGTACATTGTGGAGCAACAACGTGATGTCCTTAACATTCTTAAGAATCTCCAACTCCTCATATGTTTCATCGCCTCGAACAGTTACAGCCAAGCGTGATCCTAAGAGGTAAGATAAGTCATATAACATTGCTAAAAAAAAATTAGGCAATACCATAATAAGAAAAGAGAAATATTACCTTCTGGAAGAAGCTTGTATGCACCAGTAGTCAGCTCCTTGAGGTTCACCAAGGAAATTGCATAAGGCAGAGGCTTTGTAAGTTGCTCTGACAAAGGAGTCAAAACTCCCATGCTAATATCTATTAATCTTTTAAGTGCTAGCCTCTGTGCAAAAAAGTGAAGAATTAAGTCACTTCCACATTTCATAATTCTCCAACTGCGAAAGAGGAAGAATGTCATGACAACTTTGGAAATACTTCGGCTACTCAAGAACAGTATTGTGTAGAGACGTATCCACCAATAACAATAATAATAATAAGAATGGGAATAAAATAAAATTTAAAAATAAATATTACGTTACTTACAGCATTGACATCTTCAACCGGAGGAAGCTCCCACAGAAGTATTGAGTCCACGGTTGCTAGATCCTGCAACCACAACCAGAGCCGGTTTAGGAAGGAACAAAATCTGATGCTGGCTGAAAAAATATTAAATTGTGGGAGGAAAATGTAGCAGGACAAACCTTGAATGGCATGCCAACCACAAGCTTTGTTGCAAGAGACTTGTAAAGGATTTCGGGCGTCTGATAAGAGGGTGGAAAATACATGAGCAGGAACCAAGATAAAGAAAAGTTTCAGATCCAAACGTCAACGAAAATGGAACTTAGAAGTTAACCATGTTGAAACTGGATCAGGTAGTGGAAATTAAAATGAGGAAAACACGACCCACCAAAGAGCAACATGTCTCTCAACAAAAATATAACCTAATGAGCAAGCATTATCCCAAACTACAATGTGATGGCAAACATTACACCAAATCCTACCTTCAGCTGATTCAGAGAGACAGACATCAGGACAGAACCATCGCGGTGAAGGACACCTCTGTAGTCCACTTCTTCTCCCTGCATCCAATGCCATGAGAAGTTTTCACAAACATGCACAAGAAATCATATAGCTTTTAAAGGAAATGTAGATACTAAATCTCGAATAAACTAGCCTCTTTCTGCATAGGTAATTGTCCACTTCTACGCTGGAAATCAAAGTAATGCCTGCTTTTTTCTTCAAAAGGTCCCTGTTGAAAAAGGGAAAAATAAAAAGACTTGCCCAGAGAAGGAGACAAAAATGAAAACTTAACCTGTGAAATCTATGCCAAAGGAAAAGATTATCAGGAGACTAACCACTCCCTTTCGAAGATTTGCAGCTTGCATACCAAGATTCGCCAGCCTTCTGCAGGGATCAATCTCTTCCTCGGGTGGTTCTGTTAGTGATACCCTGATGGTATCTCCCAGACCATCCTGTGTCACATAGACATTCCAGCATGAGAGCTGAAGTAACGAAATTCTAATTTATAAATCATGAGTTGATGGCTAACTCCCAACTATGTAATACAATGATCCAGAGCCACTCTTTCTCGTGTCAACCTTTATATTTCATTTAAATTTTAATTCCAACCTTCATATATTTACCTAGTGGTTCCTGACAGTCGCTCATCACAAAAAAATATAAATAAATAACATTTTTGTATTGACAATCAGGATTAGCTGATTGAAAAGCAACCGTGGAATCGATAAAGTAACAGAAAATATTTGCATGGTATAAATATTGGTAATAACGATGCTAAATCATAGACAAGTTGGGACTCTTGGTCTAAGACAGCCTTTCAACATTCGTGAGTAGAACAGACAATGAAAGATCGGATGAGAAAAGATGGAACCAGAATATCTACCTGAAGCAGTGTCCCAATGCCTATTGAAGATTTCATGCGTCCATCTTCACCTTCTCCAGCTTCAGTAACTCCCAAATGGAGAGGATAATCCCATCCTTGAACATACATTTCGGCAACAAGAAGGCGATATGCTTGGACCATGATCACTGGGTTGCTGGCTTTCATAGAGAACACAAAGTTGTGATAGTCCAATTTCCGGCAAATTCTGGCAAATTCAAAGGCAGATTCAACCTGTTTCGAGGCACGGATTATCAATTATCAACATGATGAATGGGAAAAAGAACGCTAAAAGAAATAAAACAACAAATTGTTTGTCACCATTCCCCTAGGAGAATCTCCATAGTAACTCATGATACGATCAGAAAGGCTCCCATGATTTGTTCCAATGCGCATTGCTCTTCCATATTTCTTGCATTTCTCAACCAGCGGAGTGAAAACCTGAGATTAATTAAGTCCTCCATTAGGATTGCCATAAGTAACTGAAGATTGGATTGCATGCTTTTTCACAGTATCAGATGAGAAATGATTTGCATGGCATAAAATAGAATATCTGTACAAAATAGGTGGTGCTGAATTTCTTTTTAAGAAAAAGAACGTATTCCAATATGTTGGTCATTGCACAATTTTGACAATATTCTACGATCACGAAAACAAAGGCAGGAGGGATGAAATAAGATCGTGCAGATTTTTGCACGTGATCGGTGCATAATTTTATACACGAGTCAGCTACGAAAAGAGGAGAGAATGAGACGCCACAAAAGAAATCAAATTGAAATGTGAGCAGAAAAGCCGTGAGATTCTTATAGAACACCTCAAAAGTAAACCAATACAATCCAGATGACGTGGACGTTAGCTTGACTCCAAAAATAAACAGTTTAGATCCCAAGGATTTTGATTAGGCACGGTCTTTGGGACCAAGAAACGTAAGTAATGGCCCGTGTTTCTACATCAAAGCTAACAGATTATGTGCATATTGCAATGAGGAATGAAGTTCTTACCTCTTCAATGTGCTCGAGCTCTTTCTGATAATCCTCTTCTGTATATTCTAAATTCTCAAATTGTGCACGCCTATCAGCTGCAAGAGAACAAAACTAATTAATCCATACAAAACTAACTTTTCTACGTCTGGAAGAAGTACAGAACAGAATTACTGGCAATACCAAAATTCCCTGGGTTGACACGGATCTTTTCAAAACACTCAGCTACTCTCAAAGCAACTGAGGGAGCAAAGTGAATGTCGGCAACCAGAGGTATGTCGTAACTGAAAAGAGAAGAAAGCAGAGAGTAAGTCGTTGATCATCTATGCACAATATTGTAAGGAAATCTCACGACTCACTTTCTCTGAACAAGGGCGTTTTTTATTTCAAAGCAAGCATCTGCTTCTTTCTTTCCTTGGACAGTTATCCGAACAAAATCTGCTCCCTTATCAGCTATTCTCATTACCTGAATATAAAACACATGTCGCTTGTAAAACACACAGATTAGCAGATATGCTAGAACAAGCTCAGTTCAAGTGCAGAAAATGTACCAAGGAATTCATGAAAGAGGGCTTTTATATTTTTTCTCACTTCAATTATTTTTTAAACCCCATATTTTTTTCAATAAAATAGGCATAAACCATAAGTTATTTCAACGAAACCAGCGAGTCCACCATCAAGTTATTTTCTCAAAGACAGAGAAATAAGACGAACAATTATTCTGAATTTTCATAATGATGCATGCAAGTAGAAATATAGCACCTATCCAGTATAAAAATTGGCAAGGCATTACTTCATAATGACAGCTTCTAGACTTCCCAAAAAGAAAATTCAGTGGTGCACAAGAAGCATTTGAACTTGCTCAAGCGTTGTGTCACAGACAACCAGGTATCAGATCACACACACAGAAGCAAATACAGTGCAAAGAGAAAGTTATTGACCTCTTCTACAGTGGCCTTCACATCCTTGGTATCAGACGTTGTCATTGTTTGGATTCTTATGGGATAGTCGCTGCCAAGAGCAACATTTCCAACCATCACAGTTCGTGTTTTTCTACGTACAGTTTGGTGAATTGTCTCACAATACTTTTGCCTGGGCACTGCACTTCAGAAAATGATCATCATGAGTTTCACGTGAATCAAAATAAAGGATACTGGAAGAAAATTTTATATTGGGAACAGTTCAACACAAATGAAAAGAAAATTTGGTCAAAACTGAGACTACCTTTAAAAAAATACAAGCATCAGTTAAATGAGCACAAGACTAATTGTGCAAGTAGAGTGGTAAACGTATTTTTACCTAACAGGGGACTCCTTTCTGACGAAGGTTGCAATTCAACAGTATCAGACCCTGAACTGGAGTTCACTATCCTCTGCGCATTAGATCTCCAAGAACGGTTTCTCTTTGAGGTCGGCGCGCAGGCAATCTTCGTGAAATTTACATTATTGGTGAAGCCCAGCCCATGGTTAGCCCCAGTTTTGAGGGTGGGGAGGGAGGTCTGCACTGTTCCAGCAGCCATTTTTTCTCAGCACACTCTCAGCTTCAGCTTCTCTTCGTTACAGCTCTATACCTTTTCAGGTCAAGCGAGAAGTGAGCATTGGCGTTTTCCCCAAACATGAGAACTGAAACAGTAAATAAGGTGGACGAATGGATATGGAAGAGAAGTAGCAGAAGCAGCCTACAAAGAAAATATAATCAAACATATAGAAGGAAAATTAGAAGGAAAACGTGAGGGCGAATAGAAATTTGAAATCAAGTCGCCAAAAGCCATCTGAGAAGCATCCCGAACTTTGAGAAATTGCGCTCAGCTACCAGCGCGGGGAGTGGTGTACAAGGAACGCCGAACATTGTACGCGAAAAAAATGGCAGAAAGCAAGGTAAAGTTTTGAATATCACTGCCAGAATGAGAAAGGAGTAGGGAGATAATACTTTTGAGATAAACAATGACAAGGAGGCTCTGATGATGAACCGACGGCGAGGTAGGGAGCAGTCGAGGAGAAACGGGGGAGACGGTTGGTGGCAGTACCAAAGAGCAAGTCGAAGGGCGGCAGGCTCGAAGAATTGAGAGCAGAAGCAGTTGCTCGAGCCCACACGCTCGACCGCCCAAGGAGGCGGGGGCGGCAGAAATGGCCTCAGAGGTTGTGGTAGCGATGTGCCGAACCACCAGCTCAGCTCAAAATCGGCCAATCACCCTTTTTCCTCCAGAACTTTCGAAAATTATCCTCTTGAGCGTAGTGCTCGCATTGGACCTCGTAAAGTTTCATATTAGGATGGGTACCCTCAAAGTCCAAATAATATGATAAATAGACGAAGAATTTCCCTCGCCGCACGCTGGTGGGAGGGAAGAGGGAGAAATTCAGTAATGTAGCGATAAATGTAGAAATGTCGGGATGAAATAAAATAGTTTACAGGAACATCCAAGTAAAATAAAATAAAACAGTGGGAGGAGAAGAGCGAGAGAGGATGAGAAAAATTAGGGCGGGGAATATTCCAGAGGTTCCGCAGAAGAACCAGGACGATGCCTGCGCCCACAGCCATCCGTTCCCGCTTGTCGTCGCCTTTTTCCTTCGTCGACTGCGGTCGACGGACTCGCCTCCCGACCAATCCCATGGCCACCATTCTAACTAAACGAAGGTCGACGTCTCTCTGAATCTTCTTCCATCGAGTGGCGATGTTGACCGTTCCCCTTCACTGGTCCACCTTCCGACGGCTAGGCATCGGGCGTTCCGTCAGAATGGGAGCCGGAGGCTTAGGGAGTGAGAGGCGTCGCCATCTCCGGCCCCTGCTCGTAATTCGCGTGACGAGGGAAGGACCCAAGAGATGCGGCATGTAATGATTTTCAGACCCGGAGTTTCTTCCGGCCGAGTGATCCATCCTCCCTCCCCGACACCGTCTTAAATCGTGAGTGAGGTCAACGCAAAAGAATCTGATTGGCTCCTCTCCCGGTACTCCGGTGCGATGGAAGCAGCAGCTTGGAATAATCAGCACCCGCCCATTTCCGAACAGAAATCGGCTCATCTTGAGCGTTCTTTACCTCCCGAAGAGGAGGGCTACAGATGTAATGCAGAAAGATCCTGAAGCATCTGCTCGATGACTATCCCGAAGGCGCACAGCCCCACCCCGATCAATGCGGGCTTCGATTCAGACAGCCCCTTCGGTCCACGGTGAGCTCCATCGCGGCCTCCGCCCCCGCTTCTGCCGCTGGCCCTTCTGGCGTGCATGCCCCAGGCCATGGCGGGCGGAAGAATCCCATACAGCACCGTCATGCAGTAGCCCCCCTGCAGCAGGTAAGCAAGCAAGAAAGAACCGAGAACAATTCACCTACTGATCAAAGCCGAATACCGGTGGAGATGATGGTCGTGCGTGCCTCTTACCGCAATGTCCGTAGCCAGGTAGAAGACGTCGGGGACGGTGGTGGAGACGAGCAGAGCAGGAATGACCGCCATGGACATCGCCCTGAGGTTGAGGTTGTTGCCAGCCCACCAGTCTTCCAGGCCTCGCCGGCTCCTCGGTGAGCACCCTCCGGCGGCGTCTTCCTGAACGACGGCCCGAGGGGAAGTGGCAGAGTCAAACTCCGCCGCCTCCACCCGAGAAGAAATGTGATCTGTGGTGCTCCTCTGCTCCTGAGCGAGCGGAGGACTGAGAGAGTTGCGGAGTTGCTCCTGGAAGAACTGAGAGAAGCCGAGGAGAGTGCCGATCAGCGATGTCGCGACCGCCAGCAGCGAGAACACTTCCACCATCAGTGCCATCGCGTCACTCGTCCCGCTGTCGAGCCAGCCGAAGTGGGGGTGGTTTTTTCACTCCGTGAGACAAAGGAAGGCCAACAGCGGCCGGCGGTGCGCGCAGTTGGATTGGTGACAGTACCTCATGAACAAGTCGAACGGATCGGTGACGCCGGAATCTGCGGAGAAGCCCAGGACGATGGCGTCCCAGATGAGCAGAGAGAGAAGTGGTACGACGCTTCCGATCAGAAAGGACGACCTGATGCGGGGAAGGTCGCCGCCCAGATACGAGCAGATCACTGTGGGGACGAGGAGGGGCGGCGAGGTCAGAGACGGTAGTCGACATAGTTGTTTGGTCCGTTCCGTGGAGGAACAAACCAACACAACCATGGCGGGGAAGGCGCGGCCGATCGACTGTTACCGGGGGCTATGTCGTGGTAAACCAGCGAAAAGATGATCACCGGTATTGTTGACGGGACCTGTCCCCAGTTGGCGACGTCTGCCAGGCCAGACCACGACCGTCCGAATGCCGCGAGCTCGAGCCCCACCAGCAGGCCTGTGAACACGCAATTCACCCATTTACAAGGAAGATTCATTCATTCTTTCTTTCAGACGGGAGCGATTCCTCCTCCGACCGGTGGGGGGGAAGCGAGGGAGGGACCTAGCATGGACGTCGTCAGCCACTGGTTCACCCGATCGGTGGTGGAGGCGCCGCCGATCACGATGAGGGCGGCGTGGAGGAGCGTGAAGAGCGTGCCCGAGACGGACGTCGGGAGGCCGACCAGACGCGAGAGCAGCTCCCCGGCCTTGGCTGCGTACGCCGTCGTGGACGTGTACGCCAAGAAGACGTAGGCGACCGTGGCTGCGTGGGCAACCCACCCACCAAGCGTCTCCTCCGCCATGGTTCTGAACGATATCACCTCCAGCGACCCGCCGACCTCCCCACGTTCACCCTCGTTCTTCCGCTGCTCCCTCATCAAGGAGACGTTCACCTCAGCGAGGAGGAGGGCTTCAAGCATGAGGAAAGCCCAGCATGCCGCCATGAAAACTGCACTGGGCACGAAACCCTGCACCGGCGCACAATGACCAAAAGAGCAATCAATAGATTGATTGCAACAAGAAATCTACAGCTCTCATCACATAGTATCCAGACAGAGAGAGAGGGGACAAACATCGGCGATCAGCAGCTAGCAGCAAGCAGGTTTGCATCATTGTCACAGAGAGGGAGGGAGAGATGGAGGGGAAGAGAATATAAACCGTGTGGGAGGTCTTCTGCGGGAGCGCCAGCATTCCAGAGCCGATGCTCGTGCCAATTATCAATGAGACAGCGCCGAAAACGGTTCCCGGTATCTCGGGGGTTCTTCCATCTAGTTCCCCTCCGGACTCGTCCCCACTCTCTTTTGCGATAGGTCGTCTCCGCCGCACCCCCGCAGCTATCGATGGGTCTGAGCGGAGTCGTCGTCGTCCTCCGCCGAGACCCGCATGGGGTGACCGACATAGCGTTACGGTGCGCCGCCAGATCGCCGAGACCGGTGCCGAGATACGTCGCCCAATGCCTATCCCGCGCGGCGCGTGCCGATTGCCGCTGGCAGTAGATGGGAGGCAGTTCAGGCGGGGAGGGCGCCCGCTCGGGATCCCGCTGGGGTTGCTCACGGCGGCGGCCACACCCATTTGGGCATCAGGGATCGGGAATGACTTCCAGAGGGAGACAACTGGAGGTGAATATTCTGCGGGGTACCCCCTTCTCCTGCCGACCACACAGTCGGCCAGGGAGGAGGGGAAAATATCTGCTGCCGTCGCTTAAGCTCAGCAGGACCACGGACGCAAATCAAACAGACGCGCGACGAGTTCGTAAGAGAGACCGTGTCTTTAGCGCCTGACTTCGACGACGATCCCTTTAAACACGGTAAGAAAAACAAGCGAGCCAGAAGAAGAAAGCGCAGGGGCAGGACGATGGTCCGGCTGCCGGGGGGAGGAGAGCGAACCAGGACGATGGTCCGGCGCAACTACTTTCTTTCAGGTGAAGATCATTTGGATATGTAACTACACCTGAAAGAAATCGTGTTGGTCTGGAGGAGGGAGCGAGCGAGCCTATAATTCCTGGGGGAGGGGGGGGGAGAGAGGAGGGCTTCAGCCATCTCGTCACCGTGGACGGGGCCGTCATCATCGCACCGCAAGACCGCTAATTTTAGTCTTCCCTCAGGCAGAACCTCAAGAGAATTTCGGTCGTCTCTTCTCTGGCGCTGCAGCAAAAGTGCAAGAGCCATAGAGTTAGTTATTTGAGACACCGAAGGAAGGCTCTGCGCAAGCAACGCCGAGAGGGAAGGCTCAGCTCACGGCAGCCCATGTATCTTCACTCCGAAAAGAAAGCCGGGCGGGGCTCCTCATTAAAACAAGCTCTCAGAATCAGACATTCGGATGATTACCTCCCGGCCCTTATGACCGTATATTTTCCTGCTGCGGTAAGATCCACAACCGTCGACCCGGCGCGCCCAGATGGAAGCTCGCCGCCGTCATAGATGAAGGCGCAGTGCCGCCAGAGATGCTCAAAGTCTTTGGGGCTGACGCTGCTCGGCTGCCCGCTAACGTTGGCACTGGTAAGAGCCAGAGCACATCCAGAACCTCGAGCGACGCACCTGATGAATTCACAGTCTGGGACTCGAACGCCAATGCTGTCCACACCCGGGTTCAATGATTTGTCGAGGATGCTAGATTCGCCTGCAAAGTTCGTACGAGCGTCTTGAAATATTAGTGCCCGCCGACAGCAGGATGAAGAAGGCTCTGACCAAGAAGCAACGACCGGAAACTCCGGAGAAAAGTAGACGACTGACGGGCGGGAAGCACATCAAACCTCGTCGAAGGACGACGGTGACGGGTCCAGGAAGGAGGCTGTCGAGAAGTCCGGGCGGTAGATGCTCAGTTAAGGCAAAGCGTGGAATCTCCGACACATCGGCAACGCAAATGGCCAGAGGCTTCGTCTCTTGTCGCCCCTTGATCTCGTAGATTTTCTTGATCGCTTCTGCAGAGCTGCGGCAATGCTCTAAGTAAGAACAAATCTTTTTTATTCCAGATTGCACCACATAGATCACAAGAAAGGAAAAAAAATGAGAGACGGGCTTCCACGCTGCATAACCCATTTCAAGCAATTGCTCCAAGGCATTACTCCCGAGGCAAGGCCAAATGGTAAGAGAGACATCACCGAATAACCCCTGCCCACACCACCATTGTGTCACCTCCTCAGTCAACCAAACCGCAGTTTCTCACACTGAAAACATGTGCCTGAAGGAACTGAAACAAGCATCAGAGAGGAGATCTGACTGAGGCAACAGCGACATCGACATTATTTCTCCTTCTCCCTTATTTGTTTATTTTTTTCCTCCCTTGTACCCTCTCCCAAAACGAGGTGTCTGCCAACTATGGGCAACAAGTGTGGTGATGGCTCAATTGCCTCCCACCTGATTCCTCCCATATTGCTCCAATTTTCATGAGCAGAGGAGACGGTTAGGATAACGAACTTGAAGGGAGCAACCTCACGAAACATCCACCACCGCCTCCAGAACAAGACCAACAACAAAAAGGGACTCACAGCCAGACAGATGGCGGCTCGTCCAACCCAGGGAAATAAGCCAGAGATCAGTCGCACCGAGCCATTGAGAGGCTCAGGTGTATTTAGGAAGGAACCCCTCGTTGCCGCCAGGCTCAGTTGCCCCGTATCAGCCGTCCCCCCCTCAGGAAAAAAAAAAAAAAAAGGAAAAAAAAGAAAGGGATTGGGCATGCCAGTTCTGAGTTGACTTGGGGAAGCCGAATCAGGATGTGGCCCAGTGTAACAAGGGGTGCTCTCTTGAGATAATGGGGTAGAAGATGAAAAGCCACGGTTGAAGGGGGGAGAACAAGAAGCCCACAAAGGAACAGAGAGGCGGCTGCCCTTCGGACTAAGAGGGCGTATTTTTCTTTGGTTTGCAATTATTATCTGAAGAAGCAGAGAACAAAAGGCGAACGTCATCCCCATGAAAGATGTCAGGCACACGTTCAACGCTTTTCTCATGTCTAAGAAAACTGGTTTCCTAAGCTCCTGACAGTATAAACAGCGTTCAAGTCTCGGGACCAGTACACCCCACCTGGAATATTTTACTCCTGTTTTCTAATGGATCTTCGACAAGAATTGTCAGAAATGTAGAACGGAAGGGAATCGGTTCGGCGTTTCTCACAGGTAATATCGAGTCAAAATGGCACGAACTGAAGAAAAACTCTTACCATGCGTCGCAAGCAAATCCATAAATGGTGTCTGTCGGAACTGCAATGACTTTCCCCGATCTTATTGCATGCACTGCTCCCCTGGCATTCGGCTCCGATGCCGGCAGTACAATACCCTCCTCGACCCCGGGATCACCAAGACATCTACTTGAGCCGCAACCCATTACCCTCCGTAAGGCATGACCAGAACCTCTACTCTGGCGCCGAGGACTGACTAATCTACGCATAGGTCCACCTGAGAAGCGAATATTCAAGAACATAAAAGTTATTAGAATATCCGGAACACAAGGAATTTAGCACTCAGAAGATCCTAGGGGAAACAATTGGCCCTTAGGCAGTTGTTAAATATGATACGGGCACAATCAAACTATGGTTAGAGGGGAGGAGGGGGGAGGACAGCAGTGATGAGCAAATAACGCACCAGTGACCATGTCGACAAGTACTACAAGCCGAAAACGGCGAGCGGATTAAGTACATAATGCTAAGAAAGCGGAGAAATTTCAAATGCGGAGAACCCCAAACACTGTAGGAATATTCGAAGATCTATCGGTTACGAACAAGAATGAGAGAAAAAGGGAACCTTCAGACCGGCGACAGGAGTAGGAGAAGACACCGGCCATCACCCTGATGTCTCTGTCGAGAAAAGGGCAAGGACGAGGTGGGGGGCGGAGCTTCTGGAGCATCGCGACCGAGGAAGGGGGGGTGGGGGGAGTGAAAGGCTTCCTACTCCCTGGTGACGGAGTCCTTTCTCCCTTCCCAACTATAAGCCGCCTCGCACTGTCTCTCCCTGAGACGACGCCCGCCTTCGTCCTGACGCCGCCGGGGGGATTTTGGCAGAGGAGCACGGTGCGAGGACGAGGGGCAATCACCGCCTTCCCCCGCGTCGTGCGTGGGGAGAGCCGTAGGGTTGGTTGGAGAATCGCAAACCCGCGAGGAACACCAGACTGCATCAACAGAGTGGACTCCACGGCGGCTGGCGGCGGATGTCCTTAGGCTCGGAGCCGGGCCAGAAGAAGGCGGATGCCCGAATATGATAATTTGGATGAACCCTGGTCAGCGGGGGCGAATTCTACCGTGGATTAAGTTATATTTCTGGGGGGCTCGTGCTACGCAAGAAGCAATACAGGAATCCGGGGGAATTTTCAACCTTATACGAGCGCTATATGACCGTTGCTATCGACGGTCGTCTAGATGGGGGCATTTACGCCATTTGAAAGAAGTAAAAACAATGACATACATCTAAAACGGGTTTTTTAGAGCATTAGGTTGAGCTCCATCGCTTCGCGCCCCCTTTCCACGGGAAAATATGGTAAGGTAGATAACACCGTACCTCCTCCGTTCGCAAAAATATGACTTTCTGCCGTGCAAAAGGATGATTGCGAGGATATACATCATTAGACTAAATACGGCAAAGCCGCGGGCGCCGGAGTCGGCTTCCGGCGATCAAGCCCTCAGCCCACGAGGACCTGGGTCGGTGGGGTGGTTCTGCTCATTTGATCCACATCTTATAATCATGAAAATTACAAGGGGAAAAGAAAAGAAGACCCATAAGCATCCAACTAAATCCAGAGTTCATTGAAGATCATCAACATCAAAGAACATGGGACTTTAAGGTACTGCGAGAGCTTGTCCGCCGGGTCGGCAAATCCCAGAGATGAAGACAACCACGAGCGACGGACTGAAAGGTGGTCGGCCATTTGCTTTGCGGGCTGAAAGTGGCTGTCCCATGTTTTAGTCTTTTATTTCCCGCCGAGAAGCCTGGGTGGTCACTCACCATCGGGGGGGGTACTTTCTTTCCACGTCCATCGCTCTACTACTCTCGACCCTGCTCACCTCCATCCCTCATCAGGATCCGGCTCCTGAAACACTGCCCACGCCCTCTTCAACACCCCCCGCGCGATCATCATCAACCAGGTCCGCTGGTCTGGCACCACCGCTGCCTTGCAAGTGCGCTTTAACCGTTGCCGCAGGACTCACCCCGTCATCGATATCCATGGTCTCTTCTGATCCAAACGGGCCATCCTCCCTTGCAGAATCTGAGACCGCTGATTCCTCCAAAGAGTCTAGAGCAGCGGTCTGAGCTTGATCGCCTGCACTGATTTCGGCATCACCATCCTGACCCTTCTCCGCTCCACTCCCCAGCCACCCATCTCCCACCTCACCATGGTCAGGCTTGACTTCTTCTAGAGGTTCTCCCTTCACTGCGGCCTCTTGCTCCGGACAGAAATGCTCCTCTGAAGGGACTAACACATCAAGGACTTCACCACTCACCGAAATTTCTGCATGCTCTTCCCCCTTCAGGATATCTGGTGCTTGATCCTCCACTGACATTTCGTCCTCACGAATGTTCTTCTTCCCAGTAGTTTCCTGCTCGAGCGCACGATTCTTTGCGGCTATTTCTTCCTCAAGTGCACGATTTTCCGCCTCAATTTCCTCCTCCATCTGTAATCTTATCCTATGCTCTTCCAGAAGCTTTCGAGTCATCTCATGCTCCGCTAAAAGGTCACTGTAACGGCGTTGCTGTTTTCGTTCGAGCTCCATCTGTCTATTTACTTCCTCCACTAAACCATTGACTCTGTAAGCCGCTGCGAACTGTTCTTGCTTTTGTAAAGATTGGAAACACTCAAGTTCTGTCCCAGCTGTATCCAACTGCTTGAAAGTGGCTTCAATCTGCGAGCACAACCTCCCAGACCGCGTCTGCTTGAACCAATGATCATGAGCCATCAATGAGAATTCAGCTAATCTAGCACTGGGATTTACCAGTACTGTTAATCTAGTAGATGAACTGTGTTTAACTCATGATTTTCATACCTACTCGTGAAAAAAGCTCTAATCAATGGATGTATGGAAAGACAACAGCTAAGACAAAAGCTCAAAATTACCTGATATCCATGCGTCAAAACCTTGATCTTCTGCTCAATCTTTGTTGCTTTTTTAGCCTCCTCGTCCATTCTCTTCTTTACGTTCTCAAATTCATTCTGCAGTGCAGCCAGCTTCTCACTATTTCCGGCAACACTGGCTAGTCCATATGTAGACCGAGCGGGAAAGTACATAAGATCTTCCTGGCAAGCATCCCGTGCTTTAACAAAATCATCAAACGACTCATCCTCATGTCCCATGGCTACACGCAGAAACTGAACCTCTTCTTTTATTAACCAATCAGCCTGCAGAATCAATTAACGTATCAGGCATCCTTCAATCAGCAGTATGCCAAAAGTAATAGTCCAAATGAGTAAAAGCTTATGCCTTATCCTAGGAGAGTTCATCAGAACAATGGACATGAGTACTGTCAAAGACAATCTTTGCGTTTGGTCTAAAGATTATAGGACGTGCAGAAAATTGAGTATAACAACAGCCAACTAGTTTCTCAGGATATAACTTATACAATATCAACCAGATTCTGCAAAGTTATAAACTAATGGAAGACTCAATGTTGTGGAAAAGACCGATACAACCTCGATCTTAAATGGACCACATGGTGAGAGCATTCTGTTGCTATCATTCTGTCGTCATACTTCGGACGCATCACATTGGTGGCAGGATTAGAAAGACCACCGTATATGACCCCCCTAATCTATTGCTGTTGCTACATATTTACTACCACATCTTAATAGCGGAGAGTAAATTCATATGAAGAAATGCGATACACATTTGTTGTCTTCTTACATGTTAATGAGGCGTGGCAAGTAGGTCCCCTTCCAAATAAACCAGACAGAAGTTTACCGGTTATCCTCACTAGATTTTTCTCTCTCCCCTCTAGATATGCATGTATATCACTCCATTGGATTGCTAAAGGCGAAAATTAAGAAGCACTAAAACAGTAGAAATTTAATTAAAATAGCCCCTCTTTTTTGCCCAGGAAGTTCCTAGGTTCATGTATGACTGTAAAACTGCAAAGTATATGTATGGTATCTCTCCCCTCTTTTTTGCCCAGGAAGTTCCTAGGTTCAGGTATGACTGAAAAAAACAGTAGAAATTTAATTAAAATAGCCCTCCCACATGTCACGTATTTTTTTAGCATAGAGCCTGATCAAACCCAACAAAACGAAACAAATAACCAGCAAGGTGGATTACATGGAAATGATGTCCCAGCACATACATTACCGACGTTTAATCAATTCTTCTCTTTCAATCCCAGCGCTTCAATCTTCCACCGCCCTCCAGTCGTTCAAGAACTTATTTTACTTTTTGAACAATTTTTCCCATTTCCGCCACAATTCATTTCCATTTATTTCCTTACATCTATATTTCCTCTTCATAAATCATTATTGAAAATATAGCCGTCCACTTAATATCCCTCTTTTCTTTTCAGTATCAGATAAAGGAAAATAATCCTTGTCTTTTTTAGGAGCGAGAGAATCTTTGATAAATAAAATAGGAATTAACTACGTCTTATAGATTGGGACTCTAATTTCCAGAAGAGATTTCACAATCCAATTGGAAAGATCACAAACAGACTCGAACTCTAAATCTGCTTTCTAGCGAGTCAAGGAGATTCATTCATGGCAGAAAAAAGAAGGATAACGACGTTAACAAAAGAACTGGGCATGCTACGAAAAAAATGATTATATAAAAATGTAAGAGATAACCTGAGATGCAACTTTAAAATATGTAAAAAACGTGCGATACTGCAAACAGCATCGGACATACCTCTTGCAGTTGACTTTCGTCGAAATCTTCAATATCAGGAATTGAAGATGCAGACTTTCCATTGGCTGCACGTCTAGTTCCTTTCTTTTTCCCCTTTTCTGACTTTTCATCGAGCGGATATTTGCAATTGTCATGTTCCAGTAAAGCAAGAAGCTCCTTATTTATCATTTCATCAGCTTGCTCAAATAGTGTAGGAGGCACGAAAGAACTTTTATCTTCATCACCTCGAATTAAAGAATTCATGATAATGTCCAATGAGGCAGCAGGAGGTCTAGGAAGCTCCCTTTGTAGCACTTTTGACCTCTTTTTGAGAAGTGCATCCTGCCTTGCTTGTTCCTCGGCCCTCTCCCTAGCCATTTTGTCGGACATATCTTCTTCGATCTTAACCTCATCCTCCTCAAGTTCAATGGGAGTGGGCTTAATTTGGTACTCATCTTTAGGTTGGGGAAGTCCCGTCAACCCAGATTGTAACTTTTTTCTCATCTCAGCCTGCCTGCGAAGCTCAAGCTTCACGTCATCCATCTCTTTATTAATGCGAAGCTCATCTCTGATGGGAGTCCCTCTAGGCGTTGCACCATAAGAGTACCCATCTCTTGATGGGGTACTACCTATCCTTGGGGTAAGAACCATTGGTCCAGGGCTTGCTAGAGGAGTGGCCAAGGGATTTGGGGTTTGTATCTCCTTCTTCCTTGGGGTGACACCAGAAAAATCGGAAGGATGCAACTCTGGGTTTTCTCCTCCCAAAAGAGGCGTCTGCGACTCCCTCCAACGTGCAAGGTTTTCTGCCTCCATCATGATGGCATCGGCCTTCCCAGCCGGAGTTCTTTGTGGAGTTTGGAACGGTGTCATTCCCTGGCGTGGAGTCTGAGAATAATTCGCAAGAAGAGCACGTGTGGCACTACTTCCTTCTCCTTGATCGTCAGTTCCAGAGACAAGATCACCAGCGTAGCCCATCTTCGCAATCTCTTCCAGCTCCTGATCTGAAATCTGCGGAGCAGGAAGCATGAGTTTTGCTCTCTTCCTTACTGCTTCCGGATCGTTGAGCTTATTAATTTGCAATATCGCCGACGGTGCATCTTGCCTCTGAACTATTTTATTCTTTGCGATGTCCTGCTTTCTCAACTGTGCCTCAACATCAATCCGTCTTTTCCCCTCAAGTTCTTCAATAGTCGTAGGGAATTTAGGTTGTTCAGGTGGTCTCTCCTCACCCGAAGCATCATAAAACCCTGAGGGAGGCCGCTTTTCAAATGGTATCTCTGCATTGTAATCTATTCCTTTTCTTTTTCTCTTCCTGTGCCTATTGTCAATGCCAGCTGCCTTCAATTCCCTCCGCTTCTGTAGAGAGGCGAGCCTCCTTGCCTCTTCTAGCTGCTTCTCCCTTGCCTTCCTTTTCGCTTTTTTTCCTCTGGTATTTGCGAGGCGAGCACGGGCTTCAGAGAGCATCTCCTTCTCATCCTCGTCCATGTCGACTGGATCAGGACGTGCTGGCTTCGACTCAGGGTTTGGGTCAATCTCTCCGGGCCGCAATTTCCGTGGATCATCACTGGGTTCGTAGTTCTCATCCTTGGCACATGCCATATCGAGTAACTTCTCATAACGCTCGAGGCATTGAGATGGTGTCCTCCCAACGATTGGGGCAATTGTTCTCCATTGTGTCGGCATGAGCTTCGCTAGATGAAGCAGCTTCTCATCTTCCTCTCTGGTCCATTCAGTCTGGACGCAAACAATCAGATCTTGTTAGGGGGGAAAACTGTCCAAAATGGAGAAAAATATCACCTAAAAATCATCAGTAAATCGACTCCCGATCAGAGATGAAGCATTCGAGTAACCAGCTAGTACGTGAACATGATAACTGGAACGCCGACAACCAAGGAAGAAGAAAACACAGGTTGAGATTTAGTCACCTTCTTGATAGAAGGATCGAGCCACTCGTACCACCGAGCCTTGCACTGCTTTGCGGATTTGCGGACGAGGAGCGACGAGATTCGTGCCCACTGGTTCTTACCATATTTCATGACCGCGGCCTTGAGGATCTCATCTTCCGTGTTCTTCCACACGCCGCCCTTTATCATAATCCTCATCTTGACTCCCTTCTCTCTCAACCCTAGCCTAAATAACAAGAGTAGAGCTGCCACCAAAGTGGGCGAGCGAAGAACAGAGAAGCTGGAGAAGGAAGACGAACGAATCACAGAGATGAAATGCGATGCCCTCCGCCGAGCGGAATGATCCCCGGCAGCGATCGCGCGGCAATCGGCTTCGAACAAAGTCGTGTCCGGAGAGTGAGCCTTGCTAGCTGCCCTGGATTCTTTATCTAGCTAGGGTTTTCTCTTGATCTCCGCTGCCTCGTCGAAGAAGACACCGTGGACAAATTCGGGTTCAGATCGGGTTCGGGTTAGGGTTCGAAACGGACCCCATAGTGTTCCGCTTCTACGTTCGGACTCTTCCCATTAATCGGAGGCCTGGAAGCCCCCCAATTTAAAGTGGGCCAATTTGGGCCGGCTGCATCCGCCCTGGTAAACAGGATAAAATGCACGCACTTTAAAGAGGATTTAAAGTGGGGCAATCCGAGTTAGTTGGGCCCTGTCTAGACTGGACCGACCACTCTCTCTCTCTCTCTCTCTCTCTCTCTCTCCCCCCCCCTCCCCCCGGGTCATCTCTGATCGCGTCCATTGGCGAATGGTGAGAAGGTGTCCGAGACGCATGGGCGCAGTTAGGCAGTGCCTCCTTCTCTACTCCGCGTGTTTAACGCATCAGGAAAGGGACGAAGGGGTCGTCGGATGATAAGACTAGAATCCCTGGCCGGCCGACAGGGTCCGCCGACGACGACGGTGGGCACAGAGAGTAGTAGTGAGGGCTGAGATAAGGCAGGGCGGGACGCTAGATTAAGACGGACGTCCGTGCCCCGTGAGCATCATCTCTCTCTGATTTGATTACGTGAGGAGAAAGAAATAAAGAAACAGCCGGGGGCCCAACCCCCCCCTTCCCCGAAAACCGTCGGCTAGAAAGAAGTACGTCGCGGTCTCCTCCAGTTTCCTCCTGGACACGTCATCCCTTCCCGACGAGGACCCTCGCCGCCGCCACCACGCGCATGCGACGTTCTCTCCCAGGGCAAGGCCCGGCGTCGTCCCATATATGCTATGCTCTGCGCTGCTCTGCTCGCCGGGATCCGCAGGGCCTCTCTCCGGTGAGGCGAACGGCATAGATTATTGGGGGGGAGGGGACGTGACGTGAGGGGGGGTGGGGGAATCACGCAAGCCACGCGTCGGTTCCCGCGGAGTCCGACTTTATGTGACGTTGGCTCTGGGCTAGGACGACGACGGTGTGCACCAGCTTTGTTCCTCTCTCTCTCTCTCTCTCTGTACGATGGGGCGGCGGGTTGAGAATGAGACGACGTCGGCCACTCCCAAGGGGTAGTTTTCCGAACAAAAGTGATGCGGGTTGATCGATAACGGAACACGTCAGACAGATGGACGGTGTCAGGCGTAAATTTCAACCGACGAAAAAACGGGAGCGGTTTCCGCGAGTGCCGTTAGCCAGAATTCGATCACGAACCCTTCTCGGACGTCGTTGGCCAAAACGGATGGTCACTCGGTTCCCCTCCGCCCTCCGCTCGCCGCACAGAGAGAGAGAGAGAGAGCAGAGCTGCCGGTTCAGCAGGCAGAGTGGGGTGAAAATGCGGGACAGATCGTAGTTACAGAGAGGGATGGAGCGGCGGAGAACAACCGCTGAGCGGAGAGAGTGTCGACGGGAGGGAGCGCGGACGGACAAATAGAAGCACAGGAGAGAGGAAGCAGGGGGACTCCGAAAAACCATCCTCTCCACCGAACCCGAGTCCATCTTCTTCCGCATCCACATCAATCGACATCCCCTTCGCTTTCCGATCGCCATCCCGACCTCGACCCACCTCATTTATTCCTGTCTCCCTGCTGTTGCTGTTTTCTCCGCCCCCGTGGCCGCGGGCTTGCGCCGGGGAGAGGCCGAGCGCCATTTTTGGTTGGTTCTATAGAGGAAAGGGAAAAGAAAAACGCCCAACGGCCGCACGCACGCTACGGGCACCGTGGAATCGAGACGGACAACAAAAGAGGTGCCTCCGACTGCTGTCGCAGCTTCTTCATCTTCTTCTCCTCGGCCTCTTACTTTTCCCGACCACGGAGAGGAACCAAGGTTGCAACGACCGAGGGGCCTTCTCGAACGCGAGCAAACCTGGCGACGCAAGGAGGAAGAAGGAAGAGGAAAAGTGCTGAAGGCTTACCTGGTTTCGATAGATCAAGATAGTTGATGATATTTAGACGCACAAGGCGAGGATCCTCCTCCGGTTACCCGTCTGTTTGAATAAATAGCTCCTCTATATTCACAAGAGAATCGACGCTCGGCGGAGGAGGAAGAAGACCAGGCAAAGGGGTGGCTGCCGACCGTTGACATCCGAGAGCCTTTTCTCCTGATCCCCATCGCCTCTACCGTAACAAAGGAGCAACGATGGACGCGACGGAACAACACCAGCTGCAGAACCAGGAGCCGAGCGCCGACACGGACAAGCTGAGTTACGAGATCTTTTCCATCCTCGAGTCGAAGTTCCTCTTCGGTTACGACGAGGAGAACAGGCAGCTGTGGATTCCCCGTCCCCTCCCCCCTGGTCTTGCCGACGCTGCAGCCGTGGCAACCCCAGCCTCTCCGCCCAACAGTGGCAACATCCAGAGCCAGAGGGGGAAGGTCTGCGTTCTTAGCATTGACGGCGGCGCCGGCATGCGTGGAATCCTCCCTGGTCGGGCTCTTGCATACCTCGAACAATTCCTCAAGAATAAGTCCGGTGACCCTGAGGCCTGCATCTCCGACTTTTTCGACGTCGCCGCTGGCACCGGCGTCGGAGGCGTCTTCGCCCTGATGCTCTTCGCGACCCGAGACGGAACCAGCCCCATTTTCTGCGCAGATGACACCTGGCGCCTCCTCGCCGACAAGGGGAATCGGTTCTTCGTCCACAGGAAGGGTGGAAGAGGGGTAAGTCGACGCCGCTTACTGAGAGGAGCGTTCTGCAGAGGTGGAGAGGGAAGTGGGGTAAAGATTGTGAAGGAGAGCAGAATGACGGCAGCGACGGCCGGGGTGGAGCAGGCAATGAAGGAGGCCTTCGGTGAGGAGCTGACTCTGCGGGACACAGTAAAGCCTGTGCTGATACCTTGCTACGACCTGCGCAGTGGGGCGCCTTTCCTCTTCTCACGGGCAGACGCCCTAGAGGCGGATGGCTTTGACTTCCGTCTGTGGGAGGTGTGCCGAGCGACGTGGGCGGAGCCAGGGAGATTCGAGCCCGTGGACATGCGGTCCGTCGACGGCTCTACCCGATGTGTTGGCGTCGACGGGGGGCTGGCTATGAGTAATCCGGCGGCGGCAGCTATTACCCACGTTCTCCACAACAAGCAGGAGTTCCCGTTCGTGCGTGGTGTTGAGGACCTCTTGGTACTGTCGCTGGGAAGTGGGGGGGGCGTGTCCGTGGTGATCCCGGCGGCTGCTCCCGCTTCGGCTTCGGCGGGGGCGGAGAAGGTCCCCGGGAGTAGGCCATGCTGGCCGTCATCGGCGACCGCTGCTTCCCCATCTTCGGTGGCTGGAGCGCACGGCGAGAGGCAGCAGGAGTGGAATGGGTACGAACAGGTGAAGCGGTGGAAAGCGAGAGAGTGGGCGCGGCCTGTCGCCCGAATCGCGTCGGACGGGTCGGCGGACCTCGTAGACCACTCGGTGGCATTGGCCTTCGGACAGAGCCAGAGCAGCAACTACGTCCGTATCCAGGTACGTTGGGCGGCGATGGTGCGGCGATTTGTATTCGTCTTTAGTTTGAGTTTTATTTACGGTCCTAAAGGACGGGATCGGCCGAAACTGGTGGCTCCCAGTCATACTCCCAGTCTCACCGGAAGATGAGAATTCGGCTTTTGTAAGCTCTCATCGCTCTTACTTGCCGCGAAACAGAAACAGAAGAAGAGGAGACCCCCCCCCCCCCCGGCGCGTAGGTGGGTGGTACAAACCCAAGTCTTCGGGTCTGCCCCCGTGTTACGTCGCAAAACAAAACTCTGCTGTAGGCTTCTTCTCATTTAAGAGATGTCTTTCGAGACATCTAATGTTTTTTTCCCCCCTGTTTCTTCCTTGCCTCAGGCCAACACATCCGGTTCGAGCTCCTTTCATCCGGATGTGGACTCGGACGCGGGCGCGGGGAACGTGAAGATGCTGCTGGGAGTGGCAGAGGAGATGCTGAAGCAGAGAAACGTGGAATCTGTCTTGTTTGGGGGGAAGCGAATCAGTGAGCAGACGAACTTGGAGAAGCTGGAGTGGTTCGCGGGCGAGCTTGTGCTGGAGCACCGGAGGAGGAACAGCAGAATCGCTCCCACGGTGGCGTTCAAGCAGGCCGCCCCAAAGCGAAGGATACTGCCGCCTCGGCCTATTCCCAGAGGAAGCGGCCTAATCTGACTATGAAAGTGAGAAAAAAAAGGTCGGCAGCTAACCACGTCTGCATCATCTCTGGATTTTCTTCGTCAGTCGCCTCGCCCTTGCCCATCGCTTCTCGTCGATAAATGATTGCCTGCGGCGGAGTTCGTTCTCTCGCTGCTGCATAAACAATGGTTGGTTTCTACTGCGGGAAAGACGACAAGAAATCTACCGCTGCCATCTCAAGACCTTTTTTTCCTCTCTGGGGATCTCGGTCCGCTCTCTCGAGTTCTTTTCTTGCTTCTTAGCTCCCTGCCCGATCGTCTGCTTGTCCCGAGCCACGCCTGGACGCAACCGCTGGACCCCAAGGCCTCTCTGACCATGTTCGAGGATGAGCGAGTTACCCGAAAGAGTTTGCAAGGAACAACGGGGGCGAGCGAGTACAGTCAGAGGAGACGTCACGTGTGAAGAATTTCGGTGCTCTCTGGGGAGTCGCGTCCTCACGGGCCCTTCGATTGCGTGCACGGTTAGGTACGCGCGGCGGAGGGAGGAGACTGGGGAAGCCGCGAAGAAGGGCATCCCCCCTGGCGGCGCCACGGTGGCGCTCTCTGCTCTGTCTGGCTGGAGGGGGAGCTCTCTGCTCTTTCTTTGACCATGTCAGTGAACATGGACAACAAGGACGTCGACGAATTTTGGCAGTTCTTCCGGAGGCTCCGCTGTTCTCGGCAGAGGCTGCGCTCCTCGCGGCGACGCCCTCTACTCAAACGAGACCACCTTTACTTCATCCAGGCAATGATGAGAGCCACGCTGGGCCGGGAAAGGACAGGCTGTTCCCCTTGGTTTTTGTGGTGCGTCGGCGTCTGGTCCAAATGACTTGTGCCGCCGGGGTTTGACAGACTACGGACAGGACTGGACTGTTGGACAGACCGCCGCTATCGCCCTTTCTCGCCTTTTCCACCCTCTCCCTCTTGCCGTCTCCTTGAATTCAGAGTCGCCGGGCGTCGGTTTGAGCCTGCGCGTGTCCAGACTCACCTCACTGAGATGCAGTCGCTCTCGTGCTCCCGGTCGGATATTCTCCCAGATGTTCATTTCAGGCAGTGGAGGGGACTGCTACGCTAACCTGCCAGGAGCTTGGAACGCATCTCCCGGAGTGAGAGAGAGAGACACACACACACAAACTGCAGGGGTTCTTTGCTTGGCTGGTCACCGGGGGGGGACTCCCAAGCCCTTCGTCCTGCCTTCGCCCGGCACTGCGTCCGGCCCTTCTCGTGGCCGCCAGGACGAGGGTTCCGCATCCTCCTCTCCACTCCCCGAGAGAGGGAGGGGGGGAGGGGGGGGGCATGAGTTGTAACATCAAATGGCGGACGGAGTGTCGGGTGGCCTGCAAGCCCCGAATGAGAGAAATGAGAACAAGTGCACCCATTCCTCATCGTCCGTACCCAGATGGAGGCTATGTAGCCAGCAAGAGTCGTGATTCGAAAATGCCGGCGGCGCCATGCCGAGCTGGGGACGGTGAAAATGGTTGGGGTGGACCGCACGCCGGAACAGGCAGCCCCTGCCCTGCCGTCTCCTCGTTGCTGTAAGCCGCCATTTCTTAGAGCATCTCAATAGCCCTCCTGGAAAACAAAACCGTCGGCGAGGAGGAACCATTCCTAGATGGCGAAGTGGCTCTCGCGACTCCACCATGCCACGACCAATCGGTCCTTCATTTGGTATAGTAGTAGATGGGTCACCTCGCTCGCCCCTTCGCGCCACGTTGGCCGTCTACGTGTACAGCTGCTCCTATTCGGTGGTAGTTTTGCGGGTGAAGGCTCGGGACGAAGGAGAGAGACGGCGCCTCAAGGTTAACGGGGGCTGGGGGCGGCGGTGGCGGTGGAGGAGGAGAAAGATAGAGAAGGCTCTCTCCCCGGACCTCCTCCGACGTTGCGAGAGAACGTAACCTCTATTCTGTTGCCTCTCGGGCATTCGGCCGCCTCTCCTCCTCTTTTCTACCTTCTTCTCTTGGTTGTTTCTCCGGAACGTCGCCTCCTCCCCCCCTCCCAACTAATCTACAGAGGAGACGTGAATGGCCAAGGTCTTTGCTCCCGTATTTCCGGACGTTCTCTCCCTCTAGTCCTTTCTCGCTGTCGCCGATAAATCCAAGTCCTCTCTCTACTCTCCGTCCCCCATATCATCACGAAACTCCCTACCCGATGGCAGCGCGAGCAATCCGTCTGTTCCCCTCATTAGAGTACGTATCACTTTCTGGGCCATTATCTTTTGTAACACCCCAAAATCGCATTGCGTTACCGCTTACCCTCGCGTTTTCCCCCCGTCCCGTTCTCCAGGCGGTGGTCGGGATTCAATAATCCGGAACTTTGGCGGGACGTCGACATCCCGAAGCCATTTCCTGTGCGTCTTTTTCTTCATCTTTGTTCTGTTGATTGTCGGCGAGATATGGGAAAGCCTGTGTGACTTGCTGTCACCCATTTGTCGATGGACCATCGTAAAACGGGGGACTGACGTCGGCAGAGAGGCCGTCACAGCACTACGATTTTTTTTCTTCCCTGCATTTTATCTGATTTATGGTTCTTTCGATTTGCGCCTCATCTTCATGACAATTTCATTGACAGTAGATGGAGAATTGATAGTTATCGCGCACTGAATAGTTCATGAACAGTCCCCTTCCTCTTCACGCCTACGATCTTTCAATTTGCAAACGCAGACCAACGCGGTACTCATCTTAATTCCTCTATAAGGCATTGTCGTCTACTGCTACGATGGTAAACTTATTTGTTCACGGTAGTATCTTGCAATGATGTCTCATTACTATCTTTATTCTAAATTCGTAGGCAATGTCACGAACTATCGTTAGGGGTAACTCGACGATATGAGGGAGGATTGATGCTTGTGTTTACCTCTATCTCTATGGATTTCTAATTTTTCCCCTGTGCATCTTTTTCTCTTGAACTTTTTTTTTCTTTGAAATTTTAGTGTCCATCTGAAATAGAAATGAACAGTTCTTCATCAATGTTGCCCTTCTTCCATCGATTATCGAACCACGTGGGAGTTATAGAAGACGAACAGACTTCAAAACGTTTAGGGTTTTTTTTTTTTAAGGATGCAGTTCGAGTTGTTGAACAACCTTCCCTCCAGTAATTTCGGTTTCCTCATCTCCCATCGCATCGTGTGGCTTTTCTCTGTTCGACAAACAAGAAGAAATTTCTGCACCGTCCGACGGTTGGTGCCAACTTTTCGGCGAAGATTAAGAGAGAGGGGGGAACACGCTCGGTCAGTTCTCGACCTTGAAGGACAATCATTTTTGGTGCCCACGAAGGCAGAACGTTCCCATCACAATCGGTCTGGTTACGTACATTATATTTCTGTGAATAGCCGCGGAGCCAAACTAACCGAGAAGATATGCCACTCCAAACAGTGCGCGACCTATGGTCTGCATAATACAGCAATTCGCCACTCCGCAGATGGAAATGCAATTCGTGCCATTCGCCATCGTTATTATTCCTGACAAGCTCGTGCAAGCCTCAGAATAAGGTTTCTTTCTCAACCGTGAGTGTGCTTCAGTATAAATTATAGACGATCTTCCTTCATCCGACAATTCTGTCATTGCAGTAGCCAACCAACCAAGGCAGGTGGCGGGTGGGGGGGCGGGAGGGGGGGGTGGGGGGGGGAGCGCTACCTTCATGGTACGCAAAGAGCAAAATTACAAAGGTTGAAGTTCTTGCTCCGGGTGGGCAGAATCCACAGGCCTGTACGCTGTTCCCCCCAGCCGATGTCTCCAAAAATGCCACACGAAAAATGCTGAAAAACTAAACACCACAAACACCGAAACTCCCACTACAATGACCGATTGATGCCCTCTCCACCATGTCCTGAACCATACACAAAGTAATCAAGTCACTTTACCGACCACTGACTCAGGAATTTCAGGGTTTGACACCATCTTCGGATACAAAAGGACACCAAAATTTGCTTCTCGTGGTGGTGTTGAATCCGACTACCACTGTGCACATAGATTGGTCTACGGTAACCAGTACAAATGTCATTCTGAGAAAAATTAAAACCCTGAGGCGAAGTTATGTGCATTCACTGATGAGTGTTGATGGTGAGAATTTATCAAGAACAAGCAAGGACTATAGAAAACTGGTTTATATTTTCTCGTGGGAATTGCCAGGTTTGGACCAAGGTTTACAACTTGTATTGCAGATCGGAAATCAGTTGCCAATCAACAGTAGCCATGCAATCCAAGAGCTCATGGAGTTTAGTGAAGGATGGAAGGTCATCTCATAGTCAACTTTCAGGAAGGGAAGAAACAAAAGGAAGAGAATGGAAAGATATTCCTAATAGTTGGTCCAAGGTTCTTTTTTCTCTCCTTTCATTTATTTTCCGGTGGTTTGTGAGGATTGACGGGCGTTTAAGTCAATACAAGGAGCACACGCATAATGCGACAGACTAAATGGATGTCGAATGGCCCCTCGTCGACAAGGTTCACATGGGATCAAGCTCGACCTAAAACCCTTCCCATAAGTTCGAAAACGATACATTTTTAATTGAAAAAAAATGAAAGAGTTTTATGATATTAAAATCTACCAATTGAAGAAAGACACTTTAAGCTAACAAATGAAAGTTTGCTATGGATTGGCCTGAATGTTCGCGCATCATCCAAGTGTTTGCTCTTCTGTCTCTGTGAGACATACAATTGGATCGTGAAGCCTGAATAGCGAGTTCTGATCCCATACGTCCGGGGATCAGGATGGGATTAGCCAAATCGACAGACGGAACAAAAATGATAGCCTTCTTAATTTCTTCATGTCCAATTACCAATGCCGGGCATACCACATTGGATTGGCTAACTCCCAGCTTTTTTGGCTTGGATTGTCTGGCTTCTTTCATGTCCCTCCACCCTTGACCATATCCGCTCTAAATCACCCAATCCAAACCTGACTATGGTTTTCACCAAACACAAAGGTATAGATTATGGCATACAAACTAAACACGAGTATATCAGAGGGGAATTGGAATTATCCCTTGTCGATTAAGAGTCCCGTAACAATGACTATAATTCACCAGAAACTTCCTCTCTTTGAAAAACCCAAGTTTCTTAGATCTGTTAAAAAGAGAAAAGATGGTTCTCTTCCTTGAGTATCTGCTAAATTAAACCACGTGTATCTACTGAATTTCAAACGTCAAACTCACTTATAAAAATACCTTCTAGTTTAAACCAGATTATGCATTCACAAAAAGCAAAATAAAACATAACATTCAGCGCATAATTAAGTTATTACCTCTCAGATAGACGCTCCACTTTCCAGTCAACAAGTTTGGAAGTTCCAAACTTCTCCGGAAGGTGGACACCGTGTTCAATTAAGCGAGATATTATCCCCTGAAACGAGTTCCATTCAACTTAAAACAGGAGACTCGGCGCTAACATGGTCGGCTAGCTAAGCACTGGAACCACGAAAAAGCCTCACCACTGCAGCATCACGGGAAATAAAATCAGCAGAACCTGAAGGAGAGATACTCCATCTTATGAGTGACCCTTGGCTTTCACTCTTGAGACTTATTAAGCTGACCTGTTTGTTTCCGCGATAACAGAGATCATTAACAAGGAATTCACGAATCATAGGTTTGACTTAGACCTGAGGATGTACACTGCATCCTCGTTAACGCATAGAGCGTATCTAAATAAGAAACAAAACACAGTATATTTTATATTACCTGAGATGCATTGACTTCCAAATCACGTGCAATATACTCTGCAAGTTCTGAGATATGTGGCACCAGGTCCGACTTATTCATGCTTACATGAATATCAAATGTGATAAGCGAAACATTCCACTCGCCTAGAATTAAACACCAAAAGTACATTAGAAACAGAGACCATCTATGTTCACCCGGAAATAATCAGAAAGGAAAAAGATAAACAATGATGACTTTCATTATGATGGAAATATTAAGCTACCATAGGTCATACACCTCTCCAGTACACACTTTCTAGCCATTCGCATGATACTTCAAAATTTCTTTTTCACTCCCCATATCAACTGAAAGATCATCTTGATGTGACAACAATGTTTTCACATTTTTCCACGCAATTTACTAGGTTAATAAATCTAAGGCACAAGATTGTTATTGAGACCTAAACATTTCGTTGAAGAGTGCTGACGGCTATTTCGCGAAACACAATGAGAACAATGACTAAATAATTGTTGGTGTTTGAGCTCAAAACAAAGATTAAAAGATTCAGGGTCGACGCTTCACCAAGATTCTTCAGGTATTAAGCAAGGCGTGCAACACTGTTCGTGAGTTTATGTAGCACACCTCCCCAGCTCGACAGCCGGAGATATATATATATATATATAACCGAGAAAGCAAGATGGGTGTTCTCAATCGGCGAAGCCTCACTCCCCAGCCCGGAGATATAAATAAAACCAACCGGAAGATGTTCTCAATCGGCGAAGCCTCGCTCCACTAACTGAAACAACTATTTCAAATGTTGGCTGGTAAAACGTTTTTGTTTCTCTCTTTAGGCAAAAAAATAGTGCGCTGTGAAGTGAAGCGAGAAAACGATTCAAAAAACATCCACTGACTTCAAGACTTGAGGCGTTCCCAAGGATGAAACAACGAAACTTTTCATTACAAGTGTTGTTATCAAGATCCGTGGGGGGCACTCCAACTCGAACCATCTATCTCTAAAATTGGTAGATCAGCGTAAGCCGCTCTTTTACTTGCTTTTTTTATTGGAGGCCGGTTGAAGGTGTCAAAATTAAATGTGAACGAGTATTAAGACAAAACTGATCAACTTCATTTGTCTCCTATCAACACCGACTAGGATGCATCTTTCCATCTCCCTGAAAACCAATATTGGCCATAAACCTGAACAAACGTTTCAAACACACTCCTGTGTCGAAACAAATCAACTTTCAGCACCAGAACTATTCTCTGTTTCCAAACTGAATATGGTGTGCATTGTTTTATCGAAGACCAAAAAAATGGAGGCAGGATTATCATATTATTCCATGGAGAAAAATGTTTCATGCAAATACTTAAACCGGTAGAGCAAGTCGATTATTCCCTAACGTCGATTGGTTCCTGATCTGGTGTTATTAATGGTCAGAAGCAAATATTGAGACCAACTTTTAAGATGTCAGTCATCTGACCTGGCAGCATGTCTGGTGAACCACTGGGAGACAATACAGGTTGCGGTGCCGTAGTTGAATTACCAGAAAAGGGATCAGAAGGAGCTGGTGCTGGAGTTAGCAAAGAAGAATCACCAAAATGAAGTTTCTCCAACAACTGCGAACAATTGGTTTTCCAGAAACCAACTTTTTGATTCGCACGGTCATACATTACTAGAGTATTTCGAACAATAATTCCTGTAAAAGAAAAAAAGGAATCGTAAGAACTTGTGACTTACTATATAATAAAAAGACTGCTACTCAACCAGCTCATAAAATGAAAGATACACAAGAGCGATGAGCAGAAAAACTCTCTCCTTCTAGTACAGTGGATGGTTTTCAATTAGATGCACAAAACTGAAACAATAATTTATTACATTATCAGGTTGCGCAGTACGGTAGTTGTCAACTCATTAATAGAGTGTGCAGAAAAGCGGAAGTGTTGATATTGTGTTAACTTGATTATGGCTTAAATAGAAGGAATATGATCACTAGCCAAACAAAAAGACAATTTCAAAACTTGTACCTCCCAGAAGTGTTGTTGGATCATTTTCATTCTTAAAAATCCCAAGGCAATATGCACCAAGCACCTTTGAATGCTGTACATAGACCACGAAAATAAAGAAGCACAAAGTGAATAAACCAAAGTGAATTTTACAAGGATCACAAACAGAAAAATCCTACATAATGAGTAATCGCAATATAACTCTTAACCGAGGAGCATCTACTCTGTCATCACTATATTACCCGGAATAAGTAGTTTTCGGGAGAAAGTGACAACTTCTGACCATTACCGAATACCATATCAACTTCAGGAAAAGTCTCGGAAAGGTGGGAGACGTTGCTGCGTACGATAAAAAAAACACTTAAATAGTTACTTTTAGATTAGAAAGGAGGATTTTATCCATCAAACAACGAAATTAAACTAAAAAACAGTGCAGTACCTTCCAGCCCCAGAAAAACAGATATCCTTATAACTGGGATCTGGACCAGGGATTTGCTTGAGAAGAGAATCAACGTGCTTCATGACCTAGAACGCACTGAACAATTAAAAAATAACTACTATCTTGCAGCTACGAGAGAAGAAGAACAGATAAATAATTTCACATTAAAATTGAAACGTTTAAAGAAGAATTACACTATACTGCACACTAAGCTGAACTACAACATAATATTTCAGTCTTCTGGACCTATTTCTTGTTCTCTTTCTAATGACTGGCAGATGATCCTAGATACAGAAATCCCTAAATCATTTCAAAGTTCGATTTACTCTGTTTTGGCCTAGTCCTTATAATACTACCAGTCATATGATAGTCTGTATCAGTGGGCACCATCACCTCACATAGTTTGTTTTGATAAGAAGGGCCCAAGAACGTTTTCAAAGCCGAACATTAACTTCATTTCCCTTGGAAATTTTTCCTTTCTCGAACTGTTACAGTAATCATCGTAAGAGTCATGATTCGTTCCAGAAAGGCTTCACTACTTTAATGGATACCCTGAAGATAAGTCAACTGTGTGCGTAGAAAAGATTTGGTTATTAAATATTTTCATGAGCAATTGTCCCAATAATCCCAATTAAAAGTAATAAATCAACAACAGATGTTTCAGATGAAACTGATTACAAATAAATAACATATTTTTCAGCAGATGTTTCAGGTTTCTTCAGTAAATAGTAGTAAAAAATAAAATGGTAACTTACAGCATCACGAAATGAATCAAATGCTGTTGTCGGTAAATATGCATATGTAGTGCCACTGTCCAGAACAGTTCCATACTTTCCATTAAATATCCTTGCATCTAACGGCAGCTTCTTCCCAGCGATGTGTATTTCCTTCAAGTCTAGATTATAATATGGACTATTGCCACCCCAAGGCTAGAGTAAATGTGTGAGATGCACCAAATGCATTTATGCTATAAGCAAAAGAGTACTTATCATTTGAAAAGTGAAATTAATCGTACCTACGATTCGGGTCAGAATAGGAAAAGACCATGTCAGGAGGAGGAGAAATTCCACCAAGAACCATCGCACCACCTCCAACGCCCATCCCGCCATAGCATAGGGAAAACGAATCACTGATAACCCCCTTTTCAACAAGTTGATCCATCACACTGAGCCGACCACGGCCTAGGCCCATGATGCCATCAGCACGCTGAGTGTACAGATCGCCAGTTTCTGAATTTTCACAGCCAAAAACAGCCCGTTGTGGCACAAGTGCGCTCTCCTTGCCGAATGAGATAAGATCCTCACCAAGAACCCCACTGCTAGAGCTCCTTTCTGCATACTGCCTCTCATATGTACACTGGTTCTTTTCATCGTCACAAGCACAATCAGCATTACATTTTACCGGCTGATAGGTGCTTGATTTATCAGGCTGGAACCTTGGGTCCTAGAAAGAAAATGAGATTAGTATATATAACTAGGAACAGATGAAAAATAAATATTTCTACTAGTATGTACGTATCCAATGCTTTTGGTCTGAAGTTCGAAATTGAAGCTAAATAGAGAACCCCACCGATAAGCATGTATGCTTTCAAGAAAAATGATTTTTTTTTAAAAAGGCATCTAGTTCCAAAAAATATGAACGCCATAAACATAAGTCGACGCAATTTAAGACGAAACTAGATCACAATCTACGCTAATTTTCCCATTTGAATGTATCCTTTTCCATAATAGCTACTATCCATAGAAATATTTCTCATGTTGGATCTCAGTCGAGGCAAGCGTTAAATAGACGATTCTCTGACAAATCTTCTCCAACATATCATTTTGTACGGCTCATACAAATTTCATACTTTTGAGATTTACAAAATACTCGAATCACTGGTTTTCCTCTGCTAACAAAAATTGGAGAATCATCTTGTCAACCTGAGGAAAACTCAAAATGGTTCATCCTCAGATGCGGACGTGTGGTATTAGGGGTGGAAGTTGAGGGGAAAAGGATGACACCTGAGTCAGATAATTCTTTCCACGGGGAACCAAACATCATGGAAGTGGAAATCTAAGGCGACCAACTGACAAATAAGTAGCCCTGGTGGTTCACTGCCTCCCTCTCGCCAAAGGATTAATAAAAAAGAAATCACGAAGCGAAAAAAAGTCATAGTAAGAGAAACCACGTAGTCAAGGTCAGTAGTGCCAAATGCAGCGCAAATCCAGTGTGTAAATCAGCATTTCTCTACTCACCTATCAACTCACGTAAGGGTCACAGCCAATTACTGGGCAGATAGTTCCACTATAAAAGGCAAACCTGCTATTCAAAATAATTACTGTGACAGAGGCACTGTAGAAAGGCTATTCAAGGCATTCTTGGCGCAGAAAAGGGGAGTAGTAAGGCAGACGATGACTTCAAGGTCAAAGAGGCGTGAATGTCTGTGTAGGGACGATTATTTTGTGACGGGAAATTTCCAATCTAGCTTTCACATTTTTTTAATAGAAACGTCCGCAAATTACAAAAAATAATAACCACCCTGCCTTGGGTAATTGTCATGTTCATGACTCAAATTTTAAAACCACTTTCAAACAATCGAATTTTGCAAGACGACATAGCACTCAGTGTAATTTACACGTTCGTAGCGTACCTGATGCTTACCACACTGCTCGCAAGTAGAGCAGGGGACATACGTCACGGTGCTTCCCGAGTCCACGATCAGGGCGAACTCTTGAGGCGGCGTCCCAATCAAGAGTCTCGTTGTGTAGTACCTGCAAGAGGTAGATCCGACCCAAAGTAAGCAAAAGATGAGAAACCTCTAGCCCGATGGAAGCGCTCAAAGCTAGAAAAAAAAGGTGAAAGATGTAGATCGGTTAGTCTAGGAGAAAAGGGGTGGCAGACAGAACCCGTTACTGAGGAGATCGTCATAAAGCCTCGTGCGGGCAGATTGCTTCTGGTCGTCGGATCCCTGCAGATGCCGCAGCCGTCGCCTCCAGTGATCCCCCTCGGCGGGGAACCGTAGTGTTGAGTTGGCCGCCCTTAGGATCAGCGGTAGGATCATCGCCTTCGTCCCCCCGTGCGCGAGTGCGGAGCCCGGATTCCCGGAGACGCCCGCGTCTCTTGCGAGGAGGAGCAAGAGCAAGAGCAAGAAGAGCGGAGGAGAATGGCACTGGGACGACGGTCGTTCTGGCGACCGCGCCATAGCCCGGCGCCGCGTCGGACTTCTGCCTCTCCTTCCTCGGTACTTTGTCTTCTTATTCTCTCCTGTCCTGTCCTGTCCCCTCCCCTCCACCGTTGACGACGATGATGCCGACGGAGGAGGTACCAGAAATCTGGATCTTCTTTCTCGCACAATTTCTCTGCAAGATATGAGCCTTCTCTCCCCCTTCTTCCTGCGGGGCCCACTTACAGGGCACAAACAGGAATGGCCCTCCGAGGGGCCGGTGATCAAGTAATCATTATATTTTTATGCGCGCTGGAAGTTACATTCTGGGAACTACCAGGCCGAACGAGGCCTTTCTTTTGCCATGGTTTGGTTAATATCACTGGTTCATTAGATCTGGTTGTATCCACTTGCCTTCCTCCTCTCTAGCTACCCATGTGAAAAAGAAGTTTTTTCGCTTCCGTGAGCTCAACCCATCCTCGTGGGAAACATGATGACGGGTTCGTCGCGTTTTTTCACACGCGTCCTCGTGTTAGCTACGCCCTCGTTACTAAGTAGAAGCGGAGACGAGTAAACGCTGATTACTGGATAGCCATCATCTCACGGGTTAAAAAACTCCCGCAAGAAAGTCAACGCTAGATGGATACTCGGGACGCGTTAGGCCTCCCCCACCCCCATCCGACCCCACCTTTGGCGCTCGCGCATCGTAATCGTCATCTGCATCTTCACACTAATAATCCCTGATGAAGATTTCTTCTTCGAAGGCGGCTGCTGCCCCCCCAACTGTCAGGTTGAATTGTTCGTCTGCCGAGGACCAAGAAAGTATCTTTTCTAGGCGGCTCCAGAAAATCTGACCCCTCCCTCCATTTTAGGGGAACCCTCGCCCGTCCGAATTATAGCGAGATGTTCTACTGGCTGACGTATTGGCCGGGCCGGAAGACAGTAGGGCGTCGCGGCTGAGAATTCGGCCATCTTGTTGCGACTTATTCGTGGCGTCGCGTTTTCCAACGGGACTTCTATCTTCGTCCGATCCTTACAATTACTGGTACATCTACAACAACAATAACAACGACAACAAAGAGCGGGCAACCCAGGGAAGCAACCTTCCGCCCGACACGTACAAAGGCCGGTCGGCTTTGGAGCGCAGAAGAAAGTTCTTAGGATCTGTTAAAAAGAGAAAAGATGGTTCTCTTCCTTGAGTATCTGCTAAATTAAACCACGTGTATCTACTGAATTTCAAACGTCAAACTCACTTATAAAAATACCTTCTAGTTTAAACCAGATTATGCATTCACAAAAAGCAAAATAAAACATAACATTCAGCGCATAATTAAGTTATTACCTCTCAGATAGACGCTCCACTTTCCAGTCAACAAGTTTGGAAGTTCCAAACTTCTCCGGAAGGTGGACACCGTGTTCAATTAAGCGAGATATTATCCCCTGAAACGAGTTCCATTCAACTTAAAACAGGAGACTCGGCGCTAACATGGTCGGCTAGCTAAGCACTGGAACCACGAAAAAGCCTCACCACTGCAGCATCACGGGAAATAAAATCAGCAGAACCTGAAGGAGAGATACTCCATCTTATGAGTGACCCTTGGCTTTCACTCTTGAGACTTATTAAGCTGACCTGTTTGTTTCCGCGATAACAGAGATCATTAACAAGGAATTCACGAATCATAGGTTTGACTTAGACCTGAGGATGTACACTGCATCCTCGTTAACGCATAGAGCGTATCTAAATAAGAAACAAAACACAGTATATTTTATATTACCTGAGATGCATTGACTTCCAAATCACGTGCAATATACTCTGCAAGTTCTGAGATATGTGGCACCAGGTCCGACTTATTCATGCTTACATGAATATCAAATGTGATAAGCGAAACATTCCACTCGCCTAGAATTAAACACCAAAAGTACATTAGAAACAGAGACCATCTATGTTCACCCGGAAATAATCAGAAAGGAAAAAGATAAACAATGATGACTTTCATTATGATGGAAATATTAAGCTACCATAGGTCATACACCTCTCCAGTACACACTTTCTAGCCATTCGCATGATACTTCAAAATTTCTTTTTCACTCCCCATATCAACTGAAAGATCATCTTGATGTGACAACAATGTTTTCACATTTTTCCACGCAAGAACCATCGCACCACCTCCAACGCCCATCCCGCCATAGCATAGGGAAAACGAATCACTGATAACCCCCTTTTCAACAAGTTGATCCATCACACTGAGCCGACCACGGCCTAGGCCCATGATGCCATCAGCACGCTGAGTGTACAGATCGCCAGTTTCTGAATTTTCACAGCCAAAAACAGCCCGTTGTGGCACAAGTGCGCTCTCCTTGCCGAATGAGATAAGATCCTCACCAAGAACCCCACTGCTAGAGCTCCTTTCTGCATACTGCCTCTCATATGTACACTGGTTCTTTTCATCGTCACAAGCACAATCAGCATTACATTTTACCGGCTGATAGGTGCTTGATTTATCAGGCTGGAACCTTGGGTCCTAGAAAGAAAATGAGATTAGTATATATAACTAGGAACAGATGAAAAATAAATATTTCTACTAGTATGTACGTATCCAATGCTTTTGGTCTGAAGTTCGAAATTGAAGCTAAATAGAGAACCCCACCGATAAGCATGTATGCTTTCAAGAAAAATGATTTTTTTTTAAAAAGGCATCTAGTTCCAAAAAATATGAACGCCATAAACATAAGTCGACGCAATTTAAGACGAAACTAGATCACAATCTACGCTAATTTTCCCATTTGAATGTATCCTTTTCCATAAGTCGACGCATTGGGCCTCCCCTTCCTCCAAGCCGTGGCGCTCGCGCATCGTAATCGTAACCGGGATCAACATAGGTATCCCTGAAATAATTTGACCCCATAAAGGTTTCTTAGAAGGAGGCTGTCCCCGTTGGACGGCTCTGCAGAAACCGTAGTACTCGCTGGTGTCTTCGCCGGCGTGTTTTTCCCTGGACCGCCTACTACTTGCGGATACTGAGAAGAGATTGAAACGCAGGCAACGTCACTTGGATATCATGCAAAATTCGAACCCGTTATCCGGTCCAGAGACGTGCCCCCGTCACATGGAGACCTCGTATTTCGAGCGAAGTTTTCAGGGATGGAGCGGCGTGTCTTTCAGAACTAACTTTCACATCGAATTGTTTCGTCTGGCGAGGGAAGAAACGTCTTTTCTAGGCGGCTCCAGAAATTCTGACCGCTCTCTCCATTTTAGGGAAACCCTCGCCCGTCGGAATTATAGCGAGATGTTCTGCTGGCTGACGTATTTTGGCCGGGCCGGAAGACACGAGGGAGCGGCTGAGAATTCGGCCATTTTATTGCGCCTTATTCGTGGCGTCACGCTTTCCAACGGGACTTCTATCTTCACGCACACACCCAAACCCCCTTCCTACCCTTTTCCAACGGGACTCCTATTGTATCCGAATGTGGACGACCGGAATGGAGGGTGGAGGAAGCCGTATAGGTCGCGGTAAAGAGGGGCGGCGCGTGGCAATTGGGGAGAATAAGAACCTACCACCACAACCTCCTCGCCCTCCCGGTCTCCTTCCGTCACCCAACTGTGCACCCCTCCCTGCCAGTCCTCATCCCCCGCTCCAGCACCGGCATCATCAGTATGACGGCGACTGTCGGTGTGCTCGCGTTACAAGGCTCCTATAACGAGCATCTTGCAGGCGAGCCTCATGAATCTGTGATCCTCTTGTTGAAATCTTTACTCCGTCGTCTCCCTTTCTTTTGTTTTACTTCAATTGCCTCCACAGTGCTGCGGAGGTTGGGGGTGAAAGGGGTGCAAGTGCGGAAGCCCGAGCATCTGAACGATTTGGGCGCGCTCATCATTCCCGGAGGAGAGAGTACCACCATGGCCAAGCTCGCCGAGTACCACAACCTGGTCCGTACCGCTGCTACTCAATTCTCCTACCCTCTGTTACCGTACTTGCTTGATTGCGCGACTAGTGCCCCCGGGTGCACTGCCGCTAACCGCTACTTTCTCGTCGCTAGATAGGAGAACCTCGGCTTTTGTCTCCCGTGTATTCATTTCTCCACTCTGTTTGCGGTAGGCGCGAAATTCTGCCACTTTGTCCGTTCCTGAATATGAGGTATATTTTTTCATGACAGGGGCCATTATTTTCTATTCCTGTTTTTCATCGGCGATGTCTTTCTTCGAGAATCACCGGGCAGCAAAAACATGCAGTTTGTTCGAGAATAACCAGACTTAAAAACAGAGGGGTTTCCCACGTCTTGACTCACTCTTTCGTCAGGGGAATGGAATGGAGGGGTGCCCGACGTTCGTTCTATGATGGAAAAACCGTCGGATGTTCAGTCTAGTTCCTGATCCATCGCTGATGACAAAAAAGATGGATGGACATGTGAAAACACTGACCAGTCTCCCTCCATCACTAAACTTCGTTGTCTGCGAAGACTATCAAATACCTTAGGTTTTCAAAAACTACCCATATGCAAGGCGCCGTCTTAACAAGAGCGAAAGTTTTGAGAGAAAGATTCTCTCTCCTGCACGCTTCTCTGTAGAATTCTATGCTCAATTCTCGAAGAGAGAAGCATTTTTCTTTTTATGCAAACCGAACCCAAATAGGTTTCTGTGACTAATCTGCTCGCAGATGTGCCATCTTCTTACGGGAACACAGTACAGCATCATCTTTTAACCGCATTTTCGGCCGTTGGTAGTGGCATCAGGCATCAGGCATCCTGCAGCATCTATTATCTGGGATCTAAATTGCCATTTTTCATTATCGTAGCTACAAATCTTTCTAAAGACGAGGAATAGAGTTTCCAGTTCAAGAAGTACTCTTGTGTCATAGAATGAAGAAAATTGCACGGATGGGAAGTGTCACAGCTTAAAACACGAGACTAGTTTCTGAAAACCGGTGTGTGTTTGCAGTTTCCGGCGCTGCGTGACTTTGTCAGGACTGGAAAGCCTGTCTGGGGCACTTGTGCAGGACTTATCTTCCTGGCAAACAAGGCCGTTGGTGAGCAGACATACGTACTAAAGATGTGCGGTGAAATTGTTTCCAAATGAAGATTAAAGTCGATGATCTTGTGTCTCAGGGCAAAAATCAGGAGGGCAAGAGCTTATCGGCGGCCTGGACTGCACTGTCCATCGGAACTTCTTTGGTAGTCAGGTAACGGTGGGATATGATCATTTGGTTGACAGCGAATTCCAGGTATCGAGGCGCTCGTGATTCTGAACGAACGCACGGCTTATAATTGCGTTGTATTCTCGCTACTCCGACCGTGATTTTAGGAAATATTGGGGCGCTTGACTTTTTTTTTTGTGGGCTGTTGAATTCTTGCAGCTTGAGAGCTTTGAGACACAGATTTCCGTTCCCGAGCTCGCAGCTAAGGAAGGCGGTCCTCCCTGTTTCCGTGCAGTATTCATTCGTGCGCCAGCTATCTTAGAAGCTGGGCCTGATGTCGAAATTCTAGCCAGCTATTCTTTTCCAATCGGTAAACCTACAATTGAAGAAGCAGCTCTCCAAGAGGTTTTGCCTATCCCTATTGTTTTTTTGTACATTAGCTGGCAGTTGCTTTATCAAATAGGGATGTTGAAATTTTTTTCAGCGCGCCTCGGGGCCATCATAAAACGTTAAACATTCAGTTCAACGCATTTACCGCACCTTGTATTTTGGTTTGCGTCGACATAACAGCATTTTTTACGGATTACCCTTGTGTGAAACTGTTGGTCTGCACGTGGATAGTTTTATATCCTATCTTCCTAATGGGCTTGATATCCATCGTCGATTGCGAGAAAGGAGCCTGTTTAGCCCGTCAAGGGGGGATCGACATTGCTCTAAAGTAATTATCTGGATATGAGTTTACATAGTCTTGAAGTTTGTTGTTCTAAAGCTTGTGCTATTTCTTCTTCGTCTTCTTCAAGGTTTTGTAAAAACTGAGGGAAAGCGTTAAGCGAATGGCCCTGCATTTTGCTCTTAGCCTGTATTAAAAACACGAAGGCACATTTATGAGTCCATGTAAGAATCTTCTTCTTCCCGAGGTTCTTTTCCTCAGCTATGTTGATTGTTATCTCACATTCCGAACAAAGTTTCAAATCCAAGACGACAGTTCCTTCCCATCCCAGTGAGCATTAAAAACAATGGGCAATCCACGGATCCTAACTGAATCTAGCAGACTCTTTATGCCCGAATTGGGTTTTCAGATGAAGGCGAGGATGATCGATCTTTTTTCTTTTATACACTGTTTCAAGGGTAAAAGTTCCGAACTGGGCCGTGGTAATTTGGACTGCGCTGTCGCAATCCCTCCCCAGAAAACAAATGTTTGAACGATTTGGTCTCCCGAAATCCTTTTTCGCCTTTTCTTTTTCTTCTGGGACTGCACAAATTTGAAGTCGATTTGATTTCTTAAAGCCCAACGCGATTTGGCCAAGAATATTCCTCCGTCCCGAGGAGGCAGACACCCTCTCGCAGCTATCCCACTTCAATGCTTCTCTCACTAGCATCCGGGAGGAAGCTTGAGGAATCGCCGTCAGAACCTTCGACAGGCTATTGTCTTGGGGTAAACTTCATGCGGATTCACGTTTGTCCCATCCATACTGTTTGAGTTGACCAGAGACGCCAACCTAGGGCGCAATTAGAAATCTCGTGGCTTAGCAAATTTCTTGGCAACAGAATGGTAAATTTTGAAACCCTCCTGTTGACTCTTCGAATAGCTGCTTGTTTTCTGTTCGGTCTTGTACACACAAGAAGCAACATGCTTTTGATCGCCTGCGTATCGCTTTTGATTTCACCTTGTGAAGTTCTTTCTATCATGGGAACGCCTCTGGAAAGTTCCTTCTCATAAACTAGGTTGGCCCTTTTTCCCTCGAGGTGGCGGTGGGCTCCTATAGAACAGTTTTTTTTTTTTTTTTCAGCAGCCGAAAGTATTTCTTTCCTTGATGGAGTAGAAATGAACCTTCCATCGCCCTGTAAGATTCCAGGTGACTGCCCCGAAAGCTAGACGAGGCTAATGTGAACCTCCTAGAAGAACGACATTCGAATCGCGAGAATGGGAGCGTATCCCGTGGCCGCTTTACTTCCATTAACCGTCTAAAGTTGAGCGACGCCTTCGGTGTTTTTCTGTATTCGTCTTCCTTTCCTGGTGGATTGGGGGTGTTGAGCGTGTGCATTCACGGTTTCCAATCTATAGTTCTCTCTATGAATGATGGATGATGGGTGCGCCCCGCCACTGTTTGACAGGGTAAGGTGATTGTCGCCGTGAGGCAGGCCAACTTGTTGGGCACGGCCTTCCACCCCGAACTGACGGCAGACGTACGATGGTGGGGCACCCTTCCCCTCTTTTATTCTGCGATAAGCACAATTGTTCTCGGCTACGCATTGTTCACATCGGCTGCTCGTCTTGCAGGCACAGGTTCTTCTTGAAGATGGGGAAGTGGACCGAAGAAGAGGCCTCCACGTCCGCGCTAGGGCCAGATGTCCAGAGAAGAGATCGTATTGATCTCCCCATATTTGAATAGGACTTCTTTGGAAGATGTACTACGTTCTTGTCCGTCTCACCCGACTCTTACTTATCCAAGTTCACATTGTATTTAGTGCTGGTGGCCGGGATACGCAGCTGCTGCTGCTGCTGGGAGTGGCGCTGGGTGAGGTTTTCGATCTAGTTTAGTCAATCTCCCTCCCGATCCACGGGGCGAAGGAATGGATTACTTTCCTTCATCCCATCGTTACAGGTACTACTGGTACAACAAGTACAACAACAACAACAACAGGAAAAGATCGGGCAATCGCGGGAAGCGATGTGTCACCTTCCGCCCGACACGTACAAAGGCCGGTCGGTTTTGGAGGGCGGAAGCAAGTTCCTTCGCCTTCCCCGCCGGTTGACCAAACAAACAGTGCGACCTCGGCAGCAATTGCCGACGAGATGAGCAAACAGCACGAAATCAGACAACTCCCACCGCCACCTTGGCGCTTCCACCGATACCACTGCTGCTGCTGCTGCTGCTTGCGCCTCGCCCAGGCTGCTGATGACGGCTTCTGGACTCCGTTGTTCTCTTGCTGCCCGACGTAGCGGCGGCCGAGGGATTCTGATTATTCGCGGCGGCGCCCTTTCTCAACCTTCTCTCACTCGTTTCCAACGGCTGTTTCTGGTGATGCTGCTGCTTCTGGGCCTCTCGAGGACCGAACTCCTCACCGATTTCCTCCGCCCCATTGTTCGACCACGAGGACGTCCAGCAACGGTCGGCGGACTCGGCTGAGTTAGGTTCACACGGAGACGCCCATGACTGACCGACATAGCTATTGCTTCCTGCTGATTCCTGCGGCTCCAAGTCTTCCCCCAAATCCCGCGAGGACACATATTTGTGAAGACTCGGCCTCATCAGATCATCTTTGACGACTGCTTCAGCTTCCACGAACTCATCCTGCGTCGGTCCCAACTTACCAGTTTTGACAGAGTGATAATGTCCTTCGTCGACACGGGAACGATCAGTTTCGGAGATTTTGCTGCCAAAAGAGGAGTTGAGATCGGCAACAGCTTCGAGGATGGAGCAGGCTTTCGAGACACAAGCCGGGAGGGAGAAAGCAGCTGTCTGTTGGTGATAGTTCTGGATATCTTCAAGCAGCAAGGATGTGTAAGAGGTTTGGTTCAGAAGGTCGTCCGGGTTTGCGTCGAGATCCCTGGAAGACCTCCTAGAAGATCTGCTTCTTGTTATGACCCTCGGATTGGGCGGAACTTCCACTTCTCCACCCTTGGGAACCATTCTCGGCATCTCTTCACGTTCCTCTGACGCCCGTTGCAGTTGCTCTTTCGCCCTGCAGCTCAATAGCTGCTCCCTCACGCATCTGCTGTTGCTGCTGGTGGTGCTGCTGCTGTTCACCACATTCATTACCTCCACAACTGCATTCCTACGCAGGGGGGCGGAGTTCTCGCCGATTTTCTACCGGTAAAAGCAACAATGAAATACATCAGGAAACAAAGAAATACAGTTTTAGAACTTGATCAGAGGCCTTTGAGAGAACCAGATCTTTCATCTCACCTGTACGTGATTTGAGGTTGTAGGCTTTCTCATCCCCTCCTCCGATTTTCTGTTATTATGTGCTTTGTTGTTGTCGTTGTGTGACATCTGGTCGGCCTTCAGGGATGGCGGTTGGTCCACCTTGAGGACGATGTTGCCGTCGACTTCGGACATGGGGTTCCTTCTATAAGGCGATTGTTCGGCCTTTCTGGACGAGCTCCGGCTCAGCGAATGTGTATTCTCGTTACAGGATCTAGAGGGATTACCGGGAGATCTGGACCTAGGAGAGCCGCTCCTCATCTCGCCGCCTCTCTTGTTGCCGCCGTCAGCCAGAGAAAACGGTGGGGGCGGCTTTCTCGAGCCCATTCCTCCACCACCAGCTTCTGAAGAAACGCTAGGTTTCTCTCTTGCTGGGACCGAAACCATCTTCCCTGGCGTCTGCCTTGACTTTTCAAGGGCTGAGGAGGCCTGGGAGGAGGAAGCCACCACGCTTTCCGATCTCCTCCCAGGGGATCGGCTCACCCTCCTGCCTCCGTTGCCGCCACTCCCCCTCTCTCTGCTGCCAGGGCGTTTCTGTTCACCAGATTCTCTGTCCCGGCTCAGGGTTCTCCGGTGCCTTTGGGGAGAGGCCCTGTTGAGCTGTGGCTTCTCTCTGTCCTCCTCGACACTCCTGTCAGTGCAGTCGAAGTCGTAGCTCCGCTTCCTGGATCTATGGTAACCGGCTTCGACAGCGGAGGAATTGCGACTAAGACGACCGCACTGTATAAGGATAGATTCGACCTCCTCCTTTGTGCAACTGGAGGTTCTGACAGTGGAGGCGTTGCCGGAATCTTCATCCTGGGGACTAGCGAGTCCATTCCTGTGCTTTGTAGCCGCTGTCGGCGCCGCTGATTTCGTTTTCTCCGCGTCCGTTGTGTGAGCCGCAACGGCGGCAGCCGCTCCCGTTGCAGCTTGTTCATCGGTTCCTTTCAGTTGGGCCTTCTTCTCCTTGCTCGGTACGGCGATAAAGATCTGCTTCTTGCCTGGGACGGTAGCGGCTTGTGCCTGCTGCTGTTGGGCTCGCGGTGGCGTTGCTGCTGCTCCGGCAGGTCGGTGTGGAAGAGGTTTTGATGCGGGTGGATTCTGAGTAGGAGTGGTAGCAGAGCACAGTCTCTTGCTCTTCTTCTTACTGAAGCAGATACCCATGGTAGGCCAGCCGGTAAAGAGCAACGCAGGACTGGAGAGAGATGACGAACGGAGGAAGCTCAGCTCTTTGGGGACGATAGCCCTCTTAAAGGAGAGAGAGGAAGAGAGACTAAAGAGATGAGGAAAGGGCCCACGCAGAGTAGCGGGGCAATTCAAATTTGAATGAGGGAACCGTTGTCTGAGGACCCCGACAGCTGTCTGGTCCACAGAGCGATCTGGCCAATGGTGATGGGAACCAACCTCTTCCAACAGTCGAGCCATATCTTTTCCCCGGATTAGGAAAGGAGCGAAAAGCCTATGACATTTATGAACTCAGGAATAAGCAGAAGGCCTTGGATGCAGCCTGTCCCTTGTCCGGTGGACCCCTACGACTCCCCGCGGTGTATGCGTGTTTTGCTATTTCGCAGGGGGCGTTTACCTTTCTTTAATCGTCTTCCACCGATGATGGCGGCTTCCCGTCGTTATATACGACGAGCTCACGTCGGAGGCGTTTGATTCCGTATTATCTCATGTCAGAGGGCGTCTATATGCTATGCTACTACGTTTCCACATAAGACGGAATTTCCCCGAATCCGACCGTTTGTGCGTGCGTGGGAGGCCGACCGAGTCCGAGTGTTTGTCGGACGGGTTCGCCGCCTCCCCTCCCCAAAATGTGTCATCGGCACCAGCATCGTGCGACCTCTGCCTGAGAGTCATTCAACTTTTGCACTTTTCTAAGTTCTCACTGTGGTCGCCCCCATTCGTGACGTTAATGTTATTTTCCAGCCTCAACTTCAAATGGAAAGAACTCGAGGACGGACGGGTTCCCACCGTTCATCACCATCTCGTCATTTGAGTCGAAGCTGGTCGCTCTTGAGTCGTCTCTTCATTGTTTGAGGGTGTATATATACTATACAGACTATACAATTTCCGCTACTTCGTAGAGCCGTCTATCACGCGTGGAAAAAAAATTATAACCATTCTGTATCTCAAAGATGACCAATTTTAGAGGTAACTAAAATCCTCGTGTTAAAAGCTTAAATTTCGATTGAGGGTTCTTTCGACGACACCACGCTTGTCTTTTGGGCTTCGGCGCACCTTCTCTCAAACTCGTCCTGCCTTGACCCTCTCTCGGCAGTTCAGCTCACGTCCCAGCCGTCTCGTCCGCGCGGACTCCCCGATCTCCCCAGTGGGTCCCGTACCACTCGTCTCTCTCCAGAGGCAGCCTCCGCGAAAGGAGTAGGGCTCGGCTCGACGCCCAGTACCATTCTTTATCGTATGAATACCTTCGTCTCTGTTGGGCTGATGGATGCTTTCCATATGGATCTTTTCCTCCGTTTACCGTCTTCCTATTGTGCCTGCATTCTCTTTCAATTTCACGATCAATCTTCTGTCTTTATATTCGCTCTCTTTTGCCGCGATTGAAGGATATCATCCATATTCTTGGAAAATTCTATCCGAATAGATAGTGTGAGAACAATTATGGAGAAGTCACCTGCCTTGGAGATTCTGGGTACGTTCTTCACAACCTCCTCCTCTAGATTTTTCGGTTTGCCTAACATTAATCTGTTCAATTTCCTATTTTTTCCTCTCTTGGGTTCTCCAGTTCGAGAACCAGAGGGGTTCTCCATCTGGAAGGGGCCGCCTTTTGGAAACGGGCAACCTCAAGTCCAGCTTGAAAGAGTTTCCTGCAGTAGTGCAAAGTTCAGTGACAACGGTTCCAGGCTCATGGTGATAAAAGACAGTTCCATCATCAGCATCTATGATTGCTCCAAGTTTACAGAGATCAGATGCTTCAATATCCCTTCCATCCTCGCAGCCTCGTTATCTCCTCGTGGAGCTTATTTGCAGACTTTCCAAAAGCCGTCCGCACCACAAGAGAAAAATGTTGTATTGTGGAGTGTTGAAAGTGGTTCTTCTGTTTATCACCAGTCCATGAAGAACATGTCGAAAACCACATGGTTTGTTTTTAACCGGTTCGTGTCCTTTATATAGGCAACTTAATCTGTGGTATATTAATTTCTTGTATGGTTTTTTTTGTAGGCCAACTATTCAATTTAGCTTTGACGAATCTGTTGCTTGCCGCTTTTGCACAAATGAAATACAGATATTTGACGGAAAAGATTTTTCCAAGGGGATCATCAATAGGCTCAGGGTACCTGGAATAGCAGCAATGGAGCTTTCAAGGACTGCTGGGTCTCATATTGCTGCATTTGTTGCAGAATCTAAGGTTAGAATTAAACCCAGGCTAATGTAGGTTCTTTGAACCGCATGCATGAATCTAGTCCAAACCTGCAGGATGATGAAGTGGATGATGTAATTCTACAAGCCAGAAGTATGAAAGGACATTTATTCCTATAAATAATAATATATAAACAAGATACAGACTTCTGCTATTTTCGAGCTTTCATCTTGACATAGAAAAATTTAAGGTAACCATCGTTTGTTCCTTTGTAAAAGGGTAATTATACTTATTCAACAAAGAATTTTGATTCTTTTCTCTACCAAACTTGGTGGATATGGACGTCTGGAACAAAGGGGAACATGATACCCTAAGATGATTCATGTTATTTGCTTCTTAATTGACATTTATCACTGGCTACGCGTCATGGCAGCTCTGCAGATACTGAGTGTGCTACCCACACCATTTTACCTTTCCCCCTTTTTTACTCCACGCTAATTCCAAACATTCAGACCGAATGCTTGGACGGATGAACTTCTGGATGGAATTTGGACTGACATATATAACTTAGCTTTTATAGAACTTATGCATTATTCTTTTAAAATTTATTTTCCTCATATTCCATTATGTTATTCTTATTTATAGTTATCAATTTTCAAAACTCAGGGTATGCCGGCCAGTGTCCAAATTTTCTCGTCCAAAAAGGACGAACAACCTCAGCCAGTTGCTAGGCGTAGCTTCTTTCGGTGCTCTACCGTCCAACTGCATTGGAATTGCATATCCACTGGGTTATTGGTCTTGGCTCAATCAGACGTTGACAAGACAAACCAAAGTTACTATGGCGAATCAAAATTGAATTACTTGACAACTGATGGGAGTCATGAAGGACTTGTTCCTCTTCGTATGTTATCTGTTGTTGCTTTCCAAATTTATGCATGCGAAGATAAGGTATTTACTGATGACAGGTGGAAATTTCAGGTAAAGAAGGACCTGTTCACGATGTTCAGTGGTCTTCATCAGGACTTGAGTTTGCTGTTGTTTATGGATGTATGCCATTTATATACCTGATTTCACTAATTTTCTTTTCTTTCTGTTTAAGATCAGGAAACGTCATTTTTTGATTCCAATGTCATTTTTCGTTTCTTTTCAGTTATGCCTGCGAAAGCCACTGTGTTTGACAGAAAGTGCAATCCAATTGTTGAGCTTGGGGCGGGTCCATACAACACAATAAGGTTTAACCCAAAAGGAAGGTGTATCCTTTATTTAGGTCGTCATAATAGCTACTAATTAGGGCTAGGGAGACAGATTTCCTCTATACACTTTATCGTTTTATAAGAAACAGTCATAGAGTACAATAACAGTTCTTTATACTTTTGCCTAGTAGATGTAATCACATGCATTACATTAATCTTTTCATCTCATTTGATTCAGTTTTCAAGCCGAAATACTTGAAAATGACCTCGCTGAGATAGCTCTCCACTATTTACTTTAATATGATGCTTGGTTTCTGAAGTTTTTTCATAAATTTCATCATGTATTACTCTCATGGCCTAACAAATCCTAAAACCTTGAATCACATTCTCTGTAATTAGATTGATAAGGGGTTCCTTTTCGTTGTATAGCAAGGGTATAACAACTTGTCTGCATCCTTTTGGATTGGTGTCTAAACTACGCTTGTCACCTTAATTGTTATATACACAGTTCTTTGCTTGGCAGGTTTTGGTAACCTCCCTGGTGACATGGTATGCTCTAAAGATTTGCGGCATCTGTAGCTGCTGGATGACTTACTCTTATATGCTATTTGTAACTTGCATGTCTCCCTTCCCTTTTCTCCTCCTTTTATGTCCTGTCTACAGAATGAATGATTTTATTGTACTTTTTTCACTGTTTGGTATAAGATATAAAATCACTGAGACCCAACAGGACTGTACTGATCCGTGTCTACCTAGTGATGACAATGCCGTGCCCAATATAGTCAGATGTACTGTTTCGCATGAAGTTCAAGTCAGACTTCCATCTTATATATACACTTTTAAGTACATGTGGAAGCAAAATATTCTAGCTCGATATTGATAGAGGAAGCTCCTTTCATGGTCTTAGAGAAAGTTCTAAGTGAATTAGAGATGTGACCTCCATATCCTGGTGCCTACCTTCTAGCTTGAGCTGGTTCCAATGGCATTATAGTTTCAGCATCCCAAATTTTGTTTCGTGTGATCTACCCTGTTTAGATGATTTGTTGTCCATCTATGGTTCACGCACATAAATTTCTTTTTGTTGAATAGTCAACTGATCAAGTGTGTTCTGTGGAGCTAAAGAAGTTGATGGCCAAGGATTTTTTTTTAATAAAGAAGCCTTACCTTCTGAGTCAGATTTCTTTTCCTCGTTAGGTCCATATTTTGAAGTTTTTTTCAGGAATTTTCACTGATCAAAGGAAAAGTTTTTCATAGGCCGTAGTCATAATGCAAGCAGTGAAATGTTACCCCTCTGACTGTCTTTGGTTTTAGACATTCTCGTATCTCGTGTACCTTGGTATTTTTTCTCATTTTATCAGGTTCTTTGATATTTTAGGCATTTTGGGATTATTCAGAAAAAAAGCTACTTGGGAATACAAAGGCTGAATGTTCAGTAACAAGTGAGTGGTCACCAGATGGACGCCATTTTATGACTGCCACAACAGCCCCTAGACTTCAGATTGACAATGGGTATTTGAAACTGCTCTTCATCGTGCTCTTCCTTTGGGGCTTTTTTCTGTTCTTTGAGCTGACCCTATTCTGTTTGTGATGGAAGAATAAAATTTTTTGGCACCAATGGATCGTTATATTTTGGGAAAATGTTTGATAGGCTGTATCAGGTTGGTAATTCATACTTTCCCCCAAATTAAATTGCAGATTCAAAATTTTCAATCGCTTTTGTTTTTTTGGTATGTGCTTATCCAGGCAGAATGGAAACCAGAGGCTCCCGAGAAATTCAGTGATTTTTCAGATCTTGCCCATTCTGTCAGCACCTTGAAAATTGACGATAATAAAAAGCAAGGTGCTTTCTTTTTTTAATGGCTGTAAAATAAAAATCCTTGTACTTAAACTGATGGACTTTGACTTCCAGGACACGAATCGAAGTCATTCCCCTCGTCCACAAAGACTGCTGCAATGCCCACACACAAGCCTGCTGCATATCGTCCTCCACATGCCAAAAGTGCTGCTGCAATTCAGGCAGAGGTAAATAAAGACACGGAAATTATTGAATCTCATTTGAGTTCTACTAGAGATTTCTATTAGTTCTGCAGCAGGGTTGCTATGTTGTAAGAAGAATAGTTGATGGATATGCTCTTTTACAAAGGCTATTTATGGGAACCAAAAAGTATTGGAATTTTGAAGTTGTACAGAGGGATTTTGATCTTATGTTTTAATCTCTATTACCTTTTGAAGGCAATTCTAAAATGAAGCTCAAAGCTAGGAAGTACGAGATGGCAACAAACTGTATCTTTATTTGAAATTGTCTCAACTTTTCATAATGTATTTACGTGTGTTTTATTTAATATTTCTGTTTAAGGTTTATCACCGATTTTGCTAACATCAAGTTTAAAATCCATTTCCAACTCGTACTTCAATTTTTTTTGGAATGGACCTCTGTTGGGTTCTTAATTGCGCTTGAGTTTATGCTATACCCACTATTATAAACTCTGCTGTAATGGGATTGGTGGGCAGGTTCTATACACCAACTGTCTAAAGATGTTCCCAGTAATCTTGGTAAGTGACATTGCGTCTAGGGGAAATCTCCTTCATCTCCTCTATATAACTTTGAGTCTTGCATATACCGTTGGAGCATTGTCATTCTTCATTTGTCGTCAATCCTTAAACCCTCCTGTAGAGGCTTAATCGTAATATTATTCTAACCCTCCTGTAGAGGCTTAATCGTAATATTATTCTATCCATATAAAAAATACGTCATATTAATCCAGTGACGTGCGATAGATAACACTAATTATTCATGGAAGAAGCTGCTTAGGTTTGAAAAAGGCAGATGCAATCCAACTTGTGTGAGTCAGGAGAAGTTGGGGCACAGTTGCATGCTATTTCTTTTTCTTTCATAATTATACAATGGTAGAAAAATCATCCAGAAGAAATATGACAGAAAATGAGTGAGAAGGTAGTAGCGATGGGCTTGTAAAGAGGGAGATTTAAAGGCATGGGCCTATATGCTGGGCATTCATCGAAAACACAGCCTGTTTTTTTCAACCATGTTTTTTCAATGTTATGTTGAAGGTGTTTTCTCTTGTTCTCTTTTTCTATTTTTTCTACTTGTTTTTCAAGGAGGGTCTCACTTCCATCAATTGCAGGTAATTCGAATTTGAAAAGAAATGGAAAGCAGTTCAATCATTTCCTGTCTATCCTGCGAGTTTTTCTACATATTAACGTATCATGTAATTTTTGATATATGATGGATTTCCTGACATTCCTTATTTTATCCATTGCAGCTTTTTGGTCAGGCTTCTGCAGAGTAAGTGAACTCGTTGCTGCAACCTGTTGAATTCTCTTCCAGTGCCTTTTTCATAGATGTCTGATAAATCTTCTTTTCACGTTTGGATGTCTGACCTTCTTTCTGGATTTAGGGAAACGAGCAAAAATGCAGCGAGAAACAAGAAACGACGAGAAAAGCAGAGGGAGAAGAAGGCAGCCGAAGCATCATCTTCGAGTACTGCAAGTTAAAGTTGGGCCCCTATCTGGCAGGCTTTGACTAAACCTTATCCTTGATGCTCTTTTTGGCTTTATCTCACAATTCGAATGCGCAATGTACTGGTAAATCTACTTGGTTTTTTTCTTCTCGATTTTCTACACATTCTAATGACAGTTTTGGAATAATTGCTATTTGAGACTCATTTTGCTTTGGCACATGCTATTTATTACTCGATCGACTTTCCTATATTCCCTATATTTGGCGCTGACTTTGTTATATTTATCTGAGTATTTTTCCAGCACATGTAAAATGAAAAAAGTATAAGAGATCAAAATATTTAGAGCCAGCAAAAGTTTGGAACGGATCAAGAAATTAACGAATTATAATAAATGTCGTTTAACAGTGTGGTACATGAAGTTAGTATGCTGCTACATCAAGTTAGTACATAAATTATGTTAAAATATTTAGGGCTCCACTTCCCTTTGTACATACTGCACGGGGTAAGCTCGTTTACCCTGGGGGGGGAGGGAGTGGTCAGATTGGGACAGAAAGAGATAGATAAAAAGAGAGATAGAGAGCTTGATTACGAGGATAGGGGGTTGATGATAGGAGTGAGAATATGAGAGGGATATGAGGATAATTGATAAATGGAATAAGGGGGATGAACCTGAACCTTGATACATGATACTCCAGAAAGGAGACGAGAGAGAGAGAGAGAGAGAGAGAGAGAGAGAGAGAGAAGGAAGACTTGGGTGAGATTGGGTAATTGCTTGCCACAAGCCACTTAGAGGGGCCCAACCTCCACTCAACTACTCACTGCATGACTCTTTGATGCCTCACCTAACTTCACCTCCTCATGTCTTTATACTCGTCTATGTTTCTTGGGAACTGATACTACTGATGATTGTGAGCCGTTTCCTTATTGTGCAAGCTGTTCCACGATAGTAGTGACCATTAACTTAATGCTCATTAATTTCATTAAGATAAGTGTGAAAACTTTTTGATCAGTTGGGTAATATTATTTACAAAGAATTTTCAATGTTGAAGGTTTTATTTGAATAAAACATAAGTTCAAGAAATAAACATATAGCTTAACGTCAAATAAAAAATAGTGGTTATATTGTTTTGAAAGTAATATGTGTGATTCAAACCTAATGAGTATTAAATCAAAACACGAAATATTTTCACCAACTAGACTAACTCTATTTAGGTATATATTCTCCAAGTTTTATGCCGCTCACTCATAGATGAAACATATTAATCATGTAATGTGAATGAAAAGATAGCATTCAAGTGTTTGTTGTTAACCATTACAATAAATGCATATTAATCACTAAAGGAAAAAGCGAAAACTTTCTTGTACATGCATCATAATTCTATTCTACAAACTAATTTCAAAACTTGAAGTTCTTTCAAAGTAAAAAATAAACTGAAAAAAATTGATTGCTATTATCAAACTCCAACGAGTTGATAAGAAATAATTACTGATTTCTTTCTTCATTAACTACATGATAGAAAGATAATCCTCAACAAATGTAAATGCAAATTTGTTCTGAAAAGATATAAATGTCGAAGATTATGCATGATTCAAAAACATGTTTCGTAAGGGTAAATATGATTCAACATTAAATTAAAAATAAATGTGACATCCATTTGACGGAATATAGGTGATTAAAAAACAATCAATATAAAAGAGGATTTAGGGTTTGAGATTTTTTTTTGTTCCTCTTATGGGATGTGTCTCAGGCTTAGTCCCTTCCTAAGAGGTCACTCATCTTAGTATGATCATTCAATGGTAATGGTATGAGCATATTTTCACAAGTGGCTTAGTGGTAGATTGTACATGTCTTTCATCTCTATTAGGTTGATGACTTCTCTAAGATATGGGTGAGTCATATGCCCTACATCTCTCCCCTCCAATGTCACTCTCTATTTTTGGCCATGGCGGGGGGATGCCTAACTTTTTAATGACAACATCAAAAACTGTTTTATTGCCAACTATTAGAGGGCAACAATGTTACTACTTCCTTGGGGCCCAAATCTTCTTCAAGAGTTCAAAAAAGGCTTGGTTGTGGTGTTAGAATTAATCTCAATGTGGATAATTATATATATAAATTATATATTATGAGGCTATTATTAAGTTAATCCTACTTAAAGTGATTTATTAGAGTTTGAGTATTTGAGATTATAGCCTCTCTTATAAGTATGAGTATAAATATAAATGTGTAGAGACCATGTCTTATTTTAATTTTATGATGGAAAAAAACACCAAGAGACTAACCACCTCTTGTTTATAAACATATTTGCACCATAACTATTACCAGCGATAGTAACAATAGAGTGTTTATTAGCATCTGCCATTGGGAGGAACCGACACTTCCTCTTCTCAGGGGCCACCTCAATGTTGGAGGGCTTATGCTTCTGAGCCATGCTGGTGGCACCGACAATGTGCTTCTACTTGGCGTTATTGTCCAACGACTTAGAGGCATTGGGCTTGATGGAAGATTTTCGACCACGAGAGGAATGGTGGGTAGGTGGTGGTAGAGCTTTCAATATTGATGAGTTAGAGCTTGAATCAGATTCAAGCTTTTTAGGTGGAAACTTGTCGAAGGCAGCATGTGGCGTTTCTTATGGCAGAGAGTTATTAGAAATGAAGTTAGAGTCATTAAAGCCATCTTATTGCTTGTCCTTGCCACTACTTGAGGAGTTGAATACGGGGGGCTAGTGGTTTTCTTGGGTTGGAGAGGGGATTATTAGGGAGAAGACTTAGCTCGTCATGGTGTGTAGTCACTTCTCTTTCGAGGGTCACCTTCCCCTCAAAGGGCTTGGGCTTCTTGGCTGTGGTGGTAGTGGGGGCCCACTTCGACTTGGAGGTGACTTACTTGGAAGAAGGTTCTTGGTCACTAGAGGAACATAATAACAAGCGGTGGAGTGATAAGTCTTCATTATCATGAGTTAATAATTAGTAAATAATATAGCTTTAGCCTTAACTCATGATAAATAGACTTATATTTGTGTTAAAGTGTGAAAAGTGATTTTCAGTTGATTAATGTAATTTTTTGGCTAATTATGTGATTTTTTTAAATTTATATGACTTTTATAGTCTTATTTTTGAGATAAATGAAGAAAAAGAAATAAAAATAAAAATATAACAAAATGGGGGGGACCTGCTAGTCACTCGGGCATGCAAGTGAGTTGGAAGCATAGTCAGTGGGAGCCACGAGTAGGGGCTCGAGTGGCTAGGTTCGATGGGGGCACGTGTGCGCCACTCCCTTTCCACGTCATTGGTGACCAGCCGACTATGGGGCAAGGAATGGTCGTACACGTGGGAGAAAGTGACTCATTGTTTAGAAGTGTGATATTACTATATATTCACTCAAAACTTCGATGCACAAGTGATGTGGGACTAAACCCGCATCACACATTCCCCCAAAAAGCTTCAAAGATTTTAATACCTAAACTACCCCTTCGTTATAATAGAGATATACCATGATGACGTTACTTGATAAGGGTATTAGAGTATTTATTTCAATCTCTTTCATATAGGTAGGCAACCAACATGGGTTCGAATCCTCTCAAAGTCAAAACTCGTATTTTTATCTGATTATCGCGACTTTCTTGCAGATCGGTGGTGAAGGATTAAGTTGTCAGAATCACTGGATCATTAGCAAAAATCTCGTCAATGCAATTTGCAGAGCATTGTTACTAAAATTATTGAATGATTCGTGATAAAAGGATCGTAAATCTATTGCGTAAAGGATCTCTAATTGATCGACGAACAAGCCATCATCGAGAAGAGGACGATCCACCGGGAGACGAGTCGCCAACTCCTAAGAGTGTACCAGATGCGATGAAAAACCTCTTCTTACTGCGCGGACCTGAGGATGAAGCTCCCTGACATGTGCCCCACCTCCATTCAGCTTCTCTCCGTTAGGTGACAGCCATCGTGGGGTGACAGCCATTGGAGATGATTTGACGACTCATTTCATTGATCTCTAGACTTTGCAAGGAAATCTAGAGATTACCCACATTATCTTTGTCTAAGGAGAGCCTTTGAGGTCGTGGACACTACATGAGGATCCTCCCAAATATTGAGGATTCTAGTGCATCGTTAATGCATCACCACTACAACATCAAAACTTTGTTTTCCTGCTTTTCACTTGATTTTTGCTTCATTTAGTGATAATTTATGTGATTTAAATTTACTAAGCTATGACTTCATTTAATTATGATTCTTCTGAATTTTACAAATCTTAATTTGATCAATTAAATTATTTGTTATCGCTTATGTAAGAATCATGGGGTGGAACTCTATTTTTGCTCAATTGACGTTCCTTGGGTGTGGACGTGATCCTGACGTCCACACCCTTATTTCTCTTTTTTGTGAATTTTAAATATATTTTATTTTTATTTCTTAGTATAAAATTCATAAAAACTCATATTCTTTGAAAACAATTTTGAAAAATTACCCGATATTATATTACATCTTTGTGATTGATTTGAAAAATTATCACTATTTTTAAAAGTTTTATTGAATTATAATTGATATATTTGTTTAGAAATACTTTTAAATATCTAAAAATTGATATTTTCTAGTTTTATAAATTTTAACTTTACGTGATTTACTATACAATGACTAAGTCACGTCATGGAGCTTCTAGATCTAATGAGTTAGTGCTTGGGTTGGTTTTGGGTTCGCCAAGTAGAGACTTTAGAGTGGTTCTACTTGTGCACACTTAACTATAGATTTTACTTTTCCACTTCATGATGACTCACCCACTTGTGAGGGTCAGGGTTTTAGGGTTTAAGGTTTTTAATTTTTTTTATTTTTTATTTAGAACCAAAGGGAAAATTACAACAAGCAACTCCTGTCACATGTGAGAACACCAAAGTACATTTATTGAGAGGGGAAAAGCACTTTACTAGCAAAAATAGAAAGAAAGGCAACGAATTCAACCTAACTAAGAACAACTACGCGAACAGCTTGTTCCACATTTCTTATGAATGGATACCTTGTTTTTCAATGGTTTAGGGTTTAGGGTTGCCACAAGATCCCATAAGAACTCGAGTTAAGTGGGAGAGTTAAGTGCATATATTTGTGTCATTGGTTCCCTCAATGGTAAGTGATATTATAGCTCCCTAAGTTTTCTCTCTTTTTCTCTCCTCTCTCTCTCTCTCTCTCTCTCTCTCTCTCTCTCTCTCTCTATATTAATTATGAAATAAACATATTTTTCTGTTCCTTATTTGTCCACTCTAGTGTGACCCTTCTTACGATTGGACTATTCCAATTGAACCATGTTTGTGAAGACTTCTAAGACTGTTAGAGCTTTTTGCCTCCCTTTCTTCCCCTTAGATAGTTCCATCTCCAAATATTTTCTTCAAGGGAGGTAGTTTGGACAAAAGGGTAGCATTTTTCTCACGATTGTTTCTCCCTTTTCCTCCTTCACCCTTTTTCCTTTTTTTTCTTCTTTTTGTTCTATTTTTTGTTTTTTTCCTTTTCCTTTTCTTTTTTTTTCTTTTTTGGAGGGGGTGGGGGGGGGGGGGAGAAAGTTATCGACTTTTTGTGCTTTCACTCCCTTTTTTTTTCCCTTCCTCATGTACTTAGATTCTTTGATTTCCTTGAACCTTTGTGGTTGAATGGGTTGGCTTTTGGGCCTTTTCGCTCCCATCAGTCTTCACTTGCCATTATGTGATCTTCATGTTGTCTCTCTCATAATTGTGGTCATCAGTATGGTCTAACAAGGTTTAGCTGCATGATCTTCATAATTAATTTTGAGATATTTTCTCATACTTTCTGTGTTTTCTCAATTTTTCATTTTTCCTTCTTTTATATTTTCTAACTATTTTTCCTCTCATGTTTGCATGGTGAATGATGTGCCTATTTCAGGTGTGCTGCATGGAGATGACAATGTATCGTGTGTTATACATAAAGAGTGAGTTCTATGAGAATTGAGCTTATCTTTTGTCGTACTTTGATTATACTTCTTGTTGTGCTGATTTTCGTTGTTGCTGGTTGTTTTCATCATTTTTCTGGTACTTTTCATCCTTCTTAGACTAGATCAAGCCTCCTTTGTATTTTTCGTTTGTTATATGGCATACCCCAACACTCCAAATTGTATATGCCTCTCCCTTCCCAAGGTAAGTCCTGCATACACTTGTAGATTTTTTCCCCTTGCTGTTGTAGGCTCACATTAGCAAGATAGTCAACCAATTGATTACCTATGTGATAAACATGTTCTAAGGATTTGATTCTATGTCTCTATAATTCTATCTCTTTCTATATTCTTTTTAATTTTCACTATTTACATTCCCATTTTTCAAGCATCTTGACGAGTGTCACTGAGTCAATATTACATAATTTTAGTTTTTCGTGAACTAGTGCTTTGTATTCTGCCTCCATGTTGGTTATTATTAGCAAGGTCTTGAATTACTCCATCTCCACTCGATAACCCAAGGTTTCCCTTGGATGTTCCATCAGTGTTTAGTTTCAATTCACACTCCATATGGTGGATCCATTTGATGATGTTTATTATTTGTTTGCATTTGATACTTCTAGTCTCCACTTTCCATCTTTGTAGATTAATTTTTCTGTGTAATTCAATTTTTGTGGACTATTAAGTCTCTCCATAATTTTCATCCACATTTTACACTTATGCATGATGAGGGGAATGGTGATTTTGTCCCCATTCATTCGAACTTTGTTCCTTCCTATCCATAGTTCTTACATTAAGCATGAAATATGTATCCTACACATTATTTCTATTGTTCTTTTTCTTGTTCTTGTTTTCTCTAGCATTATATGTTCGAAGTAATTCCTACAACTGGTCCCTCTATTTCCCCATAGTTCTCATTTTTTTAACAACAATTTTCAACATTTAACCACCCATTCCCCATAGTGCCTTATGATGTTGAAATCTCTTCCAATTAATCATGGGAGATTATTTTGTTTTGTAGTTTCTTTGAGGTGGTCCCACAATTCTTTGTGTTTATTCACTTTATAAGAGCCATATATTGTACTAATTTTTTCTATTATGTCTTTATGGATTATTTCTATTGTTATTACTTGTTTGTGCTTCGTTGTGATGGTAACTGAGATGTTATTCTGCCATAAGAGTCATATTTTGTCATTTTTGTTGGTCCATGAGTAATCCATTTTTTATTCTCTTATGATGTTTTCTACTTTTTTTTAGTATAAGTTCAATTATAGTTATTAATTTGATTTTATTCTTCTTCATTAGTTCTTTGATTTTGTATTTTGTTTGTAATTTCATATTCACCTACAGTTCCAAATAAGAATATTATACATTTACGGTTTAGGTTTTTTTTTTTTTTTAACTTTTAGGATAACTATCTTGGGCTGAACTTTTCAGGAGGTCACCCATCTTGATACTTCACACACCCAAGCACTTTTGGTACCTCTTAGGCACATTCTTCGGAGATAGATGCCACTAGCGCCTCTCGACAAGGGTGTCTCTCAGCACATTCTTTGGAGCTGGGGGCATCTTGGCATGGTGGTGGAGGGGTGCATAAGACGTGCCTGGCGGTATGATAATGTTATTTTTTTGGGTATTTTTTTTGATAACTATCTTGGGTCGAATTTCTCAAGAGGTCACCCATCCTGATACTTCACACAGCCAAACACTTTGGTGCCTTTGAGACACATTCTTCAGAGATAGATGCCACTAGCACCTCTCGGCATAGTGGCAGGGGTGCCTCTCGGCATGTTCTTCGGAGCTGGGGGCATCTTGGCATGGTGAGATGAATGCCACATATGCCTCTCGGCATGATGGTAGGGGTGCTTCTCAACACATTTTTCGAAACTAAGGGCATCTTGGCATGGTGAGATGATGCCACATATGCCTCTCGGTATGGTGGCAGGGGTGTCTCTCAACACGTTCTTTGAAGCTAGGGGCATCTTGGCATGGTGAAATGGATGCCACATATGCCTCTCGACATGGTGGTAGGGGTGCCTCTTAGCACGTTCTTTGGAGCTGGGGGCATCTTGGCATAAAGGCAGAGTGGTTTGTAACACATGCCTGGCGGCACGATAATGCAGCGGTGCCTTTCAGCACATGCATAACAAGCGTCTAGCAATGCTGGGGGCATCTTGGCAGGGGTGCCTCTCTAGAGGTTCTTTGGAGTTGGGGGCATCTTGGCATGGTGAGATGGATGCCACATATATGTCTCTCGTCATGGTGGTAGGGGTGCCTCTGGGCACGTTCTTCGAAGCTCAATGCATCTTGGCATGGTGATAGAGGGGTTCGTAACACATGTTGGGCAGCACGATCACCCATCTAAGGTCTGCTCTCACCTGAGCACGCTTAACTCGGGAGTTCCTATGGGATCTAGTGGCAACTCTCCCACTAAGGGGGGTTTTTAGGGTTTTTTATTTATAATTTTATGATAACTGTATTAGACCAAACTTCTTGGGAGGTCACCGATCCTAGTACTTCACACACCCAAGCACTTTGGTGCCTCTTAAGCACATTCTTCGGAGATAGATGCCACTTGTACCTCTCGACATCGTGGTAGGGGTGCCTCTCGGCACGTTCTTTGAAGCTGGGGGCACCTTGGCATGGTGACAGAGGGGTTCGTAACACATGCTGGGCAGCACGATCATGCAACAGTGCCTTTCAACACATGCACAACAAGCGTCTCACTCACAATGCATGCACACATCCCTGAGGACTTCCTAGGGAGGTCACCCATTTGAGGAGTGCTCCCACCCGAGCATGCTTAACTCTGGAGTTCTTATGAGATCCGGTGGCAACTCTCTCACTAAAGGGGGTTTAAGGTTTAGGGTTTGGACCATTTCTCGATTTGTGCATGTCATCCTTGCGTAGGGGCCATGCTAATCTTCTTTGTATCATTCCAATTTTATCAGATGTCCCCGAAGGGACTTAGGGTTTAGGGTTTAAGGTTTAGGGGTTTTTTTTTTTTTTTGATAACTATTTTTGGCTGAACTTCTCAAGAGGTCACCCATCCTGATACTTCACACGCCCAAGCACTTTGGTGCCTCTCAGGCACATTCTTTGGAGATAGATGCCACTTGCACCTCTCGACATTGTGGTAGGGGTGCCTCTCAGCCACATATGCCTCTCGGCATGGTGGCAGGATGGCCTCTCGGCACATTCTTCGGAGCTAGGAGCATCTTGGCATGGTGAGATGGATGCCACATATACCTTTCGATATGGTGGCAAGGGTGCCTCTCGGCACGTTCTTCGATGCTCAAGGCATCTTGGCATGGTGACAGAGGGGTTCATAACACGTGCTGGGCAGCACGATCATGCAGTGGTGCCTTTCAGCACATGCACAGCAAGCGTCTCGCAATGCATGCACACATACCCAGGGACTTCCTAGGGAGGTCACCCATTAGGGGACTGCTCCCACCCAAGCACACTTAACTTTGGAGTTCTTATGGGATCCGGTGGCAACTCTCCCACTAAGAGAGGTTAAGAAGGTTTAGGGTTTAGGGTTTTTTTTTTTTTTTTTTGGATAAGATTGATTCATTGGCATCCTGTCTGTGGACTGTTGGCAATCGTACATGACAGGGGGCAGGTGGATCGGTGCAGGGAACAATGTAGAGACAAACCTGGGGGAAGGAGGAACATGGAAACGATCAAGAACAAGAACCTCGATAAAGATAAAAACCAGACCACGTCAGGACTGGCCTCAGCTCCTCTAGTACCCGTTCGAGCCACTGTCCTGGCCCCTGGAGAAGTGGTCAAATCCGCCGCCGTAACCACGGTCGCGCCCGCTGCCGTGGCTGTAGCCGCCACCACCACCGCCTTCGCGGCTGTAGCCACCGCCCTCGCGGTGTTGCCCGCCGTAGCCACCGCTGCCGCTGCGGAAGCCACCGCTGCCTCGGGACTGGGCCTGGTTGACAGTGATGCTCCTGCCGTCCAGATCCTGGCCATTCATCCCCTTGATGGCATCGTTCATCACCTGCTCATTGCTAAAGGTCATGAAGCCAAAGCCCTTGGACCTTCCGGTCTCTCGGTCATTGATAACCTTCGACTCGACGAAGCAACGTAACTCAACATCGGGAGCAGCCATCGGAAAATAGAGGAATAAGGACCAAGAGAACCGAACGGATGAAAGAGGGAGGAGCCCTCGAAAGCACGGGGGTTTAGGGTTTTAGGGGTTTTTTTTTTTTTTGATAACTATCTTGGGCCGAACTTCTCAGGTGACGGAGGGATTCATAACACATGCTGGGCAGCACGATCATGCAGCGGTGCCTTTCAGCACATGCACAACAAGCATCTCGCAATGCATGCACACGTACCCGAGGACTTCCTAGGGAGGTCCCCCATCTTGGGACTGCTCCCACCCGAGTACGCTTAACTCTGGAATTCTTATGAGATCTGGTGACAACTCTCCCACTAAGGGGGGTTAGGGTTCAAGGTTTTAGGGTTTAGAGTTTATGGTTTAGGGTTTAGGGTTTTTTTTTTTTTTTTGATAACTATCTTGGGCTGAACTTCTCAAGAGGTCACCCATCCTAATACTTCACACGCCCAAACACTTTGGTGCCTCTCAGGCACATTCTTTGGAGCTGGGGGCATCTTGGCATGGTGAGATGGATGCCACATATATGCCTCTCGGCATGGTGGCAGAATAGCCTCTCGGCACATTCTTCGAAGCTGGGAGCATGGTGACAGAATAGCCTTTCGGCATGTTTTTCGATGCTTAAGGCATCTTGGCATGGTGACAGAGGGATTCATAACACGTGCTGGGCAACACAATCATGTAGTGGTGCCTTTCAGCACATGCACAACAAGCTCGCAATGCATGCACACGTACCCGAGGACTTCCTAGGGAGGTCCCCCATCCGGGGATGGCTCCCACCCGAGCACGCTTAACTCGTGAGTTCTTATGGGATTCGGTGACAACTCTCCCACTAAGGGGGGTTAGGGTTCAGGGTTTTAGGGTTCAGAGTTTAGGGTTTTTTTTTTTTTTTTTTTTGATAATTGTCTTGGGCTGAACTTCTCAAGAGGTCACCCATCTTGATACTTCACACGCCCAAGCACTTAGGTGCCTCTCAGGCACATTCTTTAGAGCTGGGGGCATCTTGGCATGGTGAGATGGATGCCACATATATGCCTCTCGCCATGGTGGCAGGCGTGCCTCTCGTTCTTCGATGCTCAAGGCATCTTGGCATAATGACGGAGGGGTTCATAACAACAAGCGTCTCACAACACATGCACATGTACCCGGGGACTTCCTAGGGAGGTCACCCATCCGGGGACTACTCTCACCCAAGCACGCTTAACTTCGGAGTTCTTATGAGATCCGGTGGCAACTCTCCTACTAAGGGGTTTTTTTTTTTTTTTTTAAATGAAGAAATTTGATTGAGTGATAAAAGTTTGACCTCATTCTGAGGTTACATAAGTGGGATCTCATTCACACAAGGGGTGAGGATGACATGGAGGGTGAAAGACCTCTTTTTTTAGAGGGTATGTGATAATATTGGAGATAGACTCCAGTTCGCTCATCATATTTGAAGAAGTCGGTTGGTTTGCATTTGGGCTGAAAGAGCTTTTGAGTTCATGAAGTTGGAATATCTAGTTGACTGTTGTAGAACGTGTAAACCTCCATGTTGTGCACCATGAGATGTTCCTGCAAGACAAGAATTTGTCGTAGTAAGTGATTCTAAGAAATAAATAAAATCATATAAAGTGGTGAGAAAAGAGTTGTTAAGACAGTGAGGAGGATAGAACTATGCTGGAGTATGACGATAGGCCCAAATATAAATTTGCCTTCTTAGTGTTGCACACGTCTAGTCCCTCTGGCCAAGATCTTGTTAGTACCATTAGTTGTCGTACTTCTTCTAAGTAGGTAAGGGACCTTTCACCCCACGAGGAATGACTTGGTCTCTTTTTCTAACTCTTTTCCTTTTCTCTTATTCTCTCTCTCTTCTTTCTCTTTTTTTTTTTTTTTTTTTTTTTGAGGGCCTATTCTTTTACCCTCCACTAATGCCCATTATTTGGTGTACAAGGGTAATTCCCTTTGGAGTCTAGTGATTGGGGGAAAGGAAATAGGTTGCTCGCTTTTTTTTTTTTTTTTTTGAGGGCCCTTTCCCTCACCCTCCACTAATTGTTTATGATGGGCTAGTGATTTCGGGAAAAGAAGTAAGCTGTCTCTTTTTTTTTTTTTTTTTTTTTAAAGAGAGAGAAAGGGAGGGAGAAAGAAATAGAGAATCGAGAGAGAGGGAGAAGAGAGAGGGTCAATCCTATGGATATAGATCCTTCCCTTCTCATGGGTTCAAGCTGGCTGATGGTACTAATGAGATCTTGAGAGAGGTGCTAGGTTGGCGATTCACAACTAGTTTGGCAAGTCTGATGTGCTATAGACCTATAGTTCAAAAGTGGGCAGATGCCAACATGTGCTGATAGTTCTATGTCCTTACTACTTGAGGGTGATAGATAATAGATGTGAGGTGATTATGAGGAGAGTAATGATTGGAAGTAGTGTACCCGGGTGGATTACGATGTGCCTTGTTGTCCATCTTGTGTTGATAGGCAAATTGCATTCCACATCGGTGGTATGTGATGAGCGCCATGATGATGTCATGGTTGTGGCTTGTGATAGACCTGAAAACAGAAACAAAGAAAACACGTACCTGTATCTCCATTGTGGTCTTCATTGGCCAATAATAACCACCCCTGATCTCCTCCAAGTAATACGCCACTACCGTGGAGGGGCCGATAGTGGAGTGCGGTGTATGCGTAAAGAGGGTATGCCGAGTCGCTCAAGTCTATGAGCACCTCGGGTTGCAAGGGGTATGTCCTGCCAAAAAGAGAAGATTGTCCTCCGATGTGATCTGACTCCATACGTAGCAAGGGCGTCGGCTATCTGATTCCCTTCTCGAAATTGATGCGTAATGGTTGTGATTACGAACAATAATTGAAAAATACATGTTACAGGCCCTAGGGATCCGCCCACCTTGACGTTCACTAGTATTACAAACACAGTTGAAGTCACCTGCTAGGTACCAAGGAGACTCAACTAGTGTAGGGTAGTCCCTCACATACTGAACTAGGTCCGCCCAAAGAGTTTTCCTTTCTTCGGATCTATGTGATGCATAGATGACTGAGAAGGTGAACTCTTGGGTGAGATCTTGAACCGTCATAGTGATATGCTGGGATCCCTCGACTAGCAACTCCATAGAGTATGGTCTAGTCCAAAAGAGCCAAATATGATTCGTGGGGTTGGAGTGAAAATAATCCATACCTAATTGCCTAAGTAAAGGTTGGATACGATCTGATGATATCATAGGCTCAATGACGCCTACTATACCTAGTCGATACTATCTGATAAGGCTAGCTATATAGAATTGGGTTTTGAGGTGACCTATACCTCGACAATTTTATATGATGCTAAGTATCATGATCTAATGATTGGCCCCACGAGTCCTAGATCTCGTGGAGTAAGGTGAGCATCTAGTGAGTCGTGTGGTCTTAGCCTCCGTTTGATATCCCTCATCTAGGTAGGTAGTCTCAATGTCAGTCTCAGATCCACCATTCTCATGGGTACTAGTCATGTGGCCACTAGTATCATGAGCACTAGATGAGGAGGATGGGTGCGGTGCTTGACGATTCGTCAAGCACTGTCTTCTATCGGGGCTCTCCCTAGAATCAGCGGGTGGTGGATCAAGTATAAGGAACTGATCTGGTGGGTGTAGTGGGGGAGAGGGGGGGAGGGTATAAGAATCAGAACGGGGGGCTACGTAAGATGTACTAATAGGAAGTGTGCTGGGGGTAGGCCCTCATAGTAGATCCTCGACGGGGATTTGAGGGGGATGGATAGTGCCCAAGCCGATACCCTCAGAGAAAGGGGTAGACCTCAGTCGGTGGGGACTAAGAGGTGAAGGGCTCCTGCTATGTGGGGAAGAGCAAATGGGCGGGGAGGAGCTGGGTGGTGGAGAGACACTAATGGGTGGAGTGGGGTGGGTGAGTATGGGGGGTCAGATAGCCCGGGGGGATCTAGTATGTGGAGTTTGATTAGGTGAGTCCCTCGTAGTGGGGGATGCTAGCCCTTTGGAAGGCCTAGTTCCCCTCTGTGCAGGTCCCTCAAAGTCTCTCTCATCTAAAGCCTCTAAGACCTCAAAGGTGTTTGAGGTTAGGGGTTTCTTTCCCTTGCCTAAAGGGGAAGGTGTAGCCTCTCGTGTTCCTTTCTTCTCCCATGTATGGATGGAAGAAGGGCGTCCAGCTGCCGACTTTCGCCATGCATGCTGTGTCTCAATCAATGAACTAGGCTTTTCCTGTGCCTTCCGAGGTAAGGAAGGTGGAGCCGCCATAGGGGCAATCGACCTCTGAGGATGACGAGCACTCTGAGCATCCTTTCTCATTTCGACGAGATAATCATCATATGAGATCGGTACTAAAAAGGCTCGTGTGGTTGCTTGTGGTGTACCTACCTTTTGACGACATGTGCTGACAGTGTGGTCCAAGATAGCACAATGTGTGTAGAAATATGGTAATCTCTCGTAAATAATAGGCTGATAAAGCTCATCATCTCCACTACGTATAACGAGAGTCCTCTGTAGAGGGGCCATTAGGTCCACCTCTATACAAACTCGTACATATCCTGGCCGGTTGAACATTTTTATGCCTGGGTCAAGGCATATGAATGTTCCCACCGCATTTGCCAAAGACTCAAGTGCCTTTGGCGTAAATAAATGGGCAGGTAGGCCAGGGAAGCCCACCCATAATGGAACCGCATGGGATTGATGTGCTCGGTGCCCTATGTCGATCTGTGGTGTCCATCTGTGGGTATGGAGGGTAGACTCCCCCATTGTCCAAGTGGGTCGGCTCCATGCTCGACGATAATCCACTTCTAGCTCAAAGCGGATGTATATGCTACGATAGTCTCGAGCTCTGATGGAGACTCAGCCCTGGAAATTTCCAAGTGCCAAGTAAATCTTCTCTATGTCACCTATAGTTGGTCGTTTCGTAATGAAACGACCAACTAAGGTATATTGGAATGTGGTTACCATCTGGGAGACCTCCTCATAAGTAAAAGCTATTGTCTTCCTCCCATCATCCTCACTATAGCTTCGCACTGGGACAGTGGTGTCATAGAATGGGAATAGTACCTGACGCAGCGGTTCTTGTGGTGTGACAGTCTCTATCGAGGGGGCAGAAGGTCCAAACACTCGTTGCGCCCATGATAGGTGTCTAGTGGGCATAGTCGGGTTTGGCCTATGGGGCACAGTAGAGTCTAGCCCACTAGGTGTAGATATGGTGTGCCCAAGAGATGTGTTTGGGGCCAATATAGAGGTCTCAACTAGTGCTGGGATCCTAGTTGGTTTGAGGGGCTCAATCTGAGAGAGCCTAAGGGCCCTTATAGGTAGAGGTAAAACCGGCTCAATCTGTTGACTCGGGGTAGGCCTAGAGGACGTGGTCGAGGGTGGACGTAAAAGTCGGCGTCCTATCTTCTTTTTGGGCCGCAGGCTGTTGCCCCTTACCTGGGCAAGAGCTTGGACAGGTGCAGCCTGAGCCGGCTGCTCAGGCTCGGCCTGGGCCACCTGGGCCTGGGCCGGTGCGTCCTGAGCCGGCGCAGCCTCGATGGGCTGGGCCGGCATGGCCTGGGCTAAAGCGGCCTCAGATGACGCTACCTGGGCCGGCTCAGCTCTAGCCACCTTGCCGGAGGCTCGCACGGGCCGCGCCTGTACGGTGCCAGCTGAGCGGGGCTCGGCCCGTGATGGCGAGCCATCGTCCGCGGTGTCTGACGTTGATGACGTCAGTAGCGTCCCAGCCGAGGCATCGGCGATCGCAAAAGGTTGCGGCGCCTTTATGGCCACGTGATCCCCTCCGTTGATCTCAAGATCAACGGTTGGATCAAGTTGGCCGTTATGGCCGTGACCGTCCGAGGGCGGAGCCTCGGTAACGGCTGTTGAGGCCTTTATAGCCGGCTGATTCTGACCATTGATCATACGATCAATGGTTGGATCAGAGGGGGCCTCTTCGCCTGCCGTCGCCTCGTTCCCGGAGGGAGAGTGGACGGCGTCGACTGCTGTCCCCGATTCCGGCCTCGGGAAGACGCCAGCTGATGTCGAATCACGGACGTCCGTGGTTCAACCGTTGCAGCTCATTTACGGCCGTCTTCTCGGTCACATCAACCGGCGGAGAGAGAAGGCGAGGACAGGAGGCCGTTACTGCCACGTGTCGGCCTTATGTTCGCTCGCATTCGTCGGGCGAGTTTTCATCTGGGCGACGGAGGTCACCCGATGGAATCTGTGAGCTACTTATCAGCTAAGCATCAAATAAAAATGATATAGAAGAGAAAATGGTAAACGAGGCAAATACGATTCTATTGAACTAAAAATAATTAAATTTCACCCAGTCAATAGAAAGATATTACCTTTGGAGTGAAAACTCTGGAAGTGTACCTTCGCGATGAGGAAATTGCGAAACAAAGGCTTTAATCCAGCGTTTTCGATGCGTAATAGCTTGAAACCGATAGCTGTCGGCCTTCCGAATCGAATGGAAAAGGTTTCAGCGCGATCTGAGGTCACACGAAGGAGATCTCACCATTTGCGCTGATCGTGAGGAGAGAGAAAAAAGTTCTTTGGTGCCTCTCACCATTTAGGGTTTTTTTTTTTTTTTTTTCTTGATAACCATCTTAGGCCGAACTTCTCAATAGGTCACCCATCCTGATACTTCTCAAGAGGTCACTCATACTTCACACGCCCAAACACTTTGATGCTTCTCAACCTCTTGGCATTGTGACCCATATATACACACAAACCTAAGGACTTTTCAAGGAGGTCACCCATCCGGGGACTACTCCCAGAGCACGCTTAACTCCAAAGTTCTTATGAGATCCGGTGGCAACTCTCCCATTAAGAGGGGTTGGGTTCAAGGTTTAGGGTTTTTTTTTTTTTTGGTTTTTTTTTTATAATTGTCTTGGGCCAAACTTCTCAGGAGGTCGTCCATTCTGATACTTCACATGCCCAAACACTTTGATGCCTCTCAAACACATTCTTTGGAGCTGGGGGCATCTTGGCATGGTGAGATGGATGCCACATATATGCCTCTCAACACATTCTTCGATACTTAAGGCATCTTGGCATGGTGACAGAAGGGTTCATAACATGTGTTTTTTTTTTTTTTTGGTTTAGGGTTTAGGGTTTTTTTTTTTTTTGATAACTGTCTTGGGCTGAACTTCTCATGAGGTCACCCATTCTGATACTTCACACACTGAAGCACTTTGGTGCCTCTCAGACAACACATGCACAGCAAGCGTCTCACAACGTATGCACACAAACCCGGGGACTTCCCAGGGAGGTCACCCATCTGGGGACTGCTCCCACCCGAGCACACTTAACTCCAGAGTTCTTATGGGATCCGGTGGCAACTCTCCCACTAAGGGGGGTTGGGTTTAGGGTTTAGGGTTTTTTTTTTTTTTTTGGTTTTTTTTTTATAACTGTCTTGGGCCGAACTTCTCATGAGGTCACCCATCCTGATACTTCACACGCTCAAGCACTTTGGTGCCTCTTAGTCACATTCTTTGGATCCGGTGGCAACATCGTGGCAAGGGTGCCTTTCAGCACATGCACAGCAAGCGTCTCGCAACGCATGCACACATACCCGGGGACTTACCAGAGAGGTCACTCATTCGGGGACTGCTCCCACCCGAGCACACTTAACTCCAAAGTTCTTATGAGATCCGGTGGCAACTCTCCCACTAAGGGAGGTTATTAGAGTTTAGGGTTTTTTTTTTTTTTTTGGGTTTAGGGTTTAGGGTTTTTTTTTTTTTGATAACTGTCTTGGGCTGAACTTCTCATGAGGTCACCCATTTTGATACTTGACACGCCTAAGCACTTTGGTGCCTCTCAGGCACATTCTTTGGAGCTGGGGGCATCTTGGCATGGTGAGATGGATGCCACATATATGCCTCTCGCCACGGTGGCAGGGGTGCCTCTTGGCACGTTCTTCGATGCTTAAGATATCTTGGCATAGTGACGGAGGGGTTCATAACACATGTTGGGCAGCACGATCATGCAGCGGTGCCTTTCAGCACATGCACAGCAAGTGTCTTGCAACGTATGCACACAAACCCGGGGACTTCCTAGGAAGGTCACCCATTCGGGGACTGCTCCCACTCGAGAGCACGCTTAACTCCGGAGTTCTTATGGGATCCGGTGGCAACTCTCCCACTAAGGGGGGTTGGGTTTAGGGTTTTTTTTTTTTTTTTTGGTTTTTTTTTTATAACTGTCTTGGGCCGAACTTCTCATGAGGTCACCCATCCTAATACTTCACACGCTCAAGCACTTTGGTGCCTCTTAGTCACATTCTTTGGAGATAGATGCCACTTGCGCCTCTCGACATCGTGGCAGAGGTGCCTCTCAACACATTCTTCGGAGCTAGGAGCGTCTTGGCATGGCGAGATAGATGCCACATATACCTTTCAGCATGGTGGCAAGGGTACCTCTCGGCACGTTCTTTGAGGGTTTAGGGTTTAGGGTTTTTTTTTTTTTTGAAGAAATTTGATTGAGTGATAAAAGTTTGACCTCATTCTGAGGTTACATAAGCGGGATCTCATTCGCACAAGGGGCGAGGATGACATGGAGGGTGAAAGACCTCTTTTTTTAGAGGGGATGTGATAATACTAGAGATAGATTCCAGTTCGCTCATCATATTTGAAGAAATCAGTTGATCTGCATTTGGGCTGAAAGAGCTTTTGAGTTCATGAAGTTAGAATATCTGGTTGACAGTAGTAGGACGTGTAAACCTCCATGTTGTGCACCATGAGATGTTGCTGCAAGACAAGAATTTGCTGCAATAAGTAGTTCTAAGAAAGAAATAAAATGATAGAAAGTGGTGAGAAAAGAGTTGTTAAGACAGTGAGGAGTATAGAACTATGCTAGAGTATGACAATAAGCCCAAATATGAATTTGCCTTCCTAGTGTTTCACGCGTCTAATCCCTCTAGCCAAGATCTTGTTAGTACCATCAGTTGCCATACTTCCTCTAAGTAGGTAAGGAAACTTTTCACCCCACGAGGAATGACTTGGTCTCTTTTTCTAACTCTTTTTCTTTTCTCTTATTCTCTCTCTCTTCTTTCTCTTTTTTTTTTTTTTTTTTTTTTGAGGGCCTCTTCTTTTACCCTCCACTAATGCCCATTATTTGGTGTACAAGGGTAATTCCCTTTGGAGTGTAGTGATTGGGGGAAAGGAAATAGGTTGCTCGCTTTTTTGAGGGCCCTTTTCCTCACCCTCCACTAATTGTCTATGATGGGCTAGTGATTTTGGGAAAAGAAGGAGGCTGTCTTTTTTTTAAGAAAAAGAGAAAAAGGGAGGGAGAAAGAAATAGGGAATCAAGAGAGAGAGAGAAGAGAGAGGGTCAATCCTATGGATATAGATCCTTTTCTTCTCATAGGTTCAAGCTGACTGATGGTACTAATGAGATCTTGAGAGAGGTGCTAGGTTGACGATTCACAACTAGTTTGGCAGGTCTGATGTGCTATAGACCTATAGTTCAAAAGTGGGCAGATGCCAACATGTGCTGATAGTTCTATGTCCTCACTACTTGGGGGTGATAGATAATAGATGTGAGGTGATTATAAAGAGAGTAATGATTGGAAGTAGTGTACCCGAGTGGATTACGATATGCCTTGTTGTCTGTCTTGTGTTGATAGGCAAAGTGCATTCCACATCGGTGGTATAAGATGAGCACCATGATGATGTCATGGTTGTGGCTTGTGATAGACCTGAAAATAGAAACAAAGGAAACACGTACCTGTATCTCCATTGTGGTCTTCAGCGGCCAATAGTAACCACCTTTGATCTCCTCCAAGCAATATGCCACTACCGTGGAGGGGCCGGTAGTGGAGTGCGGTGTATGCGTAAAGAGGGTATGCCGAGTCGCTCAAGTCTATGAGCACCTCGGGCTGCGATGGGCATGTCTTGCCAAAAAAAGAAGACTGTCTTCCGACGCGATCTGACTCCATGCGTAGCAAGGGCGTCGGCTGTCTGATTCCCTTCTCGGAACTGATGCGTAATGGTTGTGATGCGTCCTCGGCATCGCATGATGTCTACCCAGATATTCTTGAGCCTCCAATGAGGACAAGAGTCTGCACGTAACATGTCCACTAACACTTCGGAATCAGATTCTAAGACAATATTAGTAATGTTTTGCTCCTCACAAAGAAGCAAACCATCCCGTATTACTATAGCCTCTGCCTCAGTATTAGTTCGTATATTATAAAAGTTCGAAAAGACAAAGAGAATGCATCTTGTACTATCACGTAAAATACCTCTTACTCCAGATGGTCCAGGGTTACCTTGAGATACTCCATCGACGTTGAGTTTCCACTGCCCAACCCTCGGTGGTGTCCATCTAACAGATCAGATAGTAGTCCAAGTTTGTGTAGGTATGATATGGAGTCCCCAAAGCCCAAATGCTTCACAAATAGAACGTGAGCGTTTCGTTTTGTTTGGCACTAAGGAATGAGTACTTCGAAGCCATTGTGTTATGTGCCTCATAATCTTTGTGACACGCATCACTTGGCCTGTAAATCGAGATGAGTTACGTCCCTTCCATATTTCCCATAACATATATGCTATGGAGATACGGATAAAGGGACTAAGCTTGACACTCGTCGGTGAGTCAATGACTCTCCTAAAGACCTATAGTGGTGGTCTCGTAGGTCTGTACGAGAGCATTGGAAGCCAATTTGCTAGAAGTTGACGCCAACACTCGACAGCGATATCACTATAGAAAAATAGATGTTCCATGCTTTCGTCCGTCGTGATGGAGCAACAATGACATCTCCTTTCCACCTCTTGATCGGTGAGAATCACTCGATCGTCGGTGGGTAGTCCTCGGTGCATGAACTTTCACAGGAAGAACGAAACACGAGGTGTGATGGCTGGATGCCATATGAGATTTCCCCAAAATGTCTTTGGGGAGCGGTTTCTAAAGTGCTCCCAAGAGGAGCTACAAGAGAAACTACCATCTACGGTAAGTGTCCAGATGGGTTGGTCCTCTGTAAAACTCGTCTCAGTCATGGTGATGGCTGGTAACAAGTCCGACGGTAGTCCATGCCTCTCAATAAGTAGATGAGTGTCTCCTTGGAGAAGTTGGGCTACCGTCAAGCGAGGCCAAGAGGATGTGAAAGTGGTAAAATTGGCCAATGGTGTGTCCTCTAACCAAGTGTCGTACCAGGCACTGATCGCGCCTCGCCCTACTCGCCAACGAATAAGGGGCATCATCTCTAACCAATGTCGCTGCCAGTCTGCCCATCGTTTGACTCCTTTGATGTCAGTTGGCTGTCGAGCCCACTCACCATATTTGGTTGACACAAAAGAGCCTAGCACCGATGGTGTGGTCCTCATCCTCCAAACGAGTTTCTTTTGAAGCATGTTGAGTACATCTTGAGGGCGCCGAATACCTAGGCCATCCTCATCCGTAGGTCGACATGCTTTCTCCCAAGAAACTCGACGTTGGCGACGAGGTCCCTCAAGTTGTCCATCCCAAAGGAAGGACGTGCATATTCGTCTAATAGTCTGTAAGACGGTGTCTGGTACCTCATGGACTGCCAAAAGGTGTAATGGCATGCTCATGAGGACATGATGTATCAACTGAATCCGTCCTCCAGGGGATAGAAGTTGTAACTTCCATCCCGCTAATTTCTTCCTCAACTTACCCACTAGGGCGTCAAAATAGTGTATGCACCTACGGCCGAGGAAAATAAGACATCCTAGATATTCAAAAGGTAAGTGTCCATGAGAGAACCCTGTTAGGCCCTGGATGCGTCGTATGGTCCCTATGGGGGTAGAAGGGCCTACCATGAAGCTACTCTTCGAGACATTTACGAGTTGACCTGCAACTCGCTCATACCTCGAGATAATACTCATGAGCCCTCTAATGGATGTCTCACATCCATTGAGGAAGAGTATCGCATCATCAGCAAAGAGGAAGTGTGAGATGATCAGACAACCCCTCTTCGAGTAGTATGGTCGGATAAGTCCTTGATTGATCGCTCGAGTGAGGGATCGACTGAGGACTTCTTCGACCAAAATGAAGAGGGTGGGTGATAGTGGATCGCCCTGTCGTAGACGTCTCGTGGCCGTGAAGAATGATGTAGAGCTACCATTCACCAATAAAAAGAAGTGATTCTCTCTAACACATGCATCGACTAAGTCAATGAAGTCGTTGGTGAACCCAAAGCATCTAAGAACCTTAATGAGGAAACTCTACTCTATCCTATCAAAGGCCTTCTCTATGTCTAATTTGATGATGATGTTGGAGCCTCGACAGTCATGGCCAAGGGACTATGTTAGTTCATGTACTAGCATGATGTTATCGTGAATGTACCGTCCCTTGACAAATCCGCATTGCTCTAGAGATATAAGTCTATCAAGGAAACTACTCAATCTACGTGTAACGATCTTAGATACAACTTTATAACACACGTTACATAAACTGATAAGTCGAAAGTCTCTAAATGAAGTTGGGGTAGTCACTTTCGGTATAAGTGCAAGGAAGGTGGCCTTCCAACTTCATGTAAAGACTTTACGACGAAAGATTTCCTTGATAGCCTGGATGAGATCAGTGCCAACGATATCCCAACATGAAACATAAAAATCAGCTGGGAAACCATTAGGCCTGGGTGCACAATGTCTGCTCATAGAGAAAACTACTTCCTTGATCTCTTCTCTCGTGGGTATGACCGTCGTGAGAGAGCTCTCATAGTGAGTGACTAATGATGGGATCGAAGTGAGCATATCATCAGAAATCTCGATCGGCTGAGAGGTTAAGAAAGTACGAAAGTACTCAACCCCTGCCTCCTGCATGCGAGAAAGGTCCTGATCATATGTCTCTAAAAGGGAGATATAATCTGAATGTGAGCGGTGAGCGACCGATGCATGAAAGAAACGAGTGTTTCTATCACCCTTTTGTAACCACTAGATGTGTGATTTTTAGAGATAGAATAACTCCTATCATCGCACAACCTCATCAAGTTGGTCTCTCACTCTACTCCTCTTTTCCCAAGTAGCATTTAAATATCTAGCTTGCAGTAGTCTTTCAACCTCTGCTAACTCTTTTTGCAGTGCATCAACCTGAGTATGGACATTCCCATAGATATGTCGGTTCCACCATTTAAGGTAGAGTTTGAGATTCCTTAACCTATAGCTAAGGTTCTCCATAGGAGAATCTGAGATATGTCCGTACCAGTGATTCCGTACGAAACTTTGAAAGTCTTCATGTTGAAGCCACATGATCTGAAATCTGAAGGGAGGTCTGTGAGTGCTTATACTCTGTTTAGGGAGTATGAGGATCGGGGTGTGATCTGACCTATAACGAGGTAATATCGTGACTAATATGGGATGTCGCACCATGGCGATACTGTTGATGAAACAGCGATCGATACGCTCATAGATCAAAGCGTCCCCTCGATTGTTGCTCTATGTCCATACCTCGCCTGATGTAGGTGGCTCAATAAGAGCTAATCGAAAAATACAATCATTGAACGTCTCCATATTACGGGCCCTAGGGATCCGCTCACCTTGACGTTCACTAGTATTACAAACACAGTTGAAGTCACCTGCTAGGTACCAAGGAGACTCAACTAGTGTAGGGTAGTCCCTCACGTATTGAACTAGGTCCGCCCAAAGAGTTTCCCTTTCTTCGGATCTATGTGATGCATAGATGACCGAGAAGGTGAACTCTTGGGTGAGATCTTGAACCGTCATAGTGATATACTGGGATCCCTCGACTAGCAACTCCATAGAGTATGGTCTAGTCCAAAAGAGCCAAATATGATTTGTGGGGTTGGAGTGAAAATAATCCATACCTAATCGCCTAAGTAAAGGTTGGATACAATCTGATGATATCATAGGCTCAATGAGGCCTACTATACCTAGTCGATACTGTCTGATAAGGCTAGCTATATAGAATTGGGTTTCGAGGTTACTTATACCTCGACAATTCCATATGATGCTAGGTATCATGATCTAATGAGTGGCCCCACGAGTCCTAGATCTCGTGGAGTAAGGTGAGCGTCTAGTGAGTCGTGTGGTCCTAGCCTCCGTCTGATATCCCTCATCTAGGTAGGTAGTCTCAATGTCAGTCTCAGATCCACCATCCTCATGGGTACTAGTCATGTGGCCACTAGTATCATGAGCACTAGATGAGGAGGATGGGTGCAGTGCTTGACGATTCGTCAAGCACTGTCCTCTATTGGGGCTCTCTCTAGAATCAGCGGGTGGTGGATCAAGTATAGGGAACTGATCTGGCGGGTGTAGTGGGGGAGAGGGGGGGAGGGTATAAGAATCAGAACGGGGGGCTACGTAAGATGTACTAATAGGAAGTGTGCTGGGGGTAGGCCCTCTTAGTAGATCCTCGACGGGGATTTGAGGGGGATGGGTAGTGCCCAAGTCGATACCCTCAGAGAAAGGGGTAGACCTCAGTCGGTGGGGACTAAGAGGTGAAGGGCTCCTGCTATGTGGGGAAGAGTGAATGGGCGGGGAGGAGCTGGGTTGTGGAGAGACACTAATGGGTGGAGTGGGGTGGGTGAGTATGGGGGGTCGGATAGCCCGAGGGGATCTAATATGTGGAGTTTGACTAGGTGAGTCCCTCATAGTGGGGGATGCTAGCCCTTTGGAAGGCCTAGTTCCCCTCTGTGCAGGTCCCTCAAAGTCTCTCTCATCTAAAGCCTCTAAGACCTCGAAGGTGTTTGAGGTTAGGGGTTTCTTTCCCTTGCCTAAAGGGGAAGGTGTAGCCTCTCGTGTTCCTTTCTTCTCTCATGTGTGGATGGAAGAAGGGCGTCCAATTGCCGGCTTTCACCGTGCATGCTGTGTCTCAATCAATGAACTAGGCTTTTCCTGTGCCTTCGTAAGGAAGGTGGAGCCGCCATAGGGGCAATCGACCTTTGAGGATGACGAGCACTCTGAGCATCCTTTCTCATTTCGACGAGATAATCGTCATATGAGATCGGTACTAAAAAGGCTCGTGTGGTTGCTTGTGGTGTACCTGCCTTCTGACGACATGTGCTGACAGTGTGGCCCAAGATAGCACAATGTGTGTAGAAATATGGTAATCTCTCGTAAATAATAGGCTGATAAAGCTCATCATCTCCACTACGTATAACGAGAGTCCTCTATAGAGGGGCCATTAGGTCCACCTCTATACAAACTCGTGCATATCCTAGCCGGTTGAACATTTTTACGCCTGGGTCAAGGCATATGAATGTTCCCACCGCATTTGCCAAAGACTCAAGTGCCTTTGGCGTAAATAAATGGGCAGGTAGGCCAGGGAAGCCCACCCATAATGGAACCGCATGGGATTGATGTGCTCGGTGCCTTATGTTGGTCTGTGGTGTCCATCTGTGGGTATGGAGGGTAGACTCCCCCATTGTCCAAGTGGGTCGGCTCCATGCTCGACGATAATCCACTTCTAGCTCAAAGCGGATGTATATGCTACGATAGTCTCGAGCTCCGATGGAGACTCAGCCCTGGAAATTTCCAAGTGCCAAGTAAATCTTCTCTATGTCACCTATAGTTGGTCGTTTCGTAATGAAACGACCAACTAAGGTATATTGGAATGTGGTTACCATCTGGGAGACCTCCTCATAAGTAAAAGCTATTGTCCTCCTCCCATCATCCTCACTATAGCTTCGCACTGGGACAGTGGTGTCATAGAATGGGAATAGTACCTGATGCAGCGGTTCTTGTGGTGTGACAGTCTCTATCGAGGGGGCAGAAGGTCCAAACACTCGTTGCGCCCATGATAGGTGTCTAGTGGGCATAGTCGGGTTTGGCCTATGGGGCACAGTAGAGTCTAGCCCACTAGGTGTAGATATGGTGTGCCCAAGGGATGTGTTTGGGGCCAATATAGAGGTCTCAACTAGTGCTGGGATCCTAGTTGGTTCGAGGGGCTCAGTTTGAGAGAGCCTAAGGGCCCCTGTAGGTAGAGGTAAAACCGGCTCAATCTGTTGACTTAGGGTAGGCCTAGAGGACGTGGTCGAGGGTGGACGTAAAAGTCGGCGTCCTATCTTCTTTTTGGGCCGCAGGCTGTTGCCCCTTACCTGGGCAAGAGCTTGGACCGGCCGAGCCTGAGCTGGCTGCTCAGGCTCGGCCTGGGCCACCTGGGCCTGGGCCGGTGCGTCCTGAGCCGGCGCAGCCTCGATGGGCTGGGCCGGCATGACCTGGGCTAAAGCGGCCTCAGATGGCGCTACCTGGGCCGGATCAGCTCTAGCCACCTTGCCGGAGGCTCGCACGGGCCGCGCCTGTACGGTGCCAGCTGAGCGGGGCTCGGCCCGTGATGGCGAGCCATCGTCCGCGGTGTCTGACGTTGATGACGTCAGTAGCGTCCCAGCCGAGGCATCGGCGATCGCAAAAGGTTGCGGCGCCTTTATGGCCACGTGATCCCCTCCGTTGATCTCAAGATCAACGGTTGGATCAAGTTGGCCGTTATGGCCGTGACCGTCCGAGGGCGGAGCCTCGGTAACGGCTGTTGAGGCCTTTATAGCCGGCTGATTCTGACCATTGATCATACGATCAATGGTTGGATCAGAGGGGGCCTCTTCGCCTGCCGTCGCCTCGTTCCCGGAGGGAGAGTGGACGGCGTCGACTGCTGTCCCCTCCGATTCCGGCCTCGGGAAGACGCCAGCTGATGTCGAATCACGGACGTCCGTGGTTCAACCGTTCAGCTCATTTACGGCCGTCTCCTCGGTCACATCAACCGGCGGAGAGAGAAGGCCGTCACTGCCACGTGTCGGCCTTATGTTCGCTCGCAT